GCACGACACGCTCGACCGCTTCCCAGTCGAGCGGGCTGTTGACTACAGCGTGGATCGTGTGGTTCAGCTGCCTGAGGTTTTCATTGTCCCAGTCGTTCTTGGTGGGGACCGCGTCCGTGAAAAGCGAGTATTTTACCGCGTCATTGACCGTCTTTGTCGACGCGGTGAGTCGTCGCTCTTGGGCACGAGTCGTGGCCGCGGCGCCGAGGCGGGTGAGAAACGCGTCGAATGTGATGTGGCCGACCATGGTGCACACGCGATGAGCACAGAGCACAGAGATGCGAGGGAGCGAGAAGAGCAGAGGTGCGCGAGGAAGCGATGGGACGGGAGCACTGACGGTCAAGCCACAACGGAGACGTGGGCCCGTGCCGGATACGAACACAGATCGCGAGATTGATCTTGATCTGTGGGCACGGGGCCGGCGCGGAAGCATTGCGGAGACTTCCGGTAGCCGCGCATTCGTAGACAAGCGCCGTGCACATGAGCGCTCCGTGTCCAGACGCTCCTTTGGGCCTGAGGCGGTGACCGTCTCAACGATGCACCACCGAAGTAGCAGCCTTACTGATCGGCGGCACACTTGTCGCATTTTCACCCAAGTCGGCATCGATGCCCGAGGTCAGTTGGTCGCGGCAACGCGCACACGCCGCCACCGCCGTGTAGCGGTGTGTCTCCTGAGCGCGTCACGCCCATGCACGTATGTTTTGTTCAAGTATCATTATTGTCGCACGCACTTCATGTAATCGTATCGTCCGCATTATGCATGGACTTTGCCGTCGTCTCTCATCCTTGTCCACCTGGCTTACTGAGCGAGCGAACAGTGGCATTTTACCCGCGATCGCGCCATGACGCAATCGCGGGTTAGCGTGCCATTTCGTACGTCCTTACCAACAATGATAACCGGTGGCTGAGGCTCGTCGTCCAGGTGAGCCGTCTTCCTCTGTGTCTCCTACAGAACGGCTGTACTTACCCGCATTTGCGTCATGACGCGAATGCGGGTAAGAAGATAAGCACGTGTGGGGCGCGTCGCGCGTCTGTGCACGTGCGGTCACGCACGACTGGCCGGCACGTGGTCTAGCCGGCGTAGCCCCAAAGACGCCCACGTCGCGCGAGGCTGCTCTGCTCCGGGCACGAAAGTTGGGAACCGAGTATGAGCAACCCACTGCCGGTCCGCACGGAGTGTGCACCGTTGGCGCAGACAATACTAGTGAACACCGGCATTTGTTGTGCGAGCAGGTGGGGCGGATGGTCTGAGCCTGCGGTGAGTGTGCACCATTGGTGCATGCGGGCCACACCGCACGCACCCCTCGACTTTAGTGCAGCTCGCGCTCTCCAGAATCAGAACAGACACCCTGAGAGTAGGTTGGCGGACACCGTTCTCTGTGCCATTTACTAACATGTGAGACAGAATGAACGCAGCCTTATCTACAATAAGTCTCAGAGGATTTGTTCGCCTCCCGCAACCCGGTGTCTTCGGAGATTCTGAGCTAAGTGCACCGTCGATGGCACTGTTGTTGGCTCGCGGTGCACTCAACGCGGCCCGGCGGGGTCGTATGTACAGCTCTGTCCTGCAGTTGATGGATCAATGGACATTGTGTCACTGTGACGAAGAACTTTGACGAGAAGATTAGATCCCTCCCGCAATTCAGGAACCTTCCCGTTGTCCGCGGTGCACCAATGCAGGCATACCGCGGTAAGGGCTGTCCGGTTCGGCATCTAGCACGCATTGAGTCTTGATGTATATAGTTTGCCTTGCATTTAGGTAGCCCTTGCGTGTGCGCAAACCTCATTCCACCCGCATGCTGGTTAGCATTGACCGGAGCCGGTGCACGGGGCCTCCGCGGTGGTCGTGCACCAGTGGTGCACGTCACGCCTGAGTGCTCTCCGGTACATGCCTTGAGATCATGCACTTTACGGACTCCGTCCGGAATCGAATTATGTATCTAGCGCGTAACATCTACTTTCACACCGATGTCCGGGGCAACAACATGTACACTGCGACGGAGGAATCTTCGATTCACGCGGCACGCGCTCCGCCATGACCGAGACCGAGACAGACAAGGATTAGTCAATCAAAATAACCTGTGAATTGTCGGGTATCAGCGAGCTCGCTCGCTACACAAGCTCTGAGCATTGCGCACCTCGCGCGAACATCTCTGCTTTAGTAGCCGACAGGTGAGACACGGCGGCTGACCATTGTGCATTGCGCACACCTTCGACCTTACCTCGCGGCAACGAAAGCAGCGGTTGTCGTCCAGAAGCTAATGAACCGGTGAGTACTCTTCGGCTTTCTTTCAGTACGCTCACACTCACAACCTCGAATATAAAGTCGTCCGGATGCCCGCTAACGTCGGGCAGGCGGTCAGAGCCGTCATCGCGGTAGTGCACCCCTTCAAACCGCATTCAGTGTCCAACAGATACTTGGAGTGTGATCATTACTCACTGCGGCCCAGCCGAGCGCCGACTACGAGAGTACGTTACAGAATGTGAGTGCCATGTATTAGCATTGAGACGAGCATACATACCGTGAAGGCGGTTCAACGTGTCTATTATAGCCTCAAAATTCGCCGCGGTGGGCTCCGGACCCACAAACCTCAGCGCCATAATGCCGTGGTCCCCCAGCCAGTCCTTGAGGTCAGTCTGAATCGTTGGACCGCGAGACACCCAATCCATGATTACTTGCACCCCCATCGGGCGGCGTACTGCGGGCGGACAGGTTTCGAGTGACGCGATCCATTCCGGTGTCTACCGCAGGAGTAGTTTACTTCAGTTAGTACGTGCACTGTGCACTTGCCGTGGAACGTACGAATAACTCGCCCTCGAAGAACTCCGCGATTGCATCCCAGTTGAGATGGCTGTCTAGTACGATCTGCACAGTTGCACGAAGGCCGAGCATACGGTCATCGGTCCAACTGTCGGGGATACTGTCGGTCAGGATGCGGCCGCGGACATCGTTCGTCTCGCCGAACCGAGCGCGGTATATTCTTATTTGATCCCGAAGCTCGACGAGAGTGTACACGCCGACCATGTTGGAGCAGCAAAAGCAGAGGAAGTTTGTGTTCAGCCCCTGCCTGAGGTATCGATGCGTATCAGTGAGGGGATCACGGTGCCGGCGCGAGGTCTCCAATCATGATCCATCAGTATGTTATCCGGGGATCGGTGCCTCACGCGAGAGTTCCGTCCTCACTTTAACTGCGCCGCCCTAGAAGCTGGCACTTCTGCACGACACGCGTGAGCCGCCCGTACGTAATGTGATAAGGTGAGGGTTCGTGTCCTTGTGTTGCGCTCACAGTGATTGTTCCCGCCAGCTGCTTGCTGAGACTGTGTGCACATATCTGGTAGGTATTGCTCGCTAGGTGTTGTGCACCGCGCGGCGTGCACATCGGTGATCATCCTGAGCGTTATACATTGCGGGCACAGCACGAGGCTTATCTGAAGAGAATACCGCCGGATCACTGCTTGCGAATTTGCATCTGTGACTCACTTGACGTGACCGAGACCGGTCGCCCGGCAATACGAGTCAATGGTGCACCACTGGTGCAGCATCCTGACCCAGGCCCCGCGAGGCACCATTAATTCCGAATACGTCGTGTAAGAACGCCGCACGGATGACCGTCCGTTCGGCCGAGGCGTTGCGCCGTGCGCCAGTGGTGCATTGGCGGCATCTGATACCGAGCTTCAGCCGGAACTTGTTCCCGCGTAACGGATACAGAGTACGCCGCGCTGTAAATGGGATTGATCCACGATAGCCCATCTCCGCCGTGCGCTATTGGTGCACCACTTTGGATGTGCCCGCATGGTTCACCCGTCTTCCCCGTTGAATATGTATTGTCGGAGCAGATCGCGGCTGCGTGACGGCTTGTATCCGCACGGAGAAAGCGATCTGTGCACCAGCGGTCCATGAGGTCGTGAGCCAGCCCTTCGCTTGCTCAACCGGATTTTAAATCAATGTAACCGGGATGCCACCGCGCTTACCGGCGATGTTGAATGAGTCTAGGTGCACGCATCTGAGTCACAGGCGTCGGTGTGCGCTGCGGGGACAGCGCACAAGCTTGCGCCAGTGGCGCAGTGCACAAGCGTGTGCTCGACTCCCGGCGCAATTCTAGTGTTCACCGTGGGTGGGATCGGCATACACTATCACTGATATTTTGGCATGTGCACCTTAGCTCAACGTAAGCACTCACTCAACAACTTTCCAATCAGTCTCCTTCCGTTGTGCACCAGCATTAGACAAGTGCGCGCTGCTCGTACCATGTATTTCCGTCGTACCCGCAATTCTGTACACGGATACTATCAGGCTACACGTCGGACCTCCGCCATACTAGCCGCTGCCGGTCTCCGCGTCGTCGTCGCTCGAGTCGCTGACGTCAATGGGCTGTTTGAAGTCCCTGTCAGTCGTGAAACTAGGACCGTAAAATGCCCGAGTGCTACATACTTCAAGTGAGCAGCTCTGAAGCAGAATCCGGCATGTAATGCACGGCGGCGTGCCGTTGTGCACCACGCAGGAGTCGCAACTGACAACCTTGCAGCAATCACATCGGTTCTGCCCTTCCCGCTATTGCAGTAAGCGTGTAAGTACTTGCGGGACTTTTTTTCTCGTAAATAGTTACCCACCTCTTCGAAGACCCAGATCATGCCGCGCTGCTCTTCGGACATCTCGCCTTCTGGAGTGCCGGATTCTTTGCTGTTATTGTAGGGTATGGCTGTCCACGCGCAGTCAGTAACCCGGTGATAGGCCTCGCAAGCCCACTCACAACGGGACAGACGCATGCCGCCTAGGACTCCGGTCAGTGCTCGTTCGACGGCGTAGCAAATTTCCCACCCTTTAGATGCCCCAGAATATCTTTGATAGCCAGCCAGATATGCACGGACGGCCTGCGTCCGAGGACAATTGCCGTCTTGATGTTGCGATGGTGGATCCACTGCTCGAAGGTTCGCCGTTCGGTAGGCCTTCGGGTCACCCATCCCAGGAGCGTCATTAAAAGGTCGGGACACCAGTGGTTGTCCGCAAAGGCCATGAGTGACCCCGCCCATTCAGCCGGCTAAGGTGATACGTGTTTCCTTACTGTGCGAGGCGGTCACTGGTCGAACACTCACCAGAATTTCCCTCTCGATGAGTTCCTGCGTTCCCGCCCATGTAAGATGACCGTCCAGCACAACGCGCAACGTTTCTGCGAGCGCGCGCAGTCTCGCCGTGTCCCAGCTCCCAGGAAGGTCGTCGCTGAGAATGTTGTCGGCACTCGCCGGCTCGTTTGTTCCGAGCCGCAACCGGAAGATCTTCAGCTGGTGGCGGAACTCTGGGAGCGTGTATTCACCGACCATAGTGTAGTGGAATGACGAAGTGGTGCACCGGTTTTCCCTTGTCCATTGCTATATAACTGAAGATTTCTGGTCTCACCTCATGGCCTGTCTCGGGTAGTGCACCGTCGGTGCACTGCCGTGTTCTCTCCGCTGCGTCGTGTACAGCACTGTCAAAGCCACGTGTTTGCTTTTAACACGTCTTCTATACATTCAGTAAATTCTCAGCGCTCCGTCCGAGTTCCCTCGGCATGCAAAGTGCTCTTGTGACTTACCTCCGTCTCGAGAATCGTTCTCAAGAAGACACCAGAATTTCTGTCAGGAGCTCGATGTACGTCGTCAGGGGCCGTGCACCAGTGGCGCATGCCCGGCGAGGGAGGCTTACGTGCGGAGACAGACCAGGACCTGTGCGGATCACCGCCGTGCACCAGTGGCGCACGCCGGACTGGGGTACACCCCAGTGCACAGACACGTATTCTGTTGTGCGGGGTATGTCCCGCCGCCGTGCACCAGTGGTGCACGGGCTCGGACCGAGGCCATTAATTTATTGAGTTATCTTGGCGGAATGTTGAATGATCACAGAGAATTGTGCACGCGCTGGAGTGAGGGCGGCATCACAACACGTTGTCTGTGCGACATTGGCGCAGCGTGACAGAGCTCATCCATTGCTCTCCGTTCGCGTTGTCGCGTACGGACTTGCCAGTGCGGTGCACGGACGTGAATATTTCGTCCGCATAATGCAGTAAACCCGACCAGTCTCAGATAGGCAACTGCGAGCCGGAACCTATTATGATCAAATTAACTTAAGCACACAAACTCGGCCGCGGTGGTCAAGACGGCTGTGCATCAGTGGTTCACGGTGCACAGCGCGCGGCGCGCGGCCCCGACAATCCAGGTCCTTTCTACCCGCAAATATACGTATCAACATCGGCTAGCATTTGCGACGCGAAGATACAGGACGGGCAGTGCGCAACAACGAGAATCGGTAGATAGCGGACGTCAAGTCGAGCTCTCAGATTCACCGTCACTGTCGGCTTCCGCGTTGTCATCGTCGCTCGAGTCGCTAATCTCGATGACCTGTTTAGAGCTCTCCGTCAACTACGCAAGTCAGACAATATAAGTTGCGTGCCATTGCATACCTCTAGCGAGCACCGATGTAGTAGCATCTGACACACGAGGCATGGCGGCGTGCTGTTGTGCAGTATGCAGGGGACTTGAGATACGACCCTGCAACAGTAGCACCGTTTTTCTCCGCCCCGCTGTTGCATCAGTTAACACATGAGCATGCTGCGTTCTATCTCATCTATGTAGTGCACTTCATACCCGCTCGAAGACAAAGTCCATGCCGCGCGTCTCTTCAGGCTCGTTGTCCGCGGGATTGCCGTCCGCTTCGGGCTCGAGGTCGCGGTACTGAATGGCTGTCCACCTAGTCAGTCACCGCACGGTATTTTTCCTCAAGACACTTACGCCAGACCAGACGCCTGCCGCCTAGTACTCCGGTTAGTGCACGCTGTACGGGGATTCTGCTCCGCTCACCCTGTAGATATAGCAAGAGCTTCCGAATAATCTTCCAGTTCGTCTCGGACGGCTTGCGTCCGACAACGGTCCGCCACGGAATGTTGTGGTCTTGGATCCACTGCTGGAAGGTCCGCTGCTCGGTCGGCCCACGGGTCACCCAACCCACGGCCGCATTTACGAGGGACGGCAACCAGTAGTTCAGACCGAGGTTCCCGATGGACGTGACCCATTCGCCCGTCTGAGGTGTGGATTCGATCACTGTACTGTACAGCGGGATGGAGACTTACCATTGCTTCCCGCTCGAAGAGCTCTTGGATACCCGCCCATGTCAGATGCCCGTCCAGGATCATCTTCAGCGTATCCTCGAGCGCACCCAGTCTTAGCACATTCCAACTGTCCGGGAGGTCGTCGTAGAAGATTTTGTCCGCATCTTCTCGCTCGTTCGCCCCGAGCCGCAATCGGAAGATCTTGAGCTGAATGCGGAGCTCTGGGAGGGTGTACGCGCCGACCATAGTAGAGCGGAGGAGGATGAAAGTGTGCGGTTGCTGGCGAGCCGTCACCGTATAACTGGCTGACCTCGTGCCGCCTCATGGGCCGCTTGTGCGCTGCGGCATTCTCCGCCGACCACGTTATCACCCCTCTCGCGTGGTGCACTGCCGGTGCACTCCGTGTTTAGGCATGCCTCATGCACGACTTGTTTTGGGGTAGCATCCGCATTCAGCGTCTCTTACATACAGCGAGGGATTGCGGCGTGATAGACCGGTGCACATTCTGTTGCCGGTGCTCCATCGGTTGACCTCGTGCACCTGTGGGACTGGCACCGTCAGCGGGAATCTAAGCTGCGGCCACAGTGCACGTCTATGAACGGGTAGTCGGACATGCAGCTAATCCGCCCGCCAAGCCTCCAATAAAGGGTGTCCGCCATCCATGTGTGTTGCGGGCGGAGAGCGTCCGGCTCGCTCGACGGCGCGAGGGCTCCCGCCCTCGCGCCGCCGACCTCGCTCGCCGGCCGCTCTCGCCGGCAACACACATTGGAAGGCTTCCACCCTTTTATGTATTCTTGTCAGGCGTCGGAGCATTACCGCGAGCTCATGTATGGACCAAGCAGGCGATAAGCAATCATGCTGGGACTGTAGCGAGGAGCTGAGGGCACGCTGCGGAGGCCTGTGCACCAGTGGCGCACACCGGACGAGGGCAGTCAGTGGATGCCGAGCCAGAGCGCAACGGGTTCGGCCCACTGCCGTGCACCACTGGCGCACACCGCAGGGACATCTACGGCCAGAGCACAAGGTCGCCCCGCCGTGCACCACTGGCGCACACCGGGCCACGGTGCACCGTAGACTACTGAAGCAGGCGGGGCATGCTCCGCCGTTGTGCACCACTGGTGCATGCCTAATGAGCAGACGCGGACGGACTGTACTGCATGAGGACATGGCCACGTCGCTGTGCACCACTGGCGCATGCTCAGGGAGTGCCCTGGTGTCCAGTACAACAGCGGAAAGACGTGCCTCCGCCGCAGTGCACCACCGGCGCATGCTCCGTTAGCAGGAGGACCTGATACAGCCTCTGCGAGCTGAGGGCACATTGCGGAGGGCTGTGCACCGATGGTGCACACCGGACGAGGGAAGGCAGTGTGTGCCGAGCCCGAGCGCAACGGGTCTGGCCCACTGCCGTGCACCACTGGCGCACACCGGGCCACGGTGCGCCGTAGTGGACAGAGACAACCGATATGCGCGAGCGCATGTTCCGCTGTCGTGCACCCCGCTGTCGTGCACCCCGCTGTCGTGCACCACTGGGGAATGCATAATGAGCAGAAGCGGCCGGTCTGTACTACGTGAGGAGAAGGCCGCGTTGCCGTGCACCACTGGCGCATGCTCAGAGGAAGGCCCTGGTGTTCAGTGTAATGGCGGACAGACGTGCCTCCGCCGCCGTGCACCATCGGCGCATGATCCATTAGCAGGAGGGCCCAAGACAGCCTCTGCAAAGCACAACGGACATGGCCCCGCCGCCGTGCACCACTGGCGCATGCGGTGTGAATAAAAATGCAAGTGCCCGGTGTACTCTTTCTGCGCGAGAGACACGGCCCGCCACCGTGCACCATTGGCGCATGCGGTGTCAATGAGAATTCTGGTGCACTGCATTTTCCGTGCACAAAGACACGGCCCGGCCGCCATGCACCACTGGCGCAGGCTTCGCTATTGTGAATGCCAGTGCCCGGTGTACTCTTTTTGCGCGAGAGACACGGCCCCGCCACCGTGCACCACTGGCGCATAATTCACTACTGACAGTCGGAGCGGAGGGCTGTCTGTGCATGTCATCCCGTAGATTGTGTGCGTATTCCGTCGTATGCACTACCTTTGTTGTACTTTTCCAGGCTTCCCTGAGGGTTCTAAGACTCGTAGGCAGATGTTCCGTGCTCAGAAGTGCCGTGAGCATTGTATGCCGTGCGCCAGTGAACTTGAACAGTGTCGATTGCAGTGAGGATGCAAGTTCTGTGTTTAATGCGCCAAAGATGTGCATTTATTCCATGAGTATATGTACTCCGGTGCACCGTTTCCTGCGCCATGGCCTGTAATTTCTGTGTGTAGGGGACTTTCCTAGACTTTCCTACGTCCAAAATGTGTCCAATTTCCCCATAACTAAACCTAAACTAAACCTAAAACACATGAGGACTTACGGATCCACCACTGCTTCAAGAACAGCGCGAGAGACGCGCTCCTGGTCTCGCGCGAGCTGTCCTCTTCGAGGGTGACGTACGGTATGCGCCTCCACATGAAGTATTCCTCCATCGTGTTCGGGAAGTTGCCCTCTGCGGTCCGGTACTGCCATTTGAAGCAGGTCGCGAGCACAAGGGGGAACTGGTCATATTGATTTGACTGTTTCAGCGACATGAGCCACGGGTCGGTCTGTCAACGTGTCGTTTAGTGCGGCCGTATCTCGCGGCAACACGAAAGCTTGACTTACCAGGATGTGGTGCTGGACGATGTACTGGAATGCGTCCCACGAGACAGCGCTGTTGAGCAACGAACGCAACAGGCGGTTGAGCGCCTTGAGTTGCTTAGCGGTCCATTCGCTGGGCTGCGGCGGTAAGTCCGTGAAAATGTACATGTTGTGCACGCGGCCAAAAGCCGCTTTCCGCGTGTTGTCCGTGAGGTCAGCGTGATTGATGGTGAATGCGCACTGAGCAAGCGCAAATTGTTGGAGGTCGTAGGTACCGACCATAGTGATGCGAGCAAGATTGACAGTGGGATTGGGCAGTGGAAACGGCAGCGGTGCGGACAGACCAGTCCACACGGCGCGCACGCGCTGCACGCCTGGTTGAAGCGATACACCACGTGCGAGAAGCGATGCTGGTGCTCACGTGTACTCTTACCCGCAATCGCGCCGTGGCGCAATTGCGGATAACATACTCGGAGTACCCTACCAGGGGCATCCTTTGAATTAAATTCCTTGATTGCCTGGCACTCTGCTTACTATACAAAATAATATTATACTTGCACCTACGTTTACGTCCCAGAAAACCTTGACACAAACAGTGCACTTACCCGCGTTCGCGGGTAAAGAGCATTCACAAGTACGTCTGAGAGTCTCTCAGAACAGTGCACAGTACCTGTGTTCGCGCCGTGGCGCAAGCGCGGGTAGACGATGAAAACAAGGACAGTGTGCCTATTCGCAATTGCGCGGATAGAAACACACAGGGCGCACCGATAGGGTGCCGCAATGATCATCGAGGCGTACCCAGTAATACGAGCAACAGCCCGGGCAGGTGGTTTGATGCACACTCTCGAGCGAGTCCTGTCGCGAGCAACCCGTCGGTATGGCGAATCATCCAGAACATCGGGAGGTGAGCTTGTCGTGTGTCTCGAAACAAGGACACTCTGCTGATGTATACTCGTCTGCCGCGTTATCAACTTGCGGGCGACCGTGTTTCGCACTCACAGAGGTCATCTTGCGTGCACGTACCTTACGCGCGCACAATCTCCGTGTCGGCTGTCTTCATGCGCAGGTACGCACATCACCCCAGGGTGCGGTGGGCTTGCTGGATGTAAAAGAGAGGGAGGCAGGAGGCAGGAGAGGCGGGAGATGGTGGTTGTGGGCAGGAGATCGTGTGAGCGCCCGTCGGTGGCTGAGCAGGTGGCTGACGTGATCTCGCCTGCCCTGTCACTGCACATCACTGACACACAACACGGAATGGACGCTGCATGCGGAGGGTGTAATGGATGATGTGGTACACCACAGATGCATGCCCTCTGTGGCACACGAGCAAGTCGGTGGGTGCCTGTGAGATCGGGCGGGCGCTCGGACTTGCCAAACAAGGCAATGGATGTGCGGACTCATCCGCAATCGCGCCATGGCGCGATTGCGGGTAAGGGTGACTGGCAGAAGGCAGTCGCAGACTCAAACGGAGACTGCATGTTACCCGCGTTCGCGTCATGACGCGAACGCGGGTAAGAGTACCTCGCATCCGCAGTCGCGCCATGGCGCGAACGCGGGTTAATGCACGCTGAGATTCATGCTGCGAGGGTGAGACGTTTAATGCTCAGAACGTGAAAATGCCTTCCTCACCCATCCTCACCCCATCCTCACCCTAAGGATTGGTCAAAAAGCCCCTATAATCGTATGCACGCCCTCTGCAACGGGAATGATATACCTGTGAAGGTACCCTCCGATCTTTGCGAAAATCTCACCGATAATCGTGTTGGCCATTCATGGCTCTCAACTGGCTCTTTCACCGACTCGTCACAGCCTTTGCTGAAGGTCCTCTTCGAACATCCGAGCTACTCGCTGGCGGACGTTGACGATTCTGGCACGTTCCGATGGCACTACGGTGGTCTGAGCGCTCTTCGCAAAGACCTCGCCGACCTGTCAGAGGAGCTCGCTGTTCTGTGTTTCATGACTCCTGCTCCCCCTCCTCGTGGCACTGAGTTTGTCGACACTCGCCTCAGCAATTCCCAGATTCCACGGAACATATACAAGAACTATGGAACATGGTTCATCCACCAGCGCACCAAGACATCTGCACTCACGGAGTCCCTGTCATGGACACCCACGTTATGCCCAGAGCCCGTTGCAGAGTTGCTTGACTGGTACCTTCTTGTTGTCCGCCCCGTTGAGCGCACCATCTCGTATGTGCTCGAAGGGGAGGAGAGTTGGGCAGCACACAATGAGTTTGTCTGGATGGCCCATGGCGAGCAGCTTAACTCTGAACAGTTTTCCAACATTCTCGAGCGCATCACCGACACATACATGGGCATAGGCCTATCACTCCAGTACTGGCGGCATATCGCTGTCTCGCTCATGCGCGAGTTCATTCCACCCTCCAACATGGCTGACAACTTTGGTGACAAGTCCATGAATCACAATACCAACATGGCTCGTCGTGTCTATGCACGTGAGGTTGGACACCTCGCTTTCCTCACCACAGATGCCATGCTCGAGGCTCGCCGGTTCTGCGAACCTTGGCACAATGTTTTGGGACTTGGCAAGTTGCCTTGTCCTGTTGCCCTGCGTGTCTTGGACTACGGTACTGGTACTGGTGCGAATCCTGCGCCAAACATTCCCCTCGGTGCGGGTGTGGCAGGTCAGCCACCTGTTGACATTGCACAGCTTACTACTGTGATTTGCAGAACAGTCACATCCACAATGAATGCGAACTTTGCGACACTCCAGGTCCACCTCGAAGACCTCGTGCGTGCATCTGTTATGCAGGGACTTGCTGCCCAACAACACTCTTCCAATGCCCAATCTCATACCCCTCGTCCCAACCAGCTTCACCAACGGCAGACTGAGCGCCGCCACCAGAGCCTATCTTATACCCCTGAGCAACGTCATAGCCCCATCACCGAGGATCATTTCTTGGAGCCAATGGATATTGATGGGCTTCCTAATCATCCAGTGGCTTCTACTTCCAATCTTGGTCCCATCGATTTCCACCACAACAACCTCCCTGGTACTTCGCATGAGCCGACCCAGCTTGTCGGAACCCCCATTGACGAGGTCCCTATGATCTCACATACCAATGCTCTGCGCGAGCTCAGGAAAGCTTTGAAGAATAATGCCGCAGAGTTCACTTCGGAGAGTCAGTATCAGCTGATAGCCTATTCCCTCTCACGTGACCGCAACATCATTGGCGTACTGCCAACAGGTGGCGGGAAAAGTGCATGTTATGAAGTCCCAGCTATCATCCATCCTGGACGACTCTCTATTGTCTTTGTGCCATTTGTTGCAGTGATCCATGACCAGCTACGGCGTGCAGCAGCCAGCGGTACCAAGGCGGCCAAATTTGTCGCAACAATTCCTCCTGCAGATGACTTGCAATTGTTGTTTGTATCATGGGAACATTGTGGACATGCAAGTCTTGTCAGGTCAGTCCAATATTCTATCCCATCATGTGATGGTACTTATGTTTTATAATAGCTTTATGAACAAGGAGAAGACTCGTATCCATCGTGTTGTGGTCGACGAGGCACATCAGATCCTCACTTCGCACGAGTTCCGCCCACAGTTGAAGAACATTGACAAATTGCGGAAGATAGCGCTGCCCAAGATCTACCTCACAGCCACCCTTGTCCCAGATCACGAAAATGCCTTCATCCAGCATATAGGCCTGCAGCGCGATATGGTCAAAGTCATCCGTGCACAGACGGGCCGGAAGGAACTACGCTATCACAATGTTCACTGCAGATCCAAAGACGACATCGAGGCACTGGTGGTCAAGCTCACCTATGAGTGCTATCAAAGACAATTTGTCAAGCCGGACTCGCGGATCATCATCTTTTGCCACTCAGTTGCAAATGCCAACGCCATGGGCCCTTTGCTTGGCTGCCTGATATATCATTCAAAGCTATCACCTCAGGAGCGACATGACACTCAAGTTGCATGGACCACAGGGGCCACAGCAGCGCACCGGTGCATTGCTGCGACCAGCTCATTTGTTCATGGAATAGATGCCCCTTTTGTTGATCTCATCATCTTTCTCAACACACCTCATGGCGCAGTCGATTTCGTACAGGCCGCAGCAAGGGGAGGCCGACGAGGCCGCCCATGCATGGTTGTACTTGTACACCACACCGAGATGCTCACTGTCAAGGCTCCTGACTACAGTCTTCACAAGGTCATGAATGACTACATGGTGAATAACACAAAATGCCGCAGGAGGATACTCTCTGCCGCTATGGATGGGGTCGAGAAGTGTTGCGATAGGGAGAATGGCGATGAACTCTGCGATGTCTGCAACCCAAACACAGAGATGACAAAACTGATCAAATGGTGCAGCAATGGAGGCGCACCACATTTGTCAGCATGTCTCCAACACTTGCCAAACTCCCAAGGTCATCCAATCAATGTGGACGATGATGACGATGCCATGTATGATGGCATGGATGATTCTCTTTTTCAACAAGTAGAGTTCACTCATGATCAGGTCAGCTATTCCCTCAGTTCAGTATGACATGTCTATTAATTTTGCATTATAGCCCATTGAAGTACATCAGGATATGGTCAAGAAAGCTGGAGTCGAGATGAGTGCAGCAGGCGCACAAATTGACGACATATTGCGGCAGAAGCACTCCGCAGACTTGTCAAGATATCTCATCAAACTCAAGGGTCAATGTCCAGTCTGCTGGTCACTGAAGGGTATTGTTACACCCAAACATACCCCTTTGTTTGCAGGGTGTCGCAGTACCCTTAAAGTGCCATTTGTGGCAAATGGCATTGGCTGGCAGGAGTACAAACATGGATCCCAGCCACAGGACTCAAACATCAATTATTGCTATGGCTGTGGCGTGCCAATGGGCGATTTCATGCCTGAAGCTCATCGTTCCCATCCACCAGGGAAATCATGTCCTTGGTCTGACTTTATTGCAGTATCAACATGGAATGTATTCCACACTCGAGAGCTGTGGGCTGCAGCAAAGGAAGCTTGTAATATTAAAAGAGTCAATACTCTGCAGGATTTCCAATTGTGGTGCAAAGTAGAGACTGATCGTTCTAGATTGTGTAATTCTCTTCACTTGTTCATATGGCTCTGTCAGCATTATGGTCTAGCCTAGATATCATGTATACTCAGCATTGTCCAAGTCCATTCATACAATTGGCCATGAATTCATTGTTTGCAAAGCTCCCATAGCCATGCTATACTGCCCAGCTCTGTACATGATGGGTCTGTTATGAAGCCCCAAAAGCAGTGTTCATGACTCCATGTATGATGACAATAGCCCATCCAATATATGAGATAGCATAGTACAGAGCTGCTCAGTTCATTGACCTCTTACAGGTATACAGTAATCCAATGAAGAACAGTACAAATTTATTATGCCTATACAGTACACTGCAGGACATCCACAAGACTGCATAGACAGCATGCTATGCTGACTGCAGCAATGGGAAGTACATTCAATTGGACATTAGTCAATTGAACTGCATTCAATCAAGCCCATTCAATTAAAGGACATACACTCAAAGTACACTGGGTCAAAGTACATCCAGTCGAAGTACAGACAATTGAAGGACATCCAATTGAATCCACTCAATCAAAGGACATTCACTCGAGGTACCTTCACTCGAAGTCCATTCAATCAAATTACATACAGTTGCAGTACGTACAGTCGAAGTAGACTAAGTCCGAAGTACACCGAGTCGAAGTACACTCACTCAAGATACATACAATTGAAGTACAGTTATGCACTCGTGCCGGCGGACACGTACATGAACGCACGGGGATAGACTAGATATGTACACATCAAAACAATGGGCATGGAGGGGCATTTGCTCGCGGGGGCACGCACGAACGGAATGGAAGACACGGCGAGCAGGGTGAACGGTGGAGTAAAGGGCGAGGAGACGAACAGACAGCAAAGCAGATAGACGGAAGCACGAGAGGAGGAGAGGAGAGCATCTCGCTCTTCCATCCATCCGCTCGCTATTCCGTCCATCCGCTCGCTAATCCATCCATACGCTGCGTCTTCCGTCTGCCCGCTCGACTGCCCGTCTCCTCGACCGCCGTCTTCTTGCCAGCCTGTCATCCAACCCGCATGGCTTCTCGCCCGTGCGTTCGCTCACCCGCCCGGCATCCGAGTCTCTCTACCTCTTGTTCGGTGGTGATGCTCGCCCTGTCGCCACGCATCGACGCGTCCCCCCCTACTCTCACACCATCATTGACTGGGCAGCTCGTCCGCCAGTCTTATGGTACGTCCGTCTTACCGTGCACTCGCCGTGCCATTTGCCAGGTCGCTTGTCCTCTCATCCTCTCGCGGTCTTGCCTACTCGTCGTCTATACCACTCGCCTCTCGCTACGTCATCCACCAGTCAGCCCGTCCTCGTACGGCCGCGGTAGGGCTGGATGGCGTTGACGTGGCAGAGCGGGCTGTTCGACACGAGCAGACGACCCCGCTCTTGTGCGGGGTCATCTGACAGGCACTGCGCCTCCTCGGAGCACAGTGCGTGCGTCCGGGAGACGGTAGGAGGTAGGGGTGGGTGGCGAGACAGTAGAGGGCGGCGCGGCGACATAGGAGGGCTGTGGCAGCGCGAGGAGGCGGTGACGTGGCGGGGAGTGTCCAAGGACGACCCGTTGTTACGCGGGGTCGCCTGGCGTGTCCGGTAGGTCCTCGACGCGCATTGGACGCGTCCGAGAGACGGTAAGCCGACGGGGGCTGACTGCGAAGGCAGTGGCACACGAATAGACGACCCCGCTCTTCCGCGGGGTCGTCATGGGTGCGCGGGTCGACCTCGGCACGCGTATGGTGCGTCCGAGGGAAGTTGAGGGCGGCGAGGCGAGGTAGCGGGGCTGTCGTAGGGCGGCGCGGTAATGGGCAGCGCGAGGAGGCGGTGACGTGGCGGGGAGTGTCCAAGGACGACCCGTTGTTGCGCGGGGTCGCCTGGCGTGTCCGGTAGGTCCTCGACGCGCATTGGACGCGTCCGAGAGATCGTAGGCGGCGGGAACGGAATGGGGGCGAATGGACAGACGGCCCCGCTCCTGTGCGGGGACGCCCGTGGATCGAGGCACGGCCGCGCGTGCGTTTGAAGCGTGCGAGACGCGTGGCGAGCAGGCGGAGGGCGGTTGTACGCGGGGAGGGCGATGTGGTGATGGAGAAGGCGGGAGGATGCGAACAGACGGCCCCGCTGGCAAGCGGGGCCGTCTCGTGTGTGCCGTTCGTATTCGGTAGGCGGGTATCGCGTGCGGGACGCGTAGAGGGCGGGGGGCGATATAGCGGGTGTGTGGCAGATGGCGAGGGCGGTGACGCGGCGGGGGCCCCCTTGGCGAGGCCGGTGCTATGCGGGTGCGTCTGACGTTCGGGGGACGTCGCCGGCACGCGTTTGGTGCGTCCGAGGCACCGTAGATGGTGCGCTGGGAGGCGAGTAGGGGAGTTGGGTGACTCACCTACTGGTGCCCTGTGTCGGCCGTTGTACCGCTCGGTCTCTGCTCTCCATTGTCGATGACGCGTGCCGGGACACGTCGTTGTGTCGTTCGTGTCGCTGTTGGCATTGGAGCACCGCGGGAGGAGGCTGGCACTGGAGACCCGCTGACCCTGGCGAGCTTGCCCTCGGTGGGCGACTGCCACATCCGCGGGGCGATGCGCGCGCGCAGCCCCAGGGTGGGCAACTCGGCGTCGGCGTCGGTGGTCGTAGTAGACAGGTGGAGAGGGTAGAGAGACGGTTCGGGCCCGTCTGCTGTCGAGCGCCCGTGTCGGGATTTTCCGCAGGAGCGCGCGCGAGTTCGAACGCCGGCCAACGCAAAAGAAGAAAAATGAAAATTAAGAAGCGTCGTAGTCCAACGAAGTATGGCACAGACGTATTTAGGCTGAAGGCCGCCCCCTGGTATCAATGCGGGTATTCACCTTTGAATTGTTGGCGGGCTACCTTAGATCCCGTGGGAACACTAGTACCTGGCACAGGTTTCCCCAGCCTTAATTCATCCCGTGGGACGTTCAACCGTTGAGCCAAAGTGGCATTGCTAGAAAGGAAACGGAATAGAATATATACTATACACTCGTTACGATTCCTTACTGAGTTCTTACTTACTCGTTACTTACTCGTTACTTATTCGCTGCTCGCTGTTTTTTCGTCACAGGTGTAGGGTGCGTGTTTTCGTCAATGTTGGTTTCTATTCAGTTGTAGCTACATGTACATATTTACTCCCCGATCGTAATGGTGGGGTTAAGTAAGTTACAAAGCCGGCGTGCGGAGGGGGCGTGCACGAGACGACGCCTGCGTCCGCGAGCAAACGGGGTCGTGTGCGCAGCGGGACCTGTGCGCGTCGCGTGCGAAGGCTCCGGATGGAGGCGAGGGCGATCGGGTATGGTAAGAAGTAAGTGGCGGGCTCGGCACCGAACCGCCCGCCATTCGAATGCAAGGCACCCGCGCTTGAGCGGGTGTTGGTGGAGCTGCAGGGCGTCCTGGGCCTGCGTTTGGCACAGGCGACGGGACTTGAGGGCGACAGGCGGCCGTGCGATGGTGGTATGAGGGCGCAGAGGCGACGTCGCCACTTAATGGGCCGCCGCTCGCACGCAAGGCACTCCGCGCTTGTGCGGGGTGCTCGCGTGCTCTAGGCGCGTCGTGTGCCTGCGTTTGAGGAAGGCGGCGGGGCACAGAGGGCGTGGCGGCGGTACGAAGGCGGTAGGAGGGCGAGAAGCGGGGGGCGCCAATAAAGGGCCGCCGCTCGCAGGCAAGGCACCCCGCGCTTGTGCGGGGTGCTCGCGTGCTCTAGGCGCGTCGTGTGCCTGCGTTTGAGGAAGGCGGCGGGGCACAGAGGGCGTGGCGGCGGTACGAAGGCGGTAGGAGGGCGAGAAGCGGGGGCGCCAATTAAAGGGCCGCCGCTCGCAGGCAAGGCACCCCGCGCTTGTGCGGGGTGTCGGTGCAGGCCCAGGGCGTCCTGGGCTTGCGTTGGGGCGTCGGCGGGGCTTGGGAGTGGCTGGTGGTGGTAGGAGGGCGGTCCGAGGTCGGGGTGGCGGGCTGCGCACTGGACGGCCTGGCGTTGTCGAGGAAACGACCCCGCGCTTGTGCGGGGTGTCGGTGCAGGCCCGGGGCGTCCTGGGCCTGCGTTTGGTGGCGTCGGCGGGGCTTGGGAGCGGCTGGTGGTGGTAGGAGGGCGGTCCGAGGTCGGGGGCGGGCTGCGCACTGGACGGCCTGGCGTGTCGAGGAACGGCCCCGCGCTTGTGCGGGGTGCCGGTGCAGGCCCAGGGCGTCCTGGCTGCGTTGGCGGCGTCGGCGGGGCTGAGAGCGGCTGGCGGTGGTAGGAGGGCGGTACGAGGTCGGGGTGGCGGGCTGCGCACTGGACGGCCTGGCGTTGTCGAGGAAACGGCCCCGCGCTTGTGCGGGGTGTCGGTGCAGGCCCAGGGCGTCCTGGGCCTGCGTTTGGTGGCGTCGGCGGGGCTTGGGAGCGGCTGGCGGTGGTAGGAGGGCGGTACGAGGTCGGGGTGGCGGGCTGCGCACTGGACGGCCTGGCGTTGTCGAGGAAACGACCCCGCGCTTGTGCGGGGGTCGGTGCAGGCCCGGGGCGTCCTGGGCCTGCGTTTGGTGGCGTCGGCGGGGCTTGGGAGCGGCTGGTGGTGGTAGGAGGGCGGTCCGAGGTCGGGGTGGCGGGCTGCGCACTGGACGGCCTGGCGTTGTCGAGGAAACGACCCCGCGCTTGTGCGGGGTGTCGGTGCAGGCCCAGGGCGTCCTGGGCCTGCGTTTGGTGGCGTCGGCGGGGCTTGGGAGCGGCTGGTGGTGGTAGGAGGGCGGTCGAGGTCGGGGTGGCGGGCTGCGCACTGGACGGCCTGGCGTTGTCGAGGAAACGACCCCGCGCTTGTGCGGGGCGTCGGTGCAGGCCCGGGGCGTCCTTGGCTCGGTTTGGCGGCGTCGGCGGGGCTTGGGAATGACGGGCGAGGGTAGGAGCGCGGTAGGAGCGCGCGGTGGTGGGCTGGGTATTGGAGGGCCTGTCGCTGTCGAATGAACCACCCCGCGCTTGTGCGGAGTGTCAGAACAGGGCCGAGGGGTGCCGGGCTTGCGTTTGATGCTGCGGGTTGCACGCGCAGGCGACGGAGGGAGGAAGGAAGGGTAGGGGCAGACGAGGAGGTAGGGGTTACTCACCTCGAATCCTAACGGTATTGCCTGCCGTTCACCTCCGCATTTGCCTCTCCACGTCACTACCGGGGACTCCCTCGACGCGCCGCGCACTTGATCGCGCCGCGCGTTGGCCTGGACGAGTGCGTTGCTCGTCGTCGTAGGCCATCGGACTTGGTGTGGCTGGTGCGCCTTGCTGGCCGGCTGTCCCGCTCGTTCTTGGCGGAATATGTCTGGTCCGTGCGCGCGGCCGTAGGGCGTGCATGAGAGACGAGGTCGGAGGCGGTGGAGGGTCGGGGAGGCTGGTGGAGGACCAGGGCAGTGGCAGGTGAGGGAGAGTGGCGAGGCGCGAAGCGTCGAGCGCCCGCGTCGGGAGTTGCCGACTCGGGCGTTCAACGGTGCGAGCGCGTCGTCCTTCCTTCGTTTCTCGCCATTTCTTCCCTCGCCATTTCGAACGCTTCGCTTTAATCACTGCCGCCACTCTTGTCGACGTCGTCTCGGTCCAGCACAGGCAATTTCTGTGCAAGGTAAGTAACATCCACAGCTTCTTGCATCGAGTTTTCTAATGCACAATTTCTTCGCAGATGGCTCGCACCCCCAACCGACGCATACAGGATTCGGATGACGACATGGACCCGGCGAGCCTACGCGCCCCCGGCTGGACGACGCTGCGTGAACGTGCGGCGCATGAGGACGAGGATGCGGTCGATATCCAACCTGCCGCTCGCCCGAAACCACGCCGCCTGTTGAAGGGTGCCGAGCGCGTAGACAAGGTATTTAACGCGATCTCAGGCAATACTAACGAGCTGACTACTTACAGCCCACTGCCGCCGACATGTCGGCAGTTCAGAGAGCCATGCGGGCTACTGCAAGGTCCGCGAGGGGTGCGATAAGGGGCGATAGTGAGCTCGACGACGAGCCTGGAGCAGTACCAAAGGTAAGAGATCGAGAGCTGCGATGGACGCGTCTCGTGCTAATAAAAGCACGTTTGTAGGTGACAAGTACCACGGCGCCTGCTACGAGAGTCCCGACGCCGGCTACGAATACCACGGCGCCGGCTACGAGGACCGGCGCGGCGGCTGCGAAGACCACCGCACCTGCTAGGAAGACCACCGCGGCGGCTGCGAAGACCGCCAAACCAGCCAAGAGGACCACCGCAGCGCCTGCGAAGAGCGCTACCAAGAGGACCACCGCTCCGCCTGCGAAGACGAGCGCGGCGCCTGCGAAGACGAGCGCGGCGCCTGCGAAGACGAGCGTGTCGGCGGCGAGGACCAGCACGTCGGCCGCGTGGGCTGCGCCAGTCGGCGCAATGAAGCGCCCCCGTCTGTACACGTTGCAGCATCCTGTAAGTAAATGATTAGTACGTAGATCTACCGAGTGTTCTAACCTAAGTCTTACAGGACAGTGAATCGGACGAAGGCGATGATGCCCCGTACAAGGAGCTCAACGAGCCCATTTCAATCGATCCACAGGGACTGCTGATGACTCCGATGCGTACGCGCCATGTAGGTGATGTCGTACCGATTTCATTTCTGTGTTTGCTGATGCTGCCTATACAGAATGCGCGTGCAGATGGCCGCGCCGAGAGGCACCTCGAAGCGCACAACACCTTCCAAGTGGACCGCAGCGCAGAACGCAAGGCTGAGGAGGAGGAAGAGCGTCGAAGGGTTGCTGCTGCGAAGGGTGAACTGACGAAGGCGAAGGCCAACGAGATGAACGACACCATCCCGAAGGTGTTCCGCTGGACGGGCAAGGTTCACTGGTGCTATTTCAAGGCATGCGGAGTTGGTATGTATTTCTATTTGGTATGTTCCGACACAGAAACTGATGTCTTTGTATGCAGGTAACAAGTTGATCAGGGATGGTGACCTCGTCCTTGCACGTATCATGGCAGGTGTCTTTGTCCCGGTGAGTAATACCTGTGATCTCTTCTGTTGTGTTCCTAAGCCATACATGCAGGGCAAGGGGACTGGTTCACATCGTGTCTTCACTCACTGGGAGTGTGTCACGGAGGGTGCGCGGTTGCGCTTCCAGATGGAAGCAACACACCGCGGTCGTGACGTGAAAAAGGTGAATCCTGCTAAGCTCGAGATCACACCTCATCTTTCCCGTTCCGACATCGACATGATCAAGAAGGACGTTGCAAAGGCAAACGGTCGTGAGGGTGAGGTAGTTGGAGTGTCGGAGGAGCAGGCGAGGCACAACCGGAAGCTAAGGCGTATCAGGCATGACGCTTACCGTGCAGAGGCTAAAGGTGGGAAGAGTATCGAGAAGAGTGAGCGGATGTTTGAGCGCCTCGCAAAGGAGGCTGCAGCTATGCTTCCACACAATGCTGCAGCTTCTTCGAGCACTGCACCACCACCTCATAAGCGTCGTCGCATTGATGGTGGTGACTCAGACTCGAGTCTGTCTTCTGTGCCAGAGTGATTGTATATGCCTTGTTTTCTCCTTCTCTCCCTAAACCCAAAAAAACACTTACATTCTTATAATTCTACCTTCTACTTGTATATACTTGGAGTTGTTACTGCCCATCGTAATTAGCGTCCCACAGTGCTCATGTGCTTCCACTCATTCTCTATCTGTCTTGGCTCCATACTAGCATTATAATGAAATACTCGCTTATAATAACTGGCCTTGCTGATGTGGTACATCATATCATCCGGTGAATGTTCTGTTGGGCTGGCATGGCAAGTTTGGACTCTGTTTAGTACTATTGGTTGTCTCCCTGTGCCCTGCTGGATATTGTGTCGGCGAGAATGACTGAGACTGAGTGCAGCTCGACGGAGCTGCCATGTGGCATGTGGGTGAGTTTTCATATTGTCTCTAGTACTGATGGATCACTCTGGAATGTTTAGATGGCTGGGTTTGCCACTGGGTGTTGCTCTGGCAATTGTTTGGGATTTGTTCAGCCAAACTGCTCATCTGGAGACGTGGCTTTACTGAGTACATGTAAGCTTCCCGTTTAACTTGTGGACTGATTCTCAATGCAGACCGCATATTTTGGCATACTCGTATTCACATTTATACCGTTGGTTGTCTCCCTGTGCCCTGCTGGATATTGTGTCAGCGAGAATGACTGAGACTGAGTGCAGCTCGACGGAGCTGCCATGTGGCATGTGGGTGAGTTTTCATATTGTCTCTAGTACTGATGGATCACTCTGGAATGTTTAGATGGCTGGGTTTGCCACTGGGTGTTGCTCTGGCAATTGTTTGGGATTTGTTCAGCCGAAACTGCTCATCTGGAGACGTGGCTTTACTGAGTACATGTAAGCTTCCCGTTCAACTTGTGGACTGATTCTCAATGCAGACCGCATATTTTGGCATACTCGTATTCACATTTATACCGTTGGTTGTCTCCCTGTGCCCTGCTGGATATTGTGTCAGCGAGAATGACTGAGACTGAGTGCAGCTCGACGGAGCTGCCATGTGGCATGTGGGTGAGTTTTCATATTGTCTTAGTACTGATGGATCACTCTGGAATGTTTAGATGGCTGGGTTTGCCACTGGGTGTTGCTCTGGCAATTGTTTGGGATTTGTTCAGCCGAAACTGCTCATCTGGAGACGTGGCTTTACTGAGTACATGTAAGCTTCCCGTTTAACTTGTGGACTGATTCTCAATGCAGACCGCATATTTTGGCATACTCGTATTCACATTTATACCGTTGGTTGTCTCCCTGTGCCCTGCTGGATATTGTGTCAGCGAGAATGACTGAGACTGAGTGCAGCTCGACGGAGCTGCCATGTGGCATGTGGGTGAGTTTTCATATTGTCTCTAGTACTGATGGATCACTCTGGAATGTTTAGATGGCTGGGTTTGCCACTGGGTGTTGCTCTGGCAATTGTTTGGGATTTGTTCAGCCGAAACTGCTCATCTGGAGACGTGGCTTTACTGAGTACATGTAAGCTTCCCGTTCAACTTGTGGACTGTTTCTTAATGCAGACCGCATATTGTGGCATATTTAGGATTCACATTACCACCATTGGTTGTGTCTCTGTGGCCTGCTGGATATTGTGATCGGTCAAAACTGCTCGTATTGTGGTTTGGCTTTACTGGATGCATGTAGGCCTCCCGTTCAACTTGTGGACGGCTTCTCAATGGAGACCGCATATTTTGGCATACTCGTATTCACATTTATACCGTTGGTTATCTCCCTGTGCCCTGCTGGTTATTCTGTCAGCGAGAATGACTCAGATTGTGTGTGGCTCTACTGAGGGGTCATATCATGTGCATGTGAGTTGTGGTGTGGGCCCTAGTAGTGATGGAGCATTCTGGCACCTTCATATTACTTGGATTATTGCTCAGTGTAGCTCTGTGATTTGTTTGATAGTTGTTCAGCCAAAACTGCTCATATTGAAATGTGGCTTTGCTGAGCGCATGTAGGCATTCTGTTTGACTTGGGGAGCACTCTTCGATAGCGCCAGAATATTGTGCCATATTTGGACTCACTGTAACACTGTTGGTTGTCTCTCTGTGCCTTGCTGGTTATTCTGTCAGCAAGAATGACTCAGATGGAGTGTGGCTCTACTGAGCCATCATATGGTGTGCGGGTGGGTTGTAGTATCATCCCTAGTACTGATAGACCATCCTGACATGCTCATACCACTGCAATTGTTGCGGAGTGTGGCTCTGGGATTTGTTTTGTATTTATCCGGCCCAAACCACTCGTATTGAGATGTGGCTTCCCTGAGTGGACATAGGCAATGTGCTTAGCTTGAGAAGCCTTTCTTTATGTCAATGGAGTATTGTGCTATATTCAGATTCACTGTAACACTGTTGGTTGTCACTCTGTGCCCACCTGAGCATTCTGTCAGCGAGAATGACTCAGATTCAGTGTGGCTCTACTGAGCTGTTATATGGCATGTAGGTGAGTTGTGATGTGGTTCCTAGTATCAATGGACCATTATAGCATATTCAGACCACTAGGAGTGTCACTGCGGGTAGCCCTGTGATTTGTTTGATAATTGTCCAGTTGGCACTGCTTGTATTCAGATGTGGCTTTGCTGAGTGCATGTGTGCCTTGTGTTTGACTTGGGCAGCACTCCCTGATATAGGCAGAATATTGTGCCATGTTCACAAGCACTGTAACATGAGTCATTGTGGCTCTGTGCTGTGCTGGCTATTCTGTCAGCAAAAATGACTCAGATTGAATGTAGCTCTACTGAGCAGTCATATGGCTTGCAGGTGAGTTGTGATATGGTCCTTAGTACTGACAGATGATTGTGCAATGTTCAGGCCTGCTGGATTGTCCATTAGAACAGCTCTGTAATTTGTTTATAATTTGTTCAGTTGAGAGCACTCATATTCAAATGTGGCTTTACTGAGTATACATGGCTGTTGCATTTGAGTTGGACAATATTACCTGATATATATTCACTATTCTGCCATGTTCATATCACCACAATTGCAAGGCATTGTCGCTCTGTGGGCTGCCATTGATTCTGTCAGCGAGAATGACTCAGATTGAGTGTGGCTCTACTGAGTGCTGATATCATGTGCGGGTGAGGTGTAGTGTTGTCCCAAGTGCTGATGGACCATTCTGGCATGTTCCTATTACTAGGATTATTGCTCAGTGTAGCTCCATGATTTGTTGGATAGTTGTCCAGCCAAAACTGCTCATATTGAAACATGTCTTTGCTGAGTGCATGTAGGTGTTCTGTTTGACTTGGGGAGCACTCCTCGATAGCGACAGAATATTGTGCCATATTTGGACTCACTGTAACACTGTTGGTTGTCTCTCTGTGCCCTGCTGGTTATTCTGTCAGCGAGAATGACTCAGATTGTGTGTGGCTCTACTGAGGGGTCATATCATGTGCATGTGAGTTGTGGTGTGGGCCCTAGTAGTGATGGAGCATTCTGGCACCTTCATATTACTTGGATTATTGCTCAGTGTAGCTCTGTGATTTGTTTGATAGTTGTTCAGCCAAAACTGCTCATATTGAAATGTGGCTTTGCTGAGCGCATGTAGGCATTCTGTTTGACTTGGGGAGCACTCTTCGATAGTGCCAGAATATTGTGCCATATTTGGACTCACTGTAACACTGTTGATTGTCTCTCTGTGCCTTGCTGGTTATTCTGTCAGCAAGAATGACTCAGATGGAGTGTGGCTCTACTGAGCCATCATATGGTGTGCGGGTGAGTTGTAGTATCATCCCTAGTACTGATGGACCATTCTGGCATGCTCAGACCAGTAGGATTGTTGCTCAGTGCAGCTCTGGGATTTGTTTCATGATTGTTCAGTCGAAACTGCTCATGTCGAGATGCAGCTTTGTTGAGTGCATGTATGCCTTCTGTTTGACATGTGGTCCATTCCTTGATATAGATGGAATGTTGTGCCATATTTGGATTCAGTATAACACCGTTGGTTGTCCCTCTGTGCCCTCCTGAGTATTCTGTCAGCGAGAATGACTCAGATTTGGTGTGGCTCTACTGAGCCATTATGTGGCATGTAGGTGAGTTGTGGTGTGGTCCCTAGTACTGATGGACCATTCTAGCATATTCAGACCACTAAGAATGTCACTGAGTGTAGCCCCGCAATCTGTTTTGTATTTGTGCAGCCGACACTGCTCATATTGAGATGTGGCTTTGTTGAGTGCACGTATGCCTTCTGTTTGACTTGTGATCCATTTCCAGATATAGATGGGATATTTTGCTGTTTTTGGATTCAGTATAACACCATTGGTTGTCCCTCTGTGCCCTGCTGGTTATTCTGTCAGCGAGAATGACTCAGATTTGGTGTGGCTCTAATGAAGCATTGTATGGTGTGCGGGTGAGTTGTGGTGTGGTCCCTAGTACTGATGGACTATCCTGGCACGTTCAGACCACACAGGCTTTCACTGGTGACAGTGCTGTGAATTATTTGGGTGTTTGTTTTATTGAGATCACTCGTAATTGAATATCGCTCAGCTGGGCAGTCATATTGCTTCCGATTGAGTTCAGGTATAGCTCTAAGTAGTCCTGGAGTATTCTGGCATGTTCACACTGTCTGGGTTGTTGTTCAATAGAGCTGTGTGATTTGTTTGGTATTCTGTCATTCTGAATGACTAAGACTCTGCATGGCTATACTGAGTGGCAGTGTGGCTTGTCAGTGAGGTGTGTGTGATTTCCTAGTACTGATTGGCTGTCGTGGCATGTTGAGAGTGCAAAATTTGCCATTGGGCACAGCACTGTGATTTGTTTTGTATTTGTTTCCCTCAAATCACTTTCATTTAAATGTGGCACTACTGAGCGGTTAGATGGCTTGTGTTGGATGTGGGAACCCTTGCCTGAGACAGACATGCTATTATGGTGAGTTCAGACCATGTAGATTGTGAGTTGGTATAGCTCTGTGAATTGTTTGTTGTTTTGTTGTCGGGAACAACTCAGACGTTCCGCAGCTGTGCTGAGCAGTCATATGGCTTGCATATGAGTTGGGGAGTAGGCCCTGGCATTGTGAGCCCATTCTTGCCTGTTGAGAAAGCCTGAGCTGTCATTGTGTGCAACTTTGTGATTTGTTTGGTGTTTGTTCAGCGGAAACAACTTGTATTTCAACGTGGATTTATGGGGGGCACGGAGGGCATGTGTCTGATGGAGAAAACATCTCCTGATATGGACTGACTATTGTGGTGCATTTAGACCACTTGAAATGTCAACAGGCACAGCTCTGGGATTGAATCGGTGGTTAGTTGGCATAATAAGACCAATAGTCGTCCGTGCTTCTGCTCAGTGCACACAGAGGCCAGATATGCTCTGGAATGTCTTTCCTAGCGTACATGGAGTGCTGCCACACATTCAGCAGACCAGGAATCGTAACATTGCATGACTTGGGGATTTGTTCGGTGAGTGATGGTTGACGGTGCAACGGGTGGAACAGTAGCACTACTGAGCGGATGTATTGCTCTCCTTCTGGTTGCCTGCTGTTGACAAGGAATGGATAACAGGTCCCATTGCATGTGGGGACATACAGGTGGTGACGTGTGTACGTTGGCAGTGGGGCACGCCCAGCATTCAAAGTTGTTTCAGCCACGAGTGAGAGTGGTCCGATATGCAGTGTGGGTCCCTGTGAGAAGTGCTGAAGAAAAGACAAAAGAGGATGTGAGTGAGAGAACGACAGTGATGAGCGAGAATGGTCAGGATGGACGTGTTATGCACGTAGAAAGACAGTTTGAGTTGGCGGTCGGGAGTGCCCGGCAGGCACTGCCCAGCAGGGGGGTCGTGGGAAAATATTTCCATATATGGTTAGATTGCCCAGCAGGGGCACCGGGCACCAGGCATAGGGGTAGGGGTAGATTTGCTGGGTGATCTCCCCGCTCTGATGATGCAAGATCAGCAGGCGTCCGCCAGTGAGCACAAATGGTGCAGCACTCACTTTGTTGTTTTCAGCATCCGCAGCCAGTTTGCCTCGCGCGCGTGTGGAGGTCGATACAGGCGGACGTGCTGGTGTTTCCGGCTCGGGCGGATCACTCGACGCTGCAGCCGCAGCCGCAGCCTCAGCCTCCCGCTGCTTCTTGGTCGGTTTCTTCGGCGCCATACTGACCTGTGAGAAATTGAGTGAGACGAACGCTGAACAGACACAAGTAGAGTACCCACCGTATGGATGAGAGTGAGAGCGTGATGGAAAGGGGATGCGTCGCTGGCAGACACAGGTGGAGGACGCCTCATGTTTGCCACATGGACGAGCTGATCACCTGATGCAGCGGTGACTAGCAGCGTAAGAGCAAGAATGTGCCCACCTAAAATACGTACTTACACAGTGTATAAAGTCAATAGTGTAGGATATAATATGCAGACGGACGTACCTAGGAACGAGGAAGGTGCATGACCCGCTGCATGCATCACAATCAGTACATTTAGGTCACCGTGCGCAATTGCGGGCGTGCACCTGTGAGAGCAGTATATGTCTTCAGCGGGACATATACTCACCATCATAGGGGACGCTCGCAAATGCGTACGGCAACAGCAATCATACGGGTCATTCACCCAAGATATAGGAGGACGCGCGCGATCGCGCACGCCCTCCTATTACCGTTGATTTTGTGCTTCAGAAGGGTGGCATTCAGTGCCATATAAACCTGCTAAATAGGAGGGCGCGCGCGATCGCGCGCGCCCTCCTATATTGTATGATTTGGACAGGTAGATGGGGTGCACGCACCTTTGGAGGGTGCGTGTTGAGTGCGCGCACCCAAATATCATCAAAAACACGCCATTATAGGAGGGCGCGCGCGATCGCGCGCGCCCTCCTAAAACAGCCCATTTGATGGGTATAAAATTGTGTTTTGAAGGGTGCGCGCACCACTCATGCCCGTGCGCGAACACGTTCGGAGGGTGGGCGTACGTGTCGGAACACCGTCAAAATAGACGGATATAGGAGGGCGCGCGCGATCGCGCGCGCCCTCCTAAATCAGTGTATTTTGGGCCACTATAATTGGCCCGTCAGACGGCCCATATAGGAGGGCGCGCGCGGACCGCGCGCGTCCTCCTATATACGTATGTTTGCGACACATATCAGGTACCTGTGGTACGTTGATATGGCCTTTTAGGAGGACGCGCGCGACCACGCCGCCCTCCTATATCAGTCTATTTACGACGCATGTGAGGGTCGCAACACTGGTTCAGGAGGACGCGCGTGTCCTCCTACATCGTGGGTATACACTCACCTGAGATGGACCACCGGTGAAATACGCGGCTGTAGGGTGGACGTGCTCCGCCGTGCGCGTCCACCCTGAAGCAGATTAATTACATACACATTGCGGTCTTGCCCATGTTTATATACACTTGTAAACTACGAGTACATTTCGACCAGCCTGCAATACCTATCTGACGTCCGCACATCATTCGCCACGGCGGCGCTTCATACCTACGACATATTAGCACAGTCGCGTCGCCAGTACATAGCCACGCACCTGCCCTTGGGCCTCCTGCAACAGCCGGAGTGTGGGTGCGCGCACGGGCGGAGGGTGCGCGCACGGTCGAGCCAGTGCGTTTAACGGGTGACTGCGAGCGATAAGTGCACCGTACGAATACAAAAAAGGACGCGTACTCACTCCGAAGGGGCACCTCTTCTTGCGCGACCGACAAGTCACGCAGCGCGGGTCGTTGGCAGTCGCCGGGACACGGCATTCCTCCATGCCCTGCTCAACGCAGAGCTGGCAGCGGTCGCTGCCGTAGTGCTGTAGTGCACGCATCGCGTCAGCTTCCGCGGAAACGTAGGACGGCACTTACCACCGTATCCTGCGACTTGGGCGGGATGTTAGGGGGTCGCGCCCATGAGCGCAGACGGACCGGGTGCGCCATCGCAGCGGGCGCACGGCCCTTCGCCTTCCAGGCGAGGTAGATCTCCGCCTGGCGCTGCGCCTTCCTGCAGTCGTCGCCGGTCACACGCCCCACGTCGATCTCGTATCCTTCGCTGTGCGGATCGTCCTCGTCCTCGCGGTCTTGGACCGGGGTTGCAGCTGCAGTGGGTGCGCTGTTCGTCAGACGACTCGGTGTAAGTGCGCAAACACTTACGGTTGAGTCGGTCGTTGCCTGAGATGGGGTGCGCGCAGTCAGACACAGGTGCGCGCACGTAGACACAGAAAACTTACTGAGCCAGATTTCCGCAAACGGCCTCATGGCGGCCTCCTGGTCCGCCGGCGACCACTTCTTGCCCCACCACTTGGGCTTCACGTTGCGCCAGCCGGTTGCGAACGTCTTGAAGTCAAGACCCTCCTTCCACGCGCCCTCCGCCGGCGCGTCCCACCACTGCCAATCGAAGCAAATGTCGGTGAGGCGGGGGAACTTCTTCGCCTTCGGTACGCAGTTCATCTCCTCGCGCCACGCCTCGGTCTGGGGGACCGCACGTCAATCCCCCAGCTCGCATCCCACAGAACAGGGTACTCACCAGCAGGTATGTCGCGACGATCATTTCAAAAACCTTGAAGGACGCCGGGCTGTTGTACAGCGCCCGGAGCATCCTGTTGAGGAGCATGAGGTCCTCCTCCGTCCAGTCGTCCCATCGCGGCGGGTGGTCCGTGAAGACAAAGACGTCGCGCTCGCTGAGACGGTGTCCGGCCTCGAGGGCGACCTTGCGCAGGTAGTTGCGCACCTTTTCCATGCCCCAGGTGCCGACCATTGTTGCAGGGTGTCGAGGAAGAGCGGGGTGAGTGGTAGAAGCAGGGGGGAGAGGGAGTGCGAGTGGGAGAGGGAGATGCGCGCGAGCAAGACCGAGCAGCCACAACGGCGTCTAAGTCTCAGCCACAAGCCACGGCGCTAAGTCGACCGACGCGACGCGCCGGCCACCGGTCATCTGACCGTATGTGCCGTTAACGCTCAAGTGTTCGGCCTGCACTGTAGGTAAGGGGTGATTAAGTGTGCGCAGTTTTATTACCGTGCGCACGGTGATTCTTACCGTGCGCGCGGCGATTCTTACCGTGCGCATAGCATGCGGTACTCACCGTGTTTGGTGCGCGCACCTTTGTGACTTACCTCTGGCTGAATGAATATGTGTCCGACCGTGAGTAGCATTGTTCCACGCGTGTTGTAAGAGACCATACAAACATGACTACACAACTGAGATCTGGTAGGTAGAACATGTCACTGAGTGTTCAACGTTCAGAGTGCGGGATGCTTACCACTGCTGATAGAATTCGACCTGCGCATTGAACCACGCGAGGCGTGTCGAGATAATGTCGACGCTTTTCGAGACGTCCTCAGGTGACGGCCCACCTCCGCGGTATGTACGGTCATTGACCCCGTGCAATGTGGCACGCTCCGACTGTAGACGGAGATATACGTGCTGGCAGTGAAGGGCCTGGCGCGCACGCCATACCCGTTGAGCAATGTTGTCGCGCACAAGCTCAGGTGGTTCGGGCATTGCGACGGGCTTCTGCGATCCGGACTGCTTGTCCCAAAAATCAATCTCCTTGGGGTGCGCAAACAGCGATGTGAGTTGCCCAATGGGGAGCGTGTATGGTGCGTCCGGAATCGCTCTATCCCTTGGGAGATCGATTTCGAGCCAGATGGGTGGTCGGCGCTCACAGCGGATATCGAGTTTCTCTGCAACTTTTCAGACAGGTGCCATAATACTAGAGAGAGAGGGGTGCGCGCACCGTGAATCATGAGTAGTAGTGCGCGAAGATGACCGAGCCAGCGGTCGACCCAAACATGGATGTCTTCATCGAATTCAATCTCACGATCTATGCGCAATTGCCGCTCTTGGAGAAGAAGGGCAATGTGCGCACAGATGCGCTCAAAGAATTCGTACTCGTTCGTGTAATTGATGTGGTCATAGGGGACAAACCACTGAGGGCTCGGATTCACAAACCGTCCGGAATAGCCAACAAGTGTGTTGCGCTCTTGCGCGGCGGTATCGAGGTCAATGGCGTGTTTGGCATGATGGTTGTACAGGATCCGCTTGATGGGTGGATCCTGCCAGAGTATGCCTGCATCGACTGTAGCAATGGAGGGTGAGTAGCTACCGATGTAATAAAGGTGTGGTACATGCCATAATTCTTGTCCAGTATTTCTGTGTGATGAGTCAGTATGCTGAATAGACTAATTGTGATGCAGAGAACATACTGTGCCAGTAATCAACAGTCTCCCTCACCAAGCACATGAGACTGATAGTGGACCGCGCGATGTGCGTCCATTCATCACGATCATGAGTGTGGATGCGCAATGATTCGGGCAATCTGGGGGTGCTCCAGTGCCTGTACAAGGGGGTGATGAAGTTGGCCAATGCGATCATGACCGCTTCGAGTCGATCGATCTCTGAGCGTACATAGAGCATGTTGAGGGGTTGCGGGTCGGTGATTGTACGGACGCATATGATGCGGAGCCACTCCTTCATGTGCTCGTGCCATTTTTGGTAGATCTCGTAGATGGTGAGCGGGCCGTATGCGGGACCGACGGGAACGAGCGATTGCACGAATTGCTCCGTGTGTTTGTGGATCAGCCGGACGAGCACAGCAGCTTCGAGGACGACACGAATCCGGTCAGACCATGCTGGACGGTCCATGGTGACTGGCCAGCGCTGAGTGCTGTGGTAGGGGACATGGTGAGAGCAAGAACGTACCTGGCGCACACAGATGGTCTGTGGATCAAAGGGAAGGGACTGATCACCCATCATGCAAACAGATGAGTCACATGTGTGGAATATTATGGCACGTGACAAGGAGGGCGCGCGCGGTCGCGCACGTCCTCCTTTGACATGCATCAGGGGTGCGCGCACCATGCTATGCATGCCCAAATACACCTCGGTAGGAGGGCGCGCGCGATCGCGCGCGCCCTCCTATTTAGCAGATATATGTGCACACACACCGTATACGTTGGCAGAATAGACGCCGGTACACATGCCATGTAGGAGGGCGCGCGCGATCGCGCGCGCCCTCCTATACCATGGATCATGGGTGCACGCACCATCCCATACATGTCCAGAATATCTGTGTTTAGGAGGACGCGCGCGGTCGCGCGCGCCCTCCTATAAGACACATTTTGATTGGACATGTGCTGTGTATGCACACTGAAATAGACGCTGTATAGGTACGATTAGGAGGGCGCGCGCGATCGCGCGCGCCCTCCTAATTGGTATGTATGCCATCTCCATAATATCCGTGTTTAGGAGGTCGCGCATGGTCGCGTGCGTCCTCCTTAATGTACCTTGTCATGACCCATCCAGCATACATTTTAGGAGGGCGCGCGCGATCGCGCGCGCCCTCCTATGAGGCATCTTTTGGTGCATATGTACTACTCACACAGTGGAGAAATGTCACCACTTGCCTTATATGGTTATGCCCATATATAGTAATTCCTATATCGGGCAACACAACCCCACCACAACCCCCCCCATGTTTACTGTAGGTCACTATAATCAAAACTGTCGCAACCAAAGGTCAGTGGACTTGGAAGTGCAACACGATTTATTTTGTTTTACTGACCATTCAATGTGCAGAATGTGTGTGCCAACCGTGCTGCTAACCTCAACCCGTCGGGAAACTCGCAGGAGGATCAGGTCAACGTAGCGTCGGAGCGACCGTTCTTGCCAGAGACGCACGACTTGCAACAACCGTTGCAGCGGCACGAGGTATGCAGTCGAGGCTTTGCAAGTGAAATCAACCTTAATGGGGTGTGCAATAGGAGGACATTGTCGCCGAGCATGGGTCGTATAACTTCCCTGAGAACGCTGACCGCAGTGCAGTTCCGAGTGATATAGCACCAGAGCCCCCCTATCTCGATCAAGCAGGGTACGGGGGCCATGCATACAGTGCACCGTCTGCGGCCGCACTGTCTTTTGAGCAGGCTTTTGCCGCCGTGGCTTCACCTTCTTATGAGCTGGATGCCAACATCGTGATACCTTCATCGCAGCCGTACTATGGCACAGGTGCACCGGCTTCCTCTCAGTCCTATGGCATGCTGGCATCCTCGCAGTCCTATGGCATGCCGGATTCATCACAGAGCTATGGCGTGCCAGCCTCGAGCTCATTGCAGCCCTATGACACGCCGGGCTTACCGTCCGAATCAATGCAGTCCCATGGGCAGCCAGTGTGCATGTCCCGACTTTGTGGCCCACTTATTCCGACTCTACGGCCATTGCACCGCCCTTGTTGGGGCCTCAGGCTTATGATGTGGCCGCAATGCCCTTATCGCAGCCCTATGGTGCCGGTGTTGGTGCACTGGCATCTTCATCGCAGACTCATGCCGCATCTGCGCCGTCTTCGTCTCTCCAGGTCGCGGCAACACCTTCCTTCCACGACGCTGAGTATCATAATCCATCGCAGATAGCCTACCCAAATGCCCCGCAGTGGGCATTTGGGGTAGGTTATCAGCCTGCACCACCACTGCAGCCTGTTCAATCTGAGTCAGCTGTTGGCCAAGACCGACGGCCCCTCCGAGCTACTGGTCTGGGAGTCGGGCACCCTTACAATCTGGGCCTCGTCCGCCGTGGGTCGCAGTCATCAGAAACACGCAATATGGAGTCTCTCCCATTGGACAGAACTCGCGTTGTCAATGTGACATCCCTCAACACCAACCTGCTGGACTTGCACTGCAAGTGATGTCAGTCGACTAAAGTACCATCGTCTGCTGCAGCTAGTAAGTGATCTTTTTTTCTTTTATTCACAAACATGCATTGTGTCACGGTGTTCATCCTATGTCGTGTAGGCGAATCAAGTGAGCAACAGCCTGAGTGGCAGCTGATGTTGACCAGCCTGTACCACCACTGGTCGAATAACACGGTGCCCAAGCCTAACGCTATCCAGCATCCTCCGCCACTTCTCCTAGAGAAGCTAGAGCCTGATGAGATCAGTGTTTGCCGCCAACTGTATGCAGAGGCTGCAAGGCCTCTTATTGAGGAGTGGATCGTGCTCATGGACACATTCCCAACCGCTGGGGACCTGCAAAGCAAGATCACCAGCATCATCAGGCTCATCCATGACCGCCAGCTCGACGTAGCCAAGTACGGCAACAACAAGAGGCGCTATCAGGTGCTAGCTGACAAGAAATTGGAAGCGAAGGTGAGCTTCAAAACAATTCAAAGAATATTCTCACATCAATTCGTTATAGATCAAGGAATATCCTGGAGCTCTCCAGGCTTGTTCAAGCAGGCCGCGGTGGCCTTTGTCCCGATACTTGTCACTGGGCTAGCACCTCATGGTATGTACTCGCTCGCTACTGATGATGATGACGACTTCAATATGGATGTTGAGCAACTTGGCGAGGAGAGGAGACAGTTAGTTGAGAGGTACCTTAGTGGTACTGTACCTGCATTGGAGTTGTTACACGTCAAGGATTCTACGGTGCGTACATATACTTCACCTGAATTCTTAGTATATTCTGAAATTTTATAAGGGCACTGTCATTGGGCCCTTCGAAAAGGACCTACTCTTGCCGTGAATCCTCGACTTTGTTCTCTTCCAGCGTCCAGGTGGACTTGGACGAACCCACCACTACCTCTTCCACAATGGTATTCCCAACTCCTTGATGGCTCTGGCAGCCATTGCAGCCATTGCAAGCCTCAGGAGTTTGGTGTGGCATCCGCAACAGCTCTGACTTTTCTGGTGCTCTCTACGCCATGCGGTGCAAGGCCATGCTTCAGTATGTCCAGCACTTCAAGAATTCAGATTCACTTGGTCCACACTTCCAGCGCGTGAGTCGCAACATCGTCAAGGTCGGAAGGTACATTTTTTTATTTGCTCGACCAAACAACTAGTTAACTGCTACATTCATAGGGGATGGGGACAAATGCTGGCATAGGCAGCAAAGAACAATGAGTATTGATTGGAAATTGATTGTACAATGTATCTTGCAGCTTTATGACTCAATAAAACCAGGCTCCTAATACCAGCCGTCCATAGTGTTCTCGCTCGTACATGTCGAGGGGGGACTTCAGCCTATATACGAAAAAATATAAAATGAGCGCTTAAATCATATTAGACGCTCTAAAGTTTTGACTTACTATACTGGGGAATTTCTTTAGCCGAATTGACGAGGAGAACACTATAGGACGGCTGGCCAAACTTGTCCCCGAGGCATGGCCGAAGGGGCGCTTATTGACTAGTCAAAGCGACGTACCCCTACGCTAGGTCTTATTTACTGGAGTATCCGACTGGCGTGCGGTCGCGTATGTAATCAAGCTTGGGCGGCTGCCAAGGGCCCGCGTGATTGCAAATTGGCGAAAAGAAATCAAAAATTGATGGGGACTCGAACCTGTGCGCCGTAAAAGACAGCCGTGCGCTATAACCACTCGACCATAGCAGCTACATAGGTTCCTCAACGGCACGCGATAAGAGTACTCTACAGCGTGTGGGCGCTATTCTCGTACGCCCTGCTGTCACCTGTCAGCGCCGTCTGCGGGAAGTGCGCGGCCTGGCACATCAGCGAAGCACACAATGAATTTTCTCGTGTCCGTGTAGGAGTTGCCTCTGACAGTTAGTCAATGACTGCTGAGTTCTTATCTGTTGAGTTCGCCCCGCGATCTCGATCTCCGCCACCGGGCACGTGACATACCGCCGGGGGTGGTTCGTCCGTCTCGTCCTCTCCCCTTCTCTTTCCTCAGTCGAGTTGTTCGAGACTGAGGTAAGAATCCACATCACTATACTGTAGCACTGATACTGACTACCTACGAAGCGTCTGACCGTATCGTCTAGGTAGATCAATCTAAGTCGAGTTGTTCGAGACTGAGCGTCTGACCGTATCGTCTAGTCTCTACAGGTTATGAGCCCCGGGCGGTAATTTTGATCCCGCCCGCTTACCTGAGACTTCGTTTCGGCTTTTCAGACCCGGAACAACCTCGAGGCACCCATCAACGTGTGCTAACCCCGCCTTTACCCCGCATATAGTCACTCTACAGGCCAATGACGATCACCCCGACTTCGAGTCCCAGGGTATCGGTACCCAAAACGCCAAGGAAGCAATCGGAACTATCTCCGGCGATAAAGATGGATCTCAAGGCGACCTCCAGAGAGAAGATCTCGCTCCTCCACGTCCCGTCGTCCCTGCTCAGCGGCGGAGTCATCCTCGACCGCAAGAAGGACAACTGGTACGATTGGAAGACGTACATCGCGAACTCTCTCAAGATTTGCTTCGCCTGGGGGTACCTATCCGGTGAGGAGATCGCTCCCTCTGTCGACGACGACCCCAGCTCCGTCGTGAACTTCCGACGCAACGAGCAGGTGATCATCGCCTTGCTCAGCTCGAAGGCGGTGAAAGAGGAGCAACGCTTCATCGCTGGGTTCACGGACGCACGCGCTCTCTGGGTCGCTCTCTGCGCTCGACACGAGAAGCAGCCTGGCGCATACGCTCAGGTCCGCCTTCTTCAGGATTTCCTTGCCTGTCGTTACACTGCCGAAGAACACTTCTCGGAGACGACTACACACCTCCAAGAACTGGCCGAACGTATCTTCCACATCGGCATCCCGAACCTCGAGGTCTTCATGACCATCGGCATGCTCAATTCCATGAACGGCTACCTCACCCATCTGCAGTCGCAGGTTGGTTCGTCGCTCACGGCTTCGGCCACTTCGGGCATCCCTTACACGTCCATCGACATCGCTGCTCGCCTCGATCTTGAGCAACGACTCCTCTCCGACAGCAAGGTGTCCTCGTCTGCCATCGCTCTCGCAGCCTATTCGAAGCCCGGGAAGCCGACGTCGTCGCAGAAGACGTGCACTAACACCAAGTGCCCACGTCCGAACGGCCACACAGCTCCGGAATGCTGGGCCCCCGGGGGCGGCATGGAAGGTCGTCGCGAGGAGGTGCTCGCGAACAAGAAGACCGGGAAGTGTTCCGCTAAGCCGGCGGCCTCTTCCTCTGGTACTGACCGCGACAAGCAGGGCCGTGCATACATCGTTGACGGCAAGACCGGCCATGCGTACTTACTGAGCACGGTTCCACCGTCGACCGCCGAGTCCGCTTCTTCGGGCGACGCCACTTCCGAAACCGACTTCGCCGGTCTTGCCACTGACACGTCCCCTGAGTGGCTCGCCACGGTGGCGGTCCCGGCAGATCTCTTCGAATATGAGACCTTGGTGTCCGTCGAGGATGAAGAGTCAGTCTCTCTCAACTGGACGGCCCACAGCCGTGCTCCTGACGACCCTGCTGCTTTCTCGGTGGCGCCGCTGCCTGCTTCGGCTCGTCGCATCTCTACTGAGGGGACTGAACCCTTTGTGTTCGATTCCAGCGCGTCCACGCACCTCTCCCCTCGTAAAGCCGATTTCCATGACCTCCGACCCATCTCTCCTCGTGGCATTAGGGGGGTGAGTGGCTCCGTCATCTACGCCTGCGGTGTGGGCAAGGTACGCCTTCACATTGGTCGCGGCGCCTCTATCATCCTCGAGAACGTCCTCTACGTGCCTCAGGCCACTGTCCGCCTTGTCAGTATCTCGGCCCTCTGTGCCTCGGCGTCTCGCTACTCCGTGCTCTTCACGGACACTGGAGTCCGCATTCTCAAGCCGGGCGGGGCTGTTCTGGCCTCCGGCACGTTGACTTCCAAGCGTCTCTATTCCCTCGATGGGACGCCTCCCTCCACCGAGCACGCCCTGTACTCTGGCCGTGTGCCGACACTCGATGTTTGGCACCGTCGTCTCGGGCACGTCAACCACCGCACGATCCACGACATGGCTCGCTTCGGGTCTGTTTCAGGTATGCCTATCATTCTCTCCCCACCGTCAAAGTGTGAACATTGCATTCTCGGCAAGCAGACGAGAAGCGCAGTTCCTAAAGTACGGGTGGGGAGAAGGCGAAGCGGATTCTGGGCACCGTTTTTGTGGACGTGCAGGGGCAGCAGGACGTGCGCTCGGCTCTGGGCAATTTGTATTCTATGAACATTCTTGATGATTACACGTCGCATACGTGGGCTATTCCGGTGCCCTCGAAGGTCATCCTTGAACGTTTCAAAGCGTGGGTCCTCGCTCGTGAGGTCGAGACCGGGGAACACCTAGGCATCGTGCAGGTGGACAACGGCGAGCTGCTCTCCAACGACTTCAAAGCGTGGATCGAGGGCCGTGGCTCTCAATGGCGTACGACCGCGCCGCATACATCCGCGCAGAATGGTCGCATCGAACGTTTCCATCGTACGCTCATGGACCGCGCTCGCGCCATGCGGCTTGCCGCCAATGCTCCGCCAAATCGCTGGGACGAATTTCTCGTCACTGCGAACTATCTGTCCGTCCGCACGCCATCTCGCTCCCTCCCGCCTGGCGTCACGCCGTACGAAATGTGGCACGGCAAGAAGCCGGATCTCTCACACTTACGGGAAATAGGTTGTAGGGCGTTTGTGCTCATTCAAAACCGCCACAATCCCAAGATATATGAGAGGTCCGTGGAGTGCGTGCTAATTGGGTACGGTCAGCACTCGAAGACATATCGGCTGTACCACAGAGGGACCCATAAGGTGGTCGAGTCGTTTCACGTCTCGTTCATCGAGTCGCATGAGGCTCCCTCGGTTCCTCCGGTCTCCGGTGTTCTGCCATTGTCCTCGGCTGCCCCGCCCGCACCAGCTTCGCCTGCGTCTGCGTCTGCGTCGGCGTCCGACACCGTGATTGACGATGATCCAGTGGCTGCTGATCCGCCTCCGTCCTTCATCGCTCCTGTGCCGGCTGACGCGCCTCCGATGCGTTCAGCTCCGGCCGTCCCTCCTGCGCCCGCGCAGCCCGCTCCTGTCCTTGCTCCCGCCCTCGCGCCTGCCCCGCCGCCGGTACGTCGCTCCTCGCGCTTACCAATGCCTTCGCAGAAGCAGGCGGCCGCCGTCGGCGTGCCGTTTGTCTCTCGCCTGGATCGCACTCTGGAGCAGATGCGCGTGGCCTCTCCGCGTCCCTCTTCCCCTTCCGGTATCCCTGTGCCTATTCCCCCTAGCGCCCCGGCCGCTGCCCCTGCTCCGCCTCCTGTGGTCACTTCCGACCTCGACGTAGGCGAGCCGTCTGCTGACGCCGCACCGGACCTTGCGTCTGCGCTTGCGGCGTTGGCTAATGACGATGTCTTGCCTCTCAATGTCGAGTACCCGGGCGATCCCGCCTCTCTTGCGGAAGCCGAGGCGTCTCCGTTCCGGGATGAATGGCGCGCCGCCCTTCGGGACGAGCTTCAGTCCATCAAGGATCTGGGTGTGTACCGCCTCATCCCTCGCTCGCAGGTTCCGGCGGGGCGTCGCGTCATGAAGGGCAAGCCCGTTTATAGGTTGAAGCGGAATGAAAATGGCGACCCGGTGCGTTTCAAGGCCCGTTGGGTCGCTAAGGGTTTTCAGCAGGTATACGGGCAAGATTATAATCGGACCTCCTCACCCACAATGCGCATGGAGTCCTTTCGTGCACTCCTTCATCTAGCCGCATCTCTGGACTGGGAAGTCGAGCAGTTGGACGTGAAAACTGCCTTCCTTTACGGCGTCCTACCTGAGGAGGAGTACTGCTACATGGAGCAGCCTCCGGGTTTTGAGGAGCCTGGCAAGGAGAGCTGGGTTTGGGAGCTGGTACGTGGCATTTACGGCACCAAGCAGGGCAGTCGTACATGGAACGACACCATGAACGCGCACCTGCTGAGCATCGGCTTCACCCGCCTGCCCTGCGAGTACTGCGTTTACTATCGCAAGACAGAGCGGGGGACTGTCCTCACGGGCGTGCACGTCGACGACTTCCTCCTAACGGCTAGCTCGGCTGCCGCTAAGGAGGAGTTCAAAGACGATTTGCGTCGCGTCTGGAAGATCGCTGACCTTGGTGAGGCTCGGTTCTGTGTTGGCATTCAGATCGATCGCGACCGCACTCGTCGGACGGTTGCCGTCTCGCAGACTGCCCTCATTGACAAAATTGTCAAGCAGTTCCGCCTGGACGGCCCTGACTGCGCTCCGGTCTCTACGCCCATGGAAGCCGGCCTGCGTCTCTCTCGCTCTCAGCACGCTCCCAAGACTCCTGCTGCCAAGGAGCGTGCAGCGCGTCTCCCCTACTGCTCTCTCATAGGCTGTCTTATGTACCTCGCTATCGGCACTCGCCCGGACATCGCGCTTGCGATTCAGCACCTCAGCCAGTTTCTCGACTGCTATGCCGAAGTCCACTGGGAGGCCGCCAAACGCGTCGTGCGGTACCTCAAGGGCACGCGCCTCTTCCGGCTCCACCTCGGCGGCGCTGATGCGGCTAATCTGAACGGCTACGCCGACGCCAGCCACGCCAGCTGCATCGACACTCGTCGTTCTACAGGCGGCTATTGCTGGAATCTCGGCTCGGGCGTCATATCTTGGTCCGCGCGGAAGCAGCCTACGGTCTCGACTTCCACGACTGAAGCGGAATACGTTGCGGCCGCTGAGTCCTCGAAAGAAGGCGTCTGGCTGCGTTTCTTGCTTGACGGCCTTGGTTTTCCACAGCACTCGGCGTCCCTCATGCGCGTCGACAGCACCAGCGCCATCACCCTCTCTTCCGACTCCACCTTCCACTCTCGTGTGAAGCACATCGATATCAAGTGGCACTACTTGCGCGAAGTCGTCCTCGCCAAGCGGATCGCTATCCAATACGTCCCGTCTCACCTCAATGTCGCCGACGCTTTCACGAAGGCGCTCGAGCGCAAGCCGTTCCAGCTCTTGCGAGGGCTCATGGGCCTCAGGCCTCCATGCGAGGAGGAGTCTTCTAGGTGAGGAGGAGTTCCTCAACAGGAGGAGTCCATCTTCTCGTCTGCACTGTCGCGTCACCCGTTCTCTTTTCCGATCCTTTCATCATTACGATACCTAATGTCTCTGGACTCTTCATGGACTACTTCTGATTCTCCTTTCCCGTTTATGCGATACCTACATTATACGCGATACCTACAATTTCTTATGTTTCCCCCTACGTACTTCACGTTCCCCTCCGTCGTCTCTCTCGTCATTCGCGCCGAGGAGGAGTGTTGAGTTCGCCCCGCGATCTCGATCTCCGCCACCGGGCACGTGACATACCGCCGGGGGTGGTTCGTCCGTCTCGTCCTCTCCCCTTCTCTTTCCTCAGTCGAGTTGTTCGAGACTGAGGTAAGAATCCACATCACTATACTGTAGCACTGATACTGACTACCTACGAAGCGTCTGACCGTATCGTCTAGGTAGATCAATCTAAGTCGAGTTGTTCGAGACTGAGCGTCTGACCGTATCGTCTAGTCTCTACATTATCATCTTCACCCCTTCTGACAGCAGGGCGTACGAGAATAGCGCCCACACGCTGTAGAGTACTCTTATCGCGTGCCGTTGAGGAACCTATGTAGCTGCTATGGTCGAGTGGTTATAGCGCATGGCTGTCTTTTACGGCGCACGGGTTCGAGTCCCCATCAATTTTTGATTTCTTTTCGCCAATTTGCAATCACGCGGGCCCTTGGCAGCCGCCCAAGCTTGATTACATACGCGACCGCACGCCAGTCGGATACTCCAGTAAATAAGACCTAGCGTAGGGGTACGTCGCTTTGACTAGTCAATAAGCGCCCCTTCGGCCATGCCTCGGGGACAAGTTTGGCCAGCCGTCCTATAGTGTTCTCCTCGTCAATTCGGCTAAAGAAATTCCCCAGTATAGTAAGTCAAAACTTTAGAGCGTCTAATATGATTTAAGCGCTCATTTTATATTTTTTCGTATATAGGCTGAAGTCCCCCCTCAACATGTACGAGCGAGAACACTATGGACGGCTGGTATTAGGAGCCTGCCCTCGACATGTACGAGCGAGAACACTATGGACGGCTGGTATTAGGAGCCTGCAATAAAACCCGATTTTTTGGATATCGCATCAATTCCGCCAGGTATCGGATGTCAGTCTCGCGGCCCAATGGCAGCGCGAACCGCCCGGGCTCTCGAGATCATCACAGCCGATTCAAATTTGAAATTTCTCGACTTTACAGATGGACCATCAAAACAGTATGCAAGACCCCGTAGCCTAAGCAATGTACTTGTCCTCAACTCCTGTGGCTAGCACTGGTAATACCTGTAACTGCAATAAGGGCTCACCCCGAAGCTGAACAACAGTTACAGAACGATAGCAAGGTATAAATCGTCACGACAAAGCGGCATACCCACCAGAGCAAATGTGTGAAGCAGCATAACGTCAGTCAGACCTGCAGGAAATCTGTCCGTAGTGAATCTGCATCGCCCCTGTGCTTCGCACCGGCCCACAAGACCGGACTCGCCGTTAAGAACTCGCGCACACCAGGACCTTTGACCGGCGAGCCGGGTTTCCTCTCACCGCCTCCACCAGGTGCACCATCCTTAGCAGGCACAGGCGGCGCATCAGTTGCCACGAGTGGCAGCGTTGGCGGCGGGCCGCGCGTCGACACCGCAGTGTAGCCCCCTCTGGAATCGGCAAAGACGCTCCCGAAACCGCCGCTCCTACTACCGCTCGCAGAAAGCCCGGCCCCGACGTTCAAGCTCGCCATGCTCGCGCCGCTCATCTCGAGGTTGACTTGCGACGTAGACGGGTCCCTGGAGCTGAAGAAGGGGTTGTGGAGCGCGAAGCTCGTGACGCTCTCGCCGCCGTGGTAGTGCACGGTCGTGCCTGTGCCCCTGCGCCTGCGGCCTGGGATGGCCTCGGAGAAGGCGGTCGACTTGGGTGTGTTGGGAGGCGGGGCGCCGAGGCGGAAGGCGTGTTCGCGCCGGCGTCTGCGATAGTAGAGGTAGCGGAGGAAGGCCCAGACACCGACGAAGATGAGCACGAGGCCGAGGATGCCGCCGAAGAGCCCGGCGAGAATGACGGGCGCTTTGGATGATGAAGACGAAGTGTTGGAATCAGATGCAGCGGACGGCCTGGGGAGATGATTGGTCAGTTCACATAAGAACGGGACGGATGCCGATGAACAGAAAGGTCGGGCGGCTTACGTCGCGAGTCCACTGCCGCTAGGAGAAGAGGTGCTAAAAGAAGACAGTACTCTTGTCAGTTCCTGACTAACGTTCCAATCGATATAGGAAGCAGCTCGGAACTGAGAAAGGAAGGACAGAAGCTGAAACGGAAACACAAGGCGACGCGCGGCACAGTCGCGGACTATTGGATCGGCCTACATTGACCGCGTACTGACCGCACCCAGCGAACAGAATCCGAGCGGGCGTGTGACGAGTTTATAGACGTTGGTTCGTTCGACACTATGGCAGGATCGGGAATACGACCCGATGATCGTCAGGCACAGAGAACAGTACGACTGCAGCCAGTCGCACGACCGTCAGGGCTCTGGCTCTGACCTGGAGCGCGCCGAGTGGCTCAGCCCTGCGTGTCCGGTGACAGGTACACAAACCGCGAACGCACACGGTCGAACACCATTGATACAGCGAGAGCGGTGCAGCGAGCCAGAGAAGCGGCGCCCCAGCGCAGCTGCGTACGACCTCGTATCTCGTCGCTCAGCCCTCGTCCGACGAGACGGGGCAGGAGGGGAGGCAGTGTACCGCAGAGGCAGGCTGAGCACGCTCATGAGACTGTGTGGACGCCAAACGAGTGACGAACATCGCGGATGTCAAACGAAACGTGATGTGCAGCAGCAAGCTGAGGGTCATCTCCGCGATTGATCACACCACAGCGCAGCCGAGAGACATCGGTTTGGGCATCTACAGTGAATGGGGAAGCCAACCAAGAACGCCGCATCCCTCACGGCAGCGGAGCCCGCACGACGCAACAACAGCGACATGGGGCGGAAGATAGAGATAGAGGAAGAGGAAGCGAGACGAAGAGATGAACTCACTCGCTGGATAGATATGGCGGCGTTACAGTGGCCACAGCGGCGGTACTTGTCGCGGCGGTGGTGATGCTGCCACGCACAGGACCATGTCAGAAGACGAGACGCTGCCTGAGAAGACAAAGGACGCACTTTCCATCCGTGAACGTCAAGAAATCTACATCCAGCCAGTTTCCGCGAGTCGTGAAGACAGCTTGAAGGGAGATAAGTGGGTACCGGCCACGTTGTCGGCGGAGAAGTCATATTGAAACAGAAGCTGCTGGAACTGGGTCTTTGAGGCGAAAGCAGACTGAGTGGGGAAAATGACAGCGTCGTCGAATTGGACCTTATAGTCAGCCTAGGCCGCACATGGACGATGTCAGCAGCCGGGGCGGTGTGCTACAAGCAGAGACGTACATGGTCGGGGCCGGTAGAGCCGTAGATGGCTATGGCCGAGCCGCTGAACGTGACGTTGACGGACGCGCCATCCTGCTCTGCGACGTGGTAGGTGCGGTCAAAGTACTCATCAAGGTCGGCGTTGTCGGGACTGGACGCCCCACCCGGCGGAATAGACGATCTGGCTGCTGTCGTCGTCGAGGGTGAAGTTCATGTGAAAGCGGTGGGCAGCGAATAAGGCGGAGGTTAGTAGTTGCTACGATGGTTGCGTCGGCGCCGTGCGTGCATGGACTCGAAGGGGAAGGAGAGAACAACGAAACGACCGACGACAGAAAGGAACGACGAGGAGGGAGGGAGTCCGGTGGACGGAGGAGACAAGCGGAGAGAGCTGGATGGAGGCAAGATGGAGGGGACAGCCTGGGAGTGGCTGATGACCCGGGCTGATCGTACCTCGTCCCCGACCGCTAGTCCCTCCCGCCACCTGCCATCCACTCGTTCGTATCCATCGCCCGGCAGAACGCAGGCAGAACGAGCCACGGTTGCTCGCAGGGGGTGCCGAGGCGGGTCAAGGGGCGAGGGGGCGAGGGATGGAGGTGAGAGGCAAGTGGTGAACCATGCCATAAGGGGCAGGCGGTGTCTCGCGGGAGGCTGGATGCGCGCGGGCGCAGTGGATGGGTGCATGTGCGACGGGGGCCTGCATTGCTGTCCACGCTGTAGGTCGCTATGGGCGTCGCGGGGCGCAGGTGGAACTCGACAACCGACGGCACGACCACGCTGCAGCCTGTAGGCTAACCTAGCTCAGAGCCACTTGGTCTGCTTCGAAGCCAGGCCTCTCTCAGAAGCTATGGCTACCATTTCGCGGCCGTTCTCGTACGGTGAGCTTCCGTGTCCTGCTAGTCTGCGAACAGTATTACAACCCGCTACCTAGATGAGCCGCTGTCCCCACGCCTAGGTACACGGCCCTCAATCGCCGTCGACTTGTCGAGAAAGCCAAGCAGCCGTACAGACGTTCCTCGCTCAGCGATCGAATGTACGGGCAGCCCGGCGACGCGCCCAGCAGCCTCGATCGGCACAGCTCGTCGATTGCTCGTCGATCTTGTTCCTTGTACCTGTCCCCCGGCTGCATCTGGATCGCGGTGGTCAGTAGTGTCCGCCCTATCCACCCAGACCGCTGACGTGAACACCGTTCCGATTGTCCAGTTTCGCGTGTCCTCGTCGGCCGCCTGCTCGGCTCGCCTTCAAATATTTGTGGCAGACGAACCATGTACCGTCGACCGATAAGGCCCATAACGGCGCCGTCTGCACTTACTATGTCCTTGGTACGGCGAATATATTTCGAGCGACGCAGATGCTATCGTCTGCCCGTCCGCATAGGCACACAACGACGCCAATCGTTTCAAAGGCGCGTTGACCACGGGAATATCTCCAGTTTGCGTCGAGGCAGGGACCAGTGGTGGCAAAGCAATTGGTATTGGTATACAGTATCTCCCGGCGGGGGAGCTTCTAGTAGCCACAGCGATGTACACTATTTCGTATTTAGAGCACAGACAGATGGAGAACTCGACGTACACAGCAGCGATCAAGACGGGTAGATTTTGTAACGCTCAACAGGGAGCGCCGCCCAAGGAGGTGCGAGCCAGACGGGAAAGGGGGTTGTATAAACAGAGCATGCGAATGCGAGGTCCAAGTCTTGTATGATGCGACGAAAGAAGGGGGTAACCGCGCCCGAAGACGATGATTAAAAAAGGTGACGCGGCGGATAAGGATATCGAGGTCTGTCGCGGAACGTCACGGAGGGGATGTATACAGTAATATAACACCTGCAGTTCGTGGCCCGGGGGTGTCCGTCGGCGTAGACTGGGGAAAGCCAAGAAGTAGAAAGCAGCAAGTGGAGAAAATAACGGGGAGATTTGCAGACGTACGATTAACCGTTGCCCTTACAATAGCCGAGACACGGCCTCCTCCTCCTCCTCCTCCCTCGAGCGAGCGACGGACAGGCCATTGTCGGCGCAAGGCAAGCACACCGTCAGGCCTCTCGCGCTACCCGCCTCTCGAAGGGCATCTACGCCCTCATTCCAACGGTAGCGGGGATTCGTACTTGATCATTCCCACCTCGGGACTCTGCCCCGTCGCCGAAACCCCGTGGACTTCCAGCGACAGATCCAGTGGATCCTGCCCGTCCACCAGGTGATAGGCCTCGTCCAGCATCTGCTGGTGACGCTGATACTCCTCCGCGTCCCCATCCGCCAGCGACAGGTGAGCCTGGTCCACTACCTGGTAGCCCTGCGTGTAGTACGGGTGCCCATCCTGGCCCAGGTGCACCTGCGAGTCCAGCGGGTGCGGACTCGCGTTGTGGCCATATGCCTGCGCGATCTGCTGCAGGTACGCCTCCTCCTCCGAACGGCGCCGCACCTGGTCCCTCACGTAGTACTCCTCGCGCTCCCTCTCGCGCTCCTGCTCCTCCTGGTGCCGCTGCTCCTGCGCCGCCTCTTGCTGCCAGCGCAAACGCTCCTGCTGCTTGCGGAGCTGATCCTCCTGCTGCCTGCGGAGCTCGAGCGAATATCGGTGCGCCTGCTCCGCGGAAAGCCTCGGTACCGTACTCGTACCCGCCGCCGTACTCTGACCCTGCTGCGGACTCTGGTGTGAGATCGCGGTCGACGAGTGCGAGTTGTGATGCGCTCGTGACGAGTCCGGAGGTGGTGGGCCGCGAGAAGGCTGGTGGCGAGCCGCGTTCGCGTTCGCGTGCTGCTGCTGCTGCTGCTGAGCCCGGGCCTGCTGCTGCTGATAGTGGTACAATTGATCGAGCTGCTGCTGATCCACCGACATCGCCATCTGGCTCATTGCAGAGTTCCATGACGGAGAGCCGTCGAGACTGGGGCCGAGAGTCGCTCCCGTACTCGTGGTCGTAAAGTGGAGCATCTGCTGGTCCGCCGCGGCTGCGTGACCCTGGTGGAGCATCATCGTCGTCGGATCCCGAGAAAGGTCTCTTGCGAGGGTTGCTGTACGGTGCGGGTGCTGATGGTGCATATTCTGAGGCGAACGACGCTGTGGCTGGAGCGTGGAATGAAAATGGAGAGTCGCCGTACCCTCCGACGGGAGACGTTGGTTCCCGTTCGTAGAACCCATCGTCTCGTCCATCCCAACCATATCCATCGCGCCCATCGCGAGCGAGTCGTAGGCTCTGTGCGTTGGCGCTGCCATGCCGTCCAGCGCCGGTAGCCCTGCGCCGCCGAGGCCGTGTGGGGGTGGTAGCTCTGCGCCTGCGCGATACGCGCCCAGCCGTTCAGATCCGGCGAGAGCGTAAGCATTGGATGCGGCGTAGTAGTAAGCTGCGGGAGCGGTGCCCGGGCGAGCTGCTGTGTTGGGCCGTCGACCAAGCCCGACGCTGGGTGTGGGTAGGGGAAGTACATGTGACTCGGTGAGTGGCCCTGTGCTCCCGGGGAATGGCCCTGGGGGATAACCTGCGCCTGCGGATGTTGGTGGGGGCGGGAGAGAGAGGGCGGAAGGGAGGGCGGCGGAGACGACGGCTGCGAGGGGTGGGAGGACTGGGGCTGAGCCTGGGGCGGACTCGTGCGGGCCCCGTGATGTGGGAGACCCACCGACGAGCTCGGCGAGACCGAAGTTGAAGGAGGCGGCGGGGGGACGCGAAAGGACTGGCCCGCATGTGCGGGGTTGACGAAGTGGGTGAGGCTGAGACATGGACGGCTGCAGGGTTACGAAAGGACTGGCCGGGGTCACGAAAGGAATGGCTGGTCGTCTGGCGTATGCTGGGGCGGTCGACGTCGGACGTCTGGACGTGCCAGGTGGTGCCGGCGGAGCTGTAGAGCGCGCCGGCGCCCTCGTAGCCGGTGCTGGTGCCGGGGCGCTGGTGAAAGGGCGGGAGGACGTGGACGCCGTCCTCGCGCTTGATGTCCAGCGCGGGCACGGTGTGGGCGGACGCGGCGGCGGCGGCGGTGGCGGCGGCGGACGCGGCGTGGGTGCGCTTGCGGGGGCCGCCCTTGGAGGCGGCGGTCATGGTGGCGTGGAGGGACGTGAGGTCGTGCATCATGCGCTCGTTCTGGTCCTGCTTGTCTGCGTGGACGGTCTGGGCGTGCTGGCGGAGGTTGTCGAGGCGCGAGAACTGCTTGCCGCAGTGGCAGGTGAACGGCCGCTCGCCGGTGTGCTTTCTGGGGGGACGTGAGGGCGGCGGGGGCGGGGACAGCGCGGAGACGTACCTGATGTGCCTGGCGAGGTGCTCGCTCCTGCTGAAGACCATCCTGCAGTCGCCGTAGCCGCGGCACTGGAACGTCTTGGCCGGCGCCGGGCGGTAGCGCTTGCCGACGCCAGCGGCGGGCGCGGCGGACGCGGAGGGAGACGCGGGCGGGGCCGCGGCGGTGGCGGCGGGGTCGGCGGGGAGGACGGGCTGGGCGACGGCGGCGGCAGCCATGTTTGGGAGGTCGTCGGAGAGGACGTGCGGGGATGGTTGGCTGTCCATTGGCCCCGTCGAGGGCGGGTCGTTCAACCTAAAAGGTGCCTGAGCCCTCTCAATTAAGGCACGTCGGAGTTCCAATCGCTACCGCCTACTCGGGTCAGGCACGCCGCGTCCCCGGCTCCGATTCGACTCTTCCTTCCCAATTTCCCTCTTGTCGATCCCACCGCCCCGGCCTCTCCCCCGGCCCATCCTCCATTCGGCGCCGGCCCCGCCTGCCCGCCCGATATGGCCACCAGCATTCGCCCGTGCCGCGCGGGCACCGCCTCCGTGGCGCCGCTGACAGCGTCCCCGCGCCCGGCCACACCGCCCAGCCTGTGCTCTCGCCTCGTCGGTGTCGCGAGACTGCCTCCGCTGGGCGAGCTCTCGTGACCGGGATGCCCGCGGGCGAGGCCCGTCCGTGCGTGAACTGATCCGGCGCGCTGCTCTGCGACTGCACCCACCTCCGCATCGACTTTGATCCACGATCTATCATCCGCCAAGACTCGCCACAACGTCTGCGCCGTCGTTTCACGTTCTTATCCACCTCCTAACGCCCCTCTGCGCCTCTTCTGGCACGCGATCGCGCCCGTCGCACGCGCGATACGATCCTCGCTCACTCCTCCTCGCCCCTCTCCCCGGCGCGGAAGAGGCGGCCCGCTGCCCGACGCCTCGTCGTGTCTGCACGGGCGCGGTCGCTGGTCGCGCGCCGCTCGCCTCCCGATCACGACCCTCTATGTAACGCACTCCACGCTTCCATGCATCTGCACACATACGCGCTCGAGAAGACGTCAGCCACGCTGCGGCGTCCCAATTGCGCCCTTCGCATTGTGTATGACCCAATCCTATCTCCTCCCTCTTCTGTGCGCGTCAAATCGTTTCCCGAGCAAGTATCAAACCACCGATAGCCACTACGTTCGTCAACCCGCCGTGTCCCTGAATACTTTACAAAACAGGTAATCGTGCACCCCGTTCCATAGCCGGACTTTTCACGCGCAATGAGCGAGCAGTCAGACGGCGAACCAGTAGTGTATCTGCCCCAATGTATCTCCTGCCTGTCATGCCCGCCAGCCACCCCCTGTAAATCATCCGTCCTTCCTCAGGCTAGCACTGCATCACGGACGACGCGCTGCCCCTGATCGGTGCGGACAACCGCCCTCGCTCGCGCTCGCGGAACGCCTTCGCTCGAAAACGCCGACGCACACACCGCACATGCTCACGCGCTCCTTCACGCCAGCATCCCGTCTCTCCTCTCTCACCGCCGCAGCCCATCACCCACGGTAAACCGTTCACCCCAGCAAACAAGCCACAGTTTCTCCGCACGGCAGCGTGGACGGAGTGCACTGGATCTGCAAACCATCGCCGACCTGCGCGGACCTCAGGCGCGCCTACGTCCTATCTGCTTACCTGTGATCACGCGCGCAGGATGTGTCACCAGCTCGCCCGTCCTGCCCAAAGCAGCAGCGGCAGCACTATGCACATACCGTCCGTTTGGTCCAGACAGCAGGGACACCGCCCGAGAACCGCAATGAATGAGACTGCAACGGGATATCCGTCGCCCAGACCGCAGCGACGCTCGCGGACGTATTGCGTGAGACGAAACAGTACGGCAAGTGAACAAGCGTGGTGGTGGACATGTGTGCCGGACGGTAAGAGTGTCCCGTGAGCCGGAGCCTGCAGCGAACAAAGCAGAGGCCGAAAGAGCACAGATAACGGAGGTGGCTCCTTCGGGATGAATGAGGTGGGGGTGCCGGGAGAATGGAATTGGGAGACGCGGGATTGCATCCGTGCTGCTGGCTACCGTCCAGACGGCCATGCTACCGCTGGCTACCGTTAAGCGTGAAGACGCGGTGGAGCAGCTGTCAGCTACTTACGACTTGCCGCGAGAGCTCAGAGGCTGGTCTCGTGCGCAACCGCAGGCCGTCCGTTGGGCATTGATGGATGATTACCGCGACCCGCATCTGTGCCCTGTCGCGGATCTGGAGGCAGATGCGGTCAGGAAGGTTGTTCGGTCGTCGCAGTGCCTGTGCGTTCATAGCACGCGCGTTCGCGGTCGTCGTGCCTGCATGTCGGCACGACTTCAGCCACCCCCACAGCGCGGTCACGGTACGCGCGCACGCGTCGCGGGACGGTGATGTGGCCGCGGCGAAGTTCTCTTGTTCCGCCGCTGGAGCGTCCGAGCTGCAGGCCTGGAGCTGGTGGTTCGTGCAGAAGCCATGCAGCCGGTCGTGAGATGGGATGCTGGGACGTGAAACGCAATTTGCTGGACGTACAGCGGGGGTCGGCAGTGGGAGGACGCGTTCAGTGTGGCGTCTGCAGCCTGCGAACGCGCGGGTCGACTCGAGCCCGGATAAGATTCCCAGATCGCTCCGCCACGCGACCGGCGTCTTCCCGACCCAGACTGCGGGGTGCCCAGCCCGACGCGCCGATGCCCGCAGGCGCCCGCACGCACTCCCACAAACGATGCCGGCGGGTGCACATTAGGTAAGCGCGTGCCCGGAGCCAGGCCGCGCGGTCTGGACGCGGTCTGAGCCGGTGATTACACCCAGTTGGGAAATAGGGGCGGGTGGCGCGTGAATTTGACGCGGCCAATGGGAGGCCGCCCTTCTCGTCAGCTCGAGCGATCCTCGACGAGGCCACACAGCCGCTGCCGTTGGCGTGGGCGAGCAGGCAGCGGGCTGTGTGCAGGTCTGGATCACCCGTCGCGGCGAGGATGAGAAAGCCGAGGGCGACGCTGCCCAAATGGGGTGCTTCGTGGCTTCGCTGACCCACTTTGTGTGGGCGGTGGTGCGCTCCACCGTCGGCCTCTTTCCCCTATTGGATACTGTAGTGGTTCGTGAGTACACAGCCGCGACGGGCTGTGCTGCATCCCGCCTCCCGTCCGTTCTAGCCTCCTCGAACGCTGCATCCCGCCGCCACATAATTCATGCTAATCGCACACAATTCCGTCCACCAGTCAGCGAACAAGGAGCATGAATTCCTTGGAGCCGCGTGAGGCACGGGCGAACCTCCGAGGACGCCTGCACCCAGACCGTCTCGCGCTGAAACTACCAGTCCGACATCTACAGCCAATCCTAGCTGGCAGGTAGGAGCATCCCATCCTGTCTCTCCATCCGTTCCCGTCGTGATCGGCTCAGTAGACAAGCCGCGCCAATCCTGAGGCCTTCATCGCGGTTGACATCCCGCTGACCCCTCAGAAGTCCTGCCTGGCCCCGGGGCGGTGTTCTGTCCACACAAATTTGGAGCAGAACGTGTCCGCCAGCTCCCTGCCATAGGCTGAGCACCTACAGTCGAGCCTTTGCCATGTCCGGCCGCGCAGAAAATTTGCGCGAACGATCATGTATCACGAATTAACGTATTGTCTTCCCCACACGCATGCGGGCCTCCTGGCTCCAGACGGCGTCCCTGAGCGAGCCGATTGGCGGAGTGCGCACCGGAAGGAGCAGCCGTAGGTCTGCTGGACGTCCAAGCCTGCGCGCCGCCAAAACGTCCGCGCTCGGCCGTCCTGTCGCTGGCGATTGTCGTGCTAGATTGTGGGGCCTGGCTCCTTTAGCTGTGTCTTCGGGCGCGGTTTTCGGAGACTGAGGACGCTTCTGGCTAGATTGCCATGGCGAGGAGGACGGAGGGATGACTGGGCGTGGAGGGGGCGAGGCAGCAGGAAGGCAGAGCGGGGTCAGGCGGCTGATCGTGGATGCGCACGGGTCGGGACCTTGCCGTCCTGTCTGTGGGACTGCCTGCGGGCGGGTGTAAGGTATAAAGTCCTGAGGCCGGCGGTAGGAACGATCAGGGTGGGTCGAAGAGCACCCACTGACAAGGGCCCTCAGGAAAGCAGGGACAGGCACGTAGGAGAGTAGGTAGGTCGGTAGGTAGGTGCAGACCGAGGGAGTGAGCTGAGTGAGGGCAGGTTTGCGAACGGCGGCTGGCGCGATTTTTTTGGATGTTGGGTGGCGTGAAGCGCCCCGTTGGCGGTAGAGTGGCGACGGATGCGCCTTGCCGCACATGCGCACTGGCAAGTGAAATCGTAGGAACATCGACAGTATAGGCGATGACTCACTGGTTGTCCAGGGAGAATAACGCGTCGATGGGCAGCGTATGATGTTCGTCGATGATCGAGAGTCGGCGGTGAGCGCGCACTTCCAAGCGCTGTGTACAGCCTCGCATTGAGGGCCGTTGAACTCCCTGGCCCCTGGGGATGCTGCCGACCTACTCTGCTAGTAGTACACGTCGGTTGTCTCTGCTGGTTGCCTCGATATCGCTCCCATCGCTGCGAGAGCGTTGCTCGTGCTGCAGACGATTTCTCGCGACGCCAGACGGCCTGAAAGTCGGCGACGGTCGTCTCTACATCGAGAACGACCAGCCAGTGCGTTGCAATCCGTCCTTCGGTGACGCTGCTCTGCTCGCTGGCGAGAAACGGCCTGTGTGAGTGCCCGACGCGTTGTAGGCCCCACTGCCCAGTCCGGAAGCTGGTGTCCGATCGCGCCGCTATTGTCCTCCGTCCCTCCGGTCGGTCGGTCGATTGAGCTCCGCGGCGTAAAAATAAAATAACAAAACAGGGGGCCGCATCGACAGAGAAAGTTCGGGGGTGGGGGATCCACTCGGTAGTCTGATGACGGCGAGCACGACGTGGCAGTGGCTACCGATACCAACACCGCGCAGGGAAAGGATCCGACACGGGTCTTTCCGAGGGTGGACTGGGGTCCGTCCTCCCAGATAGGACGGCGGCCTGAGTGTTTGTCGCCCGATCAAGCGACAAAGGGAGGGATGGGCCAATGATTGCTCGTCGCGGACGGGGATGCCCTGAAATTGGGAAAGGGTGAATTCGTCGATGACTGTCGCCGATGCGTACACGACCATCGTACGCGCTTGCTCGCTCTGTCATTCTCTCCGCACCAGCCCGGATGTGTTTGATTTGATTTGATTGTGAACGGCCTGGCGACGGACATGATCGCGGCCTTGTTCTTGTCCTTGTCCCCGTATTTTTGGCGTAGTTGTCCTCGTCCTCGTTTCGGTCTACTCGGGTCTTCTGGACGGCCACGATGTGCGACCCTGCTGGATGGACGACAGACAACCGCGCAGGCCGTCCACATGATGCCGGAAGCATACACCCATCTGACAGATCGCCATCGCATTCGGGACTAGAGTCTGCGCAGCACGTCGCAATTGCAGCACAAGTGTGTCGAAGCACGGGACAAATACACGGGCGGAACGAGCTCGCTATCGGGCCTGCAGCCTTCTTCATTCCGCCTCTCGAGCAGCGGCCTTCCGTCAATGGGTAGATTAAGCCCGTGTCAGGGTAATGGGAGATGCGGGCGAGCGAGGCGAGATACACGCCGCAGATGGGAGATGGGAGACCACTGACGCGAAGCGGTGACGTCGACTCGCACTAGCTCCGACTCGTGTTCGTTGCTACTGACCGGTTCTGGGGTCGTCCTCGCCTTCAAGCCGCCGCGTTCCCTGGGGGCCTAGGGGCGCGCGCGTTTCATGATGCCTTCTCCGGATAAGATGCGAAGCCCGGAGGCCCAGGATCCAGGAAGACGGTGCTCCGATGGGACATGCGAAGGTGGGACTGCTGACGCAGAAATACATACGCCGTGCACGCCAGGACCACGCCTGACGTTCGGGGATGTGTGTAGCTCTTCTACGCACGTCCGTTAAGCTCATTGCGCACGATCCTTTCCGCGCTTCGTGGAGTATTCCACGAACCTCGACTGGGCTCGTCGTGTCCGAAAGCGTCTTTGTTCTCGTGGTATATCCGGTTTCCAGACCACCCGACCCTGCATGGCAGTGCCATCATGGCTGTTCTACTTTCTTCCCTGCGTGTCGGTGATCAGCTCGAGCGTTCGGGCTGCGACCGACTGCATGAAGACATGCTGGGTCGCGCTCGGTAGCCAAGTTCTCTCCTTCACGCGTGTTCCGCCCCCTCCATCTATGAATCCTTCCGCGCTGAGCGCGATCACCATGTACCAGCATATCATGGCCTGTCCGCGAGCTGTTTTATGGTTTCTCTTGATCAGCATTGTGCTTGACGGCATGACGAATAATGGAGATCACTTCCGCAATGACATGGCAGCTTGAGCCAGCAGATACAGATGATGATCAACGTCATTGCGTTGCGCGTCCATGTAGGTGCACGCATCTTGATAAGCGGTTTAATATAACTTGAACCGCAAAGGTCTGATGGAAACTGAGCGGCAACTGAATGCTTGAAGGACGACAGCTGAGAGAATGAACAGGCATGATGCCGTGAGCGTCGACGGCTGCGAGACAAGACAGCCCAATACGTATTACAGGTGGGACAGGAGGAGCTCGGAGAAATCACAGGCAATTACAAGCATAATGAATGGAGCATCCGAGTCGAGACAAGCTCTGCATGGTGCAGACCATGTTTCAATCGAATCCGATTGACGTTCGACATTTGTTGTTCCAATTCATCCATATGTAGCGCGACAAGGTGGGTCTTCTGCGGTCCACCCAAGATCCACCTTGGGGAGCTAGCGCAACTTTTAGCCACTCTTTAGCAAACAGCGCGGACCGACGTCATAGGGGCCGCGAGATCTGAATGAAGATTCAAAATAGAAGTCAAGGCCAAGGGCCCCTATGCTATCGTGGATCGATCTTGTTTTCAATCTCCAACATCGAGCAAAGCGCCTGCGTCTGAGGGTTTGGATAGTGTGGCGCTACAGGACAGCATACGTCAATGTCAAACACCCTCGCAGTTGCTACAGCGCCATACGATCCAAGGGAACAAGACGTACGTTGGTCCCTCAAGCTAGCGTCCCTATTATCAGCGGTCGGGTTCGGTGGAGGCGCGGTTACCACGAACGCCTGGCACTCTTCGATTTTCGTCGCCTTTACGTGCTCTTTCACCCACTCAAGGTCCTTCTCGACAGCAGCTCGGGCGGTGCTCTCGTCGGGATACGTCAGCTGGTTCAGACCCGTGGACATGTACGGATGGAAGGCGCGTGTGATGGCGAGCCACTCCGGATCAAATGAGAGCACCGGCACAGTCCGCTCGCCCATCGCGGTCTGCTGGTATTCTGGAGGTTCTGGTATGTCGACGACCTACATTTGCCACCAAGGAGTGCAGGCAGATACCAATGACCTGCATCAGCTTACATACCGCTGAGGTTGTGAGAAGGAAACGCACCTCCAGAAATTGTCTTCTCGGCAGACATTTGTCAAGAGCGACGAATGTAGTCTCCCGTTGTGGGGGTGGTGGCGGCGGGGGTCTCGCAACTTGCTCAACTTCGTCATCAAGCATGATCTCGTCCGGATTGGCGGGAGCAGCTGGCGGCTTCTGGTCGGCCGCGTTCGCAGCCTCCGGCTCGGGAGCTGACGTGGGCCGCTCAGTGCCTGCTGCTTCTCCCGCACCCCCTCCATCTCCATCCTCGATCGTGATCTCGTCGGGGTTCTCCATACCCGCGGCAGCAGTGCTCCCGCTGTGCCTGTTATTCTCCGCATGGGGAGCGGGCCATGCATTACGTGCGCTTCGAAGCGACAGTGTAGGTGTGCAGCGAACCACCTTTCTGGCTTGAGGGTTTGCAGGAGGTTCATGAGCGGGGGTGAGCCGAGCACTCCTTTCTTGACGTCGTCGCGGAAGTGGGGCTTGCGCCGGAGGAGGTAGCGGAGGTCGCCGTGATGCTCGATGCCTTGCGGCCAGTCGTGGGAGAGGAAGACCGTCGGGGATGAGAGCTGTAGCCACAGTCAGAATATATATAAGATGATAGCGGTTAATACTCGATTCGATCGTTGGCGGAGGACAATGAGGAGGCAGAAGCGATGAGAACGAAGCATACTCACTAAGGATAGTTTCCGGACGTTGTATTCGCGTATGTGGTAGATGCTACGCATCGACCCATGGTTATACGGTACCCTTTCGTGATGGCCTATAGAAAGCTGTCTCAGCGCTTCCATCGGATACCTGCAGGCGTTCAAGCACATACCGCGTCGAAAGTCTTGCGGCTTGAATATGCCCGAGGCGCCGGCTATGCGAATCCCGTTCACCTGTACACATCCGGCATGTCCGAGAAAGTAAATATTGGGTGCAATCCAGCCACCATGATACCTATGTAAGGTCAGTTGACAAGTTGCTTCTGGTGAGACGTGTATATGACGCACAGTTCCCAGAAGTAACTAGACGCTTCGTGATTACCTCCGATAACGAGGGTGAGCAGAGGTGCTACTTTCTCTCCCGCATAATATCTTTGTAATGACATCAGTAAACGGTCCATGACACTTGCGGTCTTCATATCAACGCTCGCAATCTGATCTGACCTACTTCCAAAACTCGCCCAGCTGGCGATACTTGTCTGGTACGGCCATGCATTGGAGGTCACGGTGGTTGCGGATAGCCTGGAAGTCACCACAGATGAGGAGCAAGTCCACTTTGTAGCTATGACGCTGTTCGAGGTTGTGTAGCTCAGCGTATATGGCGTCGAGCTCGCCGTGGCAGCAGCCTTCGATGGCAACCTGGTGCGAAGTCTGAGTATCGTGTATGGTTCGGAACGCGTAGCTTAGCACGCCGGTCTGTACCTTCATGGCTGAGCAATTCTTGGCCCCGTTCTGCGCTTTTTGTCACTGACTGATGTAGATGTCGAAGTGCCCGATGCTTGTTCAATAGACCAGGCGTAGTGCTAATAAGTGGCTCACAAGGAGTGGCTGAGATTCGTTCGAGGTCCAGGACGATGTGGCACGTGATTGCTTCTGGCGGATCTGAGATGGCGATCGACTCTGTCTTCGACTGCAAGTTTTCCCCAGCCACAGCGCCCGCACACCTCCTCCTCCTTGCTATGTTGCGCACAATGTACGTTGTTGTGAATTCGAAAAATAATATGCTGCTACAGTATATGAAGAAAACCAAAAAATGCACGTTCCAAACGGGCCCTTCAGGCGCGTGAGCCGAAGGAGGTCGAGGACGCAAGAACAGCGATCTTTGTCAAGGGTACGCACACGGGCGAGAAGGTTAATGCGGTAATGAAGGAACTAGTGCGTAGCGAGCTCTGTTATACGGGCTCTGTCACTCATTCACGCACGGTTTCGTCTCGCTAAGATGGCCCTCAAACGACCAAATGCCATTCATTCTCGAAAAAGAACGCCGTAAGGCCATTTGAAGACGCTTCTTCGTTAGACTTCTGGGCAAAGAAGAACGACGCGAGCTTGTTTGTGGTGGGCAAAGCACAAAGAAGCGGCCAGATGGACTAGTATTCGTACGCATGTACGACGAACGAGTACTGGACATGTGCGAGGTTGGGGTAGAGAAGTGGATCAGTATGAACGAGTTCAAGGTGCGTGGATCTTCGCAATACTGTAAAACCCACTGATCGTCATTTCTTAGACACCGAAGGCCACCCTGGGCATAAGCCATTGATGCACTTCGCATCTGAGCTCTTCGACACACATCCGCGCTTCGTCCAGCTGAAGTCTCTCCTATTGGACTTCTTCAACGGGGAAGCTATTGACTCCATCTGTCTCGCCGGACTCGAGCACGTCATCAGCGTTTCTCTCGGGCCTACCCCAGCTTCGCTCAATACCACCGCCACCTCCAACCCGCTGCTAACATCGACCTCTACTTCCTCAGCCTCAAGCTCAGCCGACTTGCCGACAGTGCATGTCCGAGTGTACAACGTGAAGCTGCTCGCCTCCGGAACGCGCATTCCGCGGGTGGAGCTCACGGACATGGGTCCGTCGATGGACCTCGTACTGAGGCGACACACGGAGCCCGATTCGGAGCTCCTCAAGCAGGCACTCAGGCGGCCGAAGCTGCGGAAGCAGGAGGTGGAGAAGGGACTCGGCAAGAAGCGGAAGAACATGGAGGTGGACGAGATGGGTGACCTGCGCGGGAGGATACACGTTGCCAAACAGGATCTGAGCAAGTTGCAGACGCGGAAGATGAAGGGACTCAAGAAGGGAGGGGGAGAGACATTCGACGAGAGTGGGGAGAGCGGAGGCGAGGAGGAAGAGGTGGTCCGAGTCGATGCGCAGTCGAGGAAACGGAGGAAAATCTCATAGTACGTATGCTACCGCTCTTTGCTACACGCATTCGCTTCGTCCTACATGTTTATCACTGTTAGTCGGAGGCTCAATGGTGCGGGTCTCTTCGATGAAGTATTTTTTTGCTCTCGAGCTCTCTGATCACTTGCCTTGGTATTGTGACACCAGATATCACTTTCCGGGTCAGTGCAATGCCACATCTATTCAGTACAACCATGCGCAGTATGCTGTACGTAAGCCTTCCCAGACGCAAGGCTGAGCTCGCCCCGGGATGTCTAGCTTACAGCGCGCGACAACAGGCTGTCAACGACCAGTTCCCATTATTTAAAACCTGAGACAATCGATGCATCTATAGAGTAATCCTTCGGCGTGGTGAGAAACAGAAAAATGTCGAGATGCTTCCTCGTGCGGGAGTACAACCCGTCGTTGAGCAGGGCGGTACGATGTACGATATGTTCAGGAAGTAGGTTACAATCGGACATACACCTGGGCACAGCAAACCGAGTGAAATTAAAATTCTATCTCAGAGGGCATGGGCACCTAACAATTAACAATCGGCGGCTGTCTATAACGACGATAGCGACAGCGCAATGGAATAAGACATGTCCGCTTGCAAAGTCACTTCCGGCCCATCGTACGACACTACGGACGTCCAGAAAGCGGGGCCATTCGTATCTGGAAGCACGGAATCGCTTGCAGCGGAACGCGTTCTGTACAGGGCACCGAACACAGAAGCGGCTCCACTCAGGTGGAGGACACTGGTGAGCGCAGCGTGAAGTCGTAACAGCCTGGGATTGGGAGGTTCGACTCCGGGAGGTTTTTGGGAGGGCTGAAGAGGCTGCGGTGTGGTGCCTGAGTTCGGGACACTGGCATTGTCATCCGAAGACGTAAACTCGGTGTTGCGATCCTCGAATGTGACATGACGGTCGACGTGGCTCGCGCCGGCATGGTTTGGATGGTGAACCTTGATCTCATAACGGTTTGGAGTCTGCGAAGGGTTCAGTTACATTCCAATTACAAAGTGTTGCGTCAAGGGGTCACCGGTCATGGCCCGATCGACTGACCTCAGTAGCCCTCAAACACCAAGCGAACATGTCAAAGCCTTGGCGTGCCGTCGGACTGAGGAGCAAGCAATTGTGGGTCTCGTCCACTTTTGCCAAATTGTGGAGGATCGAGTCATCGACCTCGCAATAATGCCTCAAGACGTCCACAAGTCATCGTGGAACGAATCTGTGCCGATATGAGCATTGGGCATGATTCAACGCGCAGAGCTTACCTCTTCCGTCGTGTCAGCGCCGAAATAAACACGCTTGACAATTCTGATTCCTTCCAAGTCTAATTCTGGCGCGCCCGGAGAGATCTCATTAGGTGCGACAGGGTTAACCAACCCAGTCATGAAACAGGTGTAGTGATCTCTTTGCAGCAACTGTGCATCATGAGCGAACGTCAAATGGGTGGAGAGGAGTTGGCGTACCGCTGCTCTCATCCCGCTACACCGATCCGTCAGCCAGTTGGGTTCGTCCTCCGACATTGGTGTGCTATAATTAGAGTTTTCGAGTGGGATTTGGTGGTCTTGCCTCGCGCGTACGAAAACTGTGAATCAAGACCGTCAGGTGCCTGTATAAATGGTCATATGAAAAGACTCACTAGGCCAGAGTACGAACGCTGCCCAAGCCGACGCAAGTTCTGCCAATCGCTCCGCTATTGCCTTGGGGTCGGTTCCACAAAAAGCATCGCCGGCGCATGTGCAGATCGCAGCCGACACATATCGCTTCCCAGATGTGAGACCGAGGTCATCTGCCGTCTGGTAGAGCGAGTGGAAGAAACGTGTAGCGGTGAAGATAGGGACCTTTGCTGAGACTTGCGCTATTCGGGACGCCCACCTAGGCGTGTTCAGCGCAGCGAGAGACGGGTCGTCGTACACCCCGAGGAGCTTGTTCGCGTGGGAGTGCAGGGTTTCGTTGGAAAGAGTGACATTGCTGAAGGCTTGGTCAATTGCTTGTCTCGTTTTTTCGTCGAAGAAATGACCGGAAGCCATACGGCCGAGTAACGAGATGGATCCGATGATGGCGGCGAGAGCAGGCGTCGCGGATTTGCAGCGGGGAGAAACAGGGGGCGATGTGTGAGACGGAAGCAAGACGGAATCGTCGGGACTATGACTATGAGCCCCGGCTTGCGAGTGGCTTAGGTCAGCGAAGAAGGGGTGTCGGACACCAAGTGAACGTCTGAGGAATGTTGTCGCCGGCAGGGACATGAACATTGTACATCTGTCTCCATGGTAAGTACGTGCATTCACCGTTCAACGCGCTCGCGACACATCCTGAGGTTCGGACCCATCTGCGCGAACTTCGCAGTTACAACGCGGTTACATGCAGTCAGGTGACCGTGATTAGCGGGCGGACGACACTAGCGTAGTCTGCTGAATTCGTCTCGTTCTCCTTCAACTTGTACATAGCAGTGGATCAAGGGAAGGCCCAACCGACCGCGAACATGCTTCATGTGAGCCCCTATGGGATGTGCCTGACCTTGAATACAACAGTTTTCAGCGTGTACGCTCAGACTAGCTCTTGACGCGGCGGGACCTACCGTTCAAGCAGTGAGCAACGACAGCTCTGGAGGACAATACCGGTGTCATACCTTATAGGAAGCGGAGAACATCGCTTATGATCTTCGCGTCGTACAGGCCGCGACATGACACCGTGCACATAGGAGTGAGTTATGTGGATGCGCTGCTTGCACATCCATATGGAGCGTCCAAATCGCCGGTAAGTTACACGCAGATCGCAGTATACCTGGGCACATAACGAGATAGCAATAGAGTTCTGACAGCGTCATACCGCACAGCTCACTAGTTCCGTCTAAGTTAACTTTTACAGTGTCAGCCGCAGCAGTAGAGACTATCCTGTATCTGGCGCTCTCGAATTTGTATTTGCGAAAGTTGAGGCGATCATCCCCTCGTCGCCGGTGTTGTTCTCGAATGAAGCTCTGCGATGTGGACGACGATGTCGGGGAGAAGAGACGGGGACGTGTGTGAAACGGAAGGGACGGGGCTGTGAGCGGCTTAGGTAAGCGGGGGTGGCGGAGGAGGCCAGGTCAAGAGGGGGGCGAGCAAGAGGGGGGCGATAACAAAATTTCAGACGTCCTCCTCCCAAATCCCAGAGACCCCGAAGACTGGGTAGGGGGGGGGGGGTTCCGTTTTGGGATAGCAAGCGCCCAGGTGCAGTCCCAATACGGAAGTTCCTCCCGATGTATTCCAGATGCACGCAATGCGCATCCATAACTCGGAGGACAGTGTGAGGTCGCGGTCGGCTTAACGATTACTTCTATAGTACTCGTAACACTCTCGTACCATACTTGATTTGTACAATATGTAGATTAATGGTAAAGTATATGCATGTTCGCCGGGTACACAGCCTGATCACCGCTTCTGAACACGCCGTCTCTTAGCTCCCCGCGAGCCTGTAGCTGTCCACGACGAGGCTGCTGCACCAGACGTAGGTCCAAGGGGTTCAGGAAGGGGTGGGAGTGATGGCTTGTACGGAATGTGACTGTCAGGTATTCTCAAGCCTTTGTCTTCTTCGTCCGAGATGTACATATCACGAATAATCGCTGGCGGAAGTGGTATCAGTGCGTCCAGTCCGAGTCCTGCGTTGTCGATGCTATAGGTGGGATGGAAGACACGCATATGCTCACGGAGATTGTACTTCCATATCGCAGTCCAGTTCCCCTCTTTCTCAGTCTTGCACCCGGGTATCTTGCATACAAACGGCACGTTCGTGCAAGGCGTAGTTCCGGACGTCTTGAGGCTCGGTTGATAGAAGAAGAGCCTATAGTAAGGGCATTCACTTCTTGCCTGTGGTGAGCTCCCACCCGTACCCTTGGTCATTGTCGGCGCGACACACAGCCGCTCGGGACGTCCACAGAAGCCACATGGCAGCTCGGGCAGAGCGATCTTCAATGCATATCGTGGTGGTGAGTTGCTGTACGTTACGTCTCGAAGTATTTGATACTCACATGCTGTCCTTGTAAGTCTTCATGTACACCTCGCAATGCTTTGAGGATATGTTCGCCGACGTGGTTCCGCATCCGCGCTGGTTCCACCTCCACAAGGCATTGATAGCACCTTCGCTTCGTGTCGTCCGTCATTCTCTGGGCTTCCAAGTATTGGGCTGCATCTTCAGAGACGAGCATCGGACGCCCTGAGCATAACACATGAGATTGAGCTTGAGCTGACCGAGTAGACGTTGTCTGAGTCATGCGTACCTCCGATATTATAAGGAAACTGCATATTACCCGTTTTCAAAAGAGGAAGCAGGGCGACGGAGTCCGCCTGGAGTGTTGTCTGCCACAGATCGTCGATGACATCCTTGAGTGCGGATGATGGGAACTCCCATGTTAAGCCCGTCTCATTGAGGTGAGGACGTTCCTGCTCCATCAGTATGCCCCGGGCGTCGACAATGTTCGGGTTCAGTACATGACAGACATGACTGCAGACCTTCGCAGAGAGCATCTTGTGCGACAGTTTGTGTACAGGCTGAGTCGTCGTGCGCGATGGTCCGCCGTGACGAGCAGCTTCATGGTCGGAGCTGATGGTTGCGAGTGATCCAGTCCATAGCCAAGTAGAGACTCCGGCGTCCGCGCTGGATGCTGATGCAAGGCAGACGGGACTTGAATCCCCCGTGTCCCGCTGCATTTCGATTGGTAATGAAGACGGCGGCTGTGTTGATTCCTCCGAAGCAGCGTCCAGTGCCATGTGCTTTGATCCCTGGCTTACAGCACAGAGTTCGAGAACTTGCCCAGTAAGCTTGATGCCAGACGCCGCGTGGGCTAGATTTGGTATCTGTATCCGTGACACTGGCTTTCCTTTCTCATGAATTCCGATCGACTTCATTATGGCGAGTGCAGCGTGACCGTCACAGCGTATAAGCGTCGCGAAGAGGTGACCAAGGATGAACATGTTTGGATTAAGGGTACTGCCCGAGTTGACGTCGCGGGGTTTGACGTCCGAACTATAGCATCGAACACGGAAGATGCGCTCGTGCGGCTTGCGGACCCAGTCTGGAGTGATGACCTGTATACAGGCTGTCGACTTATGAATTTTGTGACCGTGTTCGGTCCATAGCCACGGAGAAGTGTCCTCGATAGCTGGTGAGGATACAGCCTGAGGTAGACGGTGACTGGGATCTTCAGGTTCATCCAGGCGGTCTTCAAGTGGGACAGTAGCGGAAAGGTGAGCATTGTCAGAGCTGTCTTCGGAGAGATCATTGTACGCGGCACTGGATGGAAGAAGCTCGCAATGCTCTTCCTCTATGACAAGTATGTCCAACTCCGAGTCATCTGATGTGACTTCCATGTTGGACTCGGACTCGGAGCTGACAGCGTGAGGTTCGCGACTCGGAGTTGGCGCAGGCGGCGGGCCCAATGACTTCAAGGTGCCATCCTCGGAGTCAACTGCTGAGATCGGCAAAGACGGGGCTGGTAGTGTACTGGCAGTGGCCTGGGTCGGCCCGAGAACAGCTGCCAAGAACGTCGGTGACATGTTCGTAATGGGAGGTTGTTGAGGCTGTGAAGTCCGACTCGGAGGGCGTACTATAGTATCAGTGCTGGCGTCCGATGCCAGTGTGGCAGCCGCGGCGCCCACTTCCTCGAGAGAACGATCTATCTCGGTCGAGACTCCAGGAAATTTCCCATGTCGTATTGGCTGGAGCATGTCTATGGAGCGCGTGGAATCGAAGGATTGGTCGAATGCAGTGGCAATGTGTATGAGTTCGAGCGCCTTCACAGCCGCGAGACGACCATCTGCCCAGGCCGACTTCAGATTTACATGGTCAGCGATGACATCGCCCGTCCAAGACTTGTGATTTAGATGGTCCGCGTGCTCTGTTCGAGTGACCTTGCGACGGCGAGAACCCTTATCAAGCTCGGGGTGGGCCGAGAACACCGCATCTATATCAACAGCAGCACCAAGTCGCTCGATCAGCTGTTTGAAGGAGAAGTTGGGGTTATGTCCGCCTTGCATGCGAACGTTCCCGAAGAGTCCTTCGAGCTTATCATCACCCGTGTCGTAGAGATAGAATCTCTGTGATCCGTCCAAGAGTTGTTGCTTCGCGACACAGAAGATCGCGTTCTTCACTGTTGTCATCAGGTCGCCATACAGTTGGTGGGGCATGAAGCTTCGTTCGTGTGTACAGTATAGTGTAAACGACATGTGCGCGAATTTGCTGAGGGATGTGAGCTGCTGGGTAAGGGACCAATCCGGACGGATGAACGCATTGGTGAAGGCCGACAGCAGCTCGCCAATGATTGCGATGGCCCGGAGTTCCTGAAGCTCGGTCGGTGTGCATCCTTCCTGGGGTAGAGTTGATAGCGAGGCTATGCCCTGTAACAGATCAATCGCGCGAGGTACGTCTTGAGAATCAGAGGGGTTGAGGAGACGCTCAACCGCGAGATCAGATAGCTTGGGATCACGTCGTAGGTGGCGAGAGAGACAGTGAATGTTCACAATAGTATCCCCGACAACAATGCCTTCTTGCGTCCGCATCAGACGAGCCAAGCCTGACGAAGCCGAACAGACATTATCAATGGACTGCATCTCTACGTTGCGAAGTGTGAACAATGAAGACGTACGTTTTATTTCATGCTTCCAATCAAAATCTGCTGTGACATCGTCGTCGCCGACACAGAGATTGAGGCCCGGTAGATGCCCGAGTATCTTGTATAAGGCATGCGATGGTGAAATCACATACTGCATGAACAGGTCATACACCATCGCCCGGCGGCCAGCATCTCCGTCTGACGCAAAGGACCACATTGGGCCGAAGAACATTGCGAAGCTCTTCTTCCACACGCGGAGTACTGTGCGTACCGTCTCTGCACTCTCGGCAGGAGTCTCAGACTTGCAGGTAGGCGACGCAGCAATGGGGAGTGCACCCCGGCCAAGCTCGTCACCAAAGGACATGACACCGAGGACGGAGACCTCCTTCCCCAAATGGACCTCTCCTTTGTCAAGGGCTTCTGCGATGTCGACAGCGCTCTGGAAGCTGCGTAATCTGAGATCGACGAGATGACAGTGTTCCCGACAAAGCCCGCCAACGCAATCCGCATGAGGAAAGTAGCATGCGACCTCCTCTTGTGAGATCTCGTCCCAGCATAACGATGCACCCGAGTGGTAGTACTGCGTCGCTGCAGCTGTCCCATGTGTCTGCTGATCGGAAGCCTGCGCGCGGGCCTTCAGCCGGTCGATCTTCGGTCCGAGTACCTCAGATAGATTCCACTCCACGTCGGCATCTGTAGGACGACCAAAGCTTGGCATGAAGCGAGTAAAATGGCGCGCTCGCCGCAGAGCACGGATGGATGGGATTGCAATGGAGTGGTTGAGTGCATACAGTAGCTTCCTGCCTCCGAGACGCAGCGCAAGCAGAGCGAGATCGAAGTCAAAGGCAGAGTAACCGCGTACATGGTATATGCCCTCGATGCTCTCGTCAAACCGCCGTACAAGCTCGCTCGCGCTCACTTTGTCCCGTAAGGCCTGGGCGACAAGACGACCGATGCCTCGTGGATCTCCTGTTGCGATCGTCATGAGGAAGTGTCGGTGATCATCGAGTTTCTTCAGCATTGAGCCAACACGGCGGGTCAGATTGAGTGCCTGCACACGAAACGAGGGTGAGCAACAGTGACTCGGTATCGATGATACTGCAGTACCTTGCATGACCATTGAGACTGTTGAGTTCGCCCCGCAATCTCGATCTCCGCCGCCGGGCACGTGACATACCGCCGGGGGTGGTTCGTCCGTCTCGTCCTCTCCCCTTCTCTTTCCTCAGTCGAGTTGTTCGAGACTGAGGTAAGAATCCACATCACTATACTGTAGCACTGATACTGACTACCTACGAAGCGTCTGACCGTATCGTCTAGGTAGATCAATCTAAGTCGAGTTGTTCGAGACTGAGCGTCTGACCGTATCGTCTAGTCTCTACAGGTTATGAGCCCCGGGCGGTAATTTTGATCCCGCCCGCTTACCTGAGACTTCGTTTCGGCTTTTCAGACCCGGAACAACCTCGAGGCACCCATCAACGTGTGCTAACCCCGCCTTTACCCCGCATATAGTCACTCTACCGGCCAATGACGATCACCCCGACTTCGAGTCCCAGGGTATCGGTACCCAAAACGCCAAGGAAGCAATCGGAACTATCTCCGGCGATAAAGATGGATCTCAAGGCGACCTCCAGAGAGAAGATCTCGCTCCTCCACGTCCCGTCGTCCCTGCTCAGCGGCGGAGTCATCCTCGACCGCAAGAAGGACAACTGGTACGATTGGAAGACGTACATCGCGAACTCTCTCAAGATTGCTTCGCCTGGGGGTACCTATCCGGTGAGGAGTCGCTCCCTCTGTCGACGACGACCCCAGCTCCGTCGTGAACTTCCGACGCAACGAGCAGGTGATCATCGCCTTGCTCAGCTCGAAGGCGGTGAAAGAGGAGCAACGCTTCATCGCTGGGTTCACGGACGCACGCGCTCTCTGGGTCGCTCTCTGCGCTCGACACGAGAAGCAGCCTGGCGCATACGCTCAGGTCCGCCTTCTTCAGGATTTCCTTGCCTGTCGTTACACTGCCGAAGAACACTTCTCGGAGACGACTACACGCCTCCAAGAACTGGCCGAACGTATCTTCCACATCGGCATCCCGAACCTCGAGGTCTTCATGACCATCGGCATGCTCAATTCCATGAACGGCTACCTCACCCATCTGCAGTCGCAGGTTGGTTCGTCGCTCACGGCTTCGGCCACTTCGGGCATCCCTTACACGTCCATCGACATCGCTGCTCGCCTCGATCTTGAGCAACGACTCCTCTCCGACAGCAAGGCGTCCTCGTCTGCCATCGCTCTCGCAGCCTATTCGAAGCCCGGGAAGCCGACGTCGTCGCAGAAGACGTGCACTAACACCAAGTGCCCACGTCCGAACGGCCACACAGCTCCGGAATGCTGGGCCCCCGGGGGCGGCATGGAAGGTCGTCGCGAGGAGGTGCTCGCGAACAAGAAGACCGGGAAGCGTCCGCTAAGCCGGCGGCCTCTTCCTCTGGTACTGACCGCGACAAGCAGGGCCGTGCATACATCGTTGACGGCAAGACCGGCCATGCGTACTTACTGAGCACGGTTCCACCGTCGACCGCCGAGTCCGCTCTTCGGGCGACGCCACTTCCGAAACCGACTTCGCCGGTCTTGCCACTGACACGTCCCCTGAGTGGCTCGCCACGGTGGCGGTCCCGGCAGATCTCTTCGAATATGAGACCTTGGTGTCCGTCGAGGATGAAGAGTCAGTCTCTCTCAACTGGACGGCCCACAGCCGTGCTCCTGACGACCCTGCTGCTTTCTCGGTGGCGCCGCTGCCTGCTTCGGCTCGTCGCATCTCTACTGAGGGACTGAACCCTTTGTGTTCGATTCCGGCGCGTCCACGCACCTCTCCCCTCGTAAAGCCGATTTCCATGACCTCCGACCCATCTCTCCTCGTGGCATTAGGGGGGTGAGTGGCTCCGTCATCTACGCCTGCGGTGTGGGCAAGGTACGCCTTCACATTGGTCGCGGCGCCTCTATCATCCTCGAGAACGTCCTCTACGTGCCTCAGGCCACTGTCCGCCTTGTCAGTATCTCGGCCCTCTGTGCCTCGGCGTCTCGCTACTCCGTGCTCTTCACGGACACTGGAGTCCGCATTCTCAAGCCGGGCGGGGCTGTTCTGGCCTCCGGCACGTTGACTTCCAAGCGTCTCTATTCCCTCGATGGGACGCCTCCCTCCACCGAGCACGCCCTGTACTCTGGCCGTGTGCCGACACTCGATGTTTGGCACCGTCGTCTCGGGCACGTCAACCACCGCACGATCCACGACATGGCTCGCTTCGGGTCCGTTTCAGGTATGCCTATCATTCTCTCCCCACCGTCAAAGTGTGAACATTGCATTCTCGGCAAGCAGACGAGAAGCGCAGTTCCTAAAGTACGGGTGGGGGAGAAGGCGAAGCGGATTCTGGGCACCGTTTTTGTGGACGTGCAGGGGCAGCAGGACGTGCGCTCGGCTCTGGGCAATTTGTATTCTATGAACATTCTTGATGATTACACGTCGCATACGTGGGCTATTCCGGTGCCCTCGAAGGTCATCCTTGAACGTTTCAAAGCGTGGGTCCTCGCTCGTGAGGTCGAGACCGGGGAACACCTAGGCATCGTGCAGGTGGACAACGGCGAGCTGCTCTCCAACGACTTCAAAGCGTGGATCGAGGGCCGTGGCTCTCAATGGCGTACGACCGCGCCGCATACATCCGCGCAGAATGGTCGCATCGAACGTTTCCATCGTACGCTCATGGACCGCGCTCGCGCCATGCGGCTTGCCGCCAATGCTCCGCCAAATCGCTGGGACGAATTTCTCGTCACTGCGAACTATCTGTCCGTCCGCACGCCATCTCGCTCCCTCCCGCCTGGCGTCACGCCGTACGAGATGTGGCACGGCAAGAAGCCGGATCTCTCACACTTACGGGAAATAGGTTGTAGGGCGTTTGTGCTCATTCAAAACCGCCACAATCCCAAGATATATGAGAGGTCCGTGGAGTGCGTGCTAATTGGGTACGGTCAGCACTCGAAGACATATCGGCTGTACCACAGAGGGACCCATAAGGTGGTCGAGTCGTTTCACGTCTCGTTCATCGAGTCGCACGAGGCTCCCTCGGTTCCTCCGGTCTCCGGTGTTCTGCCATCGTCCTCGGCTGCCCCGCCCGCACCAGCTTCGCCTGCGTCTGCGTCTGCGTCGGCGTCCGACACCGTGATTGACGATGATCCAGTGGCTGCTGATCCGCCTCCGTCCTTCATCGCTCCTGTGCCGGCTGACGCGCCTCCGATGCGTTCAGCTCCGGCCGTCCCTCCTGCGCCTGCGCGGCCCGCTCCTGTCCTTGCTCCCGCCCTCGCGCCTGCCCCGCCGCCGGTACGTCGCTCCTCGCGCTTACCAATGCCTTCGCAGAAGCAGGCGGCCGCCGTCGGCGTGCCGTTTGTCTCTCGCCTGGATCGCACTCTGGAGCAGATGCGCGTGGCCTCTCCGCGTCCCTCTTCCCCTTCCGGTATCCCTGTGCCTATTCCCCCTAGCGCCCCGGCCGCTGCCCCTGCTCCGCCTCCTGTGGTCACTTCCGACCTCGACGTAGGCGAGCCGTCTGCTGACGCCGCACCGGACCTTGCGTCTGCGCTTGCGGCGTTGGCTAATGACGATGTCTTGCCTCTCAATGTCGAGTACCCGGGCGATCCCGCCTCTCTTGCGGAAGCCGAGGCGTCTCCGTTCCGGGATGAATGGCGCGCCGCCCTTCGGGACGAGCTTCAGTCCATCAAGGATCTGGGTGTGTACCGCCTCATCCCTCGCTCGCAGGTTCCGGCGGGGCGTCGCGTCATGAAGGGCAAGCCCGTTTATAGGTTGAAGCGGAATGAAAATGGCGACCCGGTGCGTTTCAAGGCCCGTTGGGTCGCTAAGGGTTTTCAGCAGGTATACGGGCAGGATTATAATCGGACCTCCTCACCCACAATGCGCATGGAGTCCTTTCGTGCACTCCTTCATCTAGCCGCATCTCTGGACTGGGAAGTCGAGCAGTTGGACGTGAAAACTGCCTTCCTTTACGGCGTCCTACCTGAGGAGGAGTACTGCTACATGGAGCAGCCTCCGGGTTTTGAGGAGCCTGGCAAGGAGAGCTGGGTTTGGGAGCTGGTACGTGGCATTTACGGCACCAAGCAGGGCAGTCGTACATGGAACGACACCATGAACGCGCACCTGCTGAGCATCGGCTTCACCCGCCTGCCCTGCGAGTACTGCGTTTACTATCGCAAGACAGAGCGGGGGACTGTCCTCACGGGCGTGCACGTCGACGACTTCCTCCTAACGGCTAGCTCGGCTGCCGCTAAGGAGGAGTTCAAAGACGATTTGCGTCGCGTCTGGAAGATCGCTGACCTTGGTGAGGCTCGGTTCTGTGTTGGCATTCAGATCGATCGCGACCGCACTCGTCGGACGGTTGCCGTCTCGCAGACTGCCCTCATTGACAAAATTGTCAAGCAGTTCCGCCTGGACGGCCCTGACTGCGCTCCGGTCTCTACGCCCATGGAAGCCGGCCTGCGTCTCTCTCGCTCTCAGCACGCTCCCAAGACTCCTGCTGCCAAGGAGCGTGCAGCGCGTCTCCCCTACCGCTCTCTCATAGGCTGTCTTATGTACCTTGCTATCGGCACCCGCCCGGACATCGCGCTTGCGATTCAGCACCTCAGCCAGTTTCTCGACTGCTATGCCGAAGTCCACTGGGAGGCCGCCAAACGCGTCGTGCGGTACCTCAAGGGCACGCGCCTCTTCCGGCTCCACCTCGGCGGCGCTGATGCGGCTAATCTGAATGGCTACGCCGACGCCAGCCACGCCAGCTGCATCGACACTCGTCGTTCTACAGGCGCTATTGCTGGAATCTCGGCTCGGGCGTCATATCTTGGTCCGCGCGGAAGCAGCCTACGGTTCGACTTCCACGACTGAAGCGGAATACGTGCGGCCGCTGAGTCCTCGAAAGAAGGGTCTGGCTACGTTTCTTGCTTGACGGCCTTGGTTTCCACAGCACTCGGCGTCCCTCATGCGCGTCGACAGCACCAGCGCCATCACCCTCTCTTCCGACTCCACCTTCCACTCTCGTGTGAAGCACATCGATATCAAGTGGCACTACTTGCGCGAAGTCGTCCTCGCCAAGCGGATCGCTATCCAATACGTCCCGTCTCACCTCAATGTCGCCGACGCTTTCACGAAGGCGCTCGAGCGCAAGCCGTTCCAGCTCTTGCGAGGGCTCATGGGCCTCAGGCCTCCATGCGAGGAGGAGTCTTCTAGGTGAGGAGGAGTTCCTCAACAGGAGGAGTCCATCTTCTCGTCTGCACTGTCGCGTCACCCGTTCTCTTTTCCGATCCTTTCACCATTACGATACCTAATGTCTCTGACTCTTCATGGACTACTTCTGATTCTCCTTTCCCGTTTATGCGATACCTACATTATACGCGATACCTACAATTTCTTATGTTTCCCCCTACGTACTTCACGTTCCCCTCCGTCGTCTCTCTCGTCATTCGCGCCGAGGAGGAGTGTTGAGTTCGCCCCGCGATCTCGATCTCCGCCGCCGGGCACGTGACATACCGCCGGGGGTGGTTCGTCCGTCTCGTCCTCTCCCCTTCTCTTTCCTCAGTCGAGTTGTTCGAGACTGAGGTAAGAATCCACATCACTATACTGTAGCACTGATACTGACTACCTACGAAGCGTCTGACCGTATCGTCTAGGTAGATCAATCTAAGTCGAGTTGTTCGAGACTGAGCGTCTGACCGTATCGTCTAGTCTCTACAGAGACAGCTTCTGTTTCAGGTGTTTCGCGACATCGCAGAGTTGGGCGTGCGAGCGATATTTGTAGATCGTATGCGGGCGAGCCTCTCGCGCCATGTGACCCAGATGTTCGACACCATCCGTGAGTGATAGGCACTCAGGACATGCTGCGTCTTCACTGACCGTGAGTGACCCGCTGCACTGAACAGAACGTATACGGAATGACACTCCGTCCGAGTTCACGGCACAAAAGCGGTAGCCTAGGAACCCGGGGATACTGAGGTCGTGACGCTGGAAGGGGTATGATTGGAAGAAGTCCTCATGCGGCCAGTTAAGTGCAATACCAGGACAGGAATGCGGCACGTTCGCAAAGTCGCCTTCCCAGAGTGATAGCAGTGCCGGGTCGACAGCGTAGGGCTCTGACGCGCAAGGGTCTGGAGTCTGTGTTGCTGCGGAATGAGGTGCGTCACCGCCTGCAGGGCTCGGATGTGGTTGCAATGAGACATGCGCCGTCCGAGTCGAACTACGCTGCGGCAGCGCACATACCACTCGCGGTGTCGCTGGTGATTCGGCGTCTGACTGAGTGTCGTAATCGGAGTCCCTGCATCATTAAGGGTCAGAACTACGCAGCGAATGCAGGCCGCATGCACTTACGTTGTGTATTCATCCGTGTAATCCGCGGGCGTGGATAGATCGAAGCTGAACAGTGGGAGCGCAGGTGACTCCGAGTCGGAGGGCATAGGCTGCACCATGGCCGCCTGCTCCGACAGGGGAGCTATGTCAGACAACGAACCAGGTACGTGGTAAACCGGAGATGGCCCTGCAGGAATGGGCAGCATGGCTTCACGCGCATGTTGCGTCTCGGTATGCGCCTGCGCTTCGAGGATGGCCGAGGGATTGCATCGGCGCCCCTGCATGTGCGCTTCCAAGGGCTGCGTCGTCTGCCGTAGCTTAGAGCCAGTACGAATCCACGCATTGCAGCGCGGACACAGGACTTCCAGGGATTGCTTCGTGTTGCGCCGCCATGACAGTAGCGGAATCTGCTCTCGCGAGAGCTCTCGTGTGACGGGTGATTGAGAAAGCGAAGATGCTGACAGTGAGGATGTACCAGGAGGTGGGCTAAACGTTGTCGACGAGCCGCTAGCCTCGGCATGCAGCAGAGGATGAAGAGGAGGTGCGAGAACAGGGTACAGTATGGGTTGAGTTGGAGGCAGCAACTGGCCTGGATATAGGGATTGTAGCCCACCATCGAGTTCGTCGAGCGCAAAGCCCGCGAGGTCATCGTTGTTGCTGCCCGCAGGATCCCACGTACTCTCCATGTCGGGGCAAGGGTCGAGGCGACGCGACGTCAATCACAGCAGCAGCACAGTAATATAGTGAGTTTTTCGTCATTTTCAAAGGCAATTGGCAGCCCGCCGAAGCCGCGAGCAACAGTCGTGAAGCCAGAGCGAGTCGACGGGGACGCATCGCGCTGACCAAGGTCGCCCGCCGCGGGACTGAGCGCCGGAACGAAGCGGAAGGAACGCGTCAAGAACGCGTTCAACCAACATTCAACGACGCGTAGCTCACATGACCGCAGGCTTCACGTGCGACTTAGCGCATTTCGTACTATTCAATTCCTCCTCGGGATCTCCTCGTTTATGTCGACTTCGGACCCTACACGTGTACCTAGCATACTTCTCAGTCCACATGTATGTTCTCTAGAGTGAGATGTACAGAATGTAGTAGCTAGAGACAAAATTCAACGAAAGCGACTGCACTTCACGCTGGTGGCTGAAAACCGGACCCCGTACACCACCCCCCCACCCCCCTTTCGTGAGGAGGACGTCTCCGATTCAGATCTCGCCCCCAAGAGGGATGCGTCCCCGTCGACTCGCTCTGGCTTCACGACTGTTGCTCGCGGCTTCGGCGGGCTGCCAATTGCCTTTGAAAATGACGAAAAACTCACTATATTACTGTGCTGCTGCTGTGATTGACGTCGCGTCGCCTCGACCCTTGCCCCGACATGGAGAGTACGTGGGATCCTGCGGGCAGCAACAACGATGACCTCGCGGGCTTTGCGCTCGACGAACTCGATGGTGGGCTACAATCCCTATATCCAGGCCAGTTGCTGCCTCCAACTCAACCCATACTGTACCCTGTTCTCGCACCTCCTCTTCATCCTCTGCTGCATGCCGAGGCTAGCGGCTCGTCGACAACGTTTAGCCCACCTCCTGGTACATCCTCACTGTCAGCATCTTCGCTTTCTCAATCACCCGTCACACGAGAGCTCTCGCGAGAGCAGATTCCGCTACTGTCATGGCGGCGCAACACGAAGCAATCCCTGGAAGTCCTGTGTCCGCGCTGCAATGCGTGGATTCGTACTGGCTCTAAGCTACGGCAGACGACGCAGCCCTTGGAAGCGCACATGCAGGGGCGCCGATGCAATCCCTCGGCCATCCTCGAAGCGCAGGCGCATACCGAGACGCAACATGCGCGTGAAGCCATGCTGCCCATTCCTGCAGGGCCATCTCCGGTTTACCACGTACCTGGTTCGTTGTCTGACATAGCTCCCCTGTCGGAGCAGGCGGCCATGGTGCAGCCTATGCCCTCCGACTCGGAGTCACCTGCGCTCCCACTGTTCAGCTTCGATCTATCCACGCCCGCGGATTACACGGATGAATACACAACGTAAGTGCATGCGGCCTGCATTCGCTGCGTAGTTCTGACCCTTAATGATGCAGGGACTCCGATTACGACACTCAGTCAGACGCCGAATCACCAGCGACACCGCGAGTGGTATGTGCGCTGCCGCAGCGTAGTTCGACTCGGACGGCGCATGTCTCATTGCAACCACATCCGAGCCCTGCAGGCGGTGACGCACCTCATTCCGCAGCAACACAGACTCCAGACCCTTGCGCGTCAGAGCCCTACGCTGTCGACCCGGCACTGCTATCACTCTGGGAAGGCGACTTTGCGAACGTGCCGCATTCCTGTCCTGGTATTGCACTTAACTGGCCGCATGAGGACTTCTTCCAATCATACCCCTTCCAGCGTCACGACCTCAGTATCCCCGGGTTCCTAGGCTACCGCTTTTGTGCCGTGAACTCGGACGGAGTGTCATTCCGTATACGTTCTGTTCAGTGCAGCGGGTCACTCACGGTCAGTGAAGACGCAGCATGTCCTGAGTGCCTATCACTCACGGATGGTGTCGAACATCTGGGTCACATGGCGCGAGAGGCTCGCCCGCATATGATCTACAAATATCGCTCGCACGCCCAACTCTGCGATGTCGCGAAACACCTGAAACAGAAGCTGTCTCAATGGTCATGCAAGGTACTGCAGTATCATCGATACCGAGTCACTGTTGCTCACCCTCGTTTCGTGTGCAGGCACTCAATCTGACCCGCCGTGTTGGCTCAATGCTGAAGAAACTCGATGATCACCGACACTTCCTCATGACGATCGCAACAGGAGATCCACGAGGCATCGGTCGTCTTGTCGCCCAGGCCTTACGGGACAAAGTGAGCGCGAGCGAGCTTGTACGGCGGTTTGACGAGAGCATCGAGGGCATATACCATGTACGCGGTTACTCTGCCTTTGACTTCGATCTCGCTCTGCTTGCGCTGCGTCTCGGAGGCAGGAAGCTACTGTATGCACTCAACCACTCCATTGCAATCCCATCCATCCGTGCTCTGCGGCGAGCGCGCCATTTTACTCGCTTCATGCCAAGCTTTGGTCGTCCTACAGATGCCGACGTGGAGTGGAATCTATCTGAGGTACTCGGACCGAAGATCGACCGGCTGAAGGCCCGCGCGCAGGCTTCCGATCAGCAGACACATGGGACAGCTGCAGCGACGCAGTACTACCACTCGGGTGCATCGTTATGCTGGGACGAGATCTCACAAGAGGAGGTCGCATGCTACTTTCCTCATGCGGATTGCGTTGGCGGGCTTTGTCGGGAACACTGTCATCTCGTCGATCTCAGATTACGCAGCTTCCAGAGCGCTGTCGACATCGCAGAAGCCCTTGACAAAGGAGAGGTCCATTTGGGGAAGGAGGTCTCCGTCCTCGGTGTCATGTCCTTTGGTGACGAGCTTGGCCGGGGTGCACTCCCCATTGCTGCGTCGCCTACCTGCAAGTCTGAGACTCCTGCCGAGAGTGCAGAGACGGTACGCACAGTACTCCGCGTGTGGAAGAAGAGCTTCGCAATGTTCTTCGGCCCAATGTGGTCCTTTGCGTCAGACGGAGATGCTGGCCGCCGGGCGATGGTGTATGACCTGTTCATGCAGTATGTGATTTCACCATCGCATGCCTTATACAAGATACTCGGGCATCTACCGGGCCTCAATCTCTGTGTCGGCGACGACGATGTCACAGCAGATTTTGATTGGAAGCATGAAATAAAACGTACGTCTTCATTGTTCACACTTCGCAACGTAGAGATGCAGTCCATTGATAATGTCTGTTCGGCTTCGTCAGGCTTGGCTCGTCTGATGCGGACGCAAGAAGGCATTGTTGTCGGGGATACTATTGTGAACATTCACTGTCTCTCTCGCCACCTACGACGTGATCCCAAGCTATCTGATCTCGCGGTTGAGCGTCTCCTCAACCCCTCTGATTCTCAAGACGTACCTCGCGCGATTGATCTGTTACAGGGCATAGCCTCGCTATCAACTCTACCCCAGGAAGGATGCACACCGACCGAGCTTCAGGAACTCCGGGCCATCGCAATCATTGGCGAGCTGCTGTCGGCCTTCACCAATGCGTTCATCCGTCCGGATTGGTCCCTTACCCAGCAGCTCACATCCCTCAGCAAATTCGCGCACATGTCGTTTACACTATACTGTACACACGAACGAAGCTTCATGCCCCACCAACTGTATGGCGACCTGATGACAACAGTGAAGAACGCGATCTTCTGTGTCGCGAAGCAACAACTCTTGGACGGATCACAGAGATTCTATCTCTACGACACGGGTGATGATAAGCTCGAAGGACTCTTCGGGAACGTTCGCATGCAAGGCGGACATAACCCCAACTTCTCCTTCAAACAGCTGATCGAGCGACTTGGTGCTGCTGTTGATATAGATGCGGTGTTCTCGGCCCACCCCGAGCTTGATAAGGGTTCTCGCCGTCGCAAGGTCACTCGAACAGAGCACGCGGACCATCTAAATCACAAGTCTTGGACGGGCGATGTCATCGCTGACCATGTAAATCTGAAGTCGGCCTGGGCAGATGGTCGTCTCGCGGCTGTGAAGGCGCTCGAACTCATACACATTGCCACTGCATTCGACCAATCCTTCGATTCCACGCGCTCCATAGACATGCTCCAGCCAATACGACATGGGAAATTTCCTGGAGTCTCGACCGAGATAGATCGTTCTCTCGAGGAAGTGGGCGCCGCGGCTGCCACACTGGCATCGGACGCCAGCACTGATACTATAGTACGCCCTCCGAGTCGGACTTCACAGCCTCAACAACCTCCCATTACGAACATGTCACCGACGTTCTTGGCAGCTGTTCTCGGGCCGACCCAGGCCACTGCCAGTACACTACCAGCCCCGTCTTTGCCGATCTCAGCAGTTGACTCCGAGGATGGCACCTTGAAGTCATTGGGCCCGCCGCCTGCGCCAACTCCGAGTCGCGAACCTCACGCTGTCAGCTCCGAGTCCGAGTCCAACATGGAAGTCACATCAGATGACTCGGAGTTGGACATACTTGTCATAGAGGAAGAGCATTGCGAGCTTCTTCCATCCAGTGCCGCGTACAATGATCTCTCCGAAGACAGCTCTGACAATGCTCACCTTTCCGCTACTGTCCCACTTGAAGACCGCCTGGATGAACCTGAAGATCCCAGTCACCGTCTACCTCAGGCTGTATCCTCACCAGCTATCGAGGACACTTCTCCGTGGCTATGGACCGAACACGGTCACAAAATTCATAAGTCGACAGCCTGTATACAGGTCATCACTCCAGACTGGGTCCGCAAGCCGCACGAGCGCATCTTCCGTGTTCGATGCTATAGTTCGGACGTCAAACCCCGCGACGTCAACTCGGGCAGTACCCTTAATCCAAACATGTTCATCCTTGGTCACCTCTTCGCGACGCTTATACGCTGTGACGGTCACGCTGCACTCGCCATAATGAAGTCGATCGGAATTCATGAGAAAGGAAAGCCAGTGTCACGGATACAGATACCAAATCTAGCCCACGCGGCGTCTGGCATCAAGCTTACTGGGCAAGTTCTCGAACTCTGTGCTGTAAGCCAGGGATCAAAGCACATGGCACTGGACGCTGCTTCGGAGGAATCAACACAGCCGCCGTCTTCATTACCAATCGAAATGCAGCGGGACACGGGGGATTCAAGTCCCGTCTGCCTTGCATCAGCATCCAGCGCGGACGCCGGAGTCTCTACTTGGCTATGGACTGGATCACTCGCAACCATCAGCTCCGACCATGAAGCTGCTCGTCACGGCGGACCATCGCGCACGACGACTCAGCCTGTACACAAACTGTCGCACAAGATGCTCTCTGCGAAGGTCTGCAGTCATGTCTGTCATGTACTGAACCCGAACATTGTCGACGCCCGGGGCATACTGATGGAGCAGGAACGTCCTCACCTCAATGAGACGGGCTTAACATGGGAGTTCCCATCATCCGCACTCAAGGATGTCATCGACGATCTGTGGCAGACAACACTCCAGGCGGACTCCGTCGCCCTGCTTCCTCTTTTGAAAACGGGTAATATGCAGTTTCCTTATAATATCGGAGGTACGCATGACTCAGACAACGTCTACTCGGTCAGCTCAAGCTCAATCTCATGTGTTATGCTCAGGGCGTCCGATGCTCGTCTCTGAAGATGCAGCCCAATACTTGGAAGCCCAGAGAATGACGGACGACACGAAGCGAAGGTGCTATCAATGCCTTGTGGAGGTGGAACCAGCGCGGATGCGGAACCACGTCGGCGAACATATCCTCAAAGCATTGCGAGGTGTACATGAAGACTTACAAGGACAGCATGTGAGTATCAAATACTTCGAGACGTAACGTACAGCAACTCACCACCACGATATGCATTGAAGATCGCTCTGCCCGAGCTGCCATGTGGCTTCTGTGGACGTCCCGAGCGGCTGTGTGTCGCGCCGACAATGACCAAGGGTACGGGTGGGAGCTCACCACAGGCAAGAAGTGAATGCCCTTACTATAGGCTCTTCTTCTATCAACCGAGCCTCAAGACGTCCGGAACTACGCCTTGCACGAACGTGCCGTTTGTATGCAAGATACCCGGGTGCAAGACTGAGAAAGAGGGGAACTGGACTGCGATATGGAAGTACAATCTCCGTGAGCATATGCGTGTCTTCCATCCCACCTATAGCATCGACAACGCAGGACTCGGACTGGACGCACTGATACCACTTCCGCCAGCGATTATTCGTGATATGTACATCTCGGACGAAGAAGACAAAGGCTTGAGAATACCTGACAGTCACATTCCGTACAAGCCATCACTCCCACCCCTTCCTGAACCCCTTGGACCTACGTCTGGTGCAGCAGCCTCGTCGTGGACAGCTACAGGCTCGCGGGGAGCTAAGAGACGGCGTGTTCAGAAGCGGTGATCAGGCTGTGTACCCGGCGAACATGCATATACTTTACCATTAATCTACATATTGTACAAATCAAGTATGGTACGAGAGTGTTACGAGTACTATAGAAGTAATCGTTAAGCCGACCGCGACCTCACACTGTCCTCCGAGTTATGGATGCGCATTGCGTGCATCTGGAATACATCGGGAGGAACTTCCGTATTGGGACTGCACCTGGGCGCTTGCTATCCCAAAACGGAACCCCCCCCCCCCTACCCAGTCTTCGGGGTCTCTGGGATTTGGGAGGAGGACGTCTGAAATTTTGTTATCGCCCCCCTCTTGGGCCAGGTGTCGCGGGTTGTCGCCGCCGTCGAGTTTCCCGCTGAGCTCGCTGTTCTCGCCTCTGTCCTGCCGGCACAGCTCACTGACCAGACCCGTCCGCATCGCCGCGCGACCAGCAACGTGCCTTCCGTCCCGCCGACGGAACGCAGCCCACGCTCATTCCACTCGTTTCTGCCTCTATCCTCTTGTCTCATCTAATCGGCTTCACCCACCATGTCCAGTAAGTCACCCTGCGTCACTCAACGTGCCCTCCCAGCCCCCTTCTCTCCGCTCACCTCCCCACCTCCAGACCCGTTTTCAGGACTTTTGTACGTCTCGTGCGCATCCTGCTCGTATCGATGTGTATTCATTCCTTTTCAGCCCCTCGGACGCATCCACCTCCGCTACTGATACGAGCACTAGCACGAACACGAGCACGAACACTTCCTCATCTTCCTCGTCCACGAGTACCTCTTCCTCCTCCAGTACCAGCTCTAGCACCTCGTCCTCGTCTAGTTCCTCGTCTAGCTCTAGCTCGTCTTCATCCTCGAGTTCCTCATCCACTTCCTCGACTTCGTCCTCTTCCTCTGCGTCTCAGACATCCTCCTCCTCCTCCTCGACGACTAGCAATGGCTCTTCAACGGGTGCCGCCAGCGCAACCAGCACTCCCACCAACAGCAACACCAATGTTGCTACTAGCCTGGCGACCATGACCAGCGATGGTGCCACGGTCGTCGTAACTCATACAGTTCCTGGAGCGTCGCAGACCCCTCACAACGATAGCGCCGGTGGTTCGTCCTCGTGAGTACACTTCATTGTTCCCTCTCTCTTCTCCTTCGGCATGGCTGGTATTGTGCCGCCGTCTTTCTCCTCGTCCCGCATTGCATGGGAGCGCGCCGATATGCTGTGGGGCATCTGTCTCTCACGTAGGACATCCCATCTCTATGATACGTTGCAGTCTATTCTCGTGAACACGACGAGTTTGGTCTTTTCCCACCGGCCGTGCTGTGCATGTGACTGTCCCAGCCTATCATCCACTACGCCGCACTTCCCGAACCGGTTGCTCACGACTTCACAGTTTCTTCCAAAACAAAGGCGAAGTCGCTGGTGTCTTCGCTGCGGTCGGTGTCGTGGCTGCGATCATCCTGATCGCACTCATCACCCAGGCCATCCGCCGCCGTCGCGCCAAGAGATTCGACGATGAGGTCGCCGATGCTGCCGCCGAAGCCGCCGCGCAGGCGCACGCGCCCGACTTCACCGACGACGACTACGGCTATCCGGAGGATCGCACGAAAGAATTGGGCCCCTACTCTGACACAGCCAGCCACGGTACGTTCGCCCAGCCGCCCATGCAGCCCGGCGAGAGCTACAACATGGCAGAACTCCCGCGCTTTGACCCGTACGCCGTGGCATCCGGTGTGCCGGGCGAGCCGTACGCTGCTGCTGGCGCAGCGGGCGATCCCTACTCGGCGGCTGGCGCTGCGGGTATCGGCGCTGCTGGGCTCAACCGCGCAAGGAGCACTGGTCCAGGCAACATGCCGACGCCGTACAATGCGTTTGCCCAGCCTCAGGCGGCCGTGCCTCAGACACAAGCCTACTACGACAACCCGTATGGTGCGGCTGCAGCTGCTCAAGCTCAGCAAGGTTCATCCAACCAGCATGGACCCTCGAAGTCGACTGCCGGAACTGAAGCGAGTTTCGACCTGCTCGACGCTGCCGGACTCAGTGCCGCTGCCGGCGTGGTCGCTGGTGCCGCCGGTGGGAACCTCAACCGTAACAAGAGTTTCGGCGCAAACACGCTAGGCACCTCTGGCTCCGAATACAGCTCATCGCATAACACACACAACGCGGCTTACAACGGTTACTTCGGTCAGCTCCCTCCGGGCGCGCGCCCGCCGTCGACGGGCGACCCGTACGCGGCGTACCACAACACGTCGCCTCAGCCGCGTCCCCAGCCGCAACAGCCGTCGCCAAACCAGAGCGACCGCGCATCTGCGGCGGACCTGCCCAACCCTTTCGCGCAGGGAAGCTCGGGCTCAGGCGCGAGTCCTGAGCCGCCTTTGCTCGGCACGAAGTTCAACTCGCCGGAGAGCACCGCGGAGAATGGGGACGATGATGATGAGCCTATGGGCGCTTGGAACCAGGAGAGCCGGCATAGCCTGCGAGATGAGGAAGACTATGGTTACGGAGGCGGGCGCCGCGTCTTGAAGGTCAGTCTATATGTATCCGTGCGACTTTCATCCCGTGCTGACAAGACTTATAGGTGGCGAACGAATAATCCGCCTGATGCAAGCCTGATGTACCAATCTCTGCGTTGTAGTATTTAGGTGAGGTCGGGCGATTTGTCAGAGCGCAGGGATGGAGTCTGGGCACCGTCCCCGTGCGCCTGGTATTGCCCGTGCGTGCGTTTATTTATTTATGTTCCTCCCCTCGCATTTTTTGCATCCAGTGCACCGCCCGGCGAGTCCTCGGGCACTCCGCTGCTGTCGTTTGTCCTTCGTCGTTCGACGATTTCCCGCGCTCTGTTCGATTCGTGCTCGCGTCGTGCGTGTCTGTGCTACTTACTTTATGCCTTCGCATTATTGCGCTCTTTTTATACCGAACCCTTTATTGAACTCTTGTCCGTTCTGACCCGACCTCGTTGGTGGCGTGGACGCTCGACCGGTCTTGTTCAATACTTCTGCGTCCGTTTTGATCATGATGTCGATTCTGGGTGAAAAATTGTACGGTATCTGCTCGTGGCTAACGAATGACCTTCGTACGACTGGGACTACCGAGGCAAGTCGACGGAATGGACGTCCAAGCAATCTCCGCCGTCTTCGTTTTATACAGGTGCGTTCGCGTCACAAGCGTGCTCTGCGGTGTGATAATGTCATGCAGCCGTATTTTGTGACTAGCGCGACATTGACAGCGCCTGCTTGGCCGCCTCCTTCTAGCCCCCCTTATCCTTCAAAGCTTCAAGCCCCAAGCTCTGCCAACTCGGGAATCCATGAACAGTTTCTCTTGGCTCGTTGTCCTATGGGGTCAGCACACCGTACTTCTGGTATTTGCAAGTTGATTTCGCATGCCAGAGCTCAATCTTCTGGACTGTCACGATCTTGTGCCCCGTTGTTTAGTCTACAACAGTCATGATGGCGTATGGGCATGCTCACCTTCAAAGAATAGCAGCGCACGCTGTTGTATTTTCAACCTGCGATTCATCACCGAATGACATCGACCGGAAGCCGCATACCCATCGTGGTAGCATGCCAGAATAGGCCTAGTACGTACTTTCCGCGACTATACCTTCGTACGATTCGTTAAATCATAGAGCAGTCTGTCCAACGACGAGAGAGATGGTCTGAGTTGCGACCGAGAAGACGACGACCGACATGGCAGTGGGTCGGTGACTGCGTGCATCATGATAGTTGACTTCCTGACGATGCTATCTACTACTTTATCTGTGAGCTCTGATTCCTGAAGCAAGCCATCGGTCTGATTGTTTAAGTTGGTTGCTGCACTTCACGACACCCCAGTCGTGCACGAGGTGTGGGTGCATGGTTTTAGGTCAAGGTCCGAGCAGCTGCTCTGTACTTCTGGTGCTCGGGCATGAACACAGCGTCGAAGAACCGGTACACAAGGGCACATCTCAAGTAGCCCTCGGTCATACAGTCTCCCCTGAGGTAATTGAGAACCGCGCCCTGACGAGAGTGTTAGCTTACCATCTAACATGCCTTCGCCGCAGAGCGCATCTTGTTGTGATCATGTATCCAGCTTCTTCGGTATCTGTGGCGGGCAGTTCCCATTTGAGCTCGACGTTCAGCGGTTCCGAGTCGCATCTCATGCGCGCTGGATCAACGATGTACGTGAGATGCCAAGCGGCGTTGAGCGCTGCTGGATTGACGTGACCGTACCTGCCGCCCATTCGAGTACGTGCGTACGGAAGAACAGAGAATCACTCACGTAATTCGCTATGCGGTACTTATGTAGGGAGAAAGTCTTCGCCCTCCCACTGACGCGTCAGGCTCGGCGAGTGCGGATGCAGTCTGAGATAAGTATTCCTCCGACTCACCCACGTAGCTTGTGAGACTGACTTCGGTCTCGATTTGTTGGAGTACGCACACATGAAACATCCTACGAACGTCGTTCGCAACCCCTTATGGGATGCTCGAGTTTTTTTTGACAGATCCGCCTTGTTGCCTTCACTGCAGTACTAGTGGAGTGTGCGCTTCCTCGCCGCAGCGAACAAAAGGTTCCGTTACTCGTTTGCACTCAAGTATCTCCCGCGCCACGCAACGCAACGTTCTTCCGGTGACGACAATTGTTGGAATCCTCTACCTTGGAGCATCACTAACAGCATCGAGACCTTGTATCCGCTGTCTGGTTTGCAGGTTCATGTACTTGGTGATTTCCCTGTGATTTCCGGCGCGGTTGTGCCCCCGCCAGCGCCTAGGGCCTGAGGCTTGTGAGGTCTGATCTATGATGCCGCACAGCACGGTCGCCCAAACGATCCCCGAACGATCTCGTCGACAGGCGGACCGACCGTCAGCGTCCATCCCAGTGTTGTGCGGATCTATCGCCAACGTTGGCAGTTGGTGGCTTGGCTCCCTGCACTGAGGGCTAGCTCAGGGCAGGCGACGTAATCATCTCGTCCTGACAGGAATACAGAACCGCACCGGCGGAGACGCGCGGTGGGATTCCGAAACATACAATAGTTCTTATGTCGCGGCCCTGTTTCGGTTACTGCAAGATCCATCAATCACCAGGAACTACACGATCTCGACGGAGGGCGGTGTCGTATATAAGGCTCCCCGCCGCGCTCCTCGCGCGAGGTGGCCGTCTCGTTCTGTCTCGTCTCTCTCCTCTCTAGATGTGTCTTTGACTGGCTTTTGGATTTTCACTGATGCGACGTTCCGCTGTGCGTGCGGCAGGCGTATTAGCCTTCGCTGCTTCCAACGCCCTCCTAGTTGCTGGGGATAATACGACATGTCCAGGACCCCTCTTGGATTGGTACATGAACTATGTGGGCGAGACGCCATGTACGTCCGCTTTACCTCCGGAATGTCGCTGGCAGTGCTGAATCGTTATTTGCCAGGTATGACCTACCAACGTCTACGACAGCTCTGCGATGCGAAGTGTGAGTCTACTGTGTCTAGTTCTTTGAATGCAGATTGCTCATGCGCGGACTTTCTTTCAGACACCGTCCCCCTGTTCCGCAAGACAGCCCCAGGAGACCAGTGCGACACCCAATTCTGTATGTCCTGGAATTCTCGAGTGCTCTCCTACTGCATTCCTTACAATTGACCCAGCGGCATGCTGCTGTAACTCCGTTGCGTGGTCGCTGAGCATGCTCTGTATGAAGTACGCAGTCAGGGTTTCTTTGTCTGACTCTCATGTCTCACATCCGTATCCAGTTGCCAAGAACACGCGGTCTCGAATGGCTCAGGGTCCATCGAAGCTCGTACGCACCATTCCTCGACTCAGGATGCGTGGACGCACTGACACAGGGTGGACAGCGGTGGGCGGTTACTACAAGTACAGGTTCGCGAACGCGACGTCTCACACAGGCTACTGTGGCGACGGGAGCAACGGAACGTGCGTCGCTCCGGGCGAGGGCTGTATATCGAATTGGGAACTAGCTGGTTAACCGACGATTATTTATCACAAACAGGCTCCCGTCGCAGGTCCAGAGCGCCGTCTGCAACAGCAATATCAAGATCGCGGACTGGCTGTACCCGGACTACTTCCCGGATGGTTCATGGTCGGTCTGATTGTCCTCTTCTGATTGCAAACCGCTGACTCGATTCTCCTGACGTCACAGGTTCTAGTATGTCCATCTTCTGTGCGCATTCTCTCAATGTTACTGACGCGCGAGACAGCACGAATTTCATGAACCAGGCGCAGCTGAACCAGACGTCCTCGAATAATAACACCTTCACTCATTGCAATTCAACTAATCTTGCCAATAACTCATCGTCGTCATCTTCACTACCTTCAGCAACATCACAAAGCCAGGGAACGACGAGCTCCGCCCCCGCTAGCTCTGTGACCACAGGCACTGTAGCTGGGGCGGTCAAGAGCAGCTCGAGCAACACTGGGGCTATTGCGGGCGGGACCGTCGGCGGCGTGCTGGGTCTCCTGCTTATTCTACTCGGCGTCGCGGTGTTCATGAGGAAGAGGAAGGCGGCGGCCAATGTTGTGGCGGGGGCGAGATCGGGGGATGTACCGCCGTTGACGGCCGTCGAACAGCCCCGGGCACCTAACCAGCACGGAGTGGTGCCATATGATGTCCCAGAAGCATACCGTGAGTACTTGCCTTCGTTGCACGACCTGAGCACATTGGTCTGATCGAGGCATACGTGCAGCATACGCGGTGCTCGGCCGACCCATCTCGGGCAAACATGGTATATTCTCGCCCCCATCGGCAACGAACCTCACCTCCGCGACGAGTGCCTCTGGGACGATGCACACACGCACGGACAGCACGAGCAATATGTCGAGTGACATGCGGCAAACGAACACGTTCACGATGCCCGTGGTGCTCGAGCCGGAGCAGGACGCGGGGCGACTGACGGCGCTGCGGCCACCGCCAGCGTACCGGAGCTCGTGGGACGATAGAGGTTAGGACGGCCAGTGAGGACATATCTAAGTACCTATGCCACCCTCGATGCAGAGGTTAATTTATGCGGAGCGGGCCTCGGACTACGGAGGAGTGACGAGTCGCTCGATTGTCGACCCTTTGTATATTTTGCAGAGGATTATCGTAGGCCCCTGTCGCTCGTTCCTGTACTATGGTCGTGTATATGATGCGCGCGGTACGGGTTAGTATGTTTGCGAGGTTTGTCGGGAGTGAGTGAAGACGGACGTTGATTGACAGGAGGATCCTGATCTCGATCGAGGGCCGCGTCTGATCAGAGGGGCGATCGACGGGAGGGTGCCTCTGCGCATCATCTTGCAGCCTGTGCACGCCATCCACTCGCCATGCCACACTCTGTGACACAATATACCCACACCTCCCCACCATGGTCCTCGCCTCGGCCCAGCTTCCAATTCCCACCTCCACGGAGAGCCGTGTCGCCCCGCCCCATCCTCCTCGCCCGTGTCTCGCTGCGCCCGAAGAGCCGCCACTGACGAAGATCTACGTTTGCAGAAGCGATAGGCCACAATATGAGCGAGAAGAGCAGCCATAGCGTGGCGATAGTAGGTGCAGGGTGAGTGCCTTCCTCGTTCTTGCATGCGCCCGTCTTAACTATGTCGCACACAGGCCCGGGGGAGTGATGATGGGCATAGCTCTCAAGAATCAGCTTGGGATCCACGATTTCATGGTGAGTACCCCAGCCTAGTATCTGCATAGGTTGTCACCGGTGTAATGACCTCGCATTGTAAGATCTACGACAAGACATCCGACTTCGGCGGGACCTGGCTCGTAAGATTCCTCTACCTGTTCACCTGCCTCTGGACTCAACACGCCCCACGCAGGACAATTCGTACCCCGGGAGCGCATCCGATACGCCTATCCACTTCTACGTCCCATCCACCCACCCCAATCCAAACTGGTCCGTCACTTTCCCTCCCCAAACCGAGCTCCTCGCCTACTGGCGTGGTCTCGCAATCAAGTACACCCTCTACGCGAACGCGGCGTTCTTCACTCGCGTCGTCTCTGCGCACTGGAACGGGAAGACTCAACGGTACGACATAGACCTCGAAGATGTCCGGACGGGCGAGAGGAGACAAGAGCACGCGCGGTTCCTCGTGAGCGCAACGGGACTGATCAGCGAGCCACGGTATCCTGAGGCTATCAAAGGGCTGGGCAGCAAAGGCGAGAGCCATTTGAGGGAGCGGGCGGGTGCTGGCACTCCGCGCGGTGGAGGCACGATGTTGACTTCCATGGACGAAGGGTGGCGGTTATCGGCAACAGCGCATCCGCGTAGGTAGACCACACTACGTCGCATTCCCCATCGACCCTGACAGGCGGTTTGTAGGGCGCAATTCGTTCCATGTCTATCGGCAGACTCTACCACGCACGTCGCGAACTTCTGCAGAACACCCAATTGGTTTGTCTATGGCGTACGTGCTATTACACGGGAGTGGTCGAGTGTGGCTCGCTCAACTGACCTGTTTGATGTAGCCTCGCCACCGATATCCTCCTGCGTTCCGCTGGGTGCTCGCACACGTACCCCTCGCATTGCGTGTCTTCCGACTATGTGTCATCTTTGTGTGTTCCACTTCTTTGTACCGCCTGCTGTGCGCAAATTGACCTACAGACTAGATTAATTATGCCCGCCCGATCTGGCACACACTCCGTCAAAAAGTCAAGAGCAGAGGTAAGGAGGGCCGAGAAGCCGTGAGTAGCATCGCAGTTGGCTGCCCTTCCAGCCTGTCTGACCGTCGCGCTGCCAGGACTTGATCGCGTACATGAAGCGCACCGCTCCGGCGCAGTACCACCAATGGCTCATCCCCAACTATCGTACGCACCCCAGCTCCGCTTCTTACATCTTGGTTGCTCAGAGACCGCCTGTCCTCGTAGCGATGACATGCCGTCGACCGATCCTCGACGTGGGCTATTACGCCTGCCTGCACAAGCCCAACGTTGAGCTCCGTTGGGAAGGCGTGCGCGAGGTGACCAAGACCGGGCTGCGCCTGGAGGATGGGTCGGAAGAGGCGTTTGACGTGATCATCCTAAGCACGGGCTTCGTCACGGTCAGTGTTAAGGTTGTCTCTGCACGGAAAGACGAGCACGGCTGATGCGAAGGGCTAGGGACGAAGCCTGTTCGAGCTCCACGGAGAGGCGGGCGTGGACTTGGATGGGTTCTACAAAAGCGAGGGACGCCCGATGGCGCATCGCGGCGTGTGCGTGCCCGGGTTCCCCAACCTCTTCCTCATCGCAGGTGAGCCTCCGTCCAGTCTTGTGCGCCTTCATGTCCTCACCCTCCGCCTGCAGGACCGAACACGGTGACGCGCAACGGCTCCGCGGTCTTCACGCACGAGGTCGCGGTGGACTATATCACGCAGCTCCTCGCGCCCCTCCTCTGGCCAACTCCCGGATCTGACGCCGGCGCCCTGACGCTGCGCGTCCCGCTCGCTGAATACCGCGCCTTCAACGCGGAGATCTCCTCCGCGCTCGCCGCGGGCGCGGCCGCAACTGCGGCGTGCCCGCCGTCGTGGTTCCGGGCGGATGGGGGACGGGCGCGAACTTCAGCTCGTGGCCCGGGAGCATATACGGGTTTTGGTGGACGATGCGGAGGGTGCACTGGGAGGAGTACGAGGTGAGTGACGAGAAGGGAGCGGTGGTGGATGTTGGAGGGGGAGGGGGGGTGACTTGGGATGTTGGTGGGGATCGGAGCAGCGGTGGGTTGGTGGGAGAGGGGGCATGTGAGGAGATTGTTTGAAAGCGCACGCTGGGTACACTAGGATGCGATCTACGGAGGGGATTTAGTGGTGCAGAATGCAGATGTATGTAGACAGCTGCTTGGGTTGGTAGATTACGCGCACAGGATGAGGGGTATCGATGATCGCCGCCGCATGATGTGCGTGTATTTATCGCCCGTACGGTGTCGAGGGAGCTCGGGGCAAGGTCCATACTGAAAGTGATTCACTGTAGCCAGAGATAGGCTGGGCCTGCCAGTGCGAGATGCCTGATGCCACGTCACTCCTGTCCTGATGCTGACAAAAGTCGAGAATGATGAGTATGGCAAAACGCGCCAATAACGACACTTGAAAAGCCGCGGTAGGCGCACCATGCAGCCCGTGGAAACGTGTCGCAGAATGTACTTCCGGAGAGGCCTGTGCAACGAGCGGGTCCTGCCCTGTCCTGCCATCCCGCTCCCGAGCGTGATGTCCATTGGTCAGACCGAAGACATGTTGTGGCGTGTGGTTTCATGAATGAGCGGCGTGTCGCGGTGGCTGGATCTTGGATGTGAGGACATGAGACGTGCCTACTATAAGCCGCTCTCGCAGGACATGTTCGAGTTGGATAGAAGGGTCCATAATCAATTGATTCGGTGGCATGCGCACAAGGCTACTTGGTGGGATTGACGCACATGAAGCGCTCCCGCGGAAATCGTCTCTTACCAGCTCTTACCTTGCGCTCCGAGGCAGTGCCGTGATTGACACACTCCTGTATGGCTGTGATCACTAATGTATCAAATTCATCCATGCCAATCGCAGAGCTCCTGTGGGGGTTCCAGAACACCCCATGAGGAGGTCATCGTGATTCGTGCTTGTGCAGAGCCTGAGGTGTAGCTAGGGCACTGGATGGTAAGCGGGTACCGACCTGTATGTTTGCCCAGCAACATATGCCGAGTGCAAACTTGTGCGCGGATCACCAGTGTTCCTTTTGCACCGAGGTCGGTCCCCGCGAGCGGCCGACAGTAAGTATCTGACAGTGCGTTCCGACGTCCTGCCACTGGGTGCTTCGAAGTCCACCACGACGGTGTGATACCCGGTGCTCACCTGCCTGTATGTCCGGAACTTCATGCGGAACAGAAAGGCGGAAACTCGGGCATGGTATCCCGGTGTGCGCGCGCTGTATGGCAGCTGCATGCAAGAGCTTTCAGCGCATCACGGAGTCTGGGAAGCCCGAGTATGGGTCAGCCACCGATCCCGAGAAGGTGACTCGCTCGAGTCGCTCTTCGCGGCTGCTGGGGGGGATGGGCCGTCGCAATCTGTACTTATGTGACAGACATCTCCGCCGGTACGTTGTGCTCGAGAGGGCATGCTGCATGCAGGAACATTGAACAGGCCTGGCAGGGCGTCTATCGAGTGGCAACAGTTTCCATACCCGGACTGATCAGTGGCGTTTAGCATCTTGCCCTGCTGCCCCGGCATGCGCATGAGCCACGAACCTGCAAGACGCGTACGTAGTACACCGTACAGCATCCGCACCCATTCCAATTATTTTCCATGGCACTCAGATATTGACTGCGACAACCATGCACGACTGGTCAGTTCGGCTGGCACCGTATATGGTGTGACAGAGCTCAAGATACCGATTGCTGATGGCTGTACTCCGTCGCACCGCCCCTGTCAAGAGTCGTTGTATGATCGCCTCCTCGAGCGGGACCGCATAGCATCGGACATCATGCAGTCCGCATTTGATGCGTTGAAATGTTCAGTATCGGAGTACTTTCAAGCTGCAGCCTGGTTTGAGATCATTTTCTAGCCGTTTTGGTGCGACTCGCGCACGTCGGCGAGCAGACTTTCTACCTAACCGAATCGATTGCGGGCCCCGTCACGGAGGCAGTGGCCATGGACGCTTGTCGGCTCTTATGGTCTTGCAACGGAGACTAGCAGTGGCTGCAATTTGTGAAGTATACCAAAGTCCAAACTCTCCAATCCAGTTATTGGTCCAATATTGGTCTAGTCGGGCGTGCACCGGTCCTGTCTATGTCCGAAACGTAGGTTCGTATGAGCGCCTAGTCGCCGAACACTGGATGACATGCTTCACCTGTGCTTCACCCACACTTTCCAGGCTCGCTTGGCATGATGCCGATACTGCTGCCGCCGGCGCAGGTCGCGTTCAGCGCATCTTTGATGATAGAGAAAGCGCTCGGCCGCGCATAAAAGAGGACGGAGGGCATGCAGTCCGCTTAGCTCCCAGCCCTCTCTTTCAGAGCTCACTTTTTTCTCGTACAGGCACTGGTTGGTGAGTATGATCAGCGCCTCTCCGCGGAATGTCCACTGACAGTGTCGTTGTAGCCGTGTGCTTTAGTTTATCAGCCTATTTGCATCTCTTTCGTTACGACCTCACGACCTCTCATCTCACTCTATCCTGATCACTGCACCGTCACATCTCTCATCCCCGCCATCTCCAACCTCAATATGCGCTCTTACACCGCTATCCTCATCCTTGCGGCTGCGGCGTCCGTTGCGCCAGCCCTTGCCGCTCCCATTGCATAGTAAGTCACAGTCCAGCTCTTCCTCATCTAGTAGCTCATAGTCGACGTATCATAGCACAGCGGAGCTCGAAGTCCGTGGTGACTTCGACAACCTCGAGGCCCGCGCATTCGACGACACTCTCGCTCGTCGTGAATTCGACGAGGAGTTGTTCGCGCGCGCTCTCAACGATGACCTCGTTGCACGTAGCAAGATCGGCAGGAAGATCGGGGGTTTCTTCAAAAAGGCATTCCATACCGTTGTCGGTGTCGCCAAAACCGTGCTCAAGCGCGAGGACATGGACGTCCTTGCGCGAGAGCTCGGCATCGACGAAGAGGTCTTCGCGCGCGACGTTTACGACGGTCTCGAGGCGCGTGACTTCGACGACGATGTTCTCTTCGCGCGCGATCTTGGCCTTGACGAGGACCTCTTCACGCGCGACATCGATGAGAACCAGTTTGTTGCTCGTGCCCTCGGCCTCGACGAGCACCTCGTTGCTCGCAGTAAGATTGGCAGGAAGATCGGTCACTTCTTCAAGAAGGCGTTCCATGCCGTTGTTGGTGTCGTCAGTAAAGTCCTCAAACGCGAGGATGCGGAGGTTCTCGCCCGCGATTTCGGCTTTGACGAGGAGCTCTTCGCGCGCAGCTTCGACGACTACGAAATCTCTCGGCGGGACCTGGAAGAGCTCTTCACTCGTATGCCGATGGAGGAGCTGGACGCGCGTGCCCATGAGGAGACCGAGCATGGCTACCAGGCCAACACCCCCTCTACCGAGCCTCACCCTGTTGCACACGGGACTTCCGGCGCAGCTCACACTGGGGAGCATCACCGTGCCGCACATGAGGCTTCCGGCGCAGCTCAAACTGGGGAGCATCACCGGGCTCACAATGCCGCACACTCTGCTGCGCACCGCCGCCCTCACGAGGCTCACCAGAACGGCGGGCACGCTCAGCACCCCCACCAGACCAGCCACCGCCAGACGGGCGACTTGGAGGCGCACGACCACCTTACGAGTGCTTCGTCTTCTCACCGCTCGAAGGAACACTCGCAGCAGCACCCCTCTGCGCAACGCCAGACGCGCGAGGACATGCTCGACTTGCTTGTCCGTGCGTTTGACGGCGAGTTCGACGAGCTCGATTGAGCGGCGGATCGGTGACACTGGGCGGAGTAAGCCCACGGTAACTTGTCGGTGGGATAGCTGTTGTAACTTATGGTAGTAACTTGAATGTGAATGGCTGATATTGTGTACCACGGTGTGCGCGAATCGCTGTTTACAGTGGTGCGTCGTCTCTACAACATCGCATGGAACTACATAGAGCGTAAAGCGTATTCAGAGGTCCGTGGTGAGGCAAAGAGCTAAATGGAACGAGTGTATACAGCTTCAGTGTTCGTCTGATACTCATGTCTCAGTGGTACGGGATTCATGCGTATACAGTATCGTACATGCGCTATACCTGTGACAGGCACAGCGCAGGCACATCCGCGATGAACGTTTGAACGTTGAACTTCAATACGTCATAGGGACTGGCGCTGTATCGAGATGGCGATCCCAGACGTCTCGCGGTAACTCCGCGTAGAACTCGCCCAGGAAGAACTGGCCAGCCATCTGATACAGTGCTACCAGCGAGACGTTGTCGAAGCTCAGCCCGCCAGGTCCGAACGCCCAGATCAAGTCACTCCGAGGGGCACCAGTGGTGGCGTTCGGTGCCGCTTGGGCGTACTGTAGGTTCCGTGTCAGTGGTTGTTACGAACGGGGGGAGGGAGGGGGGAGAGCAGGCTTGCCTTGAAGAATCCGTGAAATGCCGCGAACAATCTTTCAGATGCGTGCTCGTGAGCTATATCCGGAGATGTTGCGGATGGTCAGAACGTGGCGAAACCTGTTCCTAGAGAGCAGTGGTACGCCGGCCACTTAGATCACTAGTCGGTCACTCGTTCGAACGACTATAGGTGCATAAGGACGTACCGCCATACAAAGCTCGATGTAGCTGTAGGAATGACCGGTTCCACCTCGAAATCACCGCCTTCTATCCTCTGTCTGTCTACGAGGATGAGCTCGTTAGCGTCTGTCAGTGGCGAAGGGTGGCCTCGATGCGCGGGGAGTCCAACAGCGCAAGCGGGATCCCGGTGCCTGGAATCTGCCCAGCGAGGTCGAATGTGATGCGTTGCGTATCCAGCGGTGTGATGCCGTCCGGACAGAAGTGTAAAGTCACGTCCATCGCATTTTTCCTTGAACGTAGCTTGGTATACGGGTCCCAGACATGCTGTGGTACAGTCCTCGTGACGAAGCCGGGTCTAGGAGGCGGCGGCCCAAGATACCTCTCCGGCGGGTGATGTTGCACTTGGTGACTTGATGGAACCCTTGCGGAATCTGAATGTTTGACGGAAGATGCGATTGTAGAGCGCTGGCGGGGGGAAGGTGTTGGAAGATATGGTGGAGGGTAGGGCAGGAGAAGCTGGCTCTGGACACCGGTGCTGTTGGTATTGACCATGGTGGAGGCATCGGAGGAATTTGGTCTGCGGATAACTCGTGAAGTCTTGGGGGCCCCTGTCCAATGAGAAGAGATTCGCGGCGAACATCGATGGATCGCCTGAGAACGGTGCGTTCATAGCCAATGGAGCTGAGGTGGACGCGCTATTCATGTTGTGTGTCGCTTGTGAGGGAAGACGGCGGAAGTATGGCCTAGGACAACAAGTGAACTGCGTTTTATAGTGTTGCCATCACAGACCAGGACGGCCAAATACGGTGCAGTTAGTGGCGTCCGCTCGTGTGGCCACCGTTCTAGAAGCCCGGAGGACAAAGCACGGCAAACGTCACATGGTACCTGGCCACCGCAGAAGTTACCATTTCTAGTCTGTGCCATACTCGCAACACGCTTAGGTCTGGGATGGCTTCGAGGCTCATCAATGGCCCATCCTCGCCCGTCATGGCTTCGAGTCGGCCGTCCACGGCGTCCATACACCAAGATTGCCATTTATAGAACCTCGTTTGTGTACGGGCGTCGCGTACGCTCCGAAGATCTTGAGATCTAAAAGAAGATCCGGATCAGGGTGTTCTAGCTGCTCTGGACTGTGCGCTGCCAGTGGCTTGAATACTCACGAAGCACGGAAAGGCTAAGACCTGGAGGAACAACGGCCAGGGAAGCCGGAAACGCCCATCGATCTGGCTTCGTGCTTAAGCGTATAAGCTTCCGAAAGGTCAAAGCTAATTTGTATGACGAGGCAGGTGGGGATCCATAGGGACGACGGCCATTGATAGTGACTGCGCTACTACAGTGTATGGGTAACCTTGCCTTGCGAACCTTGCCGCCGGCAGCGACGCAGGAGCCCAAGCCTAGTCTTTCCTGCCGAATGAAAGTCATAACATTGCCCGCGTGCCCATACGCCTGCCGCACTACATAGCCAGCTAAGAGCGCGATTGGATCTGACATGCGTCAAGAATTGGACTCAATTCACTCTGAACGAGATAGATGACGGCTCACCTGCAGAAGATTGGTGGCCATGACGAGGACGCGAGAGGTCGATTTGTGTGACCAGTCGCAATCAGCAGCACATTTCTGGTCCATCCAGTTCGAGCGAAGTCCCATGTTTGGTGCTGATTCAAAACGAAGCTAGTGAGTGTTGAGGATCATCTCATTGACCCACCTCTATGGAGGATCTGGCCTAGCATGTGGGCGACGGGGAAGCTAGGCAGTAGATCCTGCTTGGTCCTCAAAGGCGGTGCCGTTTCTAGAGCTGTGTAGCCGCCCGCAGCCACGAATTCGTACCAGCACAAGCGTTCAGAGACACTGAGTACGGGTAGCATGCTAACCTCAAGTGCCAGTGGCGAAGCGCGCCAGGCTGCGTGACTGGGGCACGTGCAGACGTCACATCGCGTCAACATCGCGTCTGCAGCTATTTTGGTCGCGAAGAGGTTGCGAAGAGTCGCGAAGCTATTCCGCAGACGAAGTACTGGCCGCAGCTTCACATTCACGTTTGCTGCTAGTCTGCTTTCAAACAGCCACAAAGCGCCACGGATTCTGGTCAGCACGTACGCTGTCCCCGTTCGTCGGAGATCTCGCATTCTTCGTCATACGAGACGGCCGCCGCGTAGACGTCCAGCTTACTCTCCCCATCCTGTGCCATGCCAACCGTCGCGTTAATGCCCTACCGCAAGGCAGCCAGGAGCGGCGGCCGCGCACAACTCGAATACGATTCGATACGATCCTTGATCCTTGCTCACGTACGACTGCGCCTCTCTGTCTTCTCCTGCCCATCGTCGCGATCTTGCTCAGCACCTCCGCGACAGAAGCGGTGTGGCTCCGCACACAAATTTGGCTCGCGTTGGCGAGCCATGTTGTGGCCGCGTCGTTACCAGGTCCGCTGCGCGCTCCAGCGACCCTATGAGTCGACACCGCGCGTTCCATTCCCTCATGTCGGCGGCAGTGGTAAGCTGCTTACTGATTCGCTGGCGTGTGTCAGCACGCAACTTCCACGGTTGTCTTGAAAGCCACGCACTGCCGGGAAGTCCCATACAGGGAAGGGTGGCTCAGCTATATAAGGCGGAGGCTGCACCGGCCAAGTATACACACCAGTCCCCCTACACCCTCACCTTCAGCCCAGCTCTTCACTCAACATGTCGCACGGCAAGCAGTTCACTCTCTACACCCACAAGGGCGGCCCGAACGGCTGGTAAGTACGATCAATCCGGCCCGGTGCACTTCATTGACCCCGTTCACTCTCGATAGGAAGGTCGCCTTCGTCCTGAGCGAGCTCGGCCTCACGTACGAGAGTGTCTACCTCGACTTCAACAAGGGCGAGCAGAAGGCGCCCGAATACACCCAGTACAACCCCAACGGGCGCATCCCGACGCTCATCGACCACAAGAACAACGACTTCACCATCTGGTTAGTACTCCCCTCGCATCGTGCAGGTTTATGCTGAGTGAACGCATTGCAGGGAGTCCAACGCGATCATCGTCTACCTCGCCGAGAAGTACGACACCGCCCACCGCATCTCGGCGGCGACGCCCGAGGACAAGATCAAGCAGCTCCAGTGGCTCTTCTTCCAGGCCTCCGGCCAGGGGTACGTCTCGCATCTTGCTTGTCAAACTAGGCATTCTGACGTCGTCCGCCGACCAGCCCGTACTTCGGCCAGGCGATCTGGTTCAAGGTCTACCACCAGGAGAAGGTCCCGAGCGCCATCGAGCGGTACCAGAAGGAGACCGTGCGCGTGATCAGCGTGCTCGACGGCGTGCTCAAGAAGCAGGAGTGGCTCGTCGGCGACAAGGTCAGCGTCGCTGACATCTCGTTTGTCTCGTGCGTGCCCCGTCTCCCTCGTCCCAGGGAAGTCAGTACTGACGCCGGCGCGGGTGCGCGGTCGTAGGTGGAACAACGCTGCGTTCGGCATGGTCCTCGTGGACTTCCTGGAGGCGAACATAGAGCACGATTACCCGTCGTTCTGGAAGTGAGTGTCGCGCCTTGGGTATCTGGGTGAGATGGCGGAGGCTAACGTGCGGTTTCCAAGGTGGCACCAGAAGCTGGTCTCGCGGCCCTCGATCAAGAAGGTCTTGGACGAGAGGGCCGCTGTCACTGCATGAGGCGTGTGTAATCAAGGTTACATTAATAGAGGAAGGAGAATTGACGACGTGTATGTTATTGCTGTATCGGAGGAATTGAGCTGGGCTCGCGCCGCAATTCGCTTCTTCCCTCGAATGGCTGGAGTCGTGTGGGATCGCATCCTTTCCTGCTTGGACTGGTGTGCCATCCAGCGAGTGGCAGCGCATGCTTTTGTCAGTGGGCCGTCATAAAGTTTCCAACTCGCGTCCAATCCCATTGGTCGGCCATTGCGCGCTCCGATTGACAGTCCACGCAAGCAACCTTCGATGTGCTGCAATTATCCTCGTGAGCATCGTAAGCCGTGCCCATACAGTGGGCGATAAACTCGAAACTCGATTGCGGAGATACGAGATAGCGCGTCTTTGTGCTAGTGGACATGTCACATTAGCTGTAACAAGACATATGATTATGTTGTACGATAAGTATTGACTGCAAGAAACGTCGCCTCGTCACATCGAGACTACACTCACAGGCTGAACGGCAGGAGCTTCCGTCCACCGACAAATCCGTCGCCTCCCAGACCCCATCCCTTGTTCCAACCCTCCTTCGTCTGCCTCCGTGCCTTGATCTCCCAGAACAACGAGCCGTCGTACACCCGCCTCAGGTCCTCCTTCGAGACCCGCCCGTCCTTCTGTACGAGCAGGTACGTCGCGCCCCACTCGAACACCGCCGCGCTCCAGCCGAACGGGTCCACTGCAACGCGCTGGCCATGCATGAGGCGGAGAAGCTCGCGACCGGAGAGCGAGTCCGCGGGGGTGCGGGAGCCTGAGGACGTGTACTTGGCGAACATGTCTTCGAAGCGCGAAGGGATGAAGCGGCCCTCGGTGTCGTACACGCCCGAGTCGGAGCCGTGCTTGGACTTGTGCGCGCTGGAGACGTAGAAGCGGAAGAAGGGGTCGGGGAGGTAGCTGTGCGCGAGTCTGCGGAGAGGGTGTGTTCGAGGTTATTGCGGTTAGCAGAGGTTTGGTAGGACGTACCGAGTCGGGAGCGAGAAGCATACGTTGATTACGTAGACGGTAAGCAGGGAAAAGAGGATGTTGAACCCAAGGTCCCGGAAACCGACGTAGGTATCCCAAGGCCAGATCTGCCCATCGCCGTCTCGATCCCAGAACAAGATATGCTGCTGCAAAACCGACTGTATCCAGTCAGCGAAGGAATATACGACCGGTACCCCTATACTCACATAATCCTTGTATTTTTCCACATACACGGCAGTGCCTCGCGGATGTTCGACGTCAGGTGCATACGACGCACGCGCGACATAGGGCTTCTCGACGCTCGCGTCCGTGTCAAGACGATATGGCCGTTTGAGGGTCTGAGGAGCATGTATCGCTACTGTACCTAGAGTGTCATGGTCGATGACTCACAGTGAAAACCGGACCTGCCCGAACTAAGCTGACACCTGCCCGGAAAAGGTCTTGACAGCTGCTGTCAACGACTACACTACGGGCAGCTCTCGGTTGACTGGGGGCAGGCAATTGAAACACGGCCTTAACGCATAACCTGCCCCAACCTGCCGAGAGCAGGCGTCTTAGTCTGCGGGCAGGTCTGGGCAGCTGGGGGCAGGTCCGTAATCTGCTATAACCTGCTGTAAATTGCCGTCGATTATAATGCTACTACACTAATATACATTGCACTACTACTACGCCTCCCGGCCTCCCGCCCGCTCGTCCTCATCCGTTCGCCCCCCATTCACTACCTGCGACACGCTCGTCGGCTGCGTTTGCATGCGGGGCACTGGCCCTACGCGCTCGCAGTCGGCGTGTGTTGTACACGCCCTGTCCACCGTCGCCGTCTCCTGTGTGTCGCTCGCGCGCGCGGCTCGTTCGTCGACCACACTTGCGTGCTGGGCATTTGCCCTGCGCGCTCGTGGTTGCCGTGCGTGCGTCGCCGCCCAGTTGTGGTCCCGCCCGGTTGTGGTCCCGCCCGGTTGTGTACACGCCCGCCCACCCGATTGTGTGCCTTCTCGGCCTCCCTTCCGCTTACCTATGTGCGCGTTCGTCGACCGCGTCTGTGTACTGGACATTCGTCCTCCGCGCTCGCAGTTGGCGTGTGTTGCGCACGCCTCGGCCCTGTCCACGTCGCCGTCTTCCGTCTTTTGCTGATCCCCGCGCGATCCGTTCATCGGCCGTGCTTGCATGCTGGGCATTGGCCCTGCATGCTCGCGGTCGCCCTGTGCGTCGGCCCGTCCGCGCGCCGCTTGTTTGTCGGCCGTGCCTACACGCAGGGCATTGGCCCTGCGTGCTCGCCGTCGTTGTGTGCGTCGCGCTGCACGTCACCGCGTCCTGTGCTCGCTGTTAGCGAGCCCTTTCGCGTGTGGCTGGACTCACCTGGCTCTGGCCCTCGCCCTCGCCCTCGCCCTCGCCCATCCCCGCCAGCCGTTCATTCGTCCCCGCCGTCCGCTCGTCGTTCACGCTTGCCGTGTATTCGTCGTCCACACCTGTCGTGAGTTCGTCGCTGCGCCCAGGCCCGCGGTGTCTTCGTCGGCTAGGTTTGCGTGCGGGGCCTTTGCCGTGGGTGCTCGCCGCGCGCGTGTGCGCCGTGTTGCTGTGCCTGAGGCCGTTCGCGAGTCGACCTGGCGGATGGAGGGGGGCATGCCTCAGATTCCCTGCGAGTTTGGACGCTCGCGGGGTTGCCTCTTTTGGCAATACCCGTACGAGGGCGCATTTGGCGGACACCGGGCGTGCGGGATTGCGCCGGAGTCCCGCAGCGTCTGTTCGCATCGCCAGACCTAGAACAGCGTACTCGAGAGCATCATGCAGCGGCGACAACGGGTCGAGCGCCAGGCTCCGCCAGCAGTTTTGCGGCGACGTGTCGTAGTTCTGTTTGACTCGGACTAGATCTGCACGCCAACCCAAGGGTCAGCAGATAGCTGACTAGCCTGAGTACAGGAAGGCATTGTACCCCACGGGCCGCGCGAAGTTGCCGTTCGCACAACCCGGACTCACCCTCAGGCTCACCCTCGCTCGCCCGTGCAGCACATGCCATCGGCTGCGGCACTACAGCCCATCCACCCCGTCGCGGGTCATGATCCTACGTCTGAAAACAAAGGAGAGCTGGCGCGACACTCTTTGTAATGTACTACTCACTCACACACTCCTGGCCGCCTGCAGCCCACCCGCCCACTCGCCCTGCGTGCGTTTGATACGATTAGAGTGATTCAAAGAGTCGGAAGGGAGTGCGTGCCTATGCACGTCGTGGAATAAGATATCGGCGGATGTCGACGTGGCGGTGTGAAGCGAAGGCCGTCTGCAGTCGGAAAGACTTGGAGTCTCTCGAGTCTGCATGGCGTCATCGGAGGTCGGGCGTGCAAGTCACGGGGTCGGGAGGTGGATGGCTCAAGGAACTGGGCGGGGCGCGGAAGGCTAACGTGGACGCGTTAACGCACAAGTGAAGAGTGTTAGCGAAGCTAAAGAGACTTACGCGTACGGCTTACGATCGAGGCGTTCATGTTAACGAGATGCGGGGTGGCATTAAAGCACTAAGGCGGACGGCCATAGCGCGTAAGCGAGCTAAGATCGTGTCTAAAGTTACAAAACGCCATTGAGAGACGCCGAAAGAACCAATGCGGCAGGTGGGGGCAGCTCGGAGCAGGTGGAACACGTCAAATGGCTGTCAAGGCCTGCTCCAGGCAGGCCCTGGCTTAGTTCGGGCAGGTCCGATTTTCACTGTGGATGACTCCTCGGTCAAGCAGGGACGCGTTCATTAACATGGTGTGGACAGCTGCGGCTCAAGTCGAGAACCCGAGTATGTGGGTGTGGTGGTTCCGGAGTACGCATAGCATAGGACGACTATATAGGGCGCTATCACATGTCTGCCTGGCCAAAGGAGCGGGTGGATCTTTGCATCGGAATTGGAGACACCTAGTGTTTGGTGGTAGGGTGATACATAACGCGCCGCTGGCACATAACGTGTCGCTGGCGAGCTTAGTCGGGGTGCATTCGGGTCCTGCATTCCATCAATGTGCGCGAGCAATATTGGCGTACTTGCTTGATCAGAACGAGTAGACGGTGGCGGACAGCGTACATAGTATACAGTCTGCGTGGACTGTGATGGAGGGGAGACGACATCCATGACGCGCCCATTCCGGCGCTTAGGTTTGTCACGCCCGCGTTACATCATACATCGCCGAAGCGCTGGCCAGGAAGCTCTCAAGCTCAAGCTTCAAAGAAGGCTGGACCGCAACTCTGCTCGGATAGGAGTGCTTAGACATCTCGCAAAACACATCCTATGCTCTGGCGACCGGTTGTATCGACTACTATCCACCCAATTTGACCTTTAGTCCAGCTCGTTGTACGTGCGCGCGACGATCCAATCTTCCAGCTCTCTCGCTGCCTCCTCCCGCCTAGAAAAGTCACCCAGCACGGACGCGACGTCCCTTCCAACCGAGACGACCGTTTTGACAGTGCCTCCGACATCCTTCGCAGCGGTGCCGGCATTCTGTATGTCAGTGTTCGCCTCGTTCCAATTCGTCTGGGTATTGCTCGCAGGAGCGGGTGCGGGTGCGGGCTCAGCCTTGCCCCTTCCCTTCTTGTCTTTTCGTGCAACAAGAGAGCCGTACGCGCGAGCGTGGAGCCCGCCCTCGGACGCTGAGTGGCTGGGTGCGTGAAATCGGACTCCTTCAATCGGACGCTCGATTGGGTGCTGACGGAGACGATTCGCGGGAGTGCCGACTGGGATCCTGTGAATAATCCCGATGCGGTGATCCTCGGGTGCATCCTCGATAGCGGCACGAGCGAAGTGTTCTTCTTCGGGGTGGCCAGGTACAGCACGGTAGGGCGTCTCGTGCTCGTGCTCTGCGGCATAGTTGGGAACATGAGCCTGAGGCCTTGGAAGGTGGGCGATGTGAACAGCTCCCCCAGTGTGCGGGCGACGAACGGGCAGCTCTTCGTGATCATATGCGCGGACACGGTGAGCATAAGGATGAGACGACGCGCTGGAGTTGTGGGCCCGTAGTCCGCCCTCAGTCAGTACGTGGCCAGGTACATGAACGCGGACTCCTTCGAGCGGATGCTCGGCGATCGGGCGCTGACGGAGAGGTTTCGGGTTTGAAAAGACTGGAAGTCGGTTGACTATTCCTATGCGGTAATCCTCGGGTGCAGCATGAGCGAAGTGTTTCCCACCGTCGACATGACTTGCGGAATCGCCAGATCTAAAATAGGCGATCAGTGATTGTTACAGCCGATGAACAAGGTCGACATACCGAAGGACGGGTACTGCAAGAGACGGAAGCGCAGAAGTGGCAATGAGCGCGGCGGAGAGGACGGTTGAGGTACGCATTGTGGCTGACAATTGAATGATTGAAGGACAAGAGAGCGATCGTAAGAGATATATGGTCGCGAGACGTGCGATTGCGAGGTGTGAAGTGGTATACGTGAAGATAACAAGCAAGGCTGTGAACAGACGGTAAGCGAAAGTCACCAAGTTTTGAACCGCAATACGCACTAGCCAGTACCTGTGCTCGGTGAGCTCTGGAAGGATAATGAAAGAGAGGAGCGAGCTGAGGAATGAATAAGCACACGCACCGCTCTTATAGGGCTGGAAAGCCTCATCGTGAGCGTGTCAATTGAAATGGTTAGACACTGGCAGCAGATGCATACAGCCACTCCGGGATGGTACCTTGCTGGTAGCTGCTGTCGTTACAATGATAGTTTGATATCTGTAACCATGATAGCTGGATGAGCAGGTTGTCAAACAACGTACTGGTGAACTTACCTACAGGATTGATGAGTTGCGAGGACATCACGCCTGAACGCAGGCAAGCTCTGACCGTATCCAATTGACAGCGTGGAATATGAATGGAGACTACGTACGCTCATCGCGAAGCATACTGCCTGTGAGACCAAGCAGAATATGGTGCAGGGACTTCTGGTCTGAGATCTAGAGCCTCCTCCCTCCAGTCAATGAGCACATGCTGGTTCACCAAATATCGTTTCTGGTGGATACCAGTTGTCGATGCATCTCCGATGACAAAACGCACCAATGCAATCGCCCGGAACGCTTCCTTGATATGCATGACCCAAGTTGACATCGCTCAACGTCTGGCACCGCGAACCTTACAACACGAGTGGGAACGCTGTTACGATCTCGAGCACTTCAACGTGCCAATCTGTCAAAATGAAGTCGGTGAGCCACAGAACAAGTACTGGTTCGAGCCGCATGAAGCGGCAACTTTGTCCTGATTCAGTTGTCGAATCTGTTCACCTTGAGCACTCGTGGGCAACGAAGATGCCAACCAATTTGACTAGGTCGTCACCCAATGGTCGTGGCACACATGCTGGTGTGCAACGCGATCCTGAGCGCTGAGCTCCGACGAGAGATAGATGCCCTTCATTCTCCGATGACATAGGTACAGCCCTCTTTGCCGACCCAGACCTCATGTACTTTGCCCGCAGGCACGTCGAAGCGAGCACCAGGACCAAGCGTCTCCTTTTTGTCCGGGTCGTCCTCCGGATACGAGATGGTGAGCTCGCCGGACAGGATGAGATGCGTCGTCACACCGGCATGCTTGTGGGGATTGTGATGGTAGTCCCTTGCACATAGTGAGTTCCCGCAACAAGTGCGGAGACTCGGCGGCACTCACGGACTGTCCGTCCATGTGAAGACATGGGAAAAGCCCCAAGACTGAACCTGATTCTCTGCATCCTTGCGGGATATGCGAGACATCGCACCGAGTTGTCGTGACAGGAACGAAGAAACTCAGCTGGACAATAGGAGGAGTTAATGAGAAGGCAGCCCGCCCGGTGAGTCCGAGTCAGCAAGCGGTCAGTAAGTAGGCGTGTGGCATCCACGTGCGCGCGAGACCCATCGAGATCGCGTCTCTTCGGATTCCGCTGGCCAGCCACCGTGGAGTTACCGAACGCCTTCTGAAAGACGACGCAGTCTTGGTTGTAATGCCTCCCAGCCAACGTATCTTCGAGTCTGTCTCACTCTGGATCTGTACTTTAATGCGCCTGATATTGTCTCAGCTCGTGCTCTGCACTTCGCGCGTGACTCTGCCGCGGCGAAGAGCCTCTTTGACCTGACTTTGACCACTGCGATCCTTGTGAGCATTTGCACAGCTGCTGATTGCCTCTGATACGGTCGTAATGGAAATCTCGCCATGGACCGAGCAACTTGTGCACATCACACTGCTTGGTGACCTCTGCGATGGCTCTGACCATACTGTTCGTGAAATGGAGACCTCTTGAGGTGAGGCTGACCAAGTATCGTTCGTCGGAACTACAGTTAGCACATGGTGCTGGGGCGACATCGTTGTACAGTATCAGGGCTGCGGGAGCAAACAATGATGCGAGAACCATGGCCATGGCCACGTTTTTGTTGTGCGCCATTGATACTTCCTCGGTGATGCCATGTGAGTCGCCTCATTTCGTCTTGCATATATTGGCTCGGACGGGGCGCATGGAAGGCATCAACTGTACGTTTCCGCCTGACATCTTCGAACTGCTTCCGCTGACCCCCTATGTATCCCTACGCCACTGCTCGGGGCCGTCTAGTGGACTCGCCGCCACAACATCTACCTGGTGTACATCTTGACGATCTGGTCATTCTTGCACCACCCTCAAGTCCAGTCATCTCCGAGTACGAGTCACGCATCTTGTCCCAGAGATTTGTGACCGCGCCACGCGTCAAAGTGCAACTCAAAGTGGACATCGCACAGCCCCGGGCCGTCAAGATAGAGAATACACCACTCGTCCGAGTAGACGTCGTGCGTATCGTAGAGCCTGAGACTGTGCGTCCCCCGGAGGTAGAGACCAAGACGCCACTAGAGATAGAGGCAGCGCCACTCGTCAAGTCACCTACATTGTTGGATCTCCAGTCATGTCCCGCTCCCATTGAATTCAGCTTTGTCGGCGAGCCTCGAGGACGTGGACTGTTGCTTTCGGAACTGTATCTGGATCCTATACAATCTGTGCAGCGGATGCACCTTCCCGCAGAACGTGTCCTGGAACCTTTCGGATTGTCCAAGATTCATATCCTGTGCTCGGTACGTCTGCCATAACTTGTCGTGTGCGGTGATCAGCACGTCACATAGCGTATTCCAGTGGCCGGGAAACTCGAGGTTATATACTGTTCGGCTGCTCGAAGCCTACAACAAGCCGCAGGAACCGACTGCCAGGTTACAAATTGTGTACTTTATCCTCAAAGCCTATGTAGACATGCTTGAGGTTGGTGTTATTTACTCGCCGGCTGCCCTCGCGAGATCTACCGTTGACGGCCTTAGATTCATTGTTTGACGCAGGAAATATCACCGGTACCACTGAGCCCAGGTCAACCGGCCGACATTATGTCCCTGGAGCGCTTGTGGCTGGTTGCATTGCATTATGTCGAGGATAACATGTTCACCGTAGAAGTTCACAGGCGTTAACAGAGTTTCAGGCACAAGACTCCCTTCAAGTGTTTCAATGGCTTTGCTATCCACTCATTCTAGATCTCTGAGTCTGAAGGTACTGTCCGATGTCTGCCACTGCGAGTGCACTGACGCGCCGATCACGTGGGCGCGTCGAGGGGTTGTCTTTCGCGGGGAGACTTCGGTCCTCTTGCATCAACTCGCCGGTGATAGCCCTGTCATAGCCCCATTCCGTCTCGGTATCTCTGGTACTGGACACAAACTGGACAGGCTTCGATGAGTCCCAGCCGGAGCTCCGTTGCTGCAGCTGACACTTTGTTAGTCAGGCCATGATGCCACTGGTACTGTGCCGTCAGCCCGGCAGGGTTCCTCTCAACTTTATATATGCTCAGATGTGCAGTCATTCGAACGCTCATTGTCCACGTATCGACCCAGATACATAGATCGTAACTGCTCGGATAGGGTGCTACTGGCGGGATGTCTCTCCAAAAGCGGTCCATGCAATACGGTGTGTACAGAGAACTCATTCTAGCTCGACCATCGAATGACCAGGATATGTCGCAGTTCGCCTGGGAAAATCTGGGCTGAAGGTGTCCAAGATCATCCTCGGTTGCATGTCCTACGGCAGCCACGGATGGAACGAGTGGGTCATCGATGATCAGGAAGAGGTCACCAAACACATCAAAGTAGCGTACGTCCTACCCTCCTTGTTCATGCCTCTAGGTGCCTGCCTCTAACCAGTATCTCACAGATATGACCTCGGGATCCAGACCTTCGATACTGCCAATGTCCGTGAATGCGCGTTTCGCCCACTGCGCCGCTCGTAGCTCAGTGCTTCTGTTGTATCAGGTCTATTCGAACGGGCTGTCCGAAGTGATGCTCGGCAAAGCTATCAGAGAGCTAAAGCTCCCGCGCGAGGAGATAGTGATTATGACGAAGGTCAACGGCACTCACTCCCTGAACAGTGGCGACGGCCATTCTTATTATAGCCGTTGCAGCTCTTTGGCGTGGTCGCCCCGAAATACGACATGAATCTCATGCGAATGGGGGTCAAGCCCGACGAAGTCGGTCTGGTGAACCAACGTGGACTAAGCCGCAAGGTGGGTTTGGTGTACGTTGTTGTATGATCTCACTGCGAATGGATCGTAGCACATCTTTGACTCGGTCAAGAAAAGTCTGGAGCGGCTCCAGGTCGATTACATCGATCTACTTCAATGTAAGCTCCGTATTCGCTGGAATTGGTCCCTTTTGAGCTTCTATGCATTGCAGGCCATCGCTTCGATCATGAGACGCCGATTGAAGAGACGGTGAGTCTCATGTAGGCATGAATCATGGTCGACCCTGCGTTACTAACGGCGATCCCCCAGATGCAAGCCCTTCACGACGTAGTCAAAGCTGGCTACGTACGCTATATCGGCATGAGTTCATGCTGGGCGTATCAGTGTGCGTATAGCGCTTCGGGTAATCATTCAGCTAGTCACTGGGTACTGATGCACGCCTATCTACCTAGTCCACGCCATGCAGAGTATGCGTTCTACTTCACTGTGACTCACTAGATCGCTCAATTGACGAAAACATACGATAGACTACTCTATCCACAACAATCTCACGCCCTTCATTTCCATGCAAAACCACCACAGCCTCGTCTACCGCGAGGAGGAGCGCGAGATGTTACCAACTCTCAAGGTAAAGATATACCCATGGAACGACTCAGCTAACCTACCACCCCGACTGACGCCTGCTGTGCCTTCAGATGTTCGGCGTAGGTTCGATCCCGTGGTCGCCCGTCGCGCGTGGCGTACTCACCCGCCCGCTCGCCGACCAGACAAAACGGAGCCAAACTGATCCGTACGTCGTGACCATGGTCTACATGGCCGTCTATCTTGAATTGTTGATCATTTTCGGATGCCCACAGACCCGTGAAGGTATATGTGGGATACCCGGGCACACCTGCGATCGTCAACCGGTACGCAACTCAAATTCTTCGTATGCTTTCCGGTACTCATGTACAATGAATGAAAATGCCACCAAATTTTAGCGTAGAGGAGCTGGCGAAGAAGAAAGGCGTCAGCATGGCCCAGATCTCAATCGCGTGGAGTCTCTCGAAAGATGGTGCAGCCCTGATCATGAGCCTCGTGGCGACGATCTGGCCTAACACATTGCTCCCCCAACTACAGTTGTCAGTGCGCCCATCGTCGGAACGACCAGTCTCAAGCACCTCGAGGATATGGTTGGTACGTACCACAGCCTTTTCCGGTATTCGCCCCTCCTTCGCTGGGACTAATGGAGCTCTCCGGTACAAGGCGCAGTGAACGTCGAGCTCACTCCGGAGGAGATTAAGTACCTCGAGGAGCCGTACGTGCCCGTGCCGATCAACGGGCACCAGTGAACCACGAAAACAGCGTAGACGATGTTATGGGTGCTTGATGTGCCGGGTATCCTGTCGCTTGTGACTCTGCCACCATAGAAGCCCACAGAGGCGACGCGGAGGGCGTATTTTGATGGAACGCTCGTACGACCAATCCCAATTGCCGATGTATTATAGCATGTACTGCGGGCTCCACTGCATCCGACATCATCAAAATCTATGTACATTGAGTCATCGTGGTACGCTGTTGACCACTCTATCGGAGGTAGTTGGGAATGTCTCAATTGCAGGCGAGCCGTGTACAACATGTGTAGATCCCTGCGCTTCTGATATGCTTGCTATGTTATGTCAATATTTCCGCCACTGCCTTGCAGAGGGTACTCCGCCCCGATATGTTAGTTGATGTTCATCTGGAGTGGGCATGTGGACGGGTGCATTTGGACGGGTGCAACTGGCACTAGGCCCAACTCCGATTAGTGGCAATCTCATACCTCCGTAGCAAGTTCAAGGCTTACTCGAAAGGAAAGACAAAAGGTATGAGCGTGAGCCCTCAGGCCCCTAGCCAGAGCATTGCATGCATAGCGTTCGACAGCGACATGTACAACAGACAAGCCCTAGAACCTCGTAGACACGAATCATACCTCTACAACGTACACATCGCTCCCGGATGATCAGTCGAGCTCTTCGATCTCCATGCCACGTGCGAACAACATATCATCGTCAAATTCGCGTGCCATCAACTCCTCGTCGTTCCTGAGGAAGTGAGAGGCGAAGTGGAAGAGGCCTTTGGCGACATGGCCGGCGACCTTCCCCGCTTTGCTGCGGGCCTCGAGGTCCCGGGCGAGGACCTCATCGCCTTCGAGGGCGCGAAGAAATAACTCGGGCTCCTCTTCGAGGGCACGCGCAAGGACTGGGTCTTCGCTCCTGGAGAAGTGAGGGGTTAAGTTGAGACCCTCGGCGATCTTGCCTGCTTTGCTGCGAGCCTCGAGGTCCCGGGCGAAGACCTCATCGTCGTCGAGAGCGCGAAGGAATAGCTCGGGCTCCTCCTCGACGGCACGCGCAAGGACTGGGTCTTCGCTCCTGAGGAAATGAGAGGCAAAGTGGAAGAGACCCTTGGCGACATGGCCGGCGACCTTGCCTGCCTTGCTGCGAGCCTCGAGGTCCCGGGCGAAGACCTCATCGTCGTCCAGGGCGCGAAGGAATAGCTCGGGCTCCTCCTCGATGGCACGCGCAAGGACTGGGTCCTCGCGCTTGAGAAAGTGGGAGGCGATGTGGAAGAGGCCCTTGGCGACATGGCCGGCGACTTTGCCTGCCTTGCTGCGGGCCTCAAGATCCCCGTTCAATTCGCGAGCGTAGAGTTCCTCGTCGAAGTCGCGGTCGTACAACTCGGCTGCCATGGCGTCACGCGCCTCGAGCTCGCCATTATAATCACGGGCAGCAAGGGCATTGCTATGCAAACATGAGACATCAGCTGAGCAAACTACCTTCAACGCTTGACAGCGGTATAAAGACTTACGAGAGGGAGATGGGAACGGCCAATGATGGCGCGGCGGAGGCCGCGGCGAGGATAACAGCGACAGCGACGGTAGTACGCATGACGATCAGTGACTTGGGGTGATCGTGTGGGTTGGGTTTGAGTGTAGGGGATGTGGTCGTTGAACAGTCGAACGAGGTCGTGAAGGTGAATGCAATAAGATAAAACAAGCAAGGCTGTAAAGCACACACGATGCAGACGAGAAAGAAGGGCCATGAGTACGAGACACGACGCTACGAAACCACAAGCAGGTGACTCACCAACCAGTACCTGTGCTTGGGATGAGCTCAGAGAAGGGAAAGGGCTGAGGGCTGGGGGACCCGAGTTCACCAACCGGGCTTATATTCGGTGGAGCAAGCTGCAAGCAATCGGCAACATTCAGCCGCAAGTTCCAGCGACGTAACGCTGAAAGACCAAAAGGAGCGATCCCAGCAGGGCGTTCGTCATCAATCGGACATGCGTCAAGTACGCGATCAAACCTACAACTTGCAGCAACACCGCTCGATTACCATACGGGAGCGTCCATCGCCAACAGAACTAGATGCAGTGCTGCCGTGCCTGTGTCGACTACTGGAGCTACTTACCGTCTCACGCTTGCGTCGCCGCCATGATAGACGTCCACCAACTTGAAGCGCACTGGCCGCTCTGTGGCGTCTCCTATTGCATTCACGACCACTGAGCCGTGTAAAGGTGATACATGTCAATGATATATATCCCTGCTCACCGTCAGAACTAGCATAACACGATTTCCCGTTCACGGCCACATGTATTGAGGCTATTCCTGTACGTGAGAACCGGCGAAAACAACCTGACTAACGACGACGTAACGGAGGGCGCTGTAAAGCCAACAGATTGATAAAGCTCCCTGACCAGCGCGTCCCCGTTGGGTTCCGACGACAGTTGGACAAATGCACATTTGAATAGCGGCCCTATGATTGCCCTACACTGACAATGATGCCTGAGCCTGCCTGAGCGCGAATTCCGTCGATAATGACACTGCCTGCCTGTGATGGGGACGCATGTCCATGCAATGCAAATCTAGAGGCGTGTCTTCGCCGAACAGATGTGCGGCGAGCGTTCTCAACAGCAAAAGACCGTTGATCGACCATAGGATGCCCAAAAACCGAAGCCAACTCAGAGCACTAGGTTGCGTAGTCGTCGGGGTGAGGGTAGTGTAGCCTCGGAGATCCTAATACAGGTGCGATACGCCTGGAAGGGTCACAGCGTCAGCGACAAGAAACGCTGGAAGTGTTTGGTGTACTCGTCGGATAGATCATTGGGGTCCGGAGGGCCTTGAGGTTAGTACATCAGAGTACATCCCGCGTCTAGCGCGTCCAAAGACAGTCACACCACACGTGCTCCGTGACAAGCGTGGCACTGCGTTCAATGTGACACTAGCGCCCCGCGACTCTCCAGGAGAGGCTCAGCGGCGTTCAAACGTTCATGCAGTGGTGTGCAAGTATATACTTGGGCGGGCGCAGTGAGCACCCCGTTTTATCCTCGTTGCTTGTCCATGATTGATATGGCATCGACTCCAGCGAGGCAACGCACATACGGACCGCTTTATCGGAATGATTCGTGCGATATTACACCTACATCGCTTCAAGTTCACTGGCTCATGCATTGCATTGCGCATCACGACCTTGTTTCAGAAAAATCCGAGTTGCTCTGCAGACTCAATCGCACTCAATCGCGCTGCACAGTTTTGGGAAGCGTGCTAGTGTGACACCGTGCAGATGCATCATTGCAGGGATCTCGAACACCTCGGATGTAGACGCGCAGGATACTACGCGTATAAAGTCCCAATCGAGACGCTGTCATCGACACTCATCATTCTGTTCAAGTCGACGTTTGGCAGACGTCTTGTCAATGTCGGCGACTGTGGCGGACACAACCCAGATTTTCGTCGATGTTCCTCCAATATTTGGTGCAACAAGCAAAGTGCTGGCATATGCGGTACGTTTGCCCGAACCTTCGCCTGACAGCCTGAGGAGAGTGTGAAGCCACTTTGCACGACATGCCGGTCTCCGATAAGTACATGACCCTCCCTCCTCGCTCTCACGCCGTTGATGCCAGGTGCAACAGTGAAGCGGCGTAAACTGGGCGAACAAAAGAGGCTGATTACGCTCACAGCGTGCGGCGCGTGCTCTCACACGCTGGATCAAACATGCCCGTCTGCTGTCGCTCAGAGGGCTAGACCAAATATAACGGGCACACTTCGGAGACGTCAGTGCGACTGACTCTGTTGTTACCATTCATACAACGGCACATCAGGGCCTCGAGAATCCTTTGAAAGCTGTGCGCTGCCGTGCGTTCTCTGTGAAAAGTGACATGTCTCCTCGTCGACTTGTGAGATATCGCCATCGCCAGTTCCTTGACACTGACAGATGGATTCCGACATCGAATTGATGCATATATTCTAGACAACTGACAGTAGGAGCGTAGTGCGATGCTGAACCCCGAAGCTGGGATGTGCTCCATCGGGCATAGTCAGTGTGCAATTCAAGCTTCAAGAATGATCTTGCATGGGCATGACAGCGAACCGCTTCAAATCCCGTGCATAAGGGTACATGGCCTTCTCCGTTCGCGCTCTCCACGGACAAGGGGTATCGACCAATAATCATACACTTTACATCTCATTTACATCTACCTTCTGACTTAGCTCAATGTTGATCTAGAGCCCGACCCACTCAAAGCCCTTCTCTATCCTGAACGTCGCTGCGAGCGTCAAGGCTTCCGGCGCGCTGCTCCTCCCGACGCGCACGGCGTACTCGCCGTCCTCGACGACCCAGCGCGCGATGCGCTCCTCCCAGTACGACACCGCGTACTTGTCCAGCGCGAGTGTCACGGTTTCGCTCTTGCCCGGCGCGAGGTCCTTCACCTTCTTGAACGCCTTGAGCATCACCGGCGCGTGCGTGAGTTCTGATGTACTCGGCAGAGTGATGTAGAGCTGGACGACGTCGGAGCCGGAGACGGCGCCCGTGTTCTTGATGGTGACCTTGGCGGTGAGCTGGAAGTCGCCGTTCGAGACGGTGGGCTTTGAGAGCGACAGGGCGGAGTAGCTGAACGTCGTGTAGGAGAGACCGTGGCTGAGGGAGACGCGCCGGTGAGCGCGCGGCTCACATTGAGGACCCCGTATCCAGGACTCACCCGAAGTACCACTGCGGAGCAAACTTGCGGTGGTGGAAGTGTTTGTAACCCTGTGGCAGCCTCAGCGAAGCGCACACACCGACGCCATAGATATGCACATACCACGAAGAGGTCCTCCGCATACCGAACCTTGCCGTTCTCCGAGTGGAAGTGCCCGTGGCTGCCATAGTCCTCCAGCCGCTTCGCGAACGTGAGCGTCATCCGCCCACTCGGATTCACCTTCCCCGCCACGACATCCCCGATCGCCTCGCCCGTCGCGTTGCCCAGGTACCACGCATGCACGATCGCCGGGACCTCGTCCGCCCACGGCATCGTGATGCTCGACCCGCTCTGCGTCACGACGACCGTCCGCTTGTTCGCTGCGGCCACCTTCGCCACGAGCTCATCCGTGCGCGGCGGGAGCGCGAGCGTCGTGCGGTCGTAGCCCTCCGTCTCCCAATCTGCGTTGAGCCCGACGACGGCGATGACGGCATCCGCCTCGCTCGCAAGCCGCACGGCCTCGGCCATGAGCACGTCGGGGTCCACGACTTCCTGGCCACCGAGCCGCACGCCCGGGTTCGAGTCCATGACCGCCTCGTCGGGGTCGTTCGGCGCGGGCGCGCGCACGTTGCAGAACTCAACGAGGATGTCGTGCTTGGTGCCCGCTTTGAGCTGCACAGTGCCCTTCTCTTCTGCGGAGCCTGAGCCGAAGAAGGCGTCGCCGCGCGTCTGCTTCGTCCAGTTGTCCACGACGAGCTTGCCGTCGACGAAGAGCTGGAGGGGAGGGAATCAGGCTGAGACGCGATAGCAAGAGGGAGCACTGACCTTCGCCCGTCCGGCGGATGTCAACCCAAACTCGAAGAGACAGTCCTTCTCCTTCGGCTTCAGCTGGCCCTTGACCTTGAGCGTCCATCGCTTCGTGAGCTCGGCAGGGTACGATGTGCTGTGTCCAACTCAGCTCTCATACTCAACCCTACCACCCCGATGCGACTCACCTAAAGAACATCCTCGTCTCGTCAATGTACTGCTCCTTGATCGGAGCGCCCACGGGCGTCATACTCTCGTCGTTCTCATGCGCGTACCACTCGCCCACCCAACCGCGCCGCCCGTCCTTTGTGAACATGTCATAGTCGAGCGACGGCGTGAGCATCGTCGCGCGCGCGCCCTCGCAGTACGTGATCTCTACGCCGGGGTCGAGCGCCTTGAGCGCCGCGACGAGCCCGTCGTGCGGGTTCGTGAAGTAGGATGGCTTCAGCGCTGCGGAGCCGCCCCGCTAAGGACCACCGCCTTCGCGTTACCGCCGACGATCGCGATTTTCTTCAGGCCTTGCTCCTGATCGGGCGTGAGTGGTATAGCCTGAGGGGGCGGTGAGGAGAGGGAAGGGACGTACCCTGGGCTTGAGCGGGAGGACGTTCCCTCGTTCTTGAGGAGGACGATCGACTCTGCGGCGAGCCGGCGCATGAGCGCCTTCTCCTCGGGCGTGTCGAGCGTGTGCTCCAGACCATCGCCGTCGAGGATCTGTGTCGTGGGTTCAGCGGGCGACCTGCGTGGGCACGGACGCCGTGCGTACCTCGGGCGCTGCCTTGGCGCACTTCTGCACGAGCTCGAGGACCTTGGCGGCGCGTTCCTTGACGGTGCGCTTCATGATCTTCCTGCTCTGGATGCTACATCGGGCACATGTGCGGTCAGCCCGAAATAGCTAGTGCGTAAGTATGGAGCGCGCACGCACGAGCGGTTCATGAGATCAAGGGTGCGCCACTTGTTCGTGCCCGGCATCTCGAGGTCGAGCCCGGCGTTGATCGCATGGTCTATGGAATACACACCAAACCTGTGGGATGGCCACGGCCGGTGAGTGTCCTGCGCGCGAGGTTTCGCTGAATGGCGCACCAGTCACTCATGACCAGGGCGTCGCTGCCCATTCCGCGCGCAGAATGTCGCGGATGATCTTGGGATTCTCCGAGAGGTGCGTGCCATTGACGCGGTTGTACTGGGAAGAAGGGTGTGTGGTCAGCGTGAGAGCATGGTCTGGGAAATCGCGGGTGCAATGTTGCATGCTTCGCCGCTGCGCCGAGGATCTCTGAAGGCATTAGGTGTCTCGGCGTCATAGTAGCGGCGACGACAGACGATGCGGCACGCCGCGAAGGAATTATCCGGGAAGGGGACGAAACAGAATCGTTGCGAGAGAAGACGTACGCAGTCATGTAGCACCAGGGCTTCGCGTGCTTCTCAGCGATCATGAAGGGCATCATGTAAATCTCCCTGAGGGCACGCTCGCTGACGATGGAGTCGTACGCCATACGGTCGTTCTCCTTGTCGTTGGTGGCAAAGTGCTTGATGCAAGCAGCGATGCCGCCCTCTTGGACGCCGTTGATGTACGCGGCGGCAATGGTGCCTGAGAGGTGGGGGTCTTCGGAGAAGGACTCGAAGGAGCGGCCGCCGAGGGGGTTGCGCTGGGTGTTGCAGGTGGGGCCGAGCCACACGGAAGCGGCCTTGAGCTTGGCCTCTTGTGCGAGGAGCTTCAGGCCGACCTCGTGCATGAGTTCGGTGTCAAAGGTAGCGGCCAGGCCTGTGGCGGAGGGCAAGCACTTTGCGGGGGTGCCCATGAAGAAGTGGTTGCCTCGAATGCCTGAGCGAGTCTGCGTGAGGTCGTCTGCTCGGGGACACATGGTGGGGTGGGGAACGTACCGTTCGGGCCATCACTCGTCTTGATAGCGGGGATGGAGAGCCTGGGGACGGCATAGGTGTGCCAGAAGCCGACGCCAGCGGTGAGGAGGATGGCCTCGTCTGTGGTGAGCTGGTCGACGACGTCCTGGACGTCCACCTGTGCAAAGTCGGACGGCGGCATTGCGTGTGGTCAAAACAGAGGGGGAGGGTGAGCGAGAGGGGTGCGCACGCTGAGAGCAAGACGGCGCAGGATGTGCAGAAGGGGCCATGGCTGGCCGCTTTAAAGCGATGGAGGACTCGGAGGACGAGCAGATGCACAGACGCGCCTCCGACAATTCTCCGAAAGCCGGCATTCGGTCCGCCACGTGCCTCCCCCGCCCTCTTTCCCCGCTTCTTCGACCAGCGTCCTCGCCAGCCACCGCGCCCCGTCTGCCTGTCTTCAGGAACACTTCGCTCACCTGTGCGCCCTGGAGAGGTCTCGACGCAGTCGAGTCGTCTTTACCCGCCGGCAACACAAGTCTCCGTGTCGCTGGTGCGTGTGATTCACGCGTGCATGTAGATAGACTCGGAGCGTTGTCAGCCACCCGCCAAGTACCCCCTTCTCGACATACATGCATCCTTGGAGCACATATGATTTCTTCTATCTTCGAATCCGCACCCCTGTGCTTCCCACCTGGGTTCACAGCAACAGACATGACATTACCTCAACCGTTCGGGGGCATGGATCTCGTCGATTGTTATCCTTTCACTGCGTCCTGCTCGCAGCTAAGTTATGTAGAATGATCCTGTCTGCTCGCGTGACCCTCTGTTCCGTCTGAATACCGCTCTACCTCCATGCCTCCTTCCCGATGATCTAGTAGGTGATTGCTGTTCTGTTCGGCAGCTGTCTCATCCCATGGCCAGACGTGTACGGCGGTGCATAGCCTACCGGGCAACAGGTCATTTAGTGCCACGATGAATGTACATGCGACCAAATGTCATATACTTGTGCATCTATACAGCTTCATAGATAGGTGGCTTCAGAGCGATGCAACCGACAGCAGAGACACGGCAAAGAAATAGACAGGTAAAAGTCAGCACCCCTAGATCCTGAGTAGGACGGAAGCCTCGTGTCATGAGACGAGTTGACCCGCCTCGACGCCGATAATATTGATGCCCCGCTACGTAGGTCTGTTAGCACTGTATCACCAAGATGCAACAAACACCACGGCTCACCTTACGCGGACAGCCCACCGTCAGCCTCTGGCACCCCCACACCTTGACCTCGCTGAGAGTCTGACAACTCTCAACCAGGCTCTTGACAACCCAATCGTCCACCTCCCTACAAAAGCCGATATCTAGCGTCCGCAGATTGGGTGCGCGCGCAGCGATCGTCTGCAGCGAGTCCTGCGACGTCTCCTTCCAGTCGTGCACGTTCAGATGCCTCAGCGCAGGCCCCGAGTGCTCCAGCAGCGCGAACAGCGCGTCCGTCCCGAGCTGGTGGTTCCGCGATATGTCGATCACCTCCAGGGGTGGGTTCGGCACCTTGCCTGCCGTCTGCGCCGTCGCGACCCAGGTGTCGAAGAACTCTGCCACGCCCGCGTTCGTCAGCTCGGGCGTGCCGACGAGCTTGAGCGACGTCAGCTGGCGCATGTGCGGCTTGAGGCCCTTGAAGAGGAACTGGTCGGTGAGGTCGCGGTTGGAGGAGAGGTCGAGGTGCGTGAGGGCGCCGCCGACCGCGGCGACGAGGTCGATGAGCGCCTCCTCGCTCAGCGGGTCGGGTGTGCCAGCCGAACCGGGCTTGGAGATCTCGAGCGAGGTGAGCGTCCCGGCGAGGGGCTTCAATAGCTTGAGGAAGGCGTCTTCTATGAGGCCGATCTCGGAAAGACGCAGTTCTTTGAGACCCTTGCAGCTCTCAACGAGCGCGCGCATACAGTCGAGGTCGAAGCGCGGACTTTGCGTGATGAGGAAGCCTTCGAGGGATGGGTGGGCCCGAAGGAAGTCTTGCCATGCGAGAGTTCTGACGAGGAAGGGACCGAGCAGCTCGAGGCGCTTGAGATTCGGTAGAGCAGTCTTCCAGTGCGTCATCACCTCGTCGTTGATGCGTCCGCAATAGTCAAGACGCAGGTGTGTCAGATTGAGGTTGAGATTGGCGAGCGCGCAGAGCGCAGGGGGTTCCAAGTCTGCAACGCTATCTTAGGTTGGCCGGCGGGGGGGATGAACTTACGTACTGGTCACATCATATAAACTGAGCCGAGTATGCTGAACGTCGTAGAACAATGGCGCATTCTGTGCCGTACTGTATAGACCATTGTCAGCGGCGCTGAGATATAAAGATGCGCTCGGAGAAGGGCCTACTCACAGTTTTCGGCTCTTCGAGATTGTCTTCGCGATTTCGTCCATGTTGAGGTTACCGATATCGCCCAAGGCTTCGACGTCGTCGATATACGTACTGATGAGCTATACGACGTCATGAGTGCATCGCTGGCATGGAGGGTGAGGGGAGACACAGTACATCTATGCATAGAGACACCAGAGTCGGGAACTTTCTCTCCTCGAAGTGGACCACGACTCGCCTGTCTGCGGGGGCCTTGCGCTTCCTCGGTGCAGCTGGTTTCTTGAACGGGTCCGAGCCGCCTGACTTCGCGCAGGGGTGGCAGAGCCAGCCAGGCGGGGGATTCGCCGCCAGCGTGTACTTCGTCTGGGACACCGAAGCTTATTCACATCACACAGCTCGCCCGGGCGAACGCGAGACAGACGTACCACGGTGAACTGTGTCGCGCACTTCGCACACTTTTCGAAGCTGCCCACGGGCGGCTTCGGCAGGTCGCCCTTCCACATCTTCGAGAGGGCATTGTACGGATCGTAATCCGAGTCGTCGTAGTCATCATCATCATCGCCCCCCTTTTTCGCCTTCTTCTTCGCCTTCGCCTTTTCCTTCTCCTTGAGCTTCGCCTCCGCGGCCTTGGACAGTTTACGCTTCTTCGGCGCGGGCGCCTCCTCCTCCGGCTCGTCTAGGTTGTCGGAGTCGTAGCCATCCCCGTTCTGAGAGACAGTGAGTGAGATATAGGTGGAAGGTGGCCAACCCGTAGCCGTCTGTGCGCAAGCACTCACCTCGGTAGCCCCGTGTTCTTCTCGACTCCCGTCGGCCGCTTGGTCCTGGTCCTGACCAGCAGTGCTGGGCCCCGCTTCAGGCTGGTCTTGGTTCGCATCCTGGATGCGAGTCCTCGCCCGGCGAGCGATCGTCGTGGCGGTGATGCCCGACTCCTATTTGGGGCGTGAGCCTCGGGCCACAGCAGCTGCAGTCGGGAAGGGGCAACTCACCCGCAGAAAGTCAGTGAGCGCGGAGGTGGGACCGCGGACATTGTTAGGTCTGCGGCTCATGTTGTGTAGGACGCGTCGTCGTCGGTGGCCTTGTCAATATCAAGCCACCAGCGGTCCCGGGGAGAGGGTGGAAGCAGCGACGGTCAGGTCACGGTCACGACGCGTCTCATTATAAATAAACACGTCCAAATAACGCGGTCCCGGCGCGTGCGGGCGTGCACGCCGAATCATCTTGTCCTTTCTGGGACAGCAGCCACAAAAGTGTTTGATGAGTCGAATGCCGTCCAGCCAAGAAATAGATCGTTGCACTGCTTAGGCGAGTGAGATGAGGCTGGACAAATTGCCGGAGCACTTGGCCTTATGAGAATTTGCTCTTTCGTACGTACCACAGTCGTAGGTGGCGCGTTGAACCTCGGGCCTCCTCATGCAGCGCGGTGAATGAACGGCAAAAATACAGGTGTTCTCTCATTCTACTATAGCTAAGTCTTCTCGGGCTACGCGAGTACTTAGAGTACAGGCAACTTGGTGCACCCTAGCCATACAGTAAACATTGACTGGTACACTAGGTAAAAACGCATCAGCACTTCACAACAACAGCAACAAGCGCACGAATTACTCCAACACGGCAGAAGAATCACAAGCAGCACACTATCACAGCAACGCTATATATCATCTAGACAAGTCCCGCCACGCAGGTATCACTTCGTCTTCCCGTTCGTGGGTATCGCATGCAGCGTCGGCACCCCACCGCTCCCTGTCCGCATATGGGTTTGGACGTTCTCCTTCGCCATCGCGCTCGTGGGCACAGGCGTCGTGAGCTTCGGGACGGGAACGACGCGGTCGAGGTCCGCTCCCAACCCACTCAGGCTCTGCGGACTTGTAGGATCCGCGTCGACGGGCTTCATCGCATCCGCGTCCGAGTCTTTCAGGGGCTGCTTGCTCGCAGCCCTGCTGCTGCCGTCAATCTGTTTTCGGCGCCGCTCGTCTTCTTGCCGCCGCATCACGTCGACTTCGCCCTGCACCGCGATCCCTTCGAGCCACTTGTGGTGGACGAGCTCGCTGGCAGGTGCTCGCTTGTCCGGGTGGAGGCGGAGCATAGGAGTGAGGAAGGAGGCGATGAGATCCGCTTCCTCCTTGGGGAGTAGGTACTTGTCGTGCAGGACGGAATCTAGTGGCCAGAATCGCAGCTTCTGGATGTGTCGCAGTTCCCCTGGCACAGCTGACTGTTCAGCAACGTCAGAGTTAGGGAGAGAGTCAAGGAGCATACCTTTCCGATTGAAGAAGTCCGAGCTATACTTGCCTGAGAAGGCTATGCTCTTCGGGAACTCGCCCATGAGCTCCATGATTTGAGCAATATGATCGTCGTCCTTGCTGTACCGAGACCCGGAAGCTGGATCGAAGAGATAGTCACCACCTGTCAATAGCTCGAAGATCTGCAAAACAAAGTTGTCAGAGGACGAAGCGAGTCTGTGCGGATATTACTGACGATGCAAGCTACACTCCAGATGTCCGCGCTAGGACCCCATTTTGCGCCGAGAATGACTTCTGGACACCGGTATTGTCGTGTTTGGATGTCATCGGTGAAGTGATGCTCAACCCACGTCGCTGCGAAAGACGACAGTCCGACCAAACCGTCAGCTTCTGTCCAAAAGGCAAAATCATCAAAATCAAGGACGTACCGTTACCCAAATCGGCGATCTTGACTGTGATCTTCTCCAACCCGTCCATAACCGGCAGCGCAGCATCCACCGACATCGCGCTCTCGCCGGCGGGCGGGGCTGCCACGCCCTCCGAGAGGCTGCCCTGTTCCGATGTGTACGACGCTGGTGGCGGGTGGCTGCTAGATCCAGCAATCGGTTGCGGGCCCGACTCGCCGGGCACAGTCCCTGCGCTCTTAGAAAGCGCCTGCTGCGACAGCAACGACGGACCCGCTGTCGGCCTACTAGGCTTCTCCGGACGGGTCTTCTCGCCAAATGGCGAGGTATTCAGGTTGACGCCCGACATGCGCTCGGCCGCCTGCTCTGTCGAGTCCGCGCGTTTGGATATCTCCTTGACGTCAATGCTCTCCGATGGGCTCCCAGCTGACCCTGGTCCGCTCGCCGCCCCGTCCGCCTCTATTTTGCTCATCCCAAATGACCATCGGTCGAGGTGTGAGGTAGAGCCAAAGGAAGATGACGGTGAAGGGAGTGGTTGAGATCCGGTGATGAAGATGGACTCTGAGCGCGGCGTCTGGTTCCCGCCACGGCCGCGCGAGGGCGGGACACCGACCAGCCGTGTTGGCGGGGGCGTTGCGGAGGCGGATTGCGCGGAGAGCTCGGCCTCGATAATCGACTCGACGTCGTCGATACAGATGAGGACGTTCTCGGGCTTGAGGTCTGCGGAAGATCCGATGAGTGAGCACACTCCGGATCAAAGGTCACCGGATACAGAGGGGCAGGAGCCTCCGTTCCCTAAGGGCGTCACAGAGCACGGAGCGGATACTGCGAGCCAAGTTGGGCTCGAGCGCCGCGAGCGACCCGTTGGGAGGACACTCGACGACAGCGTGCCGACAATGTCCCGCCCAAGCACCGCGCATGAACCCATACACTCACCCGTGTGAATGACGCCGCAGCAGCGGTGCATGTAGTCGAGACCGAGGAGAATCTGCTTCGCAATCTGCTTGACGAGGGGCATGGGGACGCCCTTGTTCTGATGCCGCTTGATGAGACCGAGCAGATTCTCGCCGAGCACCTCGAAGACCATGCAAACATGGGTGCCGTTGGGACCTTTGTGTCGGAAATGGTCTAGAAAAGAAATGACATGTGAACGTCCGGGGTGTGTCTGGGACGGTGATGGCTGTGGGTTTGGGTTGTTGGGGGTAGGCTGGACGGGTGGTGAGGAGGATGTGATGAGTCGCTGGAGGAGCTTGATCTCGTCGAGGGCGGTCTCGGTGTAGCGTGGTGCGGATTTGACGACTTTGAGGGCGACATGACGGTCCAATCTGTCCGACGATGAGGCGGTGAGTTCGGAGACGCAGGAAGCCCTCACTTTGCATCCTTCGCGAGCCATACTGTGGAAAAGTGACCCCAGCCGAGCTTGCGGACGACGGTGTATCTGGCGTCGGAAAATGTGTCGCCAATGTGGACGGGGTGGTAGCCGCCCTTCACGTAGTCCTCCCAGTCCTCTTCGTCCTCGGTCATGACAGATTGAGAGTGAGAGGAATCGTATGAACCGGCGTGTGACATCTTGAACGGGACGACTGTGAATCGTGATGAGAGATAAGCACGCTCGAGGGGCGGCTACCCAAGATAAGCGTCCACCTACTCCTTCGGGCCTATCTCGCGGCTTCGCGGCGGGTGCTGCGTGCGCTTGCGGGCAGCACAGGGAGCGGGCGGCGGGGCTGGACGACGGGGCAGACGACGAGGAGAGCAGGTTCGTCGATGAACAGGCCACAGGCCCAACGTGCCCCAGGGGTTGCCCAATCAGGGAGTCTCCTTTCGAAAGAATGCACATCTGCTGACATAAGCTCGCGCATCCCCGATAGCCGCGGACCTCAACCAACTTCTTCCGAGATCCCTGCCCGAAATGGCAGCACACTTTGTTCACCTCCCTCGAGCCGGCTCACCGTCTTTCAGTTCTGTGCGTCCCCAGCGTGCATTTGGATGTTCCTCGGACCTGGCAGCGCCCCTCAGCATTGCCATTCGAGCATGTCCGTCTCGGATGGCACGGTTCAGTATGCACACTGCAGGCTTCCGGACCGGCAGCGTCACGTTGGTCGTCCAACTCATCAAACTCTGAAAGTATGATACTACCATGTAATCGATCGAGGTGAACCGTCCTAAAGCAGCCTATGGGTAATATTTCGCTGGAAATATGCAAGTACTTAGTACTTATACTACAACGTCCCACTGGAATTCCGAGTGGCATCTTAGTCACCATGAGGTCATCCGGACGCCCGGTACTGCCGTCTGCCAGTCTCAAGATCTCACATATAACGCTGTCCACACTACTGTGCAGATCGCGACTTTGGTGCAGCTAGCAGCGACCATGGCACTCCCGAAGAACAAGATGCAATATGGTAGACCACGTCTTTGACTTTGGGACTGCCCTATGTTGACGCTACTTGAATGCCAGTGCGCCTCGGCAACTCCGGGCTCAAGGTCTCGAAGATCATCCTCGGGACGATGCAATACGGCAGCTCGGGCTGGGCTGACTGGGTCCTCGACGACGAGGAAGAGGCCATCAGGCACATCAAGTATGCGTGAGTAGCTCGATACACTTTCTATGGTCGAACAGTTCCTGACGATGGTTCGCGATAGGTACGATGCCGGTATTCAAAGCTTTGATACCGCAAACGTAATTGCGGACCCCATTCTCGTGGCTATAGTCGCTCATATGCCCGTTCCTAGGTGTACTCGAACGGTCTTTCCGAGGTCATTCTTGGCAATGCTATCAAGAAGTTGAACCTTCCCCGCGAGGAGATCGTCGTCATGACTAAGGCAAGTCGCTGGGATAAGTAGCTATGTACGCATATCGAATTGATGGCACTCGTGAATAGGTCTTTAACCCGGTGTTGCCCCGTTACGAGGCCAAGTTCGGTGGCGCGGGAAAATCTTCTGACGAGTTCAGGCTTGTGAACCAGAGCGGGCTTAGTCGCAAGGTATACACACCAGATTCATGCTTCTTCGTGCTGCCCTCACTCATATGGATTGTGCAGCATATCTTCGATTCGATCAAGGCCAGCCTGAAGCGTTTGCAGCTCGACTATGTCGATCTGTTCCAGTGTGCGTCGACAGTTCCCGCGCATATTGTTGCTTCATGACGAACTCATAATTGCAGGCCATCGTTTCGACTACAACACACCAATCGAAGAGACGGTAGGCTTCACATTTGTGTATGGTGTGCTTGATTCACACTGCTCTCTAGATGCAAGCGCTGCACGACGTTGTCAAAGCGGGCTACGCGCGCTACATCGGCATGAGCTCGTGCTATGCATACCAGTGTACGTGCCTTTGCTCTCGGTATCTCGAACTTTGCACCTGACTGGCACTCTCCAGTCCATGCCATGCAGAGTAAGTCGATCCATCGCGAGCACCTGCGCTACCGTATTGACCGGTTCACCAGACTACGCCATCAACAACAACCTCACGCCCTTCATCTCAATGCAGAACCAGTACAGCCTGATCTATCGCGAGGAGGAGCGAGAAATGTTCCCGACACTCAAGGTATCGTAGTAGTCGGCCCCTTTCTTCGTTTCAGGCAGCCGAGCGGTCATTTGTAGCTCTTCGGTGTGGGGTCCATCCCGTGGTCCCCGCTCGCCCGTGGTCTTCTCACTCGCCCGCTGACGGAAAAGTCGAAGCGTGGCGACACAGACTGGTTCCTGCCGCAGTACAAGGCCTCGGGCACACCTGACATCGTGACGCGGTGCGTTGCTATCCATTGACGAGCCTGCGTAAGAGCGATCTCTGATTTGCATGCAGCGTCGAGGAGATCGCGAAGAAAAAGGGCGTCAGTATGGCACAAATCGCGATGGCGTGGTGCATGTCCAAGCCGGGCGTCACGGCCCCCATCGTGGGTACAACGAGCCTTGACAAGCTCAAGGACATCCTCGGTGAGCAATCCCGTTCCATTCTTCTGCACTACTTCTTTGCTAAAGCATCGATGGGTCGATAGGTGCACTCGATGTGCAGTTGACGGAGGAAGACATCAAGTATCTTGAGGAGCCGTATACGCCACAGGCGATCATTGGGCAGTTGTGAGCAGGCTCTGAGAAGACATGAATGAATCGGAAGATCATGCAATCGCATGTTATGTAGTGTGTATTGTCAGATGGAAATACGAAACTTTGGTCATGAATGAGTCTGTCCGTCTTCCGTAACGATGATATACACACAGCGCTTGAGGTCGTAGATATAGCAATCGTCCAGTACTCAGATTTTCAGAGTGTGGATGTCTAGGCGGAATTTCTCGGAGGTGAGCCGATGTCAATATGTTATTGAAGGAGTGGGATGAGTGTACAACACTACTTAGGTCAGACTCGTCTTCCGAAGGTTCGTGTGTGATTGTTGGAAACTCGCGCGATTTGTCTCGCGCGCCGGGTTCTCAGCGGTTGCGAGAGTGTCTGTAATGAAGCGAAGCTAGTTGGATGGGGATCGCACGAGATGCGGATCAATCCCCAGGCGAAAGTGCGGGACGCGCTTGTTCGGGGACGCGAAGGCGCGCGTAACGCGGGGACATTGGAGCACGTGGGCGCGTCGTGGCGGGGAGGCGTGTTGAGTTTCCGAGTTTGTGTTGTGGGCGCACCCCTCCGTCTCTTCACCCCATCACTCTGTACACTATTTCAGCTTCCCCAGCCTCCTTTCCCCGCCTCCACCGCGCTGGCCATCCTCCGTCACGACCTCCGCAACGTTCGCCTCTTTCTGCCTCGACATGTACCACCCGCTCCCCTGCCCCGCCTCCACTCGCGCAAGCACCCTCGCGTCGACCCTTGCGCCGCCACTGCCAACAATGCCCGCGCCGCTGACCGGAGCTCCTCGCCCACTCGACGTGGCCCGCCCCGCTTCCTCGTCCCGCCGGCTGCACGACCACCAAGGCACCACCGACGCTGTCCGTCTCCAACACCAACGTCTCGCGCTCAGGGGCCTCTCCCGTCGCGTTCCCCAGCAACGTCCCAGAGCCACCCCCACACAGCATTATTCCCTTTCCTTCGGCTCCCATAGACTTCCCTGTGCGCCGTGCTGACAAGGAAGACGGCTTTGACACTTGCCCTGAGCCCGAGTATCGGGACGGTGACGAACAGAATGTGCCAATCGGGGACAAAGCGGAGATCCGTCGTGACATTGATTGGCGACGTGTTCGTCGCAGGTGCACGCAGTCCTGCATCGCTGCCTCGTATGTTGCTGCCGAACCCTCGTCTGATGCATCGAAGGAGGCTCCCCGTCGTCCTTTGGTGGGCGTTGCGGCCAACAACCATCACGACCCGGACACGCCAAAGACGAAAGCGGACTTGAACGTCTCCCCTACTCGCGCGCGACGCCATAGTGTTTCCGCCGGTTGTGGGCCCTTCCGTCCAACCCCTCGACGTGCCCGCAAGGTCAGGAAGCCAGCGGCGGACATGCAGTTCATTGCAGTAGTGCATAGGAGCATTGCCTGGCATGCACGCGGTGCGCGCGAGTTGAGAGGCTTGGGCGAGTCCAGTGCGTGCATCGAGCAGGATGTAGAACTCGCGACGCGACTGTGGAGGGTCCTGGCGGATAGAGGGTGTCGGCCTACTCCCCTCAAGGCAACTGCAGTACCCTCGCCCCCTGTTGCGAACGATATCGTACGCTCCTCCCAGAGCATACGATCTATGGACGACTCAACGACAGACGAACTCGCGGATGCGCAGCCTATCTCACCGGTCCCTAAGATTCCTGATCAACTAGGGCCGTCCTCCGCACCCAGCGTCATGACCATGCCACAGCTTGTCGCGTCCATGACACTGCGCTTCCGGGATCGTACGTCGACGCGGTCTCGTTCGATGGTTGGGCTTGGGAGCAATAGCGAGGATGCGTCCGCGAACAAACCGCTGCGACCGCGGTCTGCTTTGGGCCACGTGGTTTTCTCGAGTGGCGAGGGCGAGGAGGTCGTGGTTTCGGACTGAACCTCACAGCGCACGCTCGATCATCTCACACTCTTCACGCTTGTCTGGGATCCTCTCCTGCTTTGGCCAAGTCTTATTTTAACCATCACGAGCACGCCGTGCGTGCGTATGCCAGCATGCCCATTTACGACCGAACCATTGCATGGTTCTTTATGTTTCACGATCACGGACTTACTCAGGATATCTCAAAATCCACATTCATTCCGCCATCTCATCCATCTGCGACCTTTCCCATGACTGCATCAATCTCCTCCCATATCTCTCGCATCATATATCTCCACAACTGCATCCTCCATCCATCCGTTGCTGCACTCCTATTAGCCAGTCCCTGTAGCATACATATGGTCGCCGTCTCTCGTCATCTGTATATACTGCAGGAATGTCTATCCCTTCACGCCTAGCTGAGATCGTTCGAGTGAGCAGTACCAGTACTGGTCAACGCGCTGACGTTCGACGCGTTCCATCGCATACATGTTTAGCGTGTTTCGTCACGTGGGCGCGAAGCCGCACGAGCGCCTCAAGGATGCCCGCACGGCGCACTGGAGTCGTGCGACCTGAGGCCTGAGTACTGAGTACTGAGTACTGAGTTGCATGAATACCTTCTGTTTAACAGTTTCGCAACTAATTCGACGCAAACGAAACGCGTGAAGCATCGGGACACTAGCTTCCTCTGTGATACCAAATGGTGTGTGGCTTTGACAAAAGCACAATATTCCGAATTCCTTTTGGTGTTTCGAGGTCGTCTTCCCTCACAAGTTGAATCTGCCAATGAAGCGGTCACGGCTTTCCAGCGGGACGTCCTGCGGTGTCAGACCCCGCCATGGGGTGCCTCTTAGATCTACAGGCTTCATGTCTGCGATGAAGCTATCCACCGTCTCTACTCCTGACTGCAACCGCCAAGAGCTTGAACGAATGTCTCTTGCTAAGAAGGGAATGACTTACGGTTCGTCCATGCCTCTTCTTTCCTTGAAAGTGGTATACTCAGTAGGCCTTGTTCTGAAGTCGGCCTCAAGTATCGAAGATCATCCTGGAATGCATGCCATACGGGCACATGGGGTGGAACTTTGGGGTCGTCAACGAGCACATCAAGTTCGCGTACGTCGCGTATAGCCAGATGGACGCTCCGCGACCGACTTGAAGTATCGCCGCCATGTAGTTATGACCATGGCCTACAGACGTTCGACACTGGAAACGTGAGTGCAGTTAGGTGTATTAATGGCGCATACTCACAGCATATCAAGAAGAGCCTCGAGCGACTGCAACTTCGCCACATTGATCTTCTTCAGTGTAAGTTTGGTGGTCGATATGCATTGCATCTGCGACCGCTTCTGAATTGTTCTCTGTAGGCCTTTGACACACCGATCAAGGAGATGCTAAGGCATTATTCTCAGATGCGAGAGACGTAAGCTTACCCGGCTCATGCAAGCTCTTCTTGATGAGCCGGGCTATGCATACCAGTGTGCGTCTTGCCAGTGTGTATTCGGTGACCGAAGTACAGTTGTCACAGAACTTATCATCAGTGCATGCGATGCAGATTAAGTCTCTGACCACTGTTGCGTGGAGACGACGCTCAGCCTCCATAGTAACGGATTATGCCATCCAGAATAAGTTGGCACCTTTCATCACGATGCAGGGTCATCACTGCCTCGGCACCGCGAGGAAAGTGCGAGATGTTACCTACGGTCAATGTAAGATGTGCATTTTTTTGAGCGAGTGTCCTGTCTGATTGCGATATAGATGTTGGGTGTTGGTGTTCTGCCATGGTCGCCCCTGGCACGAGGAATCCTCACTCGTCCCTTGTCAGCGCAGAGTAAGCGAGGGAAACACGATGGGTCAGTCTGCCTGACGCGATTGCTGTTTCTCTGTCATTCATGCGAATTGTATTCTACAGCTGGTCAGGGCCTTACAAGACGTTCTCCGGGACCGCCGAAATCATCAAACGGTACTTGTGTCAATCCGCGATCGCACGAGCATCTGACCGACCTATCGCCGTGTGCAGAGTGAAGGAACTTGCAGAGCAGAACTGTGCAAGCATGGCTCTTACATGGAGTCTATCGAAGGACGGCCAGTGTCTGCCTCCGTGAGACACCATGGTGGTTTATTCAGCATTGATCCTCGATTCAGGCGTCACTGCGCCCGTTGTTGGCTCAATAAGTCTGGGAAACCTGGAAGTATCATCGGTGAGTCCCATTTGTCCGAGTGGGAACGGATTGAGACACCGTCGAGGCTGATTTATATTATCTTCTGATAGCGCTGACGAGACTGCACGGTCACAGGCGCTGTCGACGTCGAGCCAACGCCGAAGGAAGTTGCATACCTCGAGCCAGTGGCCGCATCGGGGCCGCCGGGCTGAAGAACCTCGCCACTGTGTTACTGGGATTGTTCCGGATCATCTGCACATCACGAAGTGACAATCAGGCTGTGTACTACTCCTTAGTACTACAGTAGTAGTGCCACCCACGATGGGGTTATCTGCCGCCTCTCCGCAGGTGCATGTCCGACTCGCTACGGCGAATCCGGGCAGTAGGAATCTGGTGTGGGTTGATTGTTCGTAGAATGTACAGTCTAAGCGAGCAAGATGCAACCAAACATCCCTAGAACATACTACAGTCCGTTCAATACTGAACGAACCACAAGGCCTGCGAGTACTAGTACAGTATACTAGTATTAGCTGATTGTTATGGAAGGTGGTTCATGTTGGCGCCACAATGCCTCCGACTGTGCGCCGCCTTACCGCTGTTTCCAAAACAATAGGCCCCACATCAAAAAACCGCGCTCAGGCGGAGTGTGTCGGTCTCCCTGTTCCCATCAAGATTGGACCATAACCGGCACGTCGAGGGCGAGCCAGACTACGGCGGGTGGCTGAGGTCGACCGGCAGAAGGTGCGGAATCACCTCGAAGGCAAGATCCGACGCTTTCCGCCCGTGTACGCATTTTTTATGAGGGGCCTATCGTTTTGGAAACAGCTGTAAATTGTACTTCAGCCCACGAACGGCCACGACACGAACGGCCACGAACGTCGCAAGCTCTCCGTTTATTCAATCCGTCACCAACTGGCAGTCAATCCGCGTCAAAGAGTTGACCTGACCCGGGGCGAGGGACCGCACCGCACAGGGGTGAGCCATGCATTCTATCTACCACGAGACCGCATGACTGTGCATTACACCTAGATAAAGCAACAGGCCTCACGACACGACCATTCGGTCACCCTTGAATGTGAGAGACCATACGTCGCTGTGCCGCCGGTGCATCTGTCAGACACAGAAGCTCAATATAGCCGCGATCCTGATCGACGCAGTTCAGGCCGAGATGCCTCTATAGGACTGGTTTGCCCATCTTGCCACCAGGTGGTGACGGGATGCCGTCCTCCGTGAGTCATAATGAATACAGCATTGCTGACAAGGACTTGGACTCAGTTGTGAAGACCTGAAGATCATCCCACAGTCACAGATGTAGGCCGTGCCGTGGAACTTCTGGGTTGTCCATACCGCGTGGTCTATGCACACCAGACTGTCCGAGGCACCCTGGCAGCCTTGCGCTGCACTCGGTGATTTTGTTCATTGCGATACATGTGGTGCGTACGACCATCAGAATGCTCTACATCTGCCAGCTCGGCTTCACCGTGACTGCAACAATCAGCGAAGTGATTCTGCAGCTTTACTGTCGCAGTCCGACGATCTGAGCTTTTAGTCGGGAGGTTTCGATTCTCCGACCCCTCCGCGCCGAGGACACCTGGTGGTTCTGGATCTCACTTTCAATCCCGGCGGATGTATACCGTCTTCGTTCTAGCCGGCTTATCTTGCGGCACTTATCTAGTGCTCCGTGCTTCTGGCTTCTCTAGAGAGGAAGTCGTATGGCTGACGCGCGTGCTGACGACTGGTCACACTTGCATTTTCGGGCCCAAGACCGCAGACTTTCACGGGTTGGACACAAGGCCACTCTGATTTCGCGCGGCGCTGTCATGATGGCTTGTCATCGTATTGCTGTCCGCGCTGCGCCTCGAGTGGACCTGCCATACAACCCATATAATCGCCCACGCTCTCCAGAGATGGCATATTCCGTCCGATTGCGGCAAGTCAATCTTGTAGTATCGGTCTCCGTTGCTGCAGTGCTTCTCTGTATGCAGAACGCTTACCACGCGCTATCTATCTTGGCGATGGAGCCGCGCCCTATAAAGCGTTCTCTCGCCACTTTGTCCCTTCATCCTGCAGGGCGTCCCCCACCTCGACGACCGCGGAGAGCTGATCCACCACGATGATTGCAACTGGCCTTATCCTCACCTCGCTCTTCACACTTGGCCTGAGCAAGCCCGTGGCGCGCACTCTCCGCCTGCACGAGGCCCGGTCGACTGTCCCGACGGGATTCTCGCAGGTTGGCTCTGCCGACGCTGATACCGTGCTCAACTTGCGCCTTGGCCTTGTGAGCAGCAGCGCCGACAAGCTTGTCGAGACCCTTTACGATGTAAGCACGCCGTCGAGCGCGAACTACGGCCAGCATCTGTCTAGATCTGAGGTCAGGATTGCACATCATATAGTTTGTTAACATGCGTGCTGACCTATGAGCCGATGACAGGCGGCAGCCCTCCTCGCGCCGTCGTTCGAGACGCTCCAGGCCGTGAATGCATGGTTGGATGAGAACGACATCACTGCAAGCACCATTTCACCTGGTGGTGACTGGCTTTCCATCTCCATCCCTGTCAGCCAGGCGAATGAGATGCTTGACGCCGATTTCTCTGTCTTCACTCACGAGGCGACGGGTGCCCAGAGCGTCCGCACGCTCCAGTATTCCATCCCCACCGATCTGGTCGGCCATCTTCAGCTCGTCCACCCGACGACGACGTTCACGCAGCCCACCTCGCCCAGGTTTCCTCTCAACGCGAAGCTGTACTCGGGCTCCAAGGAGCAGAAGCGTCAGTCCGCTTGCGGAAGCGACGTTGACCCAGCGTGTCTTCAAGAGCTTTATGGCATCCCGACGACCGCGGCCACCAACCCTGACCCTATCGTGGTCACTGGGTATGATAATCAATATCCCGACCCTAGCGACATGAGCGTGGGTTTCTTGATTTTCCCTCCATCTTCCTCTCACTGATAGGCTGATGGATCGAACCATAGAACTTCTTGTCCAAATACCGCACGGATATCAACTCTTCGACTACCTGGACTATAGTGGAACTCGACGGTGGTTCGTACGACCCTACTAACCCCGGAGACGAAGCAGTAAGATCTGGAGTTCGCAAGTCATGCACGAAACTCACCGCATTTGCCAGGACCTCGATGTGCAGTACACGGTCGGCCTCGCTACGGGCGTCCCGGTGTACTTCATCTCTGTCGGCGAAAGCACTAGTGACGGCGTCTTCGGCTTCTTGGACACGGCGAACTACGTTTTGTCCAATCTCAGCGATGCTTACGTGATGACGACCTCCTATGGCTCGAATGAGAACGAGATCTCCGCAGACGTGTTCAGGTGAGTACGCATTCTGGGATATAAGCACTTACTGACGAGACTGTGGCCCTCCGCAGCAAGCTCTGCGATGCTTATGCGTCTCTCGGCACAGCGGGTATCTCTGTGCTGTTCGCGTCCGGAGATGGTGGTGTCTCGGGCTCCCAGAGCTCATCTTGCACCGATTTTGTCCCTACGTTCCCGTCTGGCTGCCCTTAGTAAGCATTGTTCCTCAAAGTCGAGTCACTCTCGTGATGCTGACGCCGATCTACTCGCTAGCGTGACTTCCGTAGGTGCGACGACGGGCACCAGTCCCGAGACAGCCGCCGACTTCTCCTCCGGCGGTTTCTCCAACGTATATCCAACGCCCTCCTTCCAGTCCTCTGACGTTTCCGCATTCATCTCCGGTTTGGGGACCACTTACAGCGGACTGTACAATGCCTCTGGTCGTGGATTCCCTGATGTCTCCACTCAGGGCGAGAACTTCCTCATCGGGTACGACGGGGACATCTACACCGTCGACGGGACGAGCTGCTCTAGCCCGACCTTCGCAAGCGTCGTCGCGCTCCTCAACGACGAGCTGCTGAGCGCAGGCAAGAGCCGGCTCGGGTGGCTGAACCCTTGGCTATACGAGAACGCGGATGCGTTCAATGATGTTACGAGTGGTGACAACCCGGGATGCAGCACCAACGGCTTCACTGCCACGACTGGCTGGGACCCGGTGCGTTCGGTCTGGGACTTTGATTGTATCTAGGTACCTACTGACCATGCTGTCACACAGGTGACCGGGCTCGGTACGCCGAACTACAGTGCGCTGAAGACTGCTGCTGGCCTGTGAAGGGACTAAGGTTCTCTGATTTACGGTATAACGAACGAACGGCACGAACGATGGTTTGGACATTTCTCGGTTACAGTCGCTGTGGACAAGGAATGTCATGTTGTATGATTGGCTGTTTCGCCAACGAGTGCTTGTACGCTATCAGCTTGATCCAGGTCCTGAGCTGTCGAAGACGCTTGGTCACAGGATCGCTATTCTCGCATACTCACCGGCGGTAACGGTATTGCGGTGTCTTCGTTGGTCTTCCGTAGGTGGCGTGTTCTGTCAGTATTTTCAGCAATGTTCTGATAGGTGGCAGGAGCTGTCCTCTGGGGATCTCGTACTCGCGGCTACTTACGCTGGGAAGAGGTAGGAAGACGACGATCAGACAGGAGGCGGTGAGTTGTGTGCGACTTCCACGGCAGCCTACTGCCGTAAGTACTTCTGCATGTGACAACGCCGAAACGCGTGCCTTCGACGCGCTGTACCGTGCCCCTGTGAGTTGAGGGCCCTGCGGCCTTGGCTGAGTGGGTTCAGCGAGGACTCCGAGCGAGCTTAGGCTGCTTGAGGCTTGCCTGGCTGGGACAGGCACGCGCTCGTGACTTGCCCATTAAGGTACTGCCCGCATCCGTCTGAATGCGGGGCGACTAGCACCGCCCGCACATCTCACTGGAAGCGTTGACGCGGCAATATGGAAATGGATGTCTTCCTGTGTCGTCCCATCACGGTCGCGCAGCGACAGCGGACGCCTAACCCCAGAAGACCCAGACGTTGCAGCGACAGAAAAATTGTGAATACGTAAATCAATCACTGTCGACGTGAGCGCACGCACCAGAAGTCGGGGTAAACGCTGCAGCGACATGAATACTTGCGAGTGTGCAAACGGTGGCGCAGCGCCCTTGCGCGCGAGACCACGGGAACAAAGCCAAAGATGGTCTAGATGCGGGAGGAGTGCGGGGTGCGGGGGTGCGGAAGTGCAGGATGATGATCCCGCATCAAACCCGCCATTTAGGGGTGTCTCGTTTGAGTTTCGACCCCTGCCTGAGATCGCTATCTCGGGTGTCGCTTGGAACGGCCTACATATGATGTTGCGATGAGCTTCTACACAACTTAATATAAGCCCACCCCAGTCACTACGTGTTCTCTCCCTTCGCCCAACCCGTCGTCCGTGTATGTGCATGTAATCCGTACTGTACATACGCTGTCTTGTACGAAGACGCTCCACGAGATGGCGACAGTAACTCATTCCAACCTCAAGACCAGCCTGGGGTCGCTCGTCATAGGCAGCCTAGCTGCGACTGCGTGAGTGCCCCTAACCTCCCGAGCCACCGACTTCGCTCATGCTCACTGCGTCTCAGACTGTCTGGTATTGTGATGATGCAGGGCATCCTGTATTTCCGGATGTTCGGGAAAGATCATCTAGGAATGAAGCTGATCGTATGTACTGAAACGTTTGTGTTGCTTTGGTTCGGTGACTAAACTCAGTCGCAGGTATCAAGCATCATCTTGTTGGATCTGTTGCACACAGCCATGCTCTGGACGGCAGACTGGATGTACCTGGTCGCCGGATTCGGTGATATGAACATCACAAACCATGTTTTTTGGTAGGTCAAGTCAATCGCCGAGCGCGAGCACTCACTGATAATCTCGACCGTTCAGGTCTGCAGGGGTGCGTGAAAATGAAGTTTCCTGCTTCATACTCTGCCGATCTCATTCATGATGTCTTTTAGGTTAGCATTGCATTGACGGTAAGTCGACCGCACGGGATGAAGCGGTCTCGTTCTGACCTGTTTCTCAGGCGATGACGACAGTTATCGTGCATTTCTTCTTCACGTACAGACTATTCAGGCGTGCGTCAGACTCTAATCGTTAACCGCCTTTGAACTGACCGCAGCCTTTCATCCTCAGTTAGCAAAGGCAACTATTTCATCACTGTACCCATGGCTATCATCGCTCTCCTTCGAGTCGGCTCTGCATTCAGTGAGTCCGTTCCACTTGCTTTCTACCCAATAGCTCACATACATGTCAGCCACTGCCGGTGAACTGTAAGTGACGAGATACCATCCGAGTCTTCGCTTCGGTGATTTTTAACGGACGGTGCAGGATCCGGTTAGGAAGTTTCTCGGCGTTCTACACACATTACCGCTGGCTGTTACGCTTGGTCTGGTATTATCGACTGCTTTGGATATTATGATCACCTCGGGCCTGTGCATTTTCTTGAGGAAAAGCCGTAGCAGCGGCAACGGAAGTTCTGGACGGTGCGTGAATTATCTCTTATGCCGTTCGACTTCGCTCATTGAATGTGCAGGCTCGATCACATCCTGAACTCGATGACATTGTACACCATCGAGACCGGTATGGTCACATGGTGAGTTTGCTACCGTCTTCTGGCATCCGGGACTCTGACCCAGGGAATAGTATTGCTACCGCAATCTCGCTCATCTTTTGGCTCGCCAAACCTCACGCGCTCATCTATCTCGGTCTTCACTTTGCGATTAGCAAATGTACGTCCAAATCATTATCGGCCACTTGTCATCTTGGCTCATGCATCACATAGTTTATGCGAACTCCTTCCTTGCCTCCGTGAACGCACGTAAGCTGCTCAGGGCGCAGCACGTGTCCCTTTCAACTTCTGGCTCGGGTGCGCTCCCTCCTGTCTTCACCAACCGGTTCATCAGGCAGTCCGGAGTTTCTGTACGTTTTCTCCGCATTGGTTCGTTTGGCGTGCCTTTTTATGACAGATTTCGGTAGGTTCAGCCGGACACGGTGGATCTCACGAGCTCGAAGCTGCAAATCACGATCGACAAGACGGTTGATTATGCCACCGACGACATCCCCATGTCTTCGACGAGAACGACTCGGTCCAACTCGGCCACTTCTCCCATGGAAGACGTGAAGGCGAAAGTATGAAAATGAGATAGCGACTCCGCATCAACGCGGAGGCTCGAGCGCAGGATGTCTGAGTGGGTTGGATGCTGCCAGTGGTGTGCTAGGGTGTGTGGCGCTTTGTACATTATTGTGTCGATTTAGTGTCAGGCTGTTGTGTACGCTCGTTTATATCCGTGCCTGGCACCTGTCGCAGCACAGCAGTATACTGCGTGCCTCAATCTTTGGATAACCTCTCAGGCCTCAGGTCCCTGTATGATCACTGTATGATCACAGCGAGACTCGCCGCCCAAGGTCGATCTAGATCCATGACCGTGTAATCGGGCGCGCGGTAAACTGTAAGGAAGCACAACACTACGGATGACGATTGGGCTAATTCGGTTTATATATGCGTACGGTGGAATGTAAAAATGCAGTGGTTTGCTTCAGGTGTAAGTATGGTTTCTAAGGAGCTCAGGGAGCCAAGTCGCGGTCGATTGAGGTGCAACGCCACATTCGCGACACTCCGCTGGAAGACGCGCATCGCGGCGTAACTGCGCGTGCGGGTAGGGCAGGCTTGATCTTGTCCATGTCCCTCCGCATTGCCTGGCATGCCTCCGTACGAGCCCTCTTACCCACTATCCGCGCCTGCAGGACACTTCGCAATTTGGCAGCAAATAATGACTGGTATCATGAAGGTTCTGGGACGCGACTCCATCATACATCACGGCTCAGCAGATGGGTAATGCCCTCGAATCCAGTCGGCCGCCCTCTTCGAGTTTCCCTCAAGCAGAGCATACCTAACTCTCTGGCGTCCTTCACAACAACTTCTGTTGCAGTTGGACATCGAGACCTTTTCAGTGGCTGCGTTTCGGTCGCTGCAGTGCCAGTCACGAGTCGCTCCCAGAGGACACGCGAACTCACCGGTGAACTGAGATTTGCGCGTCGAAGCCATCGCGCGTGTTCGACACTCTCGTCCTCCCATTCCGCCACTACAACGCTCACCATGTCGTCCTCCGCTGAGGTTGATTATCGGCTCCCAACGAACGTCAAACCGACAGCCTACCACGTTACCGTTCGCACCGACCTCGTCGACAGCAAGTTCGACGGGATAGTCGTGATCGAGTGCGTGCAATGCGTATAGATCGACCGATGTATTTCTGACTACCACTATGTATAACAGCTTAGATGTCAAGAAGGACACCTCCAAGCTCGTGTTCAATGCAGCCAATCTGAGGCTCTCCAACATTACCCTCACCATTTCTGGTGCGAAGTCCTCCAGCTTCACTCCAGCTTCTATCGACTTTGACAAGACGATGGAGCGCTGCACGCTCGGGTTCCCGGAAAGTGTGCCGGCGGGTGCGAAAGCGCATCTTAAGATTGCATACGAGGGAGAGTTGACGGACGCGCTCATGGGTTATTACAAGTCGGTAAGCGGTGAAGGTGAGGTGTATGCGTTGACACAGTTCGAGGTGAGTCTGCTAAGGATATCTGGTACTGGTCAGTCCTGATTAAGGGGTCCTAGCCTACTGCTGCACGCCGTGTTTTCCCTTGTTGGGACGAGCCATTGCTCAAGGCGACCTTCAGTGTGACCATGATCTCGCGTGCCGACACTGTCAGTCTTAGCAACACGACTGCCGAATCAGAGGACATCTTCGACCCCAATGCTGGCAAATCCGATGACACAGTCGCATGGCTGTCCGAGAAGCTGGCTTCGCTCGGTGTGACACAAGGTGAAAGCGAGAAGTGGAAAATAACTCGGTTTGCGGAAAGTCCGCCAATGTCAACATACCTCGTCGCATTTGCGAATGGTAGGTTCGAGTATGTGGAAAGTTCGTATACTAGTCCTCTCAGTGGCAAGACACGCCCGCTGCGTGCCTACGGTGAGTCCATAAGACGCAGTCGGTTTCGCTCGACGTGACGTGAAGACCAATTCGCGTCCTATTGTCAGCAACGAAGGACATGGTCGACAAATTGCAATTTGCGCTGTACGTCAAGGAGAAGGCACTCCCCTTGTACGAGAAGGTGTTCGATATCGAGTACCCGCTACCGAAATTGGACACACTTGTCGCCCACGATTTCGATTCTGGTGAGTTGAGCTGTAGCTACTCGTGATTAATTCACTTCATGGGATATGAACATTAGGTGCCATGGAGAACTGGGGTCTCATCACTGGTCGCACCTCTTGTTTCGCTCTTGACCCCAACTCCGAAGACCTGCGGACCAAGAAGGAGATCGCAAACACGCAATGCCACGAAGTTGCGCATATGTGGTAGGCAAGGTCCAGCAGTACGGAGTCCGAAGTCTCATGCACGCCTAGGTTCGGCAATATCGCCACTATGGAGTGGTGGGACAACCTCTACTTGAACGAAGGTGAGCCAATCGTACGTCACGATGAGAGATCGGGGAGGCTGAACCGACTTTTCGTGCAGGCTTCGCAACTCTGGTGCGTAGAGAATGCGCCTATCACTTGGGACGCCATTCTGACCGCTTCTCCTAGATGGGCGAGGTGATCATACTAGGTGAGTTGATGTATCTAGCAATCCTCTACGTCGTGTTCAATGATTCATTGCAGACAAGTGAGCCGAACCTCGGTGTTGTGAAAGATGAGGACTAATTCCCGCAGGATTTTTCCTGAGTGGAACCTCCATTCCGCTTTCATCACCGCGCACCACAAATATGCTCTTGACGTCGACGACAACCTCTCTTCCCACCCTGTCGAAGTCGAGTGCCCAGACGCAAACATGGTGAACCAGATCTTTGATGGTCTATCGTATTCGAAGGCAGCTTCTGGTGCAGTTGTGTCCCTGGTTGGTCTGATACACGGATATTCACCGTGGTCTCAGTGTTGCGCATGCTCTCGAGCTATGTCGGCGAAGAGAAGTTCCTCAAGGGAGTATCAATATACTTGAAGAAGCACTTGTTTGCGAACAGCGTCACTCGGGACCTTTGGGAGGGTATCCAAGAGGCGAGTGGTGAGTATGTCACCAACAGGTGTTAGCGCTCGCTAACTTGAAGTATCGGTAGGCATTGACGTTCCTAAGATGATGGACAATTGGGTCAAGAAGGTTTGGAACACTCTCAGACCTGCATACGCAAAGCGCCAGTTGATAACGCGCACTTCAGATAGGTTTCCCGGTCCTCACTGTTACGGAGACTTCCACCGGCATACATATCCATCAAGATCGTTTCCTTGGTACAGGACCCGCACAGCCGAAGGACAACGAGACGATTTGGACGGTGCCCCTGAGCCTGCTGACAGTCGATGGAAAGGGCAATGTTGTGATAAACAAGGACGAAGTACTCGACCAGCGTGAGAAGTCAATTTCGCTGGACGTCAACAAACCGTGGAAAATCAATGCGGGGACAGTCACTTTCTGTAAGCCGCCTTTCAGCAGTGATGGATTGCGGCAGTACTGATGTGTGCACTAGGCCGTGTGCTATATCGGCCTGATCGACTTGTCGCAATTGGTCGGGAGGCTGCGAAGGCATCGTCACCGTTCTCAATCGAGGATCGCATGGGGCTCGTCGACGATGCGTTTGCATTGAGCAAGGCAGGCTACTCAGAGGTCAGCTCGGCACTGGCATTGACGGATGTTCTGCGCAACGAGTCGGAATGTAAGCGCCTACTGAGTTTGGGATGTTCATCGACTGATGCTGCTAACTTTCTAGATCTCGTGTGGGAAAGCATTCGGAGGAATCTCGCGCTTATTCGCTCGGTCTGGTGGGAAGACACGAACATCGCGAATTTGATCGAGGGTTTCCTCGCGGAGCTCTTCACGCCGCTCGTTGACAAGCTAGGCTATGAGTACTCCAGTCAAGATTCTGCAGATACGAGGGAGTTGCGGACGTTGGCCATCGAAGGCGCCACCTCTGGAAAATCGCCAAAGTCAAGTTCTTCACTCATGCGCCTCGTCTCCTGACTGACTGCGAATATGCAGGGTGGTCGAGGAACTTCGCAGCCGATTCTCTCATTATATGATAACCGGTGATGACAGCAAGATCCCTCCGGAACTACAAATTGTCACCTACGCAGTTGTAGGTCTTTGTGCTTAGCAGCGTCGGACTGGGCAACTCACGCGCCATGGTGATCTTTTTAGGCCGTTCGGGAAGGCGGTCGCGCAGAGTGGGAGGGTGTCAAGAAGATCGCGCTGCAGCCCAAGAACCCCGCGACGGGAATCGCGGCGAGGAGAGCGCTAGCGCGAACACAGGACCTGGACATCGCGAAGGACACCTGGAAGTTCATGATGGAGGACGTCCGAACGCAGGATCTGTACTACATGGTTGGCACCTTGGGCGTCAACCCCAGCACGAGGCGCTTCTTGGCGGAGCAGTTCAAGGCGGATTACGAGTTGCTGGACAAGAAGTTCGAGGGCAACTACGGCTTCCAAGACATTGTTGCGGTGCGTGTTGCAGTTAGCCGTTGGCTATACTGGCAGCGTTGAAGCCTGAGCTGTTTCGTAGATATCATTCCGCAATCTGTCCGCAGACAAGGATTATGAAGAGACCGCGCAGTTCTTCAAGGTAAACCTTTTATGACATGCTTCACTCACGTCTCAAAATTGACACCGACGCGCTACAGGACAGGAACACCGAAAAGTACAAAATGAAACTGGACCAGACGCTGGAGGACATCCAGGTCCGATCGGCGTGGGTCAAGCGGTCGACGGAGGACATCCGGAAGTGGTTCACGTCGCGCAAGAGCGCGTTGTAGTGGGCCTCAGTCGAGTATATGGTGGGATGAACGGTAGCAATAAACCAACTATAATGTACATATGTGCTCGAGCATGCAATTGCTACGTTCTCGCTGCCTGTTTGAAATTGTTGACGATGGACACCTCAGGCTTGCCACTGCCAGGCAGTGTTCAAACGTTCAATATTCAATATTCAGCACGTGTCTTTCATGACAAATGACGATTGGTTTAGCCACCAAATGATTGACTGGACACTGAACATACTGAAACCTACCGGGGGGAGTATAGAAGCCACTAGTGGCTGTTGCAACAAGTGCGTGCTTCATTCCATCTTTATCATACACAACTGCAGTACCGCTGAGCTTGCAACTGGTTGTAGCCTTCATTCTGCCCGGGTTTACGCCTTGATGACCAGGGCATGAAAGACAATGCGACAACATATGACCCGTTGTATACTAGAAGCTACGCAGTGGTCCGCCCAAAGTATGAGGGGCCGGTCCTACGACGCGGGACATCGTATGCCCCGCAAGCGCTGCTGCCAGTGGGAGGCGCGTCGACGCAGGTCGACGCGTATTACAGCCTGAGGTAAGCTTGAGCTTGTTCAAGTATGTCCATATGCACTGGCTTCAAGTTGTGGCACGCCCCGCGGGCCCCGCCCGTACTTTACTGAATCTCGCTACTACTCGCCTTCCAGGATGCAGCAGATTGACTTGGTATCATGAGGTCTCCCCGAGACGTTGACGCCCCGACCTCATAAATCACAGCTCGCCACATGGGTTTTCTCCCTTGAGAACATTCAACATACCCAACTCCACAGCGAAAACTCCCAGTCACGAGGCACACTGATAGGACACGCGAAGCTACCTGACTCGGAGGCGAATTGACACCTGAGCGTTCAAGTCACCGCGCGTGTTCAGCACTCTGATCCCCACGCTGCTACTGCAGCGACCATCATGTCGTCCTCCGCAGAGGTGGATTACCGGCTTCCGACGAATGTTAAGCCGACACATTGCGATGTCACTGTTCGTACCAACCTCGTCGACGACAAGTTTGACGGGATTGTCACGATCGAGTGCGTGTCATATATACAGATAAGCTGATTAGTATCTGATATTCGCCTTCATGCAACAGCCTAGATGTCAAGAAGGATACAACCAAGATCGTGTTCAACACAGCTGGTTTGAGGCTTTCCGACGTCATGCTCACCACTTCAGGCGCGAAGTCCTTGAGCCTTACTCCAGCTTCTATCGACTTTGACGAGACGATGGAGCGCTGCACACTCGAATTTCCCGGATTGTGCCGACGGGTGCAAGGGCGCGTCTCAAGATCACATACGAGGGCGACTTAACGGACTCACTCATGGGTTACTACAAGTCAGTCGGAGGCGAAGACGAGGTGTATGCCTTGACGCAGTTCGAGGTGAGTCTGTTCGGAATACCCCGAAGACGATTCCGCTCTGAAAGCAGGAATCTACATAGCCTACCGCTGCGCGCCGTGCCTTTCCTTGCTGGGACGAGCCGTTGCTCAAGGCGACTTTCAGCGTGACCATGATTTCGCGCGCGGACACCGTCAATCTCAGTAACATGCCCGTCGAATCGGAGGACATCTTCGACCCCAATGCTGGCAAGTTCGATGACACAGTGACATGGTTGTCCGATGTATTAGCATCGCTTGGTCTGGCACAAGGTGAAAGCGAGAAGTGGAAGATCACACGATTTGCAAAAAGCCCGCCAATGTCAACGTACCTCGTCGCATTTGCGAACGGCAGGTTTGAGTATTTGGAAGGTTCGTACACGAGCCCTCTCAGTGGGAAGACGCGTCCGCTGCGTGCTTACGGTGAGTCTGCAATGCGTGACTGACGCGAGGACCGTTCGCGATCTCTTCTCAGCGACGAAGGACATGGTCGAAAAAATGCAATTTGCTCTCTACGTGAAGGAGAGGGCGCTCCCTCTGTATGAACAGGTGTTTGATATCGAATATCCGCTGCCGAAACTCGACACGCTCGCTGCCCACGACTTCGACATCGGTGAGCTGAACCTTAGGACACGTTGGACCGCTCCACCGATTGACATGAACTTTAGGTGCCATGGAGAACTGGGGTCTCATTGCTGGTGGTACCTCTTGCTTCGCTCTTGATCCTGACTCGGAGGACGTGCAGACTAAGAAGGATATTGCAAGTACACAATGCCATGAGGTTGCGCATATGTGGTAAGTAAGTCCTGCAGATGCAGCGATTATAAAGTCTCATGCGTGGCTAGGTTCGGCAACATCACTACTATGGAATGGTGGGACAACCTCTACTTGAACGAAGGCGAGTCAATTGTATGTCTCTGTGCTTTGGCAGGGCGTATTTAAATATGTTGTCATAGGCTTCGCAACCCTGGTGCGTGGGGAACACGTCTACCACTCGAAAAGCTATCGTGACTACTTCTCCTAGATGGGCGAAGTGATCATTCTAGGTGAGTTATTGCGCTGGCAGTCGACAATTCTCTGCTTGACATCTCATTGTTCGTCTCAGACAAGTAGCTCAAGTACTCTGTAATGCTTTGAGCGACGAGATCTGATCCACGCAGGATTTTTCCTGAGTGGAGACTCCATCCCGCTTTCATCACCGAGCATCACAAATGGGCTCTTGACGCTGACGACAACCTGTCGTCCCATCCCGTGGAACTCGAGTGTCCCGACGCCGAGATGGTCAACCAGATCTTCGATGATCTGTCGTATTCGAAGGCGGCTTCTGGTGAGGGGGATGTCTGTCATCGGGCCATGAACCGCTTGTTAACCACGATGTCAGTGCTACGCATGCTCTCGAGTTACGTCGGCGAAGAGAAGTTCCTCAAGGGCGTGTCGATCTACCTGAAGAGGCACCTGTTCGCGAACAGCGTCACTCGTGACCTCTGGGAAGGTATCCAAGAAGCGAGCGGTGAGCATGTCTTTCAATGCGAGCGTGCACGCACTGATTCAGGGCGTCGGCAGGTATCGACGTCCCGCAGATGATGGACAATTGGGTCAAAAAGGTCCGAGTCGCTGACAGACCTTCGTGCACAAGGCATAACACGGCATGTTTACGAGACTTACTATAGGTAGGATACCCGGTGCTCACCGTCATGGAGAACCCCAACGGCATACACGTTCGTCAAGATCGCTTTCTCAGTACAGGGCCGGCACAGCCGAAGGACAACGAGACGATCTGGACAGTCCCCTTGAGTCTGCTGACCGTCAATGATGATGACAGTGTTGTGATCAACAAAAACGAGGTCCTTGACCAACGCGAAAAGTCGATCGCATTGGATGCCAGCAAACCGTGGAAACTCAATGCGGGAACGGTCACCCTCTGTGAGCCGCCTTTCAGCCTTGATGGGATGTTGCGCCTGATATGCATTGAAGGCCGTGTGCTGTATTCACCAGAGCGACTCGTGAAGATCGGTCGGGAAGCAGCGAAAGCGTCGTCGCCGTTCTCCATCGAGGATCGCATCGGGCTCGTCGATGACGCATTCGCGTTGAGCAAGGCAGGCTACTCGGACGTCAGCGCGGCCCTGGCGCTGACCGACGTCCTCCGCAATGAACCTGAGTGTAAGCGACTGCTCGATGAGAGGTTCTGTCGGCTGAGGGTGCCGGCCTCCCAGACCTCGTCTGGCAAAACATCCAGAAGAACCTGCTGCTCCTCCGCTCGGTCTGGTGGGAAGACGCGGGCATCACGCACTCGGTCGAAGGCTTCCTCGCGGAGCTCTTCACGCCGCTCGTCGACACGCTCGGCTACGAGTATTCCAGCCAGGACTCTGCGGACACGCGGGAGCTGCGGACGTTGGCGATCGAGGGCGCGGCATCCGGGAAGTCGCCCAGGTGAGCGGTCTCCACCTGTCCGGCTCGCCACCCGCTTGACCTGTGAATCGGTGAAGGGTGGTCGAGGAGCTCCGCGGCCGCTTCGCCCATTGCATGAGGACCGGGGATGAGAGCAAGATACCCCCAGAGTTGGAGGAGGTCGCGTACATAGTCGTAGTGCCATCCTCATCACCAGCCCGGACGGCTCACGCCCGTCACGCTCCAGGCCGTGAGGGAGGGCGGCCGGCAGAGTGGGAGCCGTCAAGCAGATCGCGCTCAAGCCGAAGAACCCCACGACCGGGGCCGCGGCGCGCAAAGGCCTGGCGCACACGCAGGACCCGGCCGTCGCGGGGGCCACCTGGGGCTTCATGCTGCGGAGGTGCGCACGCCGGATGTGTGCGACATGGTCGAGACGCTGGCGGCCAACCACGCGACGCGACGCTTCTTGGGGAGCGGTTCCGGGCGGACTACGGGGCGCTGGACAAGCGGTTCGAGGGCAACTACGGCTTCCAGGAGATCGTCGCGGTGCGCTGTCCCTGGTCATAACGGCGCGGGCATGCTGACGTGTGTTGGCCCGAGCAGTCATTCCGCAACTTGTCGACGGACAGAGACCATGAGGAGACCGCGCAGTTCTTCGAGGCTAGTCTCGTCATCCAATTGTTCCGTTGAGACATGTTGCGACTCACAGCTCGTACAGAACAAGGATACCGGGAAGTACAAGATGAGACTGGACCAAACGCTAGAGGACATCCAGGTGCGGTCGGCGTGGGTGAAGCGATCGACGGCGGACATCCAGAAATGGTTCGCGTCTCGCAAGAACGCGTTGTAGCAGGCTTCTTGTGGGTCAAATGTCACTGCGTCCCCACGACTGTCGTAAGTTGGGACGAAAGGTAGCAACGACAAGATGTAACAATCCACGTCCTATATCACGCAATGACTTTCGCCGACTTGGCCTGCTGAGAACGGCGACACCGTCCTGTGAGGCAGTTGGACGTTCGATATTCGATCCTGTCCGCTGGCTCACTCGATGACATCGCAGGCTGCGATTATGACCGCGCGATACACCAGTGTCGCTTGAAGGGACATTGGAATCATCTAGGAGGCTATATGATACACGAGCTGTCTGGTACGAGAGAAAACAATACAAAACGGATCTACACTACATTATGTCGACAATCTAGAGTATAGAACAACGACGACAATTCGGACGGACTCGAACAGCGGCAGGACAAGATCAGAAGTAGCTCCCCAGCTCGATCATCCTCGGCAGGTGCGCGTGCAAGTTAGGCGTCGCGGGCGTGCCAGCCTTCCGCCTCGGTAGTCCTGCGGGCTTTGGTCCCGGGCCCGGCTGCGGGTCGATGACGGCGGGGGACGCGAGCTCTTCGGCGGTCTTCTTAGGCGTAGGCGCGGCGCTGCCAGGCGAACCAGCCAAGCCGGGGCGGTTGTAGGAGAGCCGACGAGGGAGGGACAGTCTGACAGGCGGCCGGATGCGAGCGCGCAGGATGGCTTGAGGGGCGGCGGACATAGGGCAGTTACCCACCGTCGATAGGACCTTCAGCGCAGTAAAGTCGCGTTCGGGAGCGAGAGGCGCGGGGGAAGGGATCTGATGACGAGGAGCGGGGAGCAGGCTTGGCTTGGCACTGAGAGGCCCATCGAACGGGAACGGCGAAGGCAGTCCGAGTCCAGAGATGCAGGGCGTACCAGAGAAGTCGAGACCCAGACCGAGAACAGGCGAGTAGAGCGGAGACTCGGGGACAAAGTCACTGTGCAGAGCCATACGCAGGGGAGCAGGCAGACGGGGCTTGCGGACCAGAGGCTTGGACAGAGCAGGACAGTTGGCTTGCAGGGGAGGCGGCGAGAGAGGCGTAGTGGGCAAGATTTGGTCGACGGGTGTGACCGGAGAAGCGCTTGCGTTGCGAGTCTTGGACAAAGCGAGGGTGAACTGGCGCAGAGAGAGCGGGAACGGGGACGGAGCCTTCCGGGAGTGAGTACCGGGGTCAAGGTGGGGGTGTTGCTGCAGAGGGCGGAGGGGAAGGACGGCGCGGGCGGCAGGTCGACTTTGCATTGGAGGACGGGGCGGTTGGACGCCAGGCGGCGGAGGGACATTGAGGAGAGGTTGCGAGAGACGACTGGGCGCGGGCTGAACAACGACGGGCGGTGACCGGGGACCATTGGGGGTACTGGAAGGCTTAAGGGAGGTGCGATGTTAGCGGCGGTCGAGAGTAGGAGAAGGAAGGTACCTATAATCCGTCGATATGGGCTGGGGCTGGACAGCGGTCTTGATGCGGTTGGATTGCGGGATGTCCTCCGGGTCGGCAACGAGGTCGTTGGCGGGGCTTGCAGGTGGTGGTAGCGACGTCGGGCTGGTGATGGTCGTGAGCTTGTTGGGGATGAGTGGGCGCGTGGTACGGCTCGGTCTTGGAGCGCTTGCGGGTGAGGGAACGCAGAGTGATGTTTCCTGTGAAGGATTGACGATGAGCGACGAGTGTGGATGGACGAGGAGGCGACGCACGTCTGGCGGGTGTGTCGCCACTCAGGCCGTAGAAGGGCTGGTCGTGGTGGTGGACGACGGTGACTGAGTAGGCGGTGGTGCGGGAGGGGCGGGACATAGCGGGGCGCGGGGGGAGGTTGGTCGTGTCGCTGGGCTTTATACGGGGAGGTGGTGGGCTAGAGCAAGCGTGTGCGGGGACGCGTGTTCGCGAGGGAGACCCAGTCCGCCGGGCCCGCGTCTCTTCACCGATCGCCCCGCCGGCGTCGGTACCGCCCGGTGTCTATGGCGGCTACTAAGGATCGACGTCAGAGCCCGCGACGGCCTCGCACGTACGCTGCGCCCCGTTGTCTGAGACATTGTCTGAGGCCAGCCTGCGTCGCCCTGCTGCACCCGGGTCGTCGCATGGCCGCCCGCCACATCCCAGCCCGGCGAACGAGGAGGACCACAACATCGCGGTGACGTCACCGGCGACCAAGCATCGCAGGGACGCGGACGCCACACTCGCACCCTCTGTCAGTCGAGACGATGACGTCAGCCTCCCTCGGACGCGGACGACCTCCTCGGACGCTGCTTGCTTCCGATGGCCTCCTCCACCAGTTCGAATCCTACGCGCGACGTCAGGGCTCTCGACCGCCACCCGCCAGTTCTGGTGATACGATGCCAACCTCACCGTCCTTGCGGACACCGACTTGGGGGACGCGGTACGTCCATCCATCCACCTTCTCGGGTCACTCACGATGCCCCTGCTTCATCACAGGTTGGGTGAACGTCGACGAGACTCCTCTCGAGCTACGGTAGGTTGCGAGGTGGACTTGAAGTGCACCACATCCTCAGACGTGCCGCTCTGGAGCCCCGTCCAACACTGTGTCGGAGACGGTACGCTCCTGCCCCTGTTCTCTTACCGTGTTCAGCGTATGACCACCGGCTGACCGCTTTGAAGGTCATCAGTCGTTTTTGCCAGATCGATCTCTACTTCAAGGACATCTGGGAGGCGTTTACGAGCCGAAAGACGCTCTGCTTTAACGTCTCGGCCCGGGGCGCACTCGACAAATTTCTGTGGTGCTTGAAGCCTGCGCAGGTCAGTGCGTGCTCGCATCTGCTGTTCAAGCTCCAGACGCGTACGCCGTCGCCTGTGCTACTCGTCAGACCACAAATTGCTACGAAACCAAGGTTTGCTACGCGTTGCACGTCGGCACAGACCATATCACCACCCATGTCGTGTTCCAACATCACAGCTTCGAATGGTCTTCCCAGCCCGACGATGACGGTCCCTCGGACGCGGGTCTGCTCCCCAAGGACGAAGCACCTCCACCAGGGCACCGACATAGACCTGTCCATTCCCGATCTGCTGCGAGTGCACGCCGCGCTCGCAGGCGTTGTGAACCAGTGCGGCTCTATTTCTGTGTTCAACCTCTTTCTTCGTTTGCTACCCAAGGTAACGGCAACGCCCTCGCTTTTTGGAAGTACATCTGGATGAGTTGTGTAGTCGATGCAGTACTTCATATGTTGATGGACAACTAGGCACATTCCGTGTACCCACTCTTACCGTATCAAATTATATTCAATACGGCAGTCTCCGCGTAAGTCCCACGAAAGGTGCGTTCCTGCAGCATATTCGTCCGGACGCGTCAGAGCATAGTAGCAGCATGCTTCTCTATGCAAGAACGCTACCGCTAACCGACACACAGCGCGACTGCACAAGTAAATGCGAAGTCATTCTTCGCCATTGCTGTAGAACACGGGACTCCATGCGATATATGTATTATACATGAGAGGCATCGCATAAGCAATCGAAGGGCACAGATCCAAAAGACGAGAACGATACAACACGATTAACCATAAAAGTTCCACAGTCTGATATCCCCGTCGTCGCTCCCTGACACTATCTTGTCTTCCCCGAGCGCAAGACAGGTCACGGCGCCGCGATGTCCGACCAGAGTGGCCATGCACCGGCCTTCCTCGCGAACCCAGACCTTAACGAGACATCGTCAGCTCCTCGCCAGAAAAACGAGCGAGACATTACACACCTTGATGGTCCGGTCGTGGCTGCCGCTCACGAGACGCAGCTTGTCGCTCGCGACGGCCCAGACGCCCTCGATATGTCCGAACAGCGTCTTCGTCGCCTTGCCCGAGTCAATGTCCCACAACCGGATGGTGTTATCCAGACTCCCGGAGATCAGCACGCGCTTCTGGCGTTTCGACGCGGACGCACGGGTGTTCATGAGAGCAGTCGAAGACGAGGAAGCATGCGAGGTTGACAAGGGCTGGGAAACAAACGTCGGGGATCCAGGGTCCGAAGCGTCCACGACGTAGCCGGAGGCCGCGTTATCTGCGCCAGACGCGAGCGCTGCATCACCAGATGCGCCTTGACCACTTATAGATGATGGCTGCGCATTGGTCGCCTCGACATCATCCGCCTCGTCCTCGTCGTCGCTGTCCTCATCTACTGTCAACAGCTTCAGACTCTGAACCTGGCCGACGTGGCCCTTGAATATCCGTACACAACTCCGCAGGGCCAAGTCCCACAGCCTGATCGTCCCGTCGTCCGACGCAGAGAACAGCATCTTCCCCGCGTTGGGCTGAGATGAGAGCGGATCCGCAGCGGTCACGTCCGCGACGGACGGAGGAGGGGCAGAGCACCCGCCCGGCGCGTTGAGATCCCACAGCTGCACCGCGTTCACCCAGTCCAAGTGCCCGCGCAGCGTGAAGCACTCGCCCGTCTTCAGGTTCCATACTTTCACGGTCGTGTCGACGCTCCCGCTCGCCAGTAGGGTCGAGTCAAAGTTCAGGCAGACGACGCCCTCGGTATGGCCCTCCAGCGTCCGGAGACACTGCCCCGTCCGCCAGTTCCACACCTTCATGGTATGGTCCATGCTGCCGGTGATCAGCTTCACCGCGTCGAATTGCAGGGCGCGTACGGCACGCGTGTGGCCCGTGAGACAGTGCACCTCCGTACCCGTCTCCAGGTTCCAGACGCGCGCGGTGCGATCGTACGAACCGGTGATCAGGACCGGAAAGGCGGGGTGCGAGAGCGTCTCGTCGAACTGGAGACACATGACGCCATCGGTGTGGCCCTTGAGCGTCCGCACCGTACATCGCCCGCGTCGCCAGTTGCGCTCGATTCGGAGGCGTTCGCAGTAGACGTCCTTCCACGGGCGCGTCAACATCGGCTCTGGGGAAGACGACCCTGCAGCAAGAGCAGCGGCAGAAAGAGGAGACGATGATAGCGAGACAGCGACGGCGGCCTGGGGGGCAGCGACCAACGCAGGGGATTGCGGACGTTCTGTCGGTGACTCGCCGCCGTCACGTCGTTGTCGTTTTGAGGGCGGGCCCGCCATTGAGGCGTCCGGAGCAGCGACGCGCTTGCCGCGCGCAACGGCGCTCTCGCCCATCGGGGGCGACGGCGAGCGAGTGGACGGCATGCGGGCCATCCTCCGCTTCTCCAGGATGGGCAGGCCCCAGCCGCACTTTAGGCATTTCTGCCCGATGTGCTGCTCGCAGATACCCCTCCAGAGTAGGTCGTCGTCCGCAAGGCTTTTCCACTGCCGACTGACCTGCGCAGCGCGACAGAGCGAGGTGGCGTCCAGATAGCCGAGGATTTTGAGGGATACCTCGCGTGGAATGACGGTGAAGGGTCGAGGCGGATGAGATGTGCGAGTTGGTCGGAGAGGAGGGAGAGTTGGGAGAAGCAGCACATGGTGAGCAAGCCGTGGAGGATGAGGGCCCGGCGCGGGTGGGGGGACGAGGAAAAGTTGGACCAGACAGCGCTGACGGCCTCGCGCTCCTCGACGGGGAGTGCATCGAGTGCCTGTGGGGGAGTAGTCAGTACGGAGATGACTTACTAGACATGGGGTGAGATGGCCGAGACGACAAGGACATCTGGTCGAATCGACAGGCTATGATCAGGACTACGAGCCTCGGACCTGAGCGGTAGTCGCCTCCAGATCCTCCTCCAAGCTCCCGAGCCGTATCCAAAGCACCTCTGTCGTCCACCGCTGCTTCCTGACAAAGCCGGAGAAGACTCACCTGCTGCAGCTTCAAGTTCGTCCCTTCATCTGCCATCCGCTGATGCCGCACGCACAGTTTCCTCGCCGGAGGCTGGATGTAATCCGCGGTAGGTTTTCCGGCCTCGTTTGGCAGCGAGACCGTCTTTGTCAGGAGCTGGAGAGCCGAGTTGTCGACGATGGGTGCCTCGAAGGCGGGCATGGGCGGGGTGGGCGATCGCGGGCGCGGTACTGGCGACGCGGAGACGAGACGTGCAGGGGGGAGGGTATCACAGAGATAGGACGAGGGGGTGGATGAGGCGGCCATGTTGGCAGCGGTGGTGGCGGGGTGCGAGAGAGGAGAGACCTTGGTTATAAACATGCTCAGGCTCCGGGCGCATCTGGTGAATAAGCGCCCGCAATACGCCTGTCGCGTGAAGAATTGGCGACATCGCGCTGCATCACGCCATCCCTACCTCACCTCCTCCCAATGCACTCGCCACCGCAGCATTGCAAATGTCGCAGAAAACATTCGTTTGCTCACCGCCATGATCACACATTCACACACACGCAACAGCGAGGGGGGCGCGCATCACCATTCATGACATAACATATTGTAACGAGTATACTCATGCAACACAACGCCAGCAACCCTCCTATGCATGGCGAAGGACACGTCAGGGCATAACACATACAGCGGAGGCGGGCCAAGTGCTGCTCAAGGCAAGATATATATATGGACGGCGGCGGGACGGGGCACTTGGGCAGAACAGACGAGAGAAAACTCAGAGACAGAGACCGTGACCATGAAGAGTCCCATGCACCGGGCGACGGGCCCATCAATCCAGGGAGATTCGCAGCTGCTCCAGAGGTATCGGCACGAAGTTGTCGAGGTCGATTCCCCGCGAGGCCAGCTCCGGTTCGCACCACGACGGCACCAGCTGTCTCATCAGATCTGGCCGCACAGACAGCTCTGTGAAATGACAGGTCAACAAACCATAAAAGACGACATAGCGCCGCACGAGCACGCCGTCACGGAGCGCTGCCACTCACCCTCCCGAGTAAAGTCGAACAGTGGTGGGAAGTCCTTGCCGTTCGGCATCCGCGCGCCCTGCACGCGCAGTTCGTCAAAGAAGGGGTGGCACATCGCCTGCACTGCGCTCAGCCGCGCCTCTGGCGTGTACTCGAGCAGCTTGGAGACGAGGTCGATCGCTTCGGGCGCTGTGCGCGGGCGGAAGACCTGCCACGCACAAGTCAGTAGGCGCCCAAGTATGCAGTACGATGATAAGCTTTACCTTTGAGAATGGGTGGGGCTTGATCTGAGGGAATTTGTGTTCCATGTAGTTTGGGTTCATCGTCTTGATCTGCTCCCGTGAGGGTGTACCGAGAACCTTGATGATCTCCACGAGCTGATCGATACCGCTCTCCCCGGGGAAGAGCGGCTGTCCCAGCATCAACTCCGCCATGACGCACCCCGTCGACCAAATGTCTGCGGACCTGCGTCAGCGCCCAGCCACGCGACCCGTCAATGAAACTGCGGGGCTTACCGATGTTCGTGGTGTAATTCGTGGCTCCGAAAATGAGCTCCGGGGCGCGGTAGTACCGCGAGCAAATGTAGCTGACGTTGGGCTCGCCGGCGACGAGGATCTTTGCGGACCCAAAGTCGCAGAGCTTGAGCACGCCGGTGGCGGGGTTGAGAAGGAGGTTCTGGGGCTTGATGTCCCGGTGACAAATGCCGATGGAGTGGATGTACATCAGGGAGCGGAGGAGCTGGTACATGTACAGCTTGATTTGCAGCATCGGCATGGGCTGCTTGAGCTTTGCGTAGTGACGGCTAGCACGATACACGGTCTCTGGAACGTATTCGAGGACAAGGTTGAGGTACACTTCATCTTTCTTTTGCGACTAACATCAGTACCGAAGGCTCTCGTCCGGATCCAGGCGCGCGAGGAGGGGCAGACACTTACCTTCTCGCCATTAGAATAGAAAAAGGCCTTGAGGTCGACCACGTTGGGATGTGATACCAGCCGCATGATCTGGAGCTCACGGTTCTGGAAGGCGCAGCATAAACGACGATGTTGGCGGGGGTAGGGCGCCCGCGGCGCGGATCATGGACAATGGAACGCACCTTGAACCGCTTGTCCTGGAGAACCTTCTTGATGGCAATGTCCGAGTTGCCGTCGGATTCGTCCATGAGCTTTGCCTGGAAGACGATTCCGAAGGAGCCGTTGCCGATGACCTTGCAGTTGGTGTAGACGAGATCCTTGACGTCGCCGGTCTTGCCATCGGAGGCGACGACGCGGACGACCTTTCGAGGGTCATCGACGGCTGAAACAAAGGGGAGGTCAGGATGGATGGACAGTTTGCAGTTGGGACGGTGGGGAGAGTCGTAGGGATTGGTGGGAGGAGGACAGCTGCAGGGGGCCGGGGTGACGATCGACATGGCGGATGGGGGAGATCGGGGAGGGCTAGGAGAGTACGTACGCGATATCTTTACGCCATTTATGGGGGTGTGGGTAGCCATTTGGACAGGCGTAGATGGTAGGGATACAGGTTATTGGTTCGTTGGCTCGTGAAGGAGCGGAAGCGGGCAAGAGACGGGTACAGAAGCGGGGACGCGATGGGGGCGAGGAGGTGGCAGACGAGGCCGCTGACAGGGGACGACGGGGGCAGGGACGAGAGGGAATTACGGGCGGGGAGGGGGAGGACAGACGGGGAGATGAGGAGAGAGGAGAGAGAGCAGACGGAGGCGCGGGAAACACCGATCACCAGACCGCCGCGCCACCGCCCAAACAACCCCCGCCACGCCCGCCCTCTCTCCGCCCCACGCGACCCGCCTCCTCGTCCTCGCCCTCTTCCCACCGCCGACCCCCCAGCACGCGCGCTGCCTCCTGGCGGACCCGCGTACGCCCTGCGTACTCCGGGGCCGCACCCCGTGGGATGCATTTTTCACTCATCACATCCGGCAGTACGTGGTCCCATGAGTGGCCTCTGTGCAGGCTTCCGCCCGTCATGCCCCGTGCCATCGCATCATAACAAGTCGTCCTCTGACTGTGGATGCGCTGCCGCCGACGGGGCGGTGTAGCTGCGCGCGCTGGCGACCATCTGACGAATCCTCTGACAGACTTCACTCGCCCGTCGCCCCAGAATGTGCATGTACTCTCCCACAGATATGTGCCACAGAGCCCAGCCAATGCACGCACCGCCCGAAGTGCTGATGGCATGTCGTTCCATGTCCATATACCGCAACTCCGCCGGCAAGCCTACTTGTGTGTTCGAGGTGAACCTTCTCCGTGTCTCGATCATTGTCTGCAACCACACTTGCCCGTTCTTCGCGAAGTCCTCTCGCACCGAGGTCCGCGCTCGCTTCGTGCTCGCCATACAGCACGTCTCCGACCTCCTTCGCTCGCTGACAGGAAGCCAGGCCTTGGGTAGCCACAGTTCGGTGTCTAGATGATGACGACGACAGGTCTGGCCCTACCCATGCGTGTCCGGTCTACGTCCATGTGCATCCGCCGTGGCTTCTCTCTGAGACGGGCAAGACATCTTGATTATGCGTCTCTGATTTCTCGGTGGACGTGTACTCACCAAGTTGCATGAAATGTATCATCTGCTTCTTGACGCAACCCACTCGGGCTTAGCAACCGTACAATTCTGGAAGCAAAAAATATATGTACATGTCGGTCCTGCCCTCCAGGGAAGCTAGGCAGCCATGATCATGTTCAGCATTTGAGACCACTGAGCGCATTAATTCTACACAACGTTTGGCATCCCGAGTCGTGACATTTGCTCTTGCCCTGATTCGCTGGGCGGACGCTCATGTCACGTGATCGTCACCTCGGGCGACGTCGCTCGACGCAGCGCCGGGCTCATCGCCGCCACCTCCGCCCTCGTCCTCCTCGCTCTCGTCCTCACCATGTTCGCGGCACGGCTCCCAAAACGCGTCCCTCGTTTGCCGCATCCCATCCGCAGAATATCTTCCTCGTCATGCCGCCGTTCCGATGCTCTCTTCGTGGTACGTGGTAGTGTCATGCTAGGCTCGCCCTGCGGGTACTGAGAACCGCATCCCAATTCCAGCACCGTGACACGACCTACAACAACCCCAAGGTACGCCATGACAATCCACTTTGCCCAACACTGTTCACCTATTCACCCGCCGTGCCCACAGATCCCATTCGAGTTCACCACGGAGAACCTGAAGCGCGCCCAGGAGATCATCTCGCACTACCCGCCCCAGTACAAGAAGGCCGCCGTCATTCCCCTCCTAGACCTCGGCCAGCGGCAGAACAAGGGCTGGACGAGCATCAGCGTCATGAACTACGTTGCCAAGCTCCTCGAGATGCCCCCCATGCGTGTGTACGAGGTCGCGACCTTCTACACCATGTTCAACCGGTGCGTCCCGTCGTCTCCAGCATTCCTGAACCCCGTGCGCCACGGAGAGGTGCAGCTGCTGACGCGCGCGCGCACGCAGAGAGCCCATCGGCGAGAACTTCGTCCAGGTCTGCACGACGACGCCGTGCATGCTCCGCGGCGCGTACGACATCGTCGACACCGTCTGCAGCCACCTCGGCGGGCTCAAGCCCGGCGACTCCACCAAGGACGGCAAGTTCACCGTCATCGAGGTCGAGTGCCAGGGCGCCTGCAGCAATGCACCCATGATGGCCGTGAACGACGATTTCTACGTAAGCGTCCGCCTGATCCGCGATGGCACGCCCAAGTGTTGATGTTAAGGACTGATGACGCAGGAGGACCTCACTCCGGAGACGACGAAGAAGATACTGGATGCATTTGCGAAGGGTCAGAAGCCAAAGCCGGGTCCTCAGAGTGGACGGCATACGAGCGAGAACTCGGCAGGTCTGACGGCGCTCACGTCAAAGGTATGCCTTCCGTGTGCTCATCTGCAGCTCGCGCTGATTCCGACGCCTTCGCAGCCATACGGTCCAGGCGAGTTTTGCTCACCAGAGTTCCAGTAGATAGTAGCAATACATCATATTCCGATGGGCAATGGTATCGTATCCGTAATGCAGATGGCAGCACAATGTTCGAGCATGCATGATTAAGTATAAGAGAGCGAAAGAGAGCCAAGACAGTAGTTTGATCAATCGTCTCCTTCACCGTCGTCCGTGCCGTACATTCCTTCGCCTCCTTCGGGCATTCTCTCGACGATGTATCTGTGCACCAGACGTCAGGACATTTGCGAGAGAATCCAGTAAATGACGCTCACTCAATTTCTTCCTTTAGATCGTCGCAATACCGCTCTGTCAAGGTTGTGCTCAATCAATCAGAAGAACACTGATGAGATAGTGCGCACCAAGTGGGAGGTCAGATTTGTCCAAGCCTTCCGATTCAACATGAGCTTCATTGCATTTTTGCCCCGGAGAGTAGTCCACTCACCAAAAGGCATCTCAATCTCATCCGCAATTCCCTCGATGCCCATCAGCGTAAACGCAACGACGGTCACGATGGGCACCATGCCCCAGCCGAGATCCTTGATGAGCGTAAATGGGAGCACGAAGAGGTAGAGCGTCACGCATTGTTTGAGGTGGATACTGTACGAGCGGGGGATGGGTGTATTCGCGATGCGTTCCATCCCGGTCATCATCTCAACCATGCCCTGCACGCTACACAACCATCAGAACACCCCGTTCATGTTGCAAGCCAAACGATGGCACGTACTGGCCGCTCATGGCGTTCGTCCCCGCTGGGCCGACCGTCTCCAGATACCCATCGCGCTTGAACAAGAACAGCAGCCTCGACAGCTCATGCGCGATCACGAGCGGCAGCGGCGTGCTCAGCGTCTCGGGGTGGGGATGGAAGTCGATCGTCTGGTGCAGCGCGCGCTCGCTGAGCAGCGGCGTGCGCGCCGTCTTCGTGCTCGCCTGCTTCAGCTTGTCCTTGCTCCGCTTCACGCGGATCCGCTTCGTCGCGTCTGCGCTTGGGCTCCGCCCCTCCGTGTCGCCGAAATGGGACGGGCTGCTCGCTTCGTCGGGCGTGAGGAACCCGCCTGGGCTGGTCCGCGCCGTCGCTGCGTAGCTCATCGCTGTGCTTGTCCTGCGTGTAGGCACGCCGAACCTCACGAGCTGCACCGTGCTCGCTGGGAGGACACCGACGTAGTCTTCCCAGTCCAGCCCGTCCTCGCCTCTGAGGTAGTGTTTGACGGAGTAGGCGAACGCCGCGCATAGTTTCAGGGCGTCGACCTTGCGCCGGCGGAGCTGCGTTGCCGTCAGGTTCGGACCAACGCCCTTCACACGTGCTCCGTCGTCGGCGGGTGGGACTGCGACGTTGACCCAAATCAGACGGGAGAGACTACGAATCTGAAGAAGCCCGGCTAAGATCAGAGTGTGCACAATCGGAGACCGTCGAGTGCACTGACATGAGCGGACATCGTCCCGAAGTCTTTGCGTCCCTCATAATACCGATCGTACGATGTTCTGGTTTTTCGGTGAATGAGATAAACACGCATCGAGCAGTTCAGAACGTACCCATTCCTAGCAAAAGTTGATATGCCCAGTCACTGACGTTCACAACATATCACGCGACCAGCTGACGCACCTGAATACCAAGATCAAGCCGACCTAGCTGCTGGTCAGTCCCCTCTCTTCACATAGCACACGCATGGTAACAACATGTTGGAACTTACCACGACCGATAGCAGAGGCACGACCTGATTGGTGAGCGCAACGTCCGTACCCTGGTCCCAGAGGTACGCAGCAATACTTGCGAAGATGGTGACAGTGAGGACAGGCCCGATGACGCGGGGGACAATCTACAAATTCATTCAGAGATATGGTCGCGACCGAAAATGGCTGAACGCACGCTTCCTTTGAGACGCAGGACGTCGGGAAGCCAGGAATACTGTCGGATACCTCGTTAAGCCCTCGCGATGCACTCCTGATGATAGAATCACACCTTTCGCAACTTCTGTCTTGATATTATCTTCGTCTAAGGTGCTCTTCAGTGTGATTCCCCGATTTCACTGGCAATTAGGCTGCACCTTCTGGAGCTTCACGGCACCGCTCTTGCCTGACACCGATGCAGTCGTCACCTCGGCCTCCTCCATGGACATGTTCGTTCTTGAGACAAATGCAGATGCCGTCAGAGGTGTTAAGTGGGTGCAGCGAAGAGCCAATTGCAAGGTGCCACAGCTTAAGGCTTGTGGCAAGGGACGGGCATGCAGGAGCTGCCAGTGATGAGGCAGCCACAATTGCTCCGTCACCGAAGGTTGCTATATCGCAAATCTCGATCGTAGCCTGCATGTGATTCCTCCTGGTCCATCATCAAGTTCGTAGCTGACCTTGCTGCTCTTCAGCTTCTTGAGATTCGACTTTACAGTAACAATACTCAATACTTGAAAGCACCTCAAGGATGAGTGGACGCGTCATGGAATCCGTCTCGCTCACATGATCCCGACTGAAGGCAGTAGTACTAGTAGGCAGATTTCACGAGAACGTTCGATCGACTGGGAGGGGCGTTGCGCGCAACGCGCAACGTGCAACGTGCAACAGTCACTTAGTCACGCTGTGACATGCACCCACTGCGGGTAAGTAACCTACTTATGTTGCCTACGAACTAGTCCCGCCTCCGTGTGGCTATGACATTGGAAATGAAAATAAAGCATCGGTTACAAACTGAGGAATAGAATGGTACTCTTAAATACAACAGGCTACTGTCAATGTGTCTTGTGTGTAGCCTTCGGTGACAGATGACTTGCCAAATAAGGACATGCGACGAGGCGCTGTGGCCACATCCCCATACAGTCCACTTGTGGTGAGCCTGTTCAGTTTGAAGATATTGAGTGGTTGGAATGTGTGCTATTTCCTACGCAAGAAAGGCCTTGCATGGCGTTTTCTCGGCCAAGTTGCAATCGCGGCCACCGAGCGAATCGCGATGCATTGCCCGAGAAATTACATAAGCGACATGTGGCGCGTTGAGTCACAGTGCGAATCACTCCCAGCTCTGCAGACTGAGGTCGTATTAGCTCTTATTCTAGGCCTGTATATATCTAGCTGGAGCGAAGTGCGAAGTGGTCTGGTGTTATTTTTGCCAATATGTATACACCAACTGTCCCGTAACCCCTTGTCCCGCCCGACGAGGCAAGCCACACCGTGACTTGCGTGACGTTGCGCGTTGCGCGCAACGCGTTGCACGCAACGGCTCTCCCCGTGGATCGGACTTTCTGGATTTCACGGACACGTAGACGCGACCATGATCCGAGTGTGCCAGCACTACACTGCATGAGAATCCATTCCGTTTGCAAATATTGCTATATCGTGCAATCGTGAGTATTGCTCGTCTATCAAGAAAGTATCGCCTCTAGATAAAACCGTGTACAGATCAGCTCTTTTCCTTCTTGTCCACGGACGCATCTACATCAGCCTCCGCCTTCTCCAAGTCTTGCTCAGCTACGCCCTTCTCCAACTTTTTTATCCGTTGTGCTTCTTTGGCAGCCTCTTTCAACTCCTTGTCGTCCGCTCGCGAGAGCTCGTGTTGTTGAATTAAGAACACTGACGCTAGCCAACCGACACCCGTCGCGGCCACCGTCAAGTAGAACACCCCTCGGAAGCCGTCTGAATAGCCCTTAATGATTACCTTCAGCGCCGCATCGCTTATGCCAGCGTTATCGTTCTTGACGCTTGTCGGGTCATTCAGGAGTATGGCGATCTGCTGAGATGACAAGCCGACGCTCTGTGCCGCTTCTCGGAGGGAGTTGTTGATCAGCGACGAGCACACTCCGAGCGCGATACACGAGCCGAACAATCGGAGGTAGTTCCGCACGGCTGTGACAACGGCCATTTGCTGACGACTGACGGCAGCCTGCGGTGTTCAGAACATCAGCATGTTAGAGTTAAGCACAGCAATTATATGGCAGACCTGGGCAGCGAGGAGAGTTGTCTGGAAAGTCATGCCTGCAGCGATACCGGCCATGAGCAACGATCCGATGATCTTGCCTTCGGACGAGTTCTGACGGATGGTACACTGCAGGCCCTGCGCAACAGTCCAAAGACTATACCCAGCAATGACGAGATACCGATAGTGCCCCGTGCGAGCTGTGATTTGTCCTGGTCGCCCGGGATTAAGTCAATCTTCTCATTCTACATACACGGGGTGTCTACTTACCGCATGTAAAGACACAGAACGCTGATACATCGTGTCAACGCACGACCAAACAGGTATGTGGTGAATATATACCATACCGATTGGGGCGAGAAATGGGAGCAAGAGGAGACTCGATTTGGTCGGCGACATGCCTCGGACAAGTTGCAGGTACTGCGGGACATAGTAGAGGAGCTGGCGAAGACCGGTCACTCAGAGCCCATGCCTAGGCGACAACAGGACATACTGAGAAGAACGTCGTCCCGCTGTGCAATTCCAAACATTGTCAGTTGGCACGGAGTGCACACAGATGTGATACGTACTTCATCAGCGTGACGATGAACACCCCGACAACTGTCTTGTATCGGAAGATGAAAACTGTGCCTCGAGTGAGCTATACCACCAACGGTTGCGACTACTGGGATACCTGGTACAATTGGGAACTTGGCCATCTTTGCCTCCCAGAACACGAAGAGGGCGTAGACGACCACTCCGAGTATGAGTGGTACGAGAACGGGAGCCTGCCCACCGACACAGTAAGAAACCCGTCGATGAAAAGAGCCAGAGCGCGACGAACCGAAACCCAGCCGTATGAGACACCTCCCCTGATCACGGACGCGTGAACATGCTGTCATATCGATGAGGCAGCGCACACACCAATTCAAACCGAGCTATGGTTTGAATTATCCCGTCATCGACCCAGCCCAGCGCCACGATCGGAGGCCAGCACTCACAAGCAAGAGAATGGACGAGACTACGGTCAACAAAGAGCCGACGTAGTCAATCTGTAGCAATTTCTTGCGCATATCGCCATGGACCTTCTTCTGGGGCAGTAGCCAGACACAGGTGACGATCGCGAGGGATGCGAGCGGCAAGTTCAGGTAGAAAACCCAGCGCCTGCGGAGGCAAGAACGGTCAACTTGTCTTGAACGGTGCATGGTAGTGCGGACTCGCACCATGTCGTGTCTGGATACAGTCAGCGCCGGATTTATCGGAAGAGCATGATTAAACGTACACTCAGAAATGACACCGCCGAGAATGGGCCCGACTCCGTTGGAGAGTGCGATGATGGCCTCATTGATGCCCATAAATTTCCCTCGCTCCTTTAGTGACACAATGTCTGACACACTGAAGATAACATATGGCAACTATCAAGAGATCGAGAAATAAGACACCTACATGATCAATGTCATAGTGATAATGGCTGAAACACCGTCAGAATATGTCCCGGACACAGTCATATATTACGCACCTCCACCACCAATTCCCTGGAACGCTCTGAACACGATCAACTGGAGCATCGTTCGTGCGAGAGCGCATGCCAGCGAGAACACTAGAAAGACAGCGAGCGCAAAAAGCATCACTACCTTCCTACCGAAGACGTCTGACCACCGGCCATAGAGTGGTGTCGAAGCCAAACTACACTGTGTCAGAGAATGTAGGTACTACTGTAGCAGTGGGACAAGCCTTGTGAGCAAATAAGATGTTGCTACCCATGCGCCGATAGTCCCGCCATTCAGATCTTCCTCTATGCTTGCTAGAGCCGTGGCGACGCTGTGGAATATGATGGGGTGTAAGTAGGAGCTGAAGTCGAGCCATCCTCGAGTTGAGAAAAACTAGTGAAATCGGCAGTCTCACTGTGCGCGTTCTCAGGCTGCGACATTGCATTCGATTCAACCAACCCAAGCGATTATGCAGAAGACCTTTGGATAGCACGTCGAACTACCTTAGGCTACCTTGGGGTCATGGACTCGGAGGTTGCAGCCTGTTGCAGCCATGGCTCCGACGCGTCTGTCACGCGCTCGCGCTCGCGGCCCGTATGCCCGAAGACCTCATCGAGTTCGAGCGATCATGCGGTTATAACGGCATGATAGCAGTACTGGGCAATGGCACGATAGGATGGAACAGAGACTCAGATGCATACATTGTTTGGTCCAAGAACGAACACATGAGAGCGATGGACAGCCCGAGGAACACCATAATGACCTACTCAACAACGCCTAGAATGATGAGACATCGCACAAGCAAACCGAGAACGACAAAACTCGCCTGTCTTGTGGGCAAGAAGTTGGTCTGGTCGGTGAGCTCCACCGAGTCGCCATTGTTGTTGGATGCATCCGCCCGCTGCTCGTCCGAAGAAGTGGGTGCAGGTACATCGGAGCCGCTTGCGCCATGAGCTGCCTCGGGGAGGGCGAGCACCAGATCCTCGCGGACGTCGATATCGTCCTTGACGTCCTTTAGCTGCGACGAGCTCATGGCGGCCGAGGTCAAGGCGAGACGGGAGCCATGGATAGTTGAACGTTGAGCGTCGAGGGGATTGACGCCGGCCGAGGTGCCGACGGCCCTGCCAATTGGCTGAGTATGTCTATCGCCGCGTTCACTGACACGGTCCCACTGTACATGCAGTACTCAGTTACAGGCCTCGTACCCATCGATCCGCAGAGGCCTGCAATTCAAGAGAACTGAGAGGCTGTGCGATGGTCAACTGAATCCCATGCGACCCGGACTTCCAACTGATGGACGGCCTGAGGCTGAGGGCATCTACTTACAGTAGAGGGTATCATGGACCCACCTTTCCTCCTCATTATCGAGCTACTATTCCGGATCAGCCCCGGGCCGTCGTACTGGAATTCGCCTTTACCGGGATACATAGCCATCTGCAACCAGCGCGGTCAACAGCTGCAAGCGACTCAGCACGACCGACGGCGTAGCCAGCCAAGAGCATGTAGTTCAGGACATTGAAGCTCGGCTGGGAGGAGGAGGGAGGCAACGCCGCATGTCGGTCTCAGGAACTGACATAAACGCACGTAGACGAACTTGACCAAATGTGGAGCTTTTCTTGAGCTGGTGGTGTGGCCGAGTTGGTCTAAGGCGTGGGATTTAAGTCATTCTTGATTCCCCATGGGCGTGAGTCCGCGCGAGTTCGAACCTCGCCGCCACCAATGTTCTTGTTATTCATTTTGTCGCGAAAGTCCACACGGCCTGCCTATCCGCCAAATATACCGCTGCACAAGTTGTCATCGATTCATCATCATTCATGGTTGCTTCGCTGATACTGTACAAGAGACACAACATTCCCAATTTGCCAACGGATCCTATATAACACAACCCAGGAAAGCACTCCTTCGCAAGCCCAGCCTCATGACTAGAATGACATGGATTGCGCTATTCAGAACAACTGAAGGCACGATAAATCGACTGGCCGAAGGTAAACGGCAAAGCGTACGCACTGAAGATATACTGTCCTTGCCTCCGGGCATCTCGCGCACTCTGAATAGAAGGGTCATGAGACAGTGAGATCTCGATGATATGAAATGTGCGTACCGGCGAGTGGGCTTGAAGGCCTGCGGGTCGGGTGCATCCCATAAGCCCGAAACACCAGAAGAGGTGTTGCGGGGAGGCCTGCAAATAGTTAATGGGAAATGGATATGAGACAGCTCGGGAAGCTTAATACCTTGGACGACTCTCCGGTAGCGGGTCATCGGATATTGCGTTCGAACCAGCGTCGGTTGACGCTATCTCAGGTGAGGTAACAGCGTAGGTCGCCTAGGGCAGACTTACTAGGGAGAACTCTCCTCGATGTGTAGGCACATACCTGGTCAGGGCGCGGAGGAGCACCCGCAAGTGCATCACTGTCATCCGCACCGAAGATATCTGTGTGACCACCACCTGGTGCGGTGCGTACACGCCGCGAAGGACGGTATGCATTTCCCGCCTGCTGCGCTGATGTGTATGGAAAGTCACTCATCAATGTCCCTTTCTACAGAGGGAGCACTGTACCCGTTGCGGCGGCCTCTTTCTGTGCAGCAGTTTGATGCTCGGCATCGGCATCTTCAGCAAGAGTCCCGAAGCGAGCGTATCCTTCAAGTGTTGTTGAGCCACCGAGGGCTGAACAATCACGGCATACTCACGTGGGAGCTTCTGAATGTTCGTGAAGTTGGGGTCCACCGTTACCCCAGCGTATCTTCCAGGAGGCCATGTCTTAGCGGGGAGATGCGGCGCATTCACAAAAGAGCGGAGGACACGGGACTTACTTGAGGAACTCGAGGAGAGAGCGTTTATTGAAGACAATCTGAGTGTTGTCCCAGTCGAGCATTCCTGCCAGTGAAGAAGAGGTTGGCATAGGTGAACGAATAGCCGGACAGAATCGGCATACCCAAGCTGGCGGCCCAGTCGCGCTCCTTCGCCATGTCAATGGTGGACGAGGGAGTGAAGCTCGAGACACACACACTCAGCCTGTTTCATGGTACAGGCAGCACTGGCGACTTACGTAGAAGACATGGCTGAAAGTAAGGGAACGATTGCGGATGGCGATGTTGGCGTTGCGGTGAGCGTTGCACTCCGACCAACTTGAAGTTGGGTTGTTCGTCGCGACGCCGGTGGTTAGGATTCGGATGCACGTGACTAGCGCGTCCCCGACATGCATCCGGAGTCCGGACGGAGCGGCTATTCGAGATCCTGTCATTTACATGCACACAGTACCGTACTCTGCTCTGCTCGAGGCGGCCGACTCACTGATATTGACTCGCGCACGAAACGTTCTCACACCTCTACAGCCATGCTCCGAGCAAGCATGGCGGCTCCTTCAAAGGCGCTGCGAACGCAGTCCCGGTGCATCGTGACAGCTCACCAACCCAAGCCGAAACCGTCTTCGATCTACCTCGATTCCGCCAAGTCAGAGGGCCCTGAGGTGACTACGACGCCGCTTGCCCTACCTGAACATCAAAGGCAAGCCCTAGACAGCGCTCTCCGTGTCGACCAGGCCGGTGAGCTCGCAGCAAACTACATCTACATGGGACAAATGGCCGTCCTGGGCAAGGATCCGGTCACCGGACCCCTAATTCAGGTGAGAAGGCTGGTCTCCGGGCCACCGACTCAGTGTCTGATATGGCGCCTCGCTTTGTACGGCAGGACATGTGGGACCAAGAGAAGAAGCACCTCGCCGTCATGAACAAGCTGCAAGGACAACACCGGGTCCGACCTACTGTTCTCTGGGAAGTCGCTCGCGCCGCAGGGTTTGGGCTCGGCGCCGTCACAGCCTTGATGGGGAAGGAGGCTGCCATGGCGTGCACAGAAGCAGTAGAGACTGTCATCGGCGAGCACTACGATGAGTATGTCCCCTGCGCGTTCGCATGCCCGGTTTTGCTGAAGTCGAGTGCAGCCAACTCAAAGAGATGGAGGACCTACCAGCAAACCATCCGAGCGTTCCAGTCTTGAAGTCCGTCATAGCAGAGTTCCGAGATGATGAACTTGAACACTTGGACATCGCAGTCGAAAACCACTCCCAGCGAGCGCCTGCGCACGCACTCCTCAGCACCGTGGTAGGTGCCGGGTGTAAGGCTGCGATAGAACTCTGCAAGCGCATATGACTGGCTGTACCATCACGGATGCTTAGAGAGGATAGTGTAGTTTAATGAATAATGGGCCTCTATGACGTGTACAGCGTTCACTCCGATTCCGTCGAGGGAGCAACGCGAGCCAACGATTGGTTCTTGAGCTTTCCTGACCAGTTCCATTTGTGCTTGAAAGAATTGGAGGGTCAGGATTGCGCGGCATGAATCGTCAAAGCAACGCACGTCCTGGTTAGAAGACAGCCAATAGATGGCACCGGGAAAGATGACCAACCCAACAATGGTCTGCACCGTTAAACGCGGTGTGAAGCGGAAGCGTTGGTACGCTGTCTCCCGCTGTAGAGGGCGGTGTCAGCATTGGACAGTTCACTGAAGACGAACATACCATCTGGTTCCATCGCTCGATGGCGGGGTCGAGCTAGGGAGAGCGACCTGCTGAGTATGGCTAATTGGTGGTCAATGCCGAACAACTGACCTTCGTGTAGCCTTTAAAAGCCATGTTCAACTCTCCAGACGATTGACATATGCAATTGGGAACATACCGTGTCCAGCCATAATGGTGTCCGTAGAAGTCAGTGGTGGTCGAGTGTTGACGTGAAGGTCACGGAGTGAGACTTGCCACCCAATTAGCCGCCCGCCCCTCTGCTTCTGACCACCACTGCGACCCTCTCGGTCGCACCTACTTTTTGCTTTCTTGAACACAATTCGACTGCGATATGTCCTATAATCGCGAATGGGACAAAGGGAAACAGCCAAGTGCTGACGGGCCATGGCAGTATCATGGCTCACATGGCGGTATGCATCCGAGAGACGACGAGTATTTCGGTGACGGCAAGCGCAGGAAATTCAACAACGGAGTTCGTAGCAGTGTTTACTTGTGTAGACCTGTCCTGTAACCTCTTCACAGGGCTACGATGCCTCCCAAGGTTATGACCAAGGCTACGATGATGGCGCACACGACCTTGGCCACGGCCAAGGCTACGTCCAGGACTATGCTGCCGAAGACCGCTTCCAGAGAGGAGGCGGCGGCGGCGGCGGCGGCGGAGGCTACAGCAAGAAGAGGCTCGTACCCAGTGAACCGAGCCCCCATGTCATCTTTCTTGGACTTGATCCAGACTTTACCGAAGCCGATGTCCGTCTGTTCATCACCACTCTGCCGGAATAGGAGCACTGACATATGTACCATCAGCTTCAAGCATACCTCAGCAGCAACAGTTGTAGCGTCGAAACGGTGACCATCATACGAGACAGAACAACAGGCACTTGCCCCTTCGTCCCTGCCGTTCATGCAGTGCATTGACGTTCTCTTCTTTCCGTGCCTTGGGCTTTCTTGCTTTCAAGGTCTCTCAAAGGGTTTCGGCTTCGCCCAGTTCACAAGCATCGCACATGCACGCGCGTTTGTCGATCCACTGTTCCCATTCATCCAGGTGCCCCCGCCTGCGTCTCATGGCGCGTCTGCTGCGAAAGCATTCTATACCGCACTTGAAGCCGGTGTGCCTGCTCCCCCGGGTGGCAGACGGGTCAAGATCGATTATTCGCAGAGTGCTAGTCCCAATGAACGACGTGGAAGGGGCCCCATGCAGTCGAACGAGGGTATGCGGGATATAGGGAACACACAGGCTCCTGTTCTGCTGTTTCGTGGTCTAGACCCGCTTTCGGGACCGCAAGCCATAGCCCAGGCCATGAAGAATGCGGCGGGCCCCGGAAAGGACGGCGCAAAGGGTATGCGGCGTATCATCCTCATCAAGGATAAGGTTACCATGGCTAGCTGGGGTTTTGCCTTCGTGGAGTTCGTCGACGTCCAGGTACGTGGTTGGCCTCGTCAATTCGTCTGATGTACTTGATACTGTTTTGCAGTCTGCGTCAACCGTCCTAGGGCTGACGATGTCGCCGCAAATCCATCCAAATGGCTTCCGCATCTCTGACCGCCCGGTGGCTGCCTCCTTTGCCCATCCTGAGTCGTTTCAGCCGATTTCAGACTACGCGTTGAAAGATGAGTCGTGTATGATGTCTTCGTTAGCTCTGGGAGGCGTGGAAGAACAATGGGTGCGGTATTGGGACGAAGGTTCGATGGCCGCAGTGCTGGAATTCGAGGTAGCGGAGCCGATCCAACCGTCTACTACCGCGCCAGCCAAAGATAAGAAGGAGAAGAAACGAGCAAAGGGTTGGTCACAATATAGTGAAGTTCTTGTGCTGCCACTCACGGGGGTTAATGCAGGTGACGGCCAGGCACATTTAGATCGTCCTGCAGCAGCATCCACGCTCCCTGTTTCGGACAAGCCAGTCACGTTGAGCCTGAAGGGAGGCTTGACAAACAAAGCTGGCGGTCCGAGTGCACTCAGCCTGGCACCCGCAAAGAAGGCCCCCGTCTCGTTGGCGTTCTCGGCCCATGAGGATGGTGCGCCTGGCGATGGAGATGACTCCGACGAAGAGCAGCAGAAGGCCGCTTCGGATGACCCCAAGGGTTGGTTTCATGCTTCGAGATGCATACGAATTGCAATGTGGTATTCGGGGCGTTGACGTGTGGTTGTTGTGACATGCAGTGTTTGCCGCAAAGAAGGTGGCTCCTCTGATTGCGAGCAAGAAGGTATGTCAAGTGGACTTCCTCGTCAAGCGGTACTGAGTCGTTTATTCTGTCAGGTTGCGAACAATATTACCAAGTGGAACCAAGTCCAGGAAGTCCTACATGACGCTGCGCCCCCAGCTGCGCCCGAGCAGGTCTATAATGTCGGCCACCTTATACCGCGATCATCCTAACTGACTCGATTTGTGGGCAGGGTCCGTCCGCCACTGCATCCGCAAGCACATCGGTAGTGAAGCCGGTGGCCAAGGCAGCAACACCAGTGCCCGTGGAAGCTGATTACGAGTTCTCCGACACCACGAAGATGACATGCTTGCTATGTGCTCGACAGTTCAAGACCCTTGAACAACTCAAGCGGCATAATAACGAATCTGATCTCCACAAAGTACGTTCTGCTTGTTCCCGGCGCGACGTCATTGACGCGAGGGGCATGGTCAGAAAAATTTCAAAGACGCGAGTCTTCGGGACATTGCACGCGAGAAGGTGGCAGCAATTCGTAGCAACACCGAACAACCGAAGTATCGCGATCGAGCTTCAGAGCGTCGCGTTATGCACAACCAGCCAGACGTCCCGTTGCCCGGTGAGGTAACGAACAAGGCGGTGGGCAAGAGGAAGCACGCGGAAGGTCCTCCCAAGCCCCCTACACCTCCACCCGCGCCTGTTGAACCGGCCAAAGATCAGAACAATGTTGGCAACAAATTGTTGAAGATGATGGGTTGGAAGGAAGGAACTGGCTTGGGGACGGACGGCGAGGGCAGAGTGGATCCTATGTAGGCATTGGCTTTACGTGGTGACTCTGGGACTGACCACTGCTTGCGTGCCGCATAGCCAAACCGCGATCTATGCACAGGGTGTCGGTCTGGGTGCGAGCAAGGGCAAGGAGGTCGGCAAGTACGACAGCGGCTACGCTGGCTATGTACACATGGCCCAGGACGCGGTGAGTGGGCTATCAAGTACACGGGGTGACCGTGTTGACGCGCCATGACCAGGCCCGCGAACGCTACGGGAGTTGATTCAGAATGCTGTATTTACGGATTGTCATAGAACACTGCAGAATAGTACTATTGATATGTTGTATGTCGCGCGCGAAGTGGGCTATCTAATCTCGTGATCGCGACGGGATGGTGTCGCCACAGTTACCCATATCGAGAACTTAGACTACACCGCCGACCGCGCTCACCTCGAGTGGCCCGCTGCTTTCTTCGCTTCCTCGCACGCTCGCTGGGCCGAGCACTTTGCCCCCTGCCTGGCCATGGATACCTTCTTCCGCAAGAAGAACCGCCCCCGGCAGTCCTCTCTTTCCTCCCCCGATGACCGTTCCCTCCGCCCGCTCTCTTACTCCTCCATAGCCACAAGCCGTTCCGGCGAGTCTACCCGTCAGTCTCGAGTGTCACCGTCTGTCTCTCCTCTTGAAAGTCAACATCCCCACCTGTCCAGTCTATCCCAACACCTCCATCGACTCGCCTCCGTCGATGAGTTCCAATTCCCGCGTCCCGACGACGAGCAGATTGAGGCCATGTTCCAGAACATCATGCGCTCCCGAGGCCTGGAAGACCTCCCAAACGTCACTGTTGATCAGAAGTGGAGCATGGTCTGGAGCGACGAGCAGCTTAAGTGGAAGGAGGAGAGGCAGCGCGAGGAGCAGACTAGGAAACAGCACTATGCGCCCGGTCAGCCTGCCTCGTTTGTTGATGGAACTCCGGAGTGGTACATCAAAAGATTCCTCGACAAGACCATTACGCCCAAGCAGGCGATGGGTCTGGGCGTGTCGCTGAGGAGCAAGGATGTCGAGTGAGTCCGTTCCAGGCGAAGCCCGGCGCTCTGCTCACCGCGTCTTCAGTTGGTTCAAAGACTTCATATCCCTCCAAGGCACCTCCGTCCTAACACAGACTCTGCTCCACATAAGTCGCAAGGGTCCTCAGAGGTACGCAGCGACCCTTGCTTCAAACCAGACGCGTCCTAATACGCTCGTACAGACGGAAAGATGACATTGATCTCGAATACGAGATTGCGAAGTGTGTCAAGCACATACTCAATAACTCTGTGCGTTCTATCCCGTCGGACTTGATTTCACAAGTTGAATCGAGGGAACTGTAGGCTGCAATCAAAGATGCGACCAGCCACCCGCAAATTGTCATGCAATTCACCTCCTCGTTAAATAGCCCGCATCTGCCAACCAAGAAGATCGTGTTGGAGGTACTGACTGGTCTGGCGTTGCTCGAAAACGGTCAGATGGCGACACTCGTGTTGGAGGCCCTCGAGTCCCTTAGCACGTCCAATGGCGAGCCGTCGTCCTCCTATGCTTATTGGTTCAAGTCTCTCGAGTCCGTTCTCTCGGGCAGGGGCAAAATGGGCACTAGGGTCGGTGCAAGCGAAGAAGTCAAGAGAAATGCAGGACAGGACGGCTCACTGAACGAATATGCGGTATGTCCGCAGCCTTGACTGTTGCACGCCCGAACTCTGACATCATTATAGGTGGCAAACCTGTTTCTAGTCCTCGCCATACTCAACCGCCCGAGCGAGCTCGATGTGCGCGTACATCAGCGGTCCCAGATGGACGCTGCAGGACTACAACGCATTCTGACGCTGTGTCGTGCTTTTGGCGTCCAGTCTGTCGACTTTCCCATCGAGCAGATTGAGAATCGTTTCGCCGAGGATGAGGATAAGTTGAGGGCTCAGCTGGACTCACAGACGTTGCGTGATCTGTCAAGCGTCGAGGACGTATACGGCGCACTGAAGGTCAAGACTGATGACTCCAAGGCTCAAGACTATCTGCTGTCGATGCTGCAGCACTTGCTCCTTGTCCGCGAGGAAGGACCGGACATGGTCCATACCTTCCAGGTCCTCGATACACTTGTCACCGATGTTGTCATGGACAAGCGATACAATCGCGGAGAGCAGAGACTCGGTCAATCGGTCGCCCGTATCATTGCGCAATTGAACGAGGCTGACCGATATCAGCAATCGAGGGGGATCTTGCGACAGCGAACAGTGCTGCACTGCAGTATCGACATGAGAAGGAGCTACTAGAAGCGGAAGTTGCACAGGGGTCAGACGGGCTGGTGGGTACGCTCAAGGAGAAGGTCGTGAAGCTCGAGGAGAAGCTGAAGGTCTCAAGAGAGAACACGTCGCGGCTCAAAGGTCAGTTGGATACGCAGAAGGCTGGCTATGAAGAGCAGATCGCACAGCTCGAGGCGCAGATCATGGAGCTCTTCCGGATGCTCAAGGAGGTCGGGAAAGGTGTGAACAAGATCTTTGAGAACGCTGGCGGGATGGACCGCAAGTCCCTCATTGAGACACTCGAGAAGCACTTTGAGCGGAACAAGACGATTAGCATTTTGGAGGGGCGAGACAAGCGAAAGAAGAAGAAGGGCGAGCAGGGGGAAGACAGTGACGAAGACGATATGGAAGATGAAACCACGCCCAAGAAAGCGGGGAGCCTCAGAAGGCGTCGCCCTTCGCAGTCCAAGGGTCGGGCCAAGTCCACGAAGACCACCAGTGTGGCGGAAGCCGCTGCCGCTGCGCACACATCACAGTTCATGGACGCCGACGATGCCCTTGTACAAGAACAGATTCAACAGCAGCTGGCGGAAGGTGCCATGGTACGTTTCTCTTCTTCCTCCGTCACTCTACCTTATTCATACGGAGTCAGTACCCTAACCGCAATGGACCGCTGGCAAGTCCTCGGAGCGTTCGAGGTTCCCCACGACGCAAGGACAATATGCGCCCGCCACTGGGCGAATTCGTGGCATCGTCGTCAAAGCTCAGTCAAGTGCTTGCCCCTTCCGACGATCTTGCTAGTGAACGCAGTGTTGGCTCCGTCGCTGACGAAGACATCGAAAGTGACTTCGGGCGGACATCTTCGACTCGTAGCGGCTTCTCCACACTCACAGACCCCACCTCAGTCAGCTCTGCTACCTCCGTCGACAGCAGTCGATTTTCAGCGTTCGGACCGGGAGAGCAAAGTAAATACCTTCCCATCTCGATAGATGAAGACGCAGCTGGTGCACCGCCGCCTCCTCCGCCTCCTCCACCGCCACCGCCTCCACCACCGCCGCCTCTCCCTGATGGCTTGTCAGCTCCTGGTTCCGGACCGCCCCCACCACCACCACCGCCCCCACCGCCGCCGCCTCCCATGGGGCGTATACCGATCCCTTCTTCTGCGAGCACCATCGTATCCCCAGCTCTTACATCTGGCTACCGAACGGGGACATCTTCTGCTGCTCCTTCCGCACCCAATTCTGCTCGATCGTCTACATTCCTTGGCCAGAACATTAGTAATCTGCTGTCAGCGCGTAAAGATTTGTCAATAACGCCAGGCACGAAGATGAAGCAGCTTCAGTGGGACAAGTTACCCCAGCAGCAGGCGGCGAAGACTGTGTTCAGTGACGAAGAGCCTTCGAAGGAAGAGCAGTGGATGCGCAAACTTCAGTCGGATGGCGTATGGATGGAAATGGAGGAAGACTTCAAAGCTAAGCAGCTCGTGATCAATCTTATGGGTGAGTCTTCGTAGATCTATCCCCATCTGCTCAATGGTTTACACCGTACGAAGCGAAACAAAAACGTGCTGAACTCAAGAGTGTGCTCGACCCACAAACGAAAAAGCGCGTCGGTATGTCGGTCCCTCTTACTTAATAGAGTGAGGACTGAGCACTGGGGCAGAGATTCTCATCCAGACCGTTAAGAGGCTGCAGCCGGAAGAGATAGCGATGAAGATCAGGCACTTCGACCAGGGAGTGTGTACCCCGGTGTTCTTGAGCGAACTCAAGCCCGTGTTACCGAATCCTGAGCAGGTACGCTTCAAACTATCTATCCCTTTTCGCTCTAAAACAATACTTCCAGGTCGGCAAGCTCAACGTTTACCGCCATGCAGACCCCGAAGAGCTTGCCGGTCTTCATCCTTCAGATCGATTGATGGTTCAGCTCATCAAGCTCGATCGTCTCGCGCCACGGATAGAAGGCATGTTATACAAGTGCACCTTCGAGGAGACATGGGCCTTACTTGACGATGTACGTCTTCTCCTCCCCTTACAATGGTGAAGATGTCGACAGCTGTGAAACCATAGAGCGCTCGAAAGCTATCAGAAGCCGGTAATGCACTGCTTCATGCGAAGCATTTCAAGGAGCTGCTAAGCGTAAGTCTTCCCCTTCAACGTCAGATTCTCACTAAAACCCATAGGCGCAAAGCTGATTCTCTTGATTGGAAACTACATGAATGGCACGGGTGTGAAGGGCGGCGCGTTCGGTTTCAGAGTGAGCAGCATCAATAAGGTATATATGATTCTCGAGGGCTCCAGGACTGCGCTCAGCAGCCACCTTTCGTAGTTGGTTGACACGAAGTCCGTACACAACACTACGCTTCTCCACTTCCTGGAGCGTACAGTGGCGAAGCATTTTCCTGACATGGAAGCCTTCTTGGACGAGTTGAGTGCTCCAGCAGAGGCGTACAGAGGTTGGTACTGTCTAAAGCGTGATTGATCAGGTGCTCATTGCGTTCTGCACAGTGAGCTTACAGGATGTCCGTAAAAGTCTCGGAGAGCTACGCGAAGGTCTCAAATCGATACGTCGAGAATTGACAGAGCACTTCGCGGACGCCGAGCAAACGGACCGCTACGGATCGCAGATGTGGGCATTTGTCAGAGAGGCCGCATCCCAAGTCGAAGATCTCGTGGATGATGTGAACAACGCCGACACAATCTATTCGGAGGTAGTCAAGTTCTACGGCGAAGATGTCAAGCAAATGAACTCGACCGAATTCTATGGTATCTTCAAAACATTTGTTACGTCTTACAGAGTAAGTTACATGGAACCCCAGTAACTTACGAGTCTCACCGCCTGTGTCTTGTAGAAATGCAAGTCAGACAATCAAGCTATTGCCGATGAGCGGCTGGCGGCGGAGAAGAGAAGACAGGCTGCTGAAGAGTCGAAGGCCAATAGACAGAAGGCTCTCGAAGACAACACAGTGGAAGAGAGCGAGGACACGGCCGTCCTGGACAACCTATTGGAGAAGCTCCGGAGCGGCGACACAGTGGGGCGCAAGGCTCGACGAACGCGACCAAATACTGTGGCGCGCCCTGCAGCTCCTCTGTCACTCGATCCTGATGCACTCTTGGGAGTGGATATTAATCCCGGTAACACAACCGTAGACATCGCGAAGGATATGCTCGCGCGTCTCAAGTCGGATGGCTTCAGCACGCAGCCACCGCCGCCTTCCACTGTTACATCAATTCATCAAAGGCGAAGTCGACGCAGGCTGGATGCAGGTTCCGTGGACCTTCTGTCCGAGGAAGTGGATGCATTGGCTGCATCTGAACGCGAGGCAACGGTGCGTGCGATAGCTGATGATGGGGATTCAGCAACGGAGGAATCTACACTAGTCAATTCAGTTCTGGATGATGAGAGTGTGTCAGGTGTATCATAGTGTGCTTCGCTTGCCTCTATCTCTATAACTACATTGTTGTGATCATATCCTGGATACCCTTTTGTGCTGCATATATTGAGGGCATCTGATCTTAGTTGTATTGTACTGCCAGTTTACTGTGCATTGAATACAAATGTACTCACCATTTGTTGAAATGTGCTCTAATCAATGTACACATGCCTAGGCAAAGCTTGATAATCACAACATGTGTGACCTCTGCAGTTTGCAAATTGGAACCAAGCACAACTTTTCCAAGGCAAGGAACTCAATATTACAGCAGAAATGATAAATTGACTTGTGGACCATGCCTGGCAATACAATTTCAGTTGTGATATCTGGGTCTGTCAAGAAACACATTGAATCAGCAGTGCTTGGACATTCTTTTGACAAATGCATTCATGTACACTAATCTGAGAGACTTCCATGCATTACTGAACCATTTAATTGAGAAACCATAGCAATAATCTGGCACAAGACATTCTAAAGAAGTTAGGAAGTATCATAGTAGTGACAGAGATGTTCACATTTATGTAGCTCATCATTCTCATTGTGGCAATACAAGAGGGAGGGATCATGGCACAAGAGCTACCAGAGAAGCTCACATTGCCTTATATGGTGGGCAACCTTCCAAATTCAGTAATTCACAGTAAAGTGAATGTCTGGTGCTTCATGCAGATAAATCACAAGATCTTCATAGAGCAATATGACATGTTTCTGAGCCTGTGACATGCACCAAACAAAGCCATATATGGAGTGTAAGCAGTAATATTATGTACAAGCATGAAAGTTAGCAATCTTGCCCATTCTGGCTCTGCTGGGGCAAAATAAAGCATTCTCCTGATGTTGGTTGACAGACTGTTGCACCCAAGCAATAGGTTCATCCTGAATGAGGACAAACTTCTTCCTAGGTCCTGTGGTAGTAAGCTTAAGGCAATGAGCAATAGAATGTATAATTGAATAGTTATCACTGACCTTGAGTAATATCTGATAGCTGATTTGACTATGTAGGAAAGTATATCACTTGACTTTCCTAATATAGTAATAGACTTGTGTACTGAACTAACACCCTTAGTTAGTATATAACTTGATGACTGACTATCACACTTGGATAATAAATTTGAGAACTATTAAAAAAGTAAGTGTCTAGCATACTTGTTGGTTAGTATTTAAGCTGATTTGCTATTCATTAAGCAAGTTTTACACAGAGCCAACTTGTGTAGCTATTTGGAGGTAAGCAGAGATTTTTTGCAAAGTAAGTCTGTGTGGGTAAACTGCCAGGATATCAGTATTATGATATTGCAGACAAAGACTTACACATACAAGCATTGCTCCAGCTTTGGCAGAGATGCACAAAGACTTGCTGGGGAGAGGGCCATGGCTGGCAGTACTGTATCGGGCTGGGATCTCGGCCGGACAGTACTCGTCAGTTGACCCATGGCTCATTCCAGGTCTTACAAAACATACGCATAGAGAGGATGTGAGATCGACTGTATGCGTATGTTTTGTAAGACTGGATGAGCCATGGGCGACTGACCGAGTACTGTCCGGCCGAGATCCCGCCGATACAGTATGATTCCATTGGTTTAGATACATGAGAAATATTCCAATTTAGTAAGTAAGCTGCCATGTATTGTGCATCTTGTATAAATTGCTATATTCAAAGGACACTGTCTGTCATGGTGAAGAACACAGACTTACACTAAGACTTGCATATGGAATCATTATTGCCTTTGCTGGATATTCCAGTAATGCCTACTCTCAATGGTAATGGACCTTGGGTGAGAGAGTGGGAGGACAGCAAGAGAGTGGGAGGATCGACGGGAGAGTGGGAGGATGGGCGGGAGCCGGTTTTTGGTGGTGCAGTGGACGAGCGGATGGTGGGAAAGGGTGAGGGGGTGGCAGGGACGGGCAGGGCTGCAGGTGAGTCCAAACCCACGTGAGCGAGCTCACTAACCGCATGCACAGGACATGGCACATGCAGAAAATGTGCATGACGACCATGAGCATGCAGAGCCAATGCTCTGTGTGCAGGCATGGCGGACAAACACATGGCAGGCAGACAAGCGGCAAGTGGGCGGGTGGCAGTAGTGCATTGCATGGGTATGGATAACCCATGTGGGTCATGGGTATGGGTATGCATGGGTATGGGTAGCCAAAATCTGACCCATGAACCCATGTGACCCATGGACTACTGCAGTGCTAATCCAGCAGTAGAATATGGTAACTGCTTGTCAGATAGTCTGTGCTGTGTATCAGTCAGCCTATATGGTAACCCTGAAGCTGCACTGGAGTTATTTGCAATGACAGTATGGTAAAGTTCCCTTTCAGCAACCAGAAGACAAAGTTTCATTAAGTTATGCTCCAATGAAAGATACACAGACTGCTGAAGTTGTCAAAATGATGACAACAAGTGCATTACAGTGTGGGTGCCATCATGCTCAAAATAATCTGACCTTGTCTTTCTAACTCATAATGATAGCTACTCCAGTGCCATGTATCTATGAGCTGAAATCCAAAATATGACCAGACTGAATCTTACCATGTAATTGTCCACGACGGACAGCCAGTGATACTGTTTACTTTAATCTTTTGCTAGGCATCTGTGACATGGCCACTCCTGATAGCGTAAGAAGGATCAGTATGGATACTGTGTCAAGGCCCTTTTGAGATGAACACTAGACCTGCAGTTCCAGTTTTACATTTAGCATAGATGCATTGTTAGTTAATTCACTGAATCCAGGATTTCAGCAATGTAGTAGGGCTATGATCTGTCACGTTCCGTGCCACCAAGGCCAACTCCGAACTCCAGTTCCGTTCTCTCCGTCTCTGTTTCTCCAAACTCCGGTCTTATTGTATTCGCTTAGCCTATCTTCTCCCGCATTACAATCAGCGTACCGCATGGTCTCTATCTTGCACGGACAATTAGCTTATTGTATTCGCTCTGGTTACTAACATCTCCAGTCTTCCGTTATTGTTCTCTGTATCTCTTCCTCCGTCTTATTGTCTTCCGTTCACAATTAGACTCACTGTATATAAGGTCAAACTGTAGCACTGTTGTACTCCAGTTCAAATATCTTGTTTAACCAATCCAAATTCCTTTCCTCCGAACTCCTGTCTGAACTCCGGACTTCCATCCGACCTCTGTCTAACTTCTCTCTTTCTCTCGCTCTCGTCTTCTCCTCCTTCTCCCTCCAACTCTATCTCCGGCTCTGGACTCCGTCATAGTCCATCTCTGCCCAAGTCCAAATAGAGGACCCCGTCAAGTTCTCCCAAGGGTGTTGTCAATAGCTTTGCCAAGTCCTCACTCCACTGCACTCCGAAACTCCGGACTTCGTAACTCTGGCCTCGGACTTCGTCTCGAGCGCACGGTCATAACATGATCATGCTCTTTTTAAGAAATCATGGTCCCAGTTGTGTCACTTACTAACTAGCAATGCATTAAGCTCTCAATGAAAATGTCCACATCATGGGCTGGTCATGTTCATCCCCTGGCCCTATTTATCATATGTTGGTGAAAAACCTGTGACATAAGGCAGTATTCAGTGATGATGATTAGTAAATCAACCTAATATGCTCCTCTTCTCTGAGGCTAGTCTATGTGGCAGACTATTCATATTCATTGCACAATGCCACATCTAGCCTGTGTTTCAGTTACATTGTGGGTGTAGGGTGGGCGGGTTCTGCCATCTACACTCGCTCGTGCTGGGACCACACCCGCTGTCGACTGTTTACTCATCGGCTGTGTCTGCGTGCAGGGCAGACACCCTGCATGCTTGCAGTTGGCGTGTACTGCATGGTCCCCACTCGCCCACCTGCTTGCTCTCCTGCTCACCCTCCCATCTCTTCACTCTCCTGCCCATCCACCAGCTTGTCCTCCCACTTGCCGCCCATCTGCCCACCATCCACTTACCCGCACACTTTCCTGCCTGCGCACCTGCCTGTGTGTACATTCACTGGTGGTGTCTGTGTGCTAGGCATTTGCCTGGCATGCTTGCGGTCGGTGTGCGTGCTGTGGCCTGTTCTCTCGCCTCCTTGCCTACCTGCCTGTCCAGTTGTCTGGTTGTCTGCCCATCGGCCACGTTTGCATGTGGGGCACTGGCCCTATGCACTCGCAGGTGGTGTGTTGTGCACATCCCAGCTCTGGCCATGGTCACCACTTGCTGGGGAGAGGGCCATAACTGGCAGTACGATCCCTTTTGTTGGATACATGTCAGTTTGTGAGTAAAACATTGGGACTACATCAGAAGTTAAGCTCAGCAAGACAGCTAATATATTGTCTGCATAGAGTACTGACATATCTTCCACATTTTGCACCACCTAGCTGCCATCTCATGGCATAAACATTCAGAGTAGCCTGCTAATTTATTATGTTGTTCTAATGTGAGGAGCATAGTTTGCAATTATGAGCAACATCCCAATTGAGTAAGTATTTACATATTGATATGAGACTCTCCATTGAGAACACAGACATTATGGATCTATTTCTTACTTGATGAATTGCCAAGTTAATTACCAATATTACCAAAATACTGAACAGTATTACTGGTTTGTGTTGATATCAACAAAGAGAAAATAGCTTGGAAATGTTGCAAAGAAGTATGCCTCTAGATCACTAGCACTCAAAGAAGGGGGATCAGGGAGGTCTACAGTAACAACTACTCAGCTGGGACTTGCTGTTGTACAAGTATGAGCCCTTGATCAGAGAGAACTTTTGATACAGAAGGATGTGTCTCAATAAATTGTTAACAGTACTTCCCCAAGTACAAACCAATCAACAGTAGACAGAGAAGTATACCAGTAAGAAATCTGAAAAAAGGCCCTTCCAGAATTGTCATGTTATACAAGGAATACAACCAAAGACTGTCTAGTTTGCTCTCACCATTTGTACACTGAAGTGAACAGTTACCAGGCACTGACCAGTAGTGCAAAGCCATACTATGGTATGTTACTGGATTGGAGCTCAGCCAATAGTAATGGGCTAATGTATGATGTGAATCAATGTACACTGAGGAGGGACAAAAGAAAATGGACACGCACCATTCGAGAAAATACCCCATCAACCGTAATATCTACAGTACCTATGATATCTGATAATGATACATTCATATAGATGTACTCCTGTATCGACTGTTAGTAGCACATGGGGAGTGGAAAATGTGTCCCAAAGAGACAAAATAATTTTTGCAATCATGTGACTTTTGACCCAAGTTGTCACCCTCGCGCAGCACAACAATCCTCCCGTTTCTCTTCATTCTTGCACCCACATACTCATGGTCTACACCTCTCCAACTAAATGTGGCCGCATTGTCGAGCAGCGTCGATCGGCAGGACTATCCGAGATATCGCGAAGGAGTTCTCCATGGCTCCACAAACAGTGTCTAACATTGTAAAGAAGTTCAAGACCTATGGCAGCTGTCGCCCACGTCCAAATCAGGCCGCCCACACAAGCTGACCATTTCAGACGCGAAGTTTGCTGTTCTTACAGCTTGATCGGCACGTGTACAGAATGCCTCTGAGCTGCAGCGGAACTACCTCCCTGATGTCACACCAAAAACACTACACCGTGCGCTTCGTTCTCAGGGTTGTTTGCTGCGTCCCTTTCCTTTCAAGCATCACAAACGGGCAAGGTTGATTTGGGCATGAGGTGTGCAGGGTTGGAAGGAGTGGGAATGGAACACGGTCATATTTTCCAATGAGTCAAAATTCAATCTCATTCACTCGGATGGCCGGGAATGGTGTTGGAGGAGGGTGGGGGATGCCTATCAAGAGAGATATGTGCAGAAGACGAAGAAATTTGGAGGTGGGAGCTTGATGTGTGGGGCTGCATCACTGCGAAGGGTGTAGGATGACTTCATCGCATTACTGGAATCATGCGCGCAGCAGATTACATCCAAATCCTTCAGCAAGACCTTCTTGGGACCCTGGACGACTATCATATGAAACCTCAGCACCATTTCTTCCAGCAGGACAATGACCCGAAACATTCTTCTCGGGTGGCAAAGATGTGGATCGCAAAACATCATCTCCATACTCTGCCCTGGCCAGCACAAAGCCCCGATATGAATGCCATAGAGCATCTAGGATGTCCTTGATAGGAGGGTACGCGCACGGAGCCCTCACCCAAGTTCAGTCGACCAGTTATGGGAGGTTCTGCAGGAGGAGTGGTCGAGGATTAGTTTGGGAGTGGTGCAGAAATTGTATGTGAGTATGCCAAATCGTGTTGCAGAGCTGATGAGTGCTTGGGGTGGCAATACTCGCTATTGATTCAAGTTCGTCGTAAGTGTCCATCTTTCATAGCTTTCGGCATGCTCACTCAACCTGCTGCCAGCCTCATTACCAAATGGGAATTCAATCGCTCACAGACGCTCATTCCGAAGGACGAGGGATCCAAATCTTTTCATGCATGATATGTTGGACGTATGCTACAATTACATATCATTTGTGAGCTCGTAAACTCTGCGCGACTGCGTGTTTCATAGTTTTTGTCACATGTCCAGATTCTTTTGTCCCTCAGTGTACCACCATGGTGAGTGCCATCAAGACTGATAGAGTCATGGGAAGGATTGATCATTGATGTCAGGGACTATTGACAATAAGGTACAGAGGAGCACAGTAGCAAGTGGTAGATGAGATAAATGTTTGGACTTGCTCTTAGGGATGCTCCTTTTTAGCATTTCCAAAATGCACTCCCTCTTAGCTACATAAATACTTCATCCAAATAGTAGAAGACTCAGTCCACCACTTTCCCAGGCCATTCAAGATGCACAAAAAGGCTCAAAAAGTAGTGAAAAAGCAAGGCAAGGGTATGTGTGTTAATGATTGCCACTGATCATCAAGCATGTGCTCTGTGAAACATGAGGGACCACATGGATGTTAACCTGAAACACTAGTGTAGCCCTATGAAAACTCAGACATAGTGTACAGCTTGATGAGCCACTCATAGATTGCCTGCCACCTGGAATATTATCATCAATATTCTGAGCTAATAGTCACCCAGTAACAGCTCACAAACAGGAAAAACAAACAATGTGAAAGAACCAGTATTCACAGAGCCATATGCTTAGTGACTGGTGCTATGTTTGTATGAATCTATGGGAAAGCATACTATGCAAAGCCTCTCTGACATCATATACATGACTGGGAATTTTCCCAATTGTTTTTGATTTTTTGGGAGACCATAGCACAGCAAATACAGTGTCCCTAATGAACTTGTGGCTTGCATTCAAACTCAGCCCAACAGCTTGGCAGCCTGCCTTTTCAGGTCCTGTTTAAATAGCTGATCCAAACAGAATAGCCTAGGATCCTGTCTGGAATTGGCAGTCCCTGAGAATCCCAGGTGATACTGATTCTTACAAGATGGACCAAGACTCACTGACAGAGTGGCTTGTATCAGGCTATGCATGGGTCATTCTGCATTATTATATGTTTTCTGCCATATTGGAGCCTCAACAGTCAACTCAATATGAATTCATAGTACTTTCTGATTTTTCTCTGATTTTCCTGCTATTTATCCAGTCCTGCAGAGGCCATGCATGGCCAACTTCCCAAATGGGCAGGGGGCTAACCATATATGGCAATTTTGTATGTTTGATATCCCCCACTTCACAGAGCCTCTCATACATGCGGAACTGTGTAGTACAAGCATCATACACACACCAAGATCTGCTTATATGCCTTAGTATCATCACTTATGATGGTCAGTACTCTCAATGATACCTAATCTGGGCACTCCCATCAGTATACAAGGAGCATGCCACGGAGAAGCAATACATGGGTATTTATTTGGGTATTTTCTGCATTCAATGGGGCTCTAGTAAGAGCTCAGGTAGTGTGGCTTCAAGCCATCAAAAACTCGGCATGAAGAGCTGAGATTGAAAGATTACTTGAAAAGGTAACATTTGTCAGCATTCCAGCCAATGGGAGTGCTCCAAAATCCCTTTTGAGTGACTGGAGTCATCAACAGGCCGAAATTCCGGCCTGTCGACGACTCCGCTTCGGCAACGAGCGCTTAAACGGGCGCTTAGTAAGCGATGTAAGTGCAGCCTGTTACTGTAGCAAATCTGACTTGTTTTGGGCTCAGAAAAGTCCAGGAAAATCGGATAATATTCCAGGAGATCTGTGGAGCATCTATGAGCATATTCACAAGTAGAGAGGATTGTCCTGTATAGTTATTCAGTGCTGGGACATCAACACATGCTTACTATGACAATATTTCTCCATTTATACCACTGCTGTGCATGTTTCAGATGCAACAGAAGACATTCATATTCACAGAGTCACTTCTGTTTTTGATATTAGCATTTTGCTACTCATTCAACCACTATCTCTCAAGAAACTATGATAGACACTATGAATGAAGGGCTATGAGGTGAGCTTATGATATCTACAATATCTACAACAGTTGGTTGGAGCTCAGTCACTGACAGTCAGTGTATCCCAGTCAAATGCTATCATGTCTACAGAGGTAGGGGTGTTTCTCTACATTTTGAATTTTATACATGGGCAAGCCATACTGGTCATAGCCTCTGTGGATCAATTTCTTACATACAGCAGGTACTACAAGTGAGTCCAGTTGCACAGAATTTTCCCTGGTTTTATCTGCATTTTCTGAGCCCAGACTGAGCAGCTGTATGGAAATTACCATTTGGGGAAGGTTAGCTACCCTTTATGGCAGGTTTCAGATGTCATAAAGACATACAGAATCTATGGGCAGTCTACAGGCTTCAAAAGAGTCACTTTGGGGGTGAAAAGGGATGCAACCATGTGCACAGAGGCATTTGTGTGTTTTTCTATTGTGTGAATTGTGCCATAACCACTGAAGGTAATGGGCAAGTCACAGCAGCTATAGACTCAATGACATCATACCTATCACAGAGATTACTTTGGGAATTTTCCGCATTTTAGTGGGACCACAGTACAGCAGGTACAGTGCCACAAGGAGCCTGTGGCTGAGATTCAAACTCAGCCCAAAACCTCGGCAGCCTGCCTGATTAGGGCAGAAAAGGGGCCGTTGCACCAATCAGAGCAGCTCGGCATCTCTCTCATGCCGTTCGGAGGTGCAACCGTGCCAAATTTCTGCACGGATGCACCTCCGAACGGCATCTGGGCGCTTATCGGGCGCTTAGTAAGTGATGTAAGTGCGGACTATCACTGTGCTTATATGGGCTTATTTAGACCCAGGAAAAAGCGGAACAATCAGAGAATATTGGAGATGGACCAGGGAATGTGATTGAATCTGTCTATGAGATATGATTGACATCAATAAAGGCAGCATTTTCAATAACTGTGTAACATCACTGATGTTACCTCAGTGAGCTTATTCATACAAGGCTGCTACTTGACTGCAGGAACTACTCATGTAGTTGAGGACACCCCATAGGATGGTAGTGTAAGTACAGATGCATACATGTATTCTGAGTTTGTCTGTGTGCAAGACAAAGCCAGTGGCTGCATAATTGCCATGTGAAGTATATTGCCTTCCCAAAGAGGAATCATACACAAACTGGTGAATCTGGGGCTCAGAAAAATCCAGAAAACCTATGAAATATACGGACACATCAAAGACAAGTGCATGGTTACTTATAGCCCCAATTTCGGTCATTACATGGTGTCCATGGGCCACAATATGCCAATGGATGGTAAAATGACCCATTATGGTTGATCTTGTTAGCTCTGTTATAGAAATCACTGAGCAGTACACAGTGCCTAAACCACACATATATATCACAGTGTGCATACAGAACATATTTCAGCCATAAACAAGTACTTTGAATCTGCAGAGGCACATGTGCATTTTTTGACTTTGCATTTCCTGGCCTAGCCAGCCACTGTATGCACTCAGTAAAATCCCTGTATACTCTCTGCATGAAGGACTATCAGATGAGTATACTATGTATACTATGCTTTGTTACTGGCTGAGACTATATAGGCCCTACAGTGTGTGAGCGCTTGGAGCAATGGCCCACCCAGCTGCCAGTCACATGATATGTTTACCAGTTTCCTTATTGGGGGAACTGCTAAAGCATTTCATGGCCCTCATATCGATAACAGAGCGCTTAACCACTGCATTTGTTTGTATCTGTTGGTACAAGTTGTGTCATCTGGGAGTCTGAAATTTCAGACTCAGATAAGCAACCCATACTAACAGTTACTTATCTCTGCTTATCAGGGTGGCTGCAAGTCACATACACTGTGGGAACAAACTGCCATTCCGGAGGAATCACTAAGGTGTTTCATGGTGGTCCATCATAAGAACAATACCTTCGTACCTCAGGGATCGTAACCTTGGGCCGACGTCCTGGCTCCTAGGAGTCAAGATTGAGCATGATAGAGTGAAGCATTTGCTTTTGATTTCGCAGCAGCAGTACACTCTTGATGTCCTGGAGTGCTATGGCTTCGCAAACTGTGACCCTGTGGGCACCCCGATGGAGCCTGGCCTTTGTCTGAGCGCAGACATGGCTCCCAAGACGTTGTCCGAGGTCAGGGAGATGCAGAACGTCCCATATGACCAGGCAGTGGGTTTGCTTTTCTACCTTGCTGTGGCAACTCTGAGTCATCCAGACATTGCACGCACGGCATAGAGCCTCAATTGGTTGACATTGAGAAGATGTACCCTAGCTGTGCCAAGGGTATCAGGGAGCTTTTGCAGCTTGTTGCTTCATCCTACCCACCAGCAGATACAGAGGATGGCAAGCATGCAAAGCAACAGCTGGTCACTCCATATTCCTTCTACTGTGGACTGTTAAACATCACCCCTGGCTCTTGCAGTATGTCTATTGCCAACAGAATAGTGTAGAATCAGCCCAACAATTCCAACTCTCTGCTCTATATGATTATGGAGATGGTGGAGATGGGGCTCAACACCAATTGGGCAAGACTCAGGTATGTAGATTGAATGCTGTGTCTTAGCTCATTGTAACTAGTCATCAGGGCTGGGACTGCCAAGACTTGTACAATGAGGTATTTTTCAGCTAATGTTGTTTTATTTTCCTGTTGATTTGCTGTTCAGCTGGAAACAGGGCCTAAAAGCACCATTCTGAAGGCACAACTTCAAGATGCCTTCTTCAATCTTGTGGCCCTCAAATCCACTGGGCAGCACAGCCCAAAGTACAACCTACTCAAAGGGGTTCCTGCCCACCTGGTTACAATCCCTGAGGTACGAAGGTATCGTTCTTATGATGGACCACCATGAAACGCCTTAGCAATTCCTCCAGAATGGCAGTTTGTTCCCACAGTGCACGTGACATGCAGCCACCCCGATAAGCAGAGATAAGTAACTGTTAGTATGGGTTGCTTATCTGAGTCTGAAATTTCAGACTCCCAGATGAGACAACTTGTACCAACAGATACAAACAAATGCAGTGGTTCAGTGCTCTGTTATCGATATGAGGGCCATGAAATGCTTTAGCAGTTCCCCCAATAAGGAAACTGGTAAACATATCATGTGACTGGCAGCTGGGTGGGCCATTGCTCCAAGCGCTCACACACTGTAGGGCCTATATGGCCTCAGCCAGTAACAAATCATAGTATACATAGTATGCTCATCTGATAGCCCTTCATTCAGAGAGTATACAGAAATTCTATTGAGTGTATACAGTGGCTGGCTAACCCAGGAAATGCAAAGCAAAAAAATGCACATGTGCCTCTGCAGATTCAAAGTACTTGTTTATGGCTGAAATATGTTCTGTATGCACACTGTGATATATATGTGTGGTTTAGGCACTGTGTACTGCTCAGTAGCTTCAATAATACAGGTAACAAGGACTATAATGGGTAATCTGAGCATCTTTTGCCATATTATGGCCCTTGCATACAATGTAATGGTAACCATTGCAGCTCAAGGCAATCATACACTTGTCTTTGATGTGTCTGTATATTTCATAGATTTTCTGCATTTTTCTGAGCCCTATATGCCCCTGTTTGTGTATGATTCCTCTTTGGGAAGGTCACATACTCCATATGGTAGTTATGCATCCATTGCTGGTTTTGTCCTGCTCACAGACACAATCTAGGGATACATACCTGAATGTGTACTTACACTACCATCTTATAGGGTTGTCCAGTACATGAGCAGTTCCAAGAGTGAAGTAGCAGGCTTATATAAGCTCACTGGCGCCACAGCAACCATCTTACCAGGTTATTGAGAATGCTATCTGATCTGATGTCAAACCCATGCAATATACAGCTTCATTCACATTGCCTGGATCATTTTGAATATTGTCTCAATTTTCCGCTTTTTTCTGAGCCTATACAAGCTCTCTTAAGCACAGTAACAGTCTGCACTTACATCGCTTACTAAGTGCCCATCAAGCGCCCAGATGCCGAGCTGCTCTGATTGGTGCAACAAGCCCTTTTCTGCCCTAATCAGGCAGGCTGCCGAGGTTTTGAGCTGAGTTTGGATCTCAGCCACAGGCTCCTTAGTGGCACTGTACCTGCTGTACTGTGGCCCCACTAAAATGCGGAAAATTCCCAAAATAATCTCTGTGATAGGTATGATGTCATTGAGTCTATAGCTGCTGTGACTTGCCCATTACCTTCACTGGTCATGGCACAATTCACAAAACAAAAAAACATGCAAATGCCTCTGTGCACATGAGTGCATCCCTTTTCACCTCAAAAGTCTCTCTTTTGAAGCCTATATGCTGCCCACAGATTCTCTGACATCTCAAACCTGCTAAATAGGGTAGCTGACCTTCCTAAAATGGTAATTCTGCTTAACCTGCTCAGTCTGGGCTCACAAAATGCAGATAATTCCAGGGAATATTATGTGTAATCAGACTCATCTGTATTGCCTTGTATATGAAGGCAATTTATCTTGTATGGAGGCCCCCACAATATATCACTAGTATGACTTGCCCAGTTGTTTGAAATTCAGGAAACAGAGAAACACATGCATGAATGTGTGGCATTTGACTGGGATACACTGACTGAAACCTAATCAACTCTTACAGAGTTTATAGAGATGATAAACTCATTTGATAGCCCATCATTCAAAGGGTTTATCATACATTGGAGGAATGAAGAACAAAGGACAACATTTAGAGAATCACAAGTGACTGTGCAGATATGAATGGCTTGTTGTCTCTGAAACACATTGCCTATGACCTGTATAGATATGTGCATAGTTTACAATGCATGGATGTGTCTGGAAGTTGCACAGCACAGCTATTGGTGGGGAAAAATGGTAATAACATGCATGTTTTGATGTCTCAGCACTGAATGACCATATAGGGAATCTTCTCCACTTGTACATATGCCCAGGGATGCTCCACATATATCCTGGAATATTGTCTGATTCATCCGCATTTTCTTGACCCCAAAACAAGTGAATTGTGCTGCAGTAACAATGTGCTTACATCGCTTACTAAGCGCTCGATTAAGCGCCCGTTGCCGAAGCGGAGTCGTCGACAGGCCGGAATTCCGGCCTGTCGACGACTCCGGTCACTCAAAGGGGATTTTGGAGCACTCCCATTGGCTGGAATGCTGACAAATGTTACCTTTTAAAGTAATCTTTCAATCTCAGCTCTTCATGCCGAGTTTTTTGATGGCTTCAAGCCACACTAACTGAGCTCTTACTAGAACCCCATTCAATGCAGAAAAATCCCAAAATATTGCTTCTCCATGGAATGCCCCTTGAGTACTGACAAGGGTGCCCAGATTAGGTGTTCTTGTTGTTTTTCACAGAGTACTGACCTTGGCAAGTGATACTGGGGATATAAGCAAATGTTGGTGTGTGTATGATGCTTGTACAAGACAGTTCCACATGTATGGGCTCTGTGAGGTGGAGGATATCAAACATACAAAACTGCCATATATGGTTAGTCCACTGCCCATTTGGGAAGTTGGCCATGCAGGACTGGATAAATAGCAGGAAAATCAGAGAAAAATCAGATAGTACTATGGATTTGTATTGGGTTGACTGTTGAGGCCATATGGCAGAAAACATATGATAGTGCAGAATGACCCATGCATAGCCTGATACAAGCCACTCTGTCAGTGAGTCTTGGTCCATCTTGTAAGAACCAGTATCACCTGGGATTCTCAGGGACTGGCAATTCCAGACAGGATCCTAGGCTATTCTGTTCAGTTCAACTCTTCAATAGGCCCTGCAAAGGCAGGCTATTGGGCTGAGTTTGAATGCAAGCCACAAGCTCATTAGTGACAATGTATTTGCTGTGATATGGTCTGCCAAAAAATCAAAAACAATTGGGAATATTCCCAGTCATGTATATGATGTCAGAGAGGCTGTACATAGTATGCCTTCCCATGGATTCATATAAACATGGCACCCACCATTCACAAAGCAAAATAAAATACATATGCCTCTGTACACACTGGTCCTTTTACTTTGTTCATGTGTCCTGTGATGCTTGCCAACTGCCTATGGATTGTGTGGCTATATGAGACCTGAATGAAACCTGCCATATGTGGTACCTGACCTTCTCAAAATGGAAAGTCTGAGTTATCTGCTGTGTCTGGGCTCAGAAAATGCGGATAAAACAAGGGAATATTCTGTATGATTCCACTCACCTTGTACTGCTTGCTATAAGTAGTGATTGGCTCATGTCTAAACCCTTGGGCAGGCAATGGCATATGCAGAAAATGGTGAACACCTGTGGCACAAAGGCCATAGTTAATGCTGAGTATGTTCATAATGTCTCACATGTGAATGGCGTAGCTATCAATATTATGGGTTCACAGAGCTTTATGACACTGTACTGATCCTAGAAAGTGATAGAAGACATTGTACAAGTTGTGTTGTGCATCTACTACTGTTGCTAGAAAGTCTATAGGCTAGCAATGTTATGCATAAAGTAGGGACACCACACATAGGTGATCAAATGCTTTGATGGTCTCTGCAATGCTAGATAAATGGTAGGAAATGAGATAAAATCAGATGATCCCATGACATCATATTGTGCTGACTGTTGTAGGCCAATGCATGACAGTACATCTCAGATGTGCTAATGCAGAGTTCACAGCCTGATGTCTGCAGCTCTATTGTCCCAGTCCAGTATAAGCATGTCTTTGACTGATTGTGTCAATATGAAGCAGTGCCAATTATACAGTATGATGGTGCCTATGCTTGGTTGTTAATTGCTCATATAATTTTTGCCTGGAGCATATCTAATGTCTGTATGCACTACCATCATCCTATTCTCATGCAATGGCCCTTGGTATGTGAAGATAGAATAGGCAGCTCTTGGCTTGTTCATATGGGCAAAAATGTATTGACAGTGGTGTCTGTTTGTGCAGTGTATGCTGTGATTTCTTCCTGATTGGGCTCAGAAGAAGTCATGGTTGCCATGGAAATAATGCAGACTTGCATTGCTTACTAAGCAACAGTGAAGAGGCCATATTACAATGGACTTCTGAGCCAATATATGGCTGTCCTTTTATGGATCTCTAGTCAATAATATGACTTTGGGAGTACTCTCATTTGCTGCAACTGTTTCCTTTTACATGTGATGATAAAATATCAGCTACTCATGTTGGGTCCTTTCATGTTATATGGAAAGTGGAAATATAACACTTTAGACCCAGGTGTGAACATGTGTGATATTTTAACAGCATTGGAAATATGTGGCAGTGTGCCTACCAGTACACCATTTGGCAGTTGATCCTGGGCGGTATCTGCGCTGGAGTAATGTCAACATGAAAAAATATAGTGTCTAATCCAAATATAGTACCATACATTGTATGTGCACACATAATAATGAACAGTCAGCCAGAAAATGACACTGGTGATTATCTTGGGAGTATGTCTGAAGATATAGAAATCCTTGGACTTATGATCAGAGAGCATGACCACTGATAGTAGGCATTACTAGAATACCCAGGAACGGCCCATGTGCAAGTCTTAGTATGCAGTCTGTTGTTAGGGACAAGGCATTGAAAACCCTTTTTCTACAAGAAATTCCATAGATATGGTCTTTGAATAGGGTAGGCAGCAGGAATTGTTATCACTCCTGGGCTTTGTTATCTTTATTGTAGATCCTTTTAATGGACTTCATTTGGGGTTCACAATGCCTTCTGACCAGATTTAAGTGATCTTTTTTTCCCACATTGTTATTCTTTGTGGCACCTATTGGTGTATGTTCTGACTGGACTATTACCAAGTTTGTAGTGCTCTCCTTAGACCCCTTGTGACCAGATGCTTTGAAATATATTACTGGGGTTCTATTAGCTCAGACTATGTTATCTATTGATATATTATCCCAGCTGGCAGGCAATCTATGAGTGACTTGTCAAGCTGTACACTATTTCTGAGTGTTCATAAGGCTGTGCTAGTGTTTCAGGACAACATGCAAGTGGTGTGTCATGAATCACAGAGCACATCCTTGATGATCAGTGAGAATTATTGGCACATCTACCCTTGCCTTACAATGAGCCTGTGAGCTTATTGTGCATCTTGAATGGCCTTGGAAAGTGGTGTACTGAGTCTTCT